CCCTCCCCCCCGACCCTCCGTTCTTCATCCCGAGTTACCTCCGCGGATCCCGCCACGCCGAGTTGCTCACCCGCGCCCACCACCGCAATCTCCACACCACCCCCTCCCTCCCCGCGCCCACCCCGCTCCCCACCAGCGCCTCCACCACCTCCCTCAACAAACCCACGCACCACCGCGGCCTCTCCCATGACGTCCTGGAACGCCACGCGCCCTCCTCCTCCTCCATCCCCGCGAGCTACAGCGACGAGAACCCGGCGCCGTTGCCGCGGCGGTGGAATGAGTTCGATCGGTTTCCTGGGTTGGAATTGTTGGCGGGGGGGACGGAGGTGCGGTTTATGGGGATGAGTAAGAGTGCGGATGAGGCGGCGGCGGTGCGGGCGGATGCGGCGATGGTGAGGGAAGGGGGAATAGGGTATTTTGAGGTGACGGTTTTGTCGAAGGGGAAGGAGGGGTATGTGCTATTTCCCTTCTATTCTTTCCTTCTATCTTCTTTCCCTTGTCCGTTGGGGTTTCTTGTATTCCCCTAGACGTGTGTTTTATTTGGGGATAGCGTTGCTGACGCCTCTCTCTTACAGCACCATCGCGATCGGTTTCTCAGGCCCCAGGGTCACGCTGAATCGACTCCCCGGCTGGGAAAGCGAATCATGGGCGTACCATGGCGACGACGGGCACGCGTTCTGCTGCACCCACTCCGGCAAAGAATACGGCCCGAAATACTCTACCCTCGACGTGATCGGCTGCGGCGTGAATTTCCGGACCGGCTGCGCTTTTTATACGAAGAATGGGGTGTATCTTGGTAAGTGGCTTCCCTCTAAAAAAAAAAGAAGGATGGAGTTGGTGGTGGGTTGGCTGACGATGATATAGGCACGGCGTTCAAGGATATTAGACATGAGCGGTTATACCCTTCGGTTGGCATGAAAAAGCCCGGTGAGCATTTGCGGGTGAATTTTGGGCAGACTCCTTTCGTGTTCGATATCGATTCCATGGTCGAGGTACGTATCCTATTCACGCTGTGATACCAATTCCGGCGCTGGGTGCACTTCTGACACAAATCATAGAAAGAGCGACGCCACATCCAAGAGGAGATCAACAAAACGAGCGTGGAGCGGTTAAATCCCCCGTTGGGCGAAGATGCTTTGATTCATCAGTTGGTGGCGCAATATCTTGCACACGACGGATACGTGGAGACGGCGAAAGCGTTTGCTGCGGAGGTACGCACGGAATCACAAGCGCTCGCAGAAGGGAGTGCGATTTCAACGAAAAACTTGGAGCCGGAGGAGGACGTGGATGCGATCAACCGGCAAAGTACGTTTCTACCACTACCCCTAACCTTCCCAATCTAACCTCCCAGAAATCCGCATCGCCATCCTCCAAGGCGACATCGACCGCGCCCTCAAACTCACCAACACCTATTTCCCCACCGTCCTCCGCGACAACGAAAACATCTACTTCAAGCTCAAATGCCGCAAATTCATCGAGATGATCCGCCGCTGCGCCGACCTGCACGACTCCCCCATCGCCTCCAAACGCGCTGTCCCCCGCGCGGTCCCCGCCGCCTCCAACGGCCACACCCCATCCGACCCCTACGAAGATGTCTTCGATCACCAAATGGAACTTGACGAACAACTCGGCGCCTCCCCCAACGGCTCGCGCGCGGCGTCTGGGCGCCGCCGTAACGGTCCGGGCCCCGACCTGTATCCCGACGCCATGGACGTATCCGCGGAGACCTCCACGGCCATCCCCCGCGAAGTCAGCCATAATCAGATGCTCTCCGAGACGATCGGGTACGGGCAGCAGTTGATGGCAGAGTTTCAAGGGGATGTACGGAGGGAGGTCAGAAGGGCGCTAGACGATACATTTGCGTTGATTGCGTATCCGGATCCGAGGGAGAGTCCGGTGGCGGAGTTGATGGCAGAAGGGGGGAGGGGCCCGGTGGCGGAGGAGTTGAATGGGGCGGTTTTGGGTATGTTTTCTTCTCTTTCTCCCTTGTTATTGTTGCGATTGCGATTGTTGCTACTATTGTTCTCGTTGTTATTGTGATTGCCGCTGCTATTGTTCTTCCTGCCTGGCATGTAGACATGGCTAACGTTTCCCGAATCGCAGTCTCCCTCGGCAAATCTTCCGCCGCGGCGCTGGATCGGCTGTCGAGGCAGGCGGAAGCGTTGGTGGCGATGCTCGCGGACGATGGGGGTGCTGGGGCGTTCGTGAATGTGCGGAGGGACTATTTACAGAAGCCGGATGCGATGGGACCATGAAGGAGAGGCGGGAGGGCACGGTGATTCTGCTTGCATTGCGAACCGATGGAGTCCTGCGAACGACAAACAGCACGGATCGGAGTCGACGGTGCAACTGGCGCTTATTGATGTCTGGCAGGACCAACAGACAGATGGTTCCGTTCCCCTTCTCTTACCTTACCTTACCCTACCCGGACGACTCATCCCCGATCCATCTATGCATACGGCGTAAGGTTGGCATGGAGGCATCGGCCATCATCCAGATGCCCTGCTCATCACTTGACATTGGGACACCAGCGGAATGGAATGGACCGGATCGGATCACATCGTATCTAGCTACCGTATCCTTCGGAGACATTGATAATAGCTTTCGCTTTGAATAGAATTTTATAAGGCAACACAGACGGAGATAAGAGGGAGAGACAGACAGACAGTCAGATATGCGCAAGTCGCAGTAATCTCATCTCGATCGTTGTTTGTGATGTGCTGGGGTTGTTTACCTCCCTCTACTATATTTTTGTGATATATACTCTTCCTTGATTATTCGATGCAGATTATATAATGCTATGCCGACTGCTATGGCGTAAGACTTGCATTGATGGCGATACGAAGCGTTAACGTACGGATCGGGGCGGATCTCAGGGGAAAGGAGACTAGATGTACCCTTGCCGCCGATCGACGCAGGCCATCGAATCTGGCCAAGGCGGAAATTGAGATTTGAGGGAGAGATGGGGAACTCCTAATCTCCCTAATCTCCCTTTCTTCCATCCGTTCCCGTTACCCGTACTCGTCACCCACTATTAATAAATCTCTCGTTCAACGGACGGGGAACTTTCATACACGGTCACACAACCACGGCGGAAGCACCGTCCGATCGCGATCATGATGCTGTGAGCCACGCTGAAGTTGAGGCTGCGGCACGGGTGCACGACACTTGAGGTTGATTGAGGTTGCTGGTCTTGTCGTTACTGCGAGGTTTTTGGGAGTTGTCGATACTGTCGGTCCTCTCGGGTGGTGAGAAATAGTCACGAGCTCTGGGACGAACTCATACCGACCTCCACTCGACTACGTTGGCATACCGATCACCGAGAGTTCCGAGATCCGACTCAGAATACACAGCGCTATCGATATCCCAGACCGGCGAGGCGCGGAGACTATCAGCGATCAAGCAGTAGTGCTACATCCTTTCTACTACCGTTCCTATAATCCCACATACCCTCCCACCGACCCCCCCTACCGCCACCATGTTCAACATGTTCCGATCCGCAAACACCCTCCCCCCCACCACTACCCTCCTCGACACCCCCTCCCCCCTCTCCCCCCCGACCAGCAAATCCCTCCCTCCCCTCCCCCGCCCTGCCCCAAACCCACGCGACTCCGTCCAGCTCCCCCCCGACGACCCCGTCGCCGTGCACCTCCTCGTCGAGACCGCACTGGGCGACTCGCGCGAGTACGAGGTGCTCTCGGTGGCGGACGTGGATGCGCTGAAGTCGGAGCGGGAGCTGCTGACGGCGCGGATTGAGGGGCTACGGAGGAAGCTCGCGCTGGAGAGCAAGGTGGTGGAGGCGGCGAGTAGTTTCGGGAGGATGCATACGAATGGGGGAAGTCCGGTGGAGGGGAACGATGAGGACGAGGTGGTGGCGGCGCAGCGGAAGTGCGAGGAGGTGGCGAGGGAGCTGTATCTTGCGGAGGGACGGCTGGTGGAGGTGCAGGGGCGGTTATTGAAACACACGGCGGGGATCCTACAGATGACGCATGCGGGTCTGAAGAAGCGGACGAGAGGACGGGATTCGACGATGGGGAGGGAGGATGGGCGGCCAGATAGCCCGGCGAGCATTTATGCGTATGAGAACACGAGGAAGAGCATGTTCCCTGACGAGGCGTTCGATGTAAGGAGTTTCTACCGCCTGCCGGACAATTTGGATAGTCTACTGGATCCGACGAATTTGAACGGCGATCCGAGGTGGGCGAATGGATCGGTGACGCCGGAGCGCAGCGAGCAGTTCTTGCGACAGACGCAGGAGATCGCGGCGACGACGCAGCGGTTGGTGGAACTGAATCAGAAGATGCGGGAGACGTTGGCGCAGAATCGACAGGAGGTGGACGCGCCTCCCCCGACGGAAGATCTATCGCAGCAGATCGACTTTCTCGAAGGGGGACTCGATCAATTGCGAGAGATAAACCAGTCGATGCACTCCGAGAAGTCACGGAACCACGAGCAGTTGGCACAGGCGGAGAAACTACAGGTCACGCTGGAGGGACTATGGCAGATCATCGTGGGCGAGGAAGACGAGCAGCGGCAGCAAAAGAACGCCCGACGCGAGCGCGCTCTCCCGAACGAAGACATCTCCGACGACGAGTCCGATCCCGTCGACGCGGAATTCTCCCTTCCGCACTTCTCGACCAAAATCCAGTGGCTCGTCACGCAGTCCACGCGACTCAAAGAGCAGCAGAATATCCTTCAGCGCCAAATTCAGCAACAGCGCGAGATGAAAGAGAAATCCGACTCTGAGCAAGTCACCGCGCTCAAGCAGCAACTCGACCAAGCGACCTCGCAATCCGAATCCTCGAAAGCCGAGCTCCTCTCGCAACTCGAACAATCCCGCCACGAGCTCACCCACCTCCAAGCCTCCCAAGCCTCCCAGACCGATCTCCAGACGAAGCTCGACGACGTCCTCTCGGACCTGCACACCGCCGAAGCGTCGCTCGCCGCCAAAGACACCGAGTCGCAATCCATGTCATCCGAGATCGAGCGCCTCGAAGGCGAGGTCGTCCGCCTACAAACCGACGTAACAATCGCGCGGGCGGAGCTAGACGGAGCGTACGGCACGCGCGCGCAACGCGCCGCCGAAGTCGCCGCCTCGCATTCCGGCGAAGCGAAGCAGAAAGAGGCGGCGTTGCGGACGGAGTTGGCGGAGACGTTGGCGGAGTTCGAGGAGCTGACGCGGGCGACGGTGGAGGCGGAGAAGGAGCGGGAGGGGCTGGAGGGGCAGGTGGATGGGTTGCGGGATATGGTCGGGGGGTTGGAGCGGGAGTTGAGCGAGGAGCGGGTGAAGTGGTTGGGGGCGACGGGGGGGAATGGGGGACCGGTGGAGGGAACGAGTACGGCAGTGTTGAGGAATGAGTTTAGGAGGATGATGCGGGATACGAGAGGGGAGCATATGAAGGCTTTGAGGGTATGTTTTCACGTTTCCTTTTACTTTGATTCTCTCGGGGGTCTTTACCTCAGTGTTTGGATGCATGGCTAATATTTGTACAGGCTGAGCAAGAGGTGATAAGGAAGTTGGAAGCGCAGATCCGATCGTTGAAGCAAGGCCCAGGAAAATCCAGCTTGAGTCAGGTGACGATGGCCAGATGATTTTCGTTTGACGATGGAGATTTAGCGGTGGCATTTCTCTTCCACAAGCATCTGTCAGCGTCGTCTAGCACGGCACATCGCTGGCATGGCGTAACTGCGCATTTCAAGGCCGTTTCGGGGTTTAGTGTGACGGAAATGGGTTCGTTCTTCACTTTTCAAGGCGTTTATGCTAGACTGTTGGATCGGATGTTGCACGATCATGACCTAGGAGATGGAGCTTGACGTAGCACATTTGTATGATATATATGGAATGGATCATGTTGAATTAAGATCGAGCCTTTGAGTTCGATCTTGCGATGAGAGATATCGACACTTTCAATAACGGCATCAAATGTATACTGATGCTAACTTAGTTAGTTAAAACTTAGGTAAGTTAAGTGCTAAGTACCCTAACTTCCATAGCAATTATAACGCTTCCGTGGCAGGCAAACTTCTCCGAATGGCATCTCCAGGAACTAAGAAATCCTATGCTTAGTTGACTAGCGTATCCGAGCTCAAATTGCCATCGAACATTTAGTTCTCATCACTAAGATGTATGGCTGAATATTCGTTGCTGAGCCTTCAGGAATGGGAACGTCAAGATAGTGAACCATCCATTTCTTCCACAGCACGCATTCATAATTCCCCATCCCAATACATTCAATTAAACCAGGCAATATGACAATGACAGTGACATACAGGTAACAATTAACCTCCAATTAGTTAAGAAACCCACAATGGACGCCAAACTCCAACGGTTCCTACAATGGTTCACCAGCAACGGCGGATACCTTAACCCACACGTCCAGGTGCAAACCAGTGAAGAGCAAGGCATCCACGTAATAGCAAAAGACACCGTCTCCGCCCTCCACGACTCATCCGAACCTTTCCCCATCGTCACCTGTCCACTATCCCTCACCCTCTCCTACCTCAACGCCGCCTCCCACCCCGACGTCCACCAAACCCCCAGCCCTGCCGCCTCCCAGCTCCTCTCCACCAGCGACCGTACCACCGTCGGTGCGTTCCTGCTGATGGAGCAGAAGCTCGCGGGGGAGGGGTCGTTCTGGGCGGCGTATATCGACTGCCTGCCCCCGGTGGAGCGGCTGACGTCGCCGATGTTGGATGGGGAGAGGGAGGGGATGTGGTTACGGGGGACGAATCTCGATCTGTTCGTGGAGTCGTCGGCGGTGGGGGTGAGACGGCGGTTGTGGAGGGAGGATTGGGAGGGGGCGGTGAGAGTATTGGGGGAGAAAGGCGTGGATACGGCGCCATTTACCTGGTAACTCCTCCCTCTATAATCCGGATATCCCGATCTCCTCTGTTGTATATAACATAGTCCCGCACTAACGCACCCAGGGACCTCTACAACTGGGCCATGTCCATATTCTCCTCCCGCTCCATCACCTCCCGCGGTGTCATCCGCAACGAACCCGACCCTCTCCCCCTCCTCTTCCCTATGGTCGACCTCCTCAACCACCACCCCACTGCTCGCGTAGACTGGCACTTCGACGCCACGGGTGCGATGACCATCGCGGCGGAATCGCCACCGAAGCCCGGGGACCAGGTGTATAACCACTTCGGTCCGTTTCCGAACGAGAAATGTAAGCACTGGTTTTTTTCTGGCATCGTCATGGAGGCGGGCTGTGTATGCTAAGACGGGACAGTACTCCTCGGCTATGGCTTCGCCCTAGAAGACAACCCCTACGACGAAGTCACCGTCCAACTCGGCGGCATCCGCCCCGGCGTGCACGAGCTCCTCCGCGCCTCTCTCCCTGAGCGATTCCCCGGTCCAACCCTCACCCCCGAATCCGTGCGCTTCTCCCTTATCGGATCTAGCCATGCAGTGAAAGGCTACAAAGACAGTCCGCTCCCCTGCCTCCGCGGGGTACCGCCGGACCTGTTCGCGATCATGGAGGCGGAGGTGCGGTATGGGCGGATGCAGGCGGGGGAGGGGGAGGAGGGGGTAAGGATGGATGCGTTAGTGGGCTTGTTTGGGATGGTGGAGAGGAAGTTGGAGGGGATTAGGCGGTGGGATGGGGGGGTGGAGGGGGAGAGGGAGGAGAGGGGGAGGTATGCGAGGATATATCGGGAGGGGCAGGTGAGGATTTTGGAGGAGGTGATGGGGGAGATTGAGGCGTATTTGGATGCGGCGTGGGAGGGGGGGAGCTGAACGTTATGGAGGTTATACGCCATGATAGACCCGGTTTCTCGGTGGCCTCGTGCTTCGTACAGTGGAAGTATTTCCATTCGCATCCGGATTGTCTAATATATACCCAATTTTCGCCGCAATGGCCCTGTACATGAACTCCAAGTCTTTCCATGCCCTTAAACACGAACGCAGCGGTAAGAATAGCCACCTCCAACCGCATGGCCAACACCACCAACTACCCTCACTGATTCTAGATCACCTCCTCTGCTTCTTCTTATCCTTCTGCCCCTTCTGCCCCTTCCCCTCATCCTCCCCCTTCCGCTTCCCACTCACCGTCTTCGTGCTCCGTACGCTAACTGTCGACGACTTTCCCCCCTTCGTCTGCACACTGCGCACCTGATGCTCCGCCTCCTTCCAATCCTTGTCTTCCGCCACGATCTCATACCTTCACAGCCGTTAGCGTTGCACATCATGTAGACACGAGAAAGAACTTACTTGTCCAGCGGCAACGCATCAATCATGCTCCGCATCCGCTCTTTCTCCGCATCATTCACCTCGCTCGCCCCCAGCGCCAACTCATCCTCCAGCCTCGCTCCAGCGTTCTGATCCACGCGCATTGCCCCATCCGTAACCCCCTCCTCCGCCATCTGCGGCATCCCCTCCTCGATCGCTGTCGCCGACACAGACCGGAAATGCCCACTGAACTTCCTTACGACCTTCACGAACATCGCGAGCAGCTGCGACGCGCCCAGGCCGAGCTCCTTCTCTAGCTCCTCCAGCTGCTTGCGCTGCAGGCCTAGAGCGAGGAGGAGGGCGGTCTGCACGCCGGAGAGCGACACGTCGGCACGCAGGGCGCCACGGAAGTAGAGGGTGGAGATGCGCGGGAGCAGGTCGAGGATGACGTGGTAATCGAGCATGTTGTTGGCGTAGCTGTCAAGGCGCTTGAGGTCGAAGGGGGAGAAGGCGGTGTCGAGGGCCGGTTTGGCGAACGGGGTGGGGGATTGCGTGAAGCCGAGGCGGGAGGACTCTTCGATACTGAGGGCGAGGACGGAGGGGAAGGTGCGGAATTGGTAGGAGAGGAGAGTGAGGAATCGCTTGTGGAAGTCTTGCACGAAGTCGCCGAGCCATTCCGGGTCGGTGGTGCCGGAATCCAGGGTCCGGAGCATCACGCACGTATGCTCGCCCGTGAGGTCGTTGGCCGTTTGCCGGAGATAGACGGGCGCGAATTTCCCGCGCTTCCAGAACTTGTGCAGCGGCGAGGTGAGCCCGTAGCTGACGCCCACGTAGTCCAGCCGTGGCGGGCGGATCTCCGCCAGGCGCGAGAACAAAGGCGGCATCGAGCCGATGTCTCGGACGCGGACGTTGTCCTGCAACAGGGTGGAGTGCTCCAATTCCGTGTCCGTCACCCGAACCATCTCCGGCGGCGCGGACAGCTCTTCTTCCGACAAGCTCGCACACTTGCCCTCGTAGAAATCCACGAGGAGTTGCAGCGCGCGGGATCCGTATCCCATGTTCGTATACTCCGGGTTCGTCGCGATGCGGACGACGCGGGCGCCGGAAAGACTGGCGAACTCCTCATCCTGGAATTGCTGGCTGACAAGCCAGGGGATCAGATCGCCTCCGGCGCGCTGGCCGCGGCTGAGGCTGTTCAGCACGCTCTCTCGGCTGATCTGGCCTTCCAGAGCCACCTGAACGACGCACAGGGGCTCCGGGAGGCGGCTGGACGATTCGTCAATGGGCGGGACGAGGACGAACAGCTGGTGGGCGGGGGCGTCGGACATGAGCTGGAGGTCGTTGGGGGAGTTCTTGTAGTGGCTGGCGACGTAGAGGGCCATCATCTGCTGGAGAAACTTTTCGGAGACGGGGTGGAAGGAGAAGAGGGTGTCACGGTTGACGAAGAGAAGTTGGCATTCGGAGGGGTGGTGGACGCCTCGCATGGCGGGGTTCGCTCGGGGGAGGGTGGCGTCCAGGCAGAGAAGGGTGTTGAGCCATTTCTCGACCGCGTCGCCTTGCCCGTAACGGATTGGTTCGGAGAGGGTGATCTCTCGTAGTGATCGGGCGCGAGATACTTGACCGCTGCTTTCGGTCTTTGAGTCGGTGTCCCCCTTGGATCTGATTCCTCTTGATTCGTCTCGGAGTTGCTGTATCAATTTCAAGGAGAGCGATCGTCCGGTGCCTTCATAACCATTAATGGTTGACGCCATGAAGACGAGGTATGGCCCCATCAATTTCTTGACCAAAGGAAGAGGAATCGCGGCGGCCTCGTCGATCACCACCAGCTCCGCTTGTCCCAAAACATGGGCGTCTTGAGGCTGGATGTACTGGATCGTTTGACGGTGCGTCCGGAAAATGTTGACCCGGACAATCGCCTTGTTGAAGTCCGGATTTGTCGACTGGATGATCGTGTAATCCGTGTGATCCATGTACTCCATCGCATCGAAAGCGAGGAAGACGAATTGAAACAACGTCTTCAAATTCTCCGGGCTCGGCGATGTGATGAAGATGTTGCTGTACCCATGCGCCACCGCAGCGGCAATGGCGATACCTAATGCAGCAGACTTTCCTCGACCGCGTGCGGCGGTTAAGGTCACTGTGCTCTGCAACGTCTTCTCCGCAATGGCATCGACGAAAGTGAGCAGTGCCCTCGCTTGGTCCAGCGTCTTCGCCAATTTGAGGAGCGGGCCAACCGGCATCGCGTCCCCAAGACGGTCCTTGATCTCCGCCAGCTCTTTGGCGTTGGGACTCAGAGGGGTATCCTCTTCCGGAGGGGGTAGTGGCTTGAGATTTTTACCACCCGAAAGGGGCAGGACGTTCATCTCGTCGTCGACGACGAGACATGACTCGCAGCTCCCGAGTGACAGAATGAAGCGTTCGTTGAATCTCGCAACCACATCGTTATGGGCTTCCGTTCGATACCGCGAATGGATGTCCATGGACAACGTATACAGTTGCTTCAAACTGTTCATGCCTTTTAGGAGGATGATAACCAATCCACCGCCCTCGACGGTTTCCACCGTCCGTGCGAGCAGATTTGGCGTGATTGCCTCGAAGTCCTGAAGGATACAAATGCCATAGGTGTTACCTAGAATCTTATCTGTCTCCTTGTAGTAGACATACCGAATGCTTTGCGTCGAGACGAACAACTCGAACGGATCTTCGGTGTCAGCATCTCTGATCCCGCGCTTGATTTCTTTCTTGATTTTCTTTTCGCGCTTCTGCCGGTGGCTGGGAGGGGTTAGTATAGAATCTGCCAGCAGCGCGAAGAGAGGCAAACCTGGTGAATCCCAGAAGTTTATTCTTGTATGCCCAGAGGACTTGCTTATTCCTCTTTACATCCATATTCAGTAGGATGTGGTAGAGGTTGACGATGACATCCTTCTGTCGGTCTCCAACGACGACGAAGAAGCTTCGTTTCTTCTCCTACGGATTGTTAGCAATTGATCCGAAGAAGGTAATATAACATGAGACTTACCTGAATTCCATTCCGGATCAAGGTTGGAATCCTTGAGTCACTAGAAGGGAATCAATTAGTTCTATATTTTCAATTCTGCCAGCCAGATGCACATACATTGCTTTCTTAACCATGTTGAAAGATGTTAAGGCGTACAAGCCTTTCTCGGGAGCTTTTTACAACCTCCAGATGGGAACACCTCCGCTAAAGTCAGGGAATTGGAGAAATTGGAGAAATACCCCAAAGATCCTATGCGCCGTGTTTTCAAGCTTCCAGCAATTCCGCGAACTTTTTTTCTGGTTCGCGATCTACAAATTGCCCCCATGTCGTTTGATGATACTAATATACTGCCTGACTGCCTGGACGCCTGAATGCCTATACGCCTTGATGCCTGAGAATAAACGCAGACGGGCACATTCAGCCTTGGAGCCTTGGGATGTTTGAACCCTTCCTTCATCATGTGATTCTGATCTCCGGTATTCGGTCGAGGGTCTCAAGCTGTGGGTAACTATCCAGGGAGGAGCTATCTTGATATTGATGATATTAGTTACTCTTATTAACTAAGTTAGTCATTGAACTGGAATTAGTTACATATCTTCTAGGTACATGAACATGCAACGTTTCCCCAACGATTTTCATCACGAACTTCCAGAAGCATCTGAGCACACCACACTCCACAGACACCACTAAGCACACGTGCATCAACCAGCACCAGCCCCTCCCCTGTCCCCTGTCCACCTCCCCGTCCCTGGCTTCCAACCTCAACTGCTCTTCCGCCATTTTGAAAACGTGTCTTCACCTATCAAGGGTCCGCCTTAAATAATTCCACCACCACTCCGTTCCCCCATTGCTACTTGATCTTTGTCCCTTTCTTGCCCTTCGCCAATTCTGGCTTTTGACCACCGTATTACACCTCTCTCGCCCTTCGCTCCTTTCGTGCTGCATTTGAGAGCTTCCCTTTTCCCTCTTGCCACGCAATCATGAAGCTGCTCGCACTTGCTCCGGCGCTGCTGGCTGCGGGCTTTGCTCGCGCGGATGACATACTACTCGATGAGGATGTTTCAGCAGTGGTTGCTTCGTCCTCCGTCGTCGCAAAGCCTACCTTCACAGTAAGTTGACTGTCCCTAACCCAGGTGACACAAGTTGTTTGTGTTCCGGAGCTGCCAATGCTGATGAGCTACAGCCGACCACGTTGAAAGCACCGTTCCTTGAGCAATTCACCGATGATTGGGATACTCGATGGAAGGTCTCTCATGCCAAGAAGGACAACGACAAATCGTCGGAGGAAGAATGGGCGTATGTGGGAACCTGGTCGGTCGAGGAGCCCACCGTGCTGAAGGGCATGGAGGGTGATAAGGGCCTGGTCCTGAAGGACAAGGCGGCTCATCATGCCATTTCGGCCAAGTTCCAAAAGCCAATCGACCCCAAGAAGAAGGACCTGGTCGTTCAATACGAGGTCAAGCTTCAGAACGGTCTGGAGTGTGGTGGCGCCTATTTGAAGCTTCTTCAGAACAACAAGGCGCTTGGCAAGGAGGAGTTCTCGAATTCTTCTCCCTATGTGATCATGTTTGGCCCCGACAAGTGCGGAGCTACCAACAAGGTGAGCGGAATATTCATGCAGCAGCGATGGACTTGACCTAATTGATTGCTATAGGTCCACTTTATCTTCCGTCACAAGAACCCCAAGACCGGCGAATATGAGGAGAAGCACCTCAAGAGCCCCCCGATGGCTCGTGTCGTCAAAACCACTTCGCTGTACACCTTGATTGTCCGCCCGGATCAGAGCTTCGAGATCAAGATCGACGGCGAGAGCGCCAAGAACGGCAGTCTTTTGGAGGACTTCACCCCTGCCGTCAACCCCGAGAAGGAAATTGATGACCCCAATGACACCAAGCCGGAAGAGTGGGTTGATGACGCGCGCATCCCCGACCCCGAGGCCAAGAAGCCCGAGGACTGGGACGAGGACGCCCCGTACGAGATCGAGGATCTGGAAGCCACCAAGCCGGAAGACTGGCTGGAGGATGAGCCGATTGCGATCCCCGACCCGGAGGCTGAGAAACCCGAGGACTGGGATGACGAGGAGGATGGTGATTGGGTCCCGCCGACGGTCCCCAACCCCAAGTGCGAGGAAGCGTCGGGCTGTGGTCCTTGGGTGCGCCCGATGATAAAGAACGTCGAGTACAAGGGCAAGTGGACCGCGCCGTACATCGAGAACCCGGCCTACAAGGGCGTCTGGAAGCCAAAGAAGATCGCCAACCCCAACTACTACGAGGACAAGACTCCGGCTAACTTCGAGCCAATTGGCGCGGTAAGTTCCATGCCGTCATTCTACCCCGAATATCTTGCTGACAGACCTAGATCGGCTTCGAGCTCTGGACCATGCAGAACGACGTCCTCTTCGACAACATCTACATCGGCCACTCCGTCGCTGACGCAGACGCCCTCCAGAAGGAGTCCTTCGCCCTCAAGCTCGCCGCCGAAAAGGCCGAAGAAGAAGCCACCCGTCCCAAGCCCGAAGAGGCGCCCAAGCCCCCCGGCGAGACCACCTTCGCCGAGGACCCCGTCACCTATATCCGCGAGAAGGTCGAGCTCTTCGTCGCCATTGCTAAGACCGACCCCGTCGAAGCCATCAAGTTCGTCCCCGAAGTCGCCGGCGGCATCGGCGTCCTCGCCATCACCATCGTCGCGATCCTCGCGTCTGCGCTCTTCGGCGGTAGCGCACCCCCCCCGGTGAAGGAGAAGGCAAAGAAGGCGGCCGTTGGTGGAAAGGAGAAGGCGGCGGAGGCAGTGGCGACCGGTGCGGAGAATGCGAAGGCGGAGGCCACGAAGCGGGCGACGCGGTCGTCGTCGTGAGAGGACGTGGATGGAGGACGCATCGCATCCAATCTGAGGGGTACAGAACAGTAGACCGGTTGCTAATTTACCCCCTGATTTTCGAACGTTATCATGAACATCCGAAGCGACGGGAGAGTGAAAGAAAGAGAAAGCGAGGGCACGTCAGCGAGATGCGATGTCGAGGAATGGATTCATTGCGGTGCATGATGGTTGAAGGCACCGACGGATTTCCCCCCGAAAAGTGAGGCGTTCGTTTGAGATATCTGCTGCTTGCTGCTGCTGCTTCTGCTTATTATTGTTCCCATATTTTAGTTAGAGAGCAGACCCGGCTGTACTTAAACATTTTCCAATTGCAGGTGTTTGAATACCATTTGATGGCATTTGATGTCGAGGTGACGGCATTTTCAGCGGGAAGCGGATTTACGTCCTTGGGGCTCGAAGATTCTCTCATCTTCTCCTTCCCAAGCGCATGATCTGGATAAGTTGGTGGTGATAGATGAGACGATGATCGATACTGACAGCTCCAAGTCTCTACCAGGAGAGACGGACTAGCCCCTGCTTGGCGGTGCCAGCCACTCAGCCCCCTCCTCCCAGCGCCACGCAAGGCGCAAGCATCCCGCCAAGCTCCTCCCCCCGGGCCATGTTCTGTATTATCACTATTAGCTCACTACAAAACTACAAGCAATATGAAATTGCCTCGTACCCAGGCTCCGCCCAACGCCCCAACCGCAACGAGGCGTCGTCCATCTCTGCGTCCCACAAATCTTCCAATGGCATTTGCTGGCCGCCTCCGCGGAACCTTCGGAAATCGGAATAGTACCTCCATCTCTTCGTATTCGAAAAGGAGCGCCAAGCGCCGCCATCCGCGTTTCTTGGCCGTATAGGGGCTACTCACTGGTGTAGCCGGATCGCAGGCGCAGGAACGCGATCGACCTGTCCTCGCGATCATCTTGGCGATGACCAGGTAAGTGCATATTAACGTCGTGCTCCCTATCATGTTCTCGCATCGTCCGTACCGCATTTCCGAGTTTCTTCACTTTTGCGTTTTGCGATTTGACTTGCTGCGATCATGGTCGTCAGGACCCTCCTCACCCAAGGGCCGCTGTCCACCCTCTGGACGCCCCCCGCATCATGCCTCTCGACCACCACCATGTGGGGCGACCGCACCTACTTCATGGGCTTCATGACAGACGTCGGGATCGACATCTCGTGCTACCCGTCGCTGCTCCCGACGCCCACGGGCTCGGCGACGGTGTCCCCGTTGGTGGAGATCCGGACGGGGTCGGGCGACGCGGAGATTGCGACCATCACAGGGTATACGACCGTCTTCCCGACGCCGACGGGCTTGAGCACGACGCCGCTGTGGCCGACTGATAGATATGTATCGGAAGCAGCGTATTACTCGCCGGGGATCTGCCCGAGCGGATATGAGTACGCAGCGCCCTGTCAGTGTCATTGTCCCAAGTTGAATCCGTCGCTCTAACCGGTAGACAGTCACCTTGTGGAGCTACAAAACCACCGCAACGCAGTCGAGCTCGGTGACGAGGTTCCTGTGCTGTCCGAGCGGATACAAAGCCGAGGCCTACGGAACGGGCGAATCGGCGAGCTACTACTATCCCGGGTGCCAGCGGAAAACGGATGCCTTGACGAATGTCTGGTCCATGACGCCGGGATGGCCCACCGTGCAGCCGACGTCATTGCCGATGTTTGAGACGAGTAGAGAGTACGGGACTTTCACCGTCTCGGCCAACGGGATCGTGGTCGGCTGGCAAGCCACCGACGTACCCGTCCTCGAGCATCTAAAGAAGGAGAATATCGAGTTGCCACCATTCCTGTACGCCCATCCCTTCCCCCCCTTTCCGTCACTCGCATGTTTATGATTTGCTCAACGTCCTCAAGGCCCCTACCAACCTCCAAATCGGAATCGAACTCGAAATCCGGTCTTCCCACTGGCGTGATCGTAGCCATCGTGCTCGCCAGCGTCGCCACAGCGCTTTCCGCGCTGTGCGTATGTATTACCTACTGTGGGAGGAGGCGAAAGAGACGGAACCAGACGCCGGTGGAACTCAACCCGGTGTCGAATTCGGCATCACCACCGATCGTGATGGTCTTTGGAACGGAGGGTGGACAGCCGTACGGGGTAGGCAACTATGTGCCGTTAGCTGGTGCGGATGTGACGGACCCGCCGCCAGCATATAACGCGAAGGAAAGGGGAGGGAATGGATGGAGTCTTCGATGAGATTATGCTAACGAGTACTTCATTTAGGTCTGTTGCTTTGCTGAATATCAGTTGTTCCCCTTGTATGTGGTGATTATTGTATCTGACACAGATATCTTCCTATCTACTCCAACACTACCGAATACTTGAAGTGATAAAGCCTCTCTTCCCTTGACGTACACTATCAAGTAAACTCTCACCTTCTATCGAACTCGTTGATGAGTTGTACGCTATCTTTGAGTTAAGAACCCTAGGGTGAGCAAGATGAATCTTTACAGTATGTAGAAGGTTCAGCATAGATGGTGGTAAGGGGACGAGGGTCGGATATGGCCGATACAGTAATTAGCTAGCGGAGTCGTTCAACCACGGACAAGATAAGCACTCCACCTTGCGATTCCAAACAGTGTTACTGTTTAAGCCAATTGCTATCCGAGCCCACAACACATAAGATTTCTTTGCCGTACCGGTAGAATTAGTATCTATAGAATCTAGATTGTGCGATTTAAGCCATTCCAGCCTCCCAAGATGCTGGCATCCAGCATATCTCCGCGTCCCCGGATGAGTCGCTCGGCCCCGTACAGGCCCCGCCTCTCGGCAAGCGTCGGTGCATCTTATCCATTCCCACGGTATAAACCCACCATCTTTCAACCGGACTTGGAACCGCAGAACGTAGCGTCGTTAACAGTCTCCGGCATCGCTCATAAAAGGGACGGATTGCCCCAATTAGCGGAAACATCCTGGGAAGATATAGTTCTAATGATTGCGCGAACTGCTTATCATCCCTCAAGCCACCATCTGACCTGTTCGTTTACGCAACCATGGCCGCTCGTCGTGCATTCTCCCGAAACATAAGCTCGCTGACCCAGCGAGCAACTTCACAGCAACTCCCCTCCCTCACCACCCGCATGACCATGGCTCCCTCGAACGCTTCCCCGTCCATGATCGCCGCGCGACGGCTCCATGCCACCGCTCGACACCTCCAGGCCTCCGCCGTCGCCCTCCCCTCCACGACGACCGACTTCCCGCACTCCCACGAGAAGATCGCGTCCCCGCCCGACACCCCGTACTTCCTCGACAACCAGTTCGTGCAGTCGCAGGCCTCGCAATGGATCGAGCTGCACGACCCGGCGACGAACAACCTGGTGACGCGCGTGCCGCAGAGCACGGACGCGGAGCTCAAAGCGGCGGTCGCAAGCGCGGAGAAGGCGTTTAAGAGCTGGAGCAAGGTGACGTTGCTGTCGAGGCAGCAGATCATGTTCAAGTACGTGGCGCTGATCCGTCAGAATTGGGATCGGTTGGCGGCGAGCATCACGCTGGAGCAGGGAAAGACGTTCGCGGATGCGAAGGGTGATGTGCTCCGGGGGTTGCAGGTAGCGGAGACGGCCACGGGGATTACGAGCATGATGGGGGAGGTATTGGAGGTGTCGAAGGATATGGAGACGAGGACGTATAAGGAGCCGCTGGGCGTGGTTGCGGCCATCTGCCCCTTCAGTGCGTCTTGAACCCCATCCCGAAAATCTCAACTCTGCTAACCGTACCAGACTTCCCCGCCATGATCCCCCTCTGGTGCATCCCCGTCGCCACCATGACTGGCAACACCCTCATCCTCAAGCCCTCCGAGCGCGACCCCGGCGCCGCCATGATCCTCATGGAGCTCGCCGCCGAAGCCGGCTTTCCCCCGGGCGTCATCAACGTCGTCCACGGCGCCGCCCCGACCGTCAACTTCATCCTCGACGCCCCATCCATCAAGGCCATCAGCTTCGTCGGGAGCAACAAGGCCGGCGAGTACATCTTCTCCCGCGGCTCTGCCAATGGGAAGCGCGTACAGGCCAATCTCGGCGCGAAGAACCACGCGACCGTGTTGCCCGACTGCAATAAGAACCACGCGCTGAACGCCATTTTGGGCGCGGCATTCGGTGCTGCTGGGCAGAGGTGCATGGCGTTGAGCGTGTGCGTGATGGTTGGTGAGACGAAGGAATGGGTGAGCGAGATTGCCGAGCGGGCGAAGGAGCTGAAGGTCAACGGAGGGTTTGAGGAGAGTGCGGATCTCGGACCGGTGATCAGCCCGGAGGCCAAGCGCCGGATCGAGGACGTGATCGCGAGCGCGGAGAAGGAGGGAGCGACGATCTTATTGGATGGACGGGGCGCGCACCCGGAGAAGTACCCGAATGGGAACTTCATCGGACCGACCGTCATCGCGAACGTGAAGCCGCATATGCGGTGCTATACGGAGGAAATCTTCGGGCCGGTTTTGGTGTGCTTGAACGTGGACACCATCGATGAGGCGATCGAGATGTCGAACAACAACGAGTACGGTAACGGCACTGCCATCTTCACTCGATCTGGCCCGTCTGCGAGCAAGTACCAGAGCGAGATCGAAGCCGGTCAGGTCGGTATCAACGTGCCGATCCCTGTGCCCCTTCCCGTAAGTCCAATTATCTAGTGACTTGCTAGCTTTGACTAACATTGACTAGATGTTCTCCTTCACTGGAAACAAGGCGAGTATCGCTGGAGGCGGAGCCAACACCTTCTATGGCAAGCCTGGAATCAACTTCTACACACAGACCAAGGTAGGTCCATCGTTGTTCGCAATGTAGATCGAGAACTGACATACCTTCGCAGACCGTTACGAGCCACTGGAGAAGCGAGGACGCCGTTGCCACCAAGGCCTCAGTGAACATGCCGACGCATTCATAAACAGGGGTGCTACTAGGAAGAGAGGAGGATGCTGGCTGTAATGTCCTATGGACCGAAGAAATTGATCAACAATGTAGAAGCGAGCCAAATTGATTGAGCCAAATTGAGCGAGCATTACTTGGGCGGCTGTAAGATCTACTAAGCGTTTTACGTTAACTATATAGAACTTGGCTTTGCTATAGGAGTTCTTAGCTGACTGAGAAGCGAAGAAAAGGAAAATAAAAGGCGCGTCTTGGACTTGAACTCATGGCCTCCTACTAATAGGAATTGCCACCGCGAATTCACCCTTCCTACCACTTTATGTACCTCGCAATGTCCCTGAAGTACCTCTCAGTATCCCCTTCCCCTTGCTCTCCCCTACCGCCCGATATCCAGCCTTTCCAGGTCCCAAATCGTAGCCGACTACTCCCAAAACCCCATCAACCAAAACCAAAAGGCCAACCAGCAAAATCTATGAGCTCCGCAGGCCCTAGGTGTAACGGTGTCCTCCCATCCTCAAAACTTGCCCCCCACCCACATTGGGATGTATTGGAGGTGTCCTCCGGTGGACGCCGATTTTTCCAGCTAGTACTGGCAGTGTATAGGTGGCGCATTTCGGTGCAGTGTTAATGCAACTACTACCATCGGGCCACTCTTCAGTTTCCCGCTGAGAATGGTTTGAAAATCTGGGGATATGAAGTTGAGGGAGAGGAATCTGGTGATTATCAGTGCTGTTGCTGGTTTAGGGGCATCGAATCACTGCTTGTTTGTTTGGGATACTGTCACTCTACATTTCGGTTGTCATGGTTCCACTAGTTACATTTCATTTCCTTCGCATTTGTGCTATATCACTCAAAATTTGTGGCGGCAGAGTAGAGTTGTTCAGAGAGAATACATCGATATTAAACTCCTACAAAGACCATCTTCTACCTAAACAGCAAGCACGTTATATTAGGCAAGGCCGTTGGTTATTCCCCTTTCTTCAAGAACCTGGGGGGATATAACGTATCGCCCGGCCTGTTCATGATCACGAACAAGCTTCGTTTGTAGACTGGCCTGACCATCGCCCACTGAACTCACTTCGATCTCCATAGTTTCTCGAGCCGATGTCAGCGCCAACCTTGTATTCACGTTGCTAAGAACCTTTGACAAACACTTGGCATCCCCGAAAACAACTGCTCCTCTCGGTTCCGATGACATGGAGTCTTCATTCACCGCTTCGTCGTCCGCCACCCATCGAGCCTTCCGGATTTTTGAGAGGGACTGGTTGCAACCAGTTTCCTCTGAGGTACAGGAGTGTTCCATCCCATCGGTCGAACTGCACCACACATAGCCTTGGACCAGATGTTGTCTTTCGTTACCGCTTCCATTGCTCTTTGCGAGAGATCGCAAGCCGCTCCGTGGTGCGCCGAGCAAATACGCACCCATCGGGAGGGTTTTCCATCTGGGACACAACTGGTGTCCACTGTTTACTGGTCGGAGGACATCGCCCAGGCCTGAGCAGAAAAGGACGACGGGGACATCTCGAGTGAGCACCGACCAACCTCCGTGGGAAGGGATGGAGTCCTGTTTCATGCGGTAATTTCCTTTGATGAGGTCGAGGAATTCGTATCCAAGTAGGGTCTCCTTCGCCCCAAACTTGGTTATGGAAGGGGTTGGATGGACGTTATATATCCGGTAGATCATCTGTCTGACTGAATCGCCCAGCGTGTAATCTTCGAACGCGGACTGGTTCTCCCGTCGGCCGTCTTCTTGTCCGGGAAGGAGAGATACCGTACGTTGAGTACCGAGGACTTTCATGGCGCTTTCTTCTCCATCATAGCTAGCTGCATAGGGAATGTCTCTACTCTCTGGCCTGAGACGCCGGTTAAGGAATGCTCGATGAAGCACCATGTGCAATAGAACGCTGTGGTATGGGACAAGCCAGCCCCTCTTTTCTTCCGGGTCGTACAGCAATATCTGGTCACCACGATGATTATCCAGTTCTTCGTCATATCTAGCTTCTCGGTTAGCTAGAGGAAATCGTCCCATTCGATTCGACCTGAGCTTATAGCTCCTGGCAAGGGAAACCGAGAAAACCCTTTCCCAGGAATCCCTGCAGAGAATGTATCAGTGTCCGCGATTTTGCTTGTTGCCTTTTCTTTCGTTCCAGTGTAGCCCTGAAACGGATATCGTGCTTCTCTTGTTCCTATAACGATTTGAACCTCAGAGGTCCAGCCCAAAAAATGACGGCGTTTTCTCAGGTCATCTTTAAGTAATGAGATTTCAGATTCAGCCATTGCTTGATCATCAGGATTGGGATTGAAACCAAGAGCTACGAATAAGGAGATCTTCTCTTGGAGGCCGTCAAATATCCTCATGAGTTCAGGGCCAGGGGCAGTAATAAGATGCCACTGCACAGAACCGGCTTCCAGAATTCGCGTAGGCACGAGTAGTGTGCTTAGGCCAACGAATATAATATAGCCCTCTCGAAGAAGTGCATTCTCAATTCCACAAATCCCCAACAGTGCGTCAAATGCGATTTCGAGCCCTTTGGCAAAGCGATCTCGAGCCGGAACAGGAAAGCCGTGTGCGATTATGGTTCTATTAAGGGCCTTGGACCAGCATCGATCCGGAGGGGGCCCTTTACTACCCAGAGGTTCTGATGGTATGGTGAATGGTGAAACATACAACCAATCGGACATCGCATCCTTTTGGGTAGAGGCAGTGGTATAGATATAGCTACCTTGGGTTGAAATGGTCATCGTCGAACTGATCCAGCTGAGAATATCTCCGATTTTGGTGAGGAATGATGAGTGGCCAATCACTTCCACCTTGGCGTTTGTGGTACCGGTGGCTAAATCCTTAGATATGAAAATGGTCACTATAGTACAGTTTAGCCAATCCCCAAAGTGATTTATTAACGTATGAGACCATCTAGGTGGACGAAACTGACGGCTTTGAAGCATATCCCCAACGACCCCGGGTGATTATCATCAAACGCATCAAGCCATCAAATTCATCTACCCTGGATGGACCCATAAGCCCAGAAGTAGGGCACGTGAGAAGCGATTCTTACCGGGGAAGTCGTCCTCGGTGAATATTTCAAAATTTGAAGAGCCCGAAAGAACGCAGTCAAAGAAGGGGCGAGCAAGAAAGTCGCCGAATTTACCCCAGGTGTGTTGGATGTACTCACGACATTCTAAAGCAATGCAATCACCGTGCTGGGATACTGTGAAAGTCAACGTTTCCAGTAGCTCTTCAACACTCTCGATTCCTTCCACTGCCAGATACTCTCGAAGTGGTGACAGATTTACTCGAAAGGCGGCCATCGTATGCTCTTCGTCTATGTGACTCTCGCTCCCACTGTGAAGAGCGAGCTCTGACATACCATCCGCCTTCGCCTTTTCAGTCCCTTTCACAGACAAATTTGGAGGCCATGGTAGAGACAAGTTCGATGTCAGTCTTTTGCGGTCGTCTTGAGCTGTCTCTTCGCGATTCCTTACCCGTACTGAAGGTACGAGTCGAGACCACGATGGAGTCCGCGATCGGAATCTTCTGTATGTGGTTGGGATAGTGTCTGCTCTTGTGTGGGATAGGCTTTCACTTCCATCAATCTCTCCACTCTCACCCTCTTCACTCTCATCCTCTTCACTCTCATCCTCGCACTCTATTTCTATTGTCTCCTCAATACCTTCAAAGTTGACGCCATGCTCATCCCAAGATCCATGCCGCTCTAAATAAGGACTGTCATGGGAATAATTTCCTCGGCCCCGGGACGTTCCCCAACCGGATGCCATCGTTTGGTGCTTTCACCTCTGAAGGATAGAGGATATTTGATACAACGAAGGAGGTGAAGCTGAGAAGATAGGAATGCGGCGTTCGGCTGAGGATGAGATTTAGCTTTATATAACGCTGAGCAAGGCTGAATCTCGATGCCTTCCAGTCGTTGCTGCATGCCATGTTCACCACTGGTTGGCTGGACGAGAGCCAAGTCTGCGCTGGTGAGCCTTGCCAAGTTGAACCCTCCATCTTATGATTGGCCGGTGACAACGAACCCTTTTCTGCGCATGAAAGATACACTTATAAGCTCGCCGGCTGCATCCTTGCCATCGACAAGATGAAGCTCTACAAGGGCGGTATCCATTTCGACGGACACATGGTTCCGCGTCACGAAACTTTGAGGGGTAGACATCAGTTCGACTTCCATTTTGGGGTTCTCACGAAGGCCCAACTTGTCAATAATGCTCTCTGGCTCGTATATCTGGTTTCAACAAAAGACTGTGACAGATAAGGAATCCTAACTTAGCTCTTCTTCTTAGTTATGGGCACTCATGTTCGGAAGGTCTTGAAATATGTGTTGTCTAAATTTTTGCGCATAGAATTCAAACTCCGAGGAAAAGCCAATGCCAAATGATGCTAATTAAGGCTTTGTGAGAAGGGTTCTGCGAGAATGGGTTGTTCGAGAATAGGTTCTGAGAATGAGGGTTCTGTACGGAAGCTACTTGCCTAGTTCCTTTTCGCTTTTGGTACGAAAGCCATACTATACGGCTATTGAAGCAGGTGGTGGCTAATTATACAAGCAAGGTGTTCATTCTAAGTACCTTGCTGGTGGTAGTGATTGTGGATGAAGATGCTGAAGGAGGCATAAGAGAAGGTATCCATACTGGTACTTAGGCCCGAGAATTATTGCAGAAATGAGAATAATTACAATATTCCGGAGTCAGCTCCTCTAGCTAGCTAATGGTTATGGGTCACGTCCCTAGCCATTAGTGCCCTTAATTAGTTGGTGACCCCGCAGTTTCCTCATCATGGGGTTGAACCGTTGAAGTCATCCGGCTGGTCCTGATTGCACGCTGCGGTCAGCTGTGTTGCTTCTGTTGCTTGTGTTGCTGGGGTTTGGCGTGGCTGGTTGCTGCTCCTCACGCAGGTACACATGTATAACCGTATCACCACCTCCAACCCCTCGTGAGCTCTTAAGCTTGAGTATATGACCCTCCATCCTCTCTCTTCACAACCCCTACTTTTCCCTTTTATTCATAATACTCGGATTCACAATGGGCGGGGATCAGCGAAGGACTATGGATGCTGCTTCGTCAAGCCTTCCGCGGCTTGCTGCCGGTCCCGTTGGCAAGAAGGTACCGTCACCATCAGCCGAGCTGGTAGTGGAGCTTGATGGTGGTGAAGCTAATTGCACAATAGATCGGCAACATTTATCGTGATAGACTCAAGCAATTCACGAGCAAGGGACAATACGAGTCCCAGAACCTGATCGGGTACAGTCCTTTTGAATCATTCTTCTCCAATGTTGCACCTAGCTCATGTATGTTCAACAAGGAAACTATACGAAGGTCGTGCCTCTGGTGACGACTCCGTCAAACTAAGCGTCTACGGTCCTCCCAACCTCGAACGACCAACCTTTAAAGACGCGACTTCCCACGAGTTCCGACCGGCCAGGAAGGGCGATATATACGGCCCTAGCTGGGCAACGTTTTGGTTCAAGATCCAATTGACGGTTCCGGCAAACCTTCGCGAGAAAGAGCACCTTGAGTTCCATTGGGATGCGAACAACGAGGGTCTCATCTGGACGGAACATGGCGATCCGGTCCACGGCCTTACAGGCGGTGGTGAGCGGACTGAGTGGATCCTTCCAGACTCCTTTAGAGATGGGACGGAACATCTGTTCTACATCGAGATGGCGTGCAATGGGATGTTCGGCAATGGGGGAGGCGATTCGATCCAGCCGCCGAACCCAGAGAAGTATTTCCAGCTGAACACAGCAGACATCGTCGCAGTCAATCTGGATGCTCGAGCCTTGTATGTGGACTTCTGGATCATCGGAGGTGTGTATATTTTTGCCCCCTTATCTAATCAGACTATTGACAACCCTTAGACGCCGCACGGGAATTCCCCGGCGATTCCTGGGAGTCACATAGAGCTTCGGAGGTATGCAACGAAATCATGGACACCTTCATTGCCGGCGGAGGTAGCAAAGAATCAATCAAAGCGTGCCGTGAAGTTGCCCAGAAATACATCGGCATCAACGTCGACTCCGAGAAAGTCTATGAGACCGACCAAGAGGCTCTCATTACGGCCGTAGGGCATTGTCATATCGATACCTGTTGGCTCTGGCCGTGGGCGGAGACCAAGCGCAAGGTTGCACGTTCATGGTCAAACCAATGCGACTTGATGGATCGGTACCCGGAATTGAGGTTCTGCTGCTCGCAAGCACAGCAGTATCAATGGCTGGAGAAATATTACCCGTCGCTCTGGGACAGGGTGAAGGCCAAAGTCAAAGAAGGCAAATTCCAGCCCATTGGCGGAAGCTGGGTCGAACACGACACCAACCTCCCTAGCGGAGAGTCGTTAGTCCGGCAATTCCTCTATGGCCAGCGTTTCTTCGAGAGTCGATTCGGCCAACGAAGCACGACTTTCTGGCTACCTGATACGTTCGGGTATTCCTCACAACTCCCTCAACTCTGCCGTCTGGCGGGAATGTCACGATTCTTCACCCAGAAGCTCAGCTGGAACAATATCAACAACTTCCCTCACACGACCTTCAATTGGGTGGCGCTGGACGGCAGCCAGGTGCTGTGCCACATGACTCCTGCGGAGACCTACACCGCCGAGGCGCATTTCGGCGACGTCAAGCGAAGCGTCACCCAACACAAATCCATGGACCAGGACGCAACCTCATTACTGATCTTCGGCAAGGGTGACGGAGGCGGTGGCCCAACGTTCGAGCACATCGAAAAGCTGCGTCGTTGCCGTGGAATCAGCGACACCGTCGGCCTTCTACCACGCGTCAAGCTGGGCGACTCCGTCGACGACTTCTTCGCCAAGCTGGAGAAGAAGGCCGAAAACGGTACGAAGTACGTCACCTGGTACGGTGAGCTGTACTTCGAACTGCATCGAGGCACGTACACGACGCAGGCGAACAACAAGAAGAATAACAGACAGGCTGAGGTCCTCTTGAGGGATATCGAGTACTTCGCGACCTTGGCCAGTATTAAGGATTTGGTGAAGAATACGACGCGGTCCGGATATCGGTATCCGAAGAAGGATTTGGACCGGATGTGGGAGAGCGTGTTGCTTTGTCAGTTCCATGACTGTCTTCCGGGAAGCTCGATCGAGATGTGCTATGACGATTCAGACAAAGTAAGTCGATCACGAAACGATTTTGCAAACACCTCACTGACGCTGCTGTAGCTATATGCCAAAGTATTCAAGACCGGCCAACGCCTCTTGGCTGAAGCATTGTCGGAACTTGAATTCACATCTGAGAAGCAGCCCGGATCCAAGCTCGTCTATTTGAATACCTTGCCTTGGGAGAGAACCGAAATTGTGAAATCACCTAGTAGAGATCAGTGGCGCGAGCCGGTATCGGCCGTTGATTCGGAATACCACCTCGCCGAGCCGTTCGAGTCCGCTACAGACTGTTATCTGACCGCCCCTACTAACCCTCTTGGACACCAGTCCTATCATCGTCCAACAATCGCCCAGTGTGCGGATGGCAGCTACCTCCTTGCCAACCACCGGTTCGAAGTGAAGGTCACGGACGGCGTGATCGTGTCGCTCTATGACAAATACGCCGAGCGAGAAGTCATCCCGCCGGGACAGAAAGCGAACCAACTCGTCCTATTCGACGACAAGCCCCTATACTGGCAAGCCTGGGACGTCGAAGTCTACCACCTCGACTCCCGCACGGAGTTGAAACCCACCACGTCCTACATCTCTGAGTCGGACCCCCACCGAGTCAGCCTTGTGGTCGAGACCAAGATCAGCGACTCGTCCTGGGTGAAGACGACCATCAGCCTGAACAGCGTGACCGGTCACGGCATGGACCTCGTCGAGATGGAAAGCGAGGTCAAGTGGTACGAGGACAAGAAGTTCTTGAAGGTGGAGTTCCCTGTCGACGTCTTGAACACCGAGGCGTCATATGAGACGCAGTTCGGTATCGCGAGACGTCCGACGCACTACAACACTACCTGGGACATGGCGAAGTTCGAGGTGTGCTGTCACCGATGGGCGGATCTCTCTGAGGCCGGATATGGCGTGTCGATTCTCAATGATTCGAAATACGGGTTCGCGACGGTCGGGAACGTGATGCGGTTGTCGCTGTTACGCGCCCCGAAAGCGCCAGATGCGAACGCTGATATGGGTATGTCCCTTCCCTCCCCCAACCCTACACATCATAGTTGAAATCCATCACAACCCTAAATACAAGAGAGCCTTACTAACCCACCCAGGCCACCACCGCATCCGGTACGCCATCATGCCGCACGCCGGCCCCCTCTCCCACCACACCGTCCGCGCCGGCTACGCCTTCAACAACCCCCTCCAACCCACCTACCACTCCTCCCCCTCCTCCATCGCCTCTCTCCTCTCCTCCTTCCGCATCACCGGCTCCCCCAACCTCTTCATCGACACCATCAAGCGCGGTGAAGACGATGCGGACGTCTCACGCGGCGAGCTGCCGACGCGGCACGGGCGGAACGTTATTGTGAGGGTGTATGATGCGCTGGGGGGGCGGGCGAGGGGGTGGTTGCGATTGGGGGCGGTGCCGGTGGGAAGGGCGTGGAAGACGAATTTGTTGGAGGATGAGGGTGAGGAGGTGGAAGTGGAAGAGGGGAGAGTGAGGGTTGAGTTGCGGGCGTTTGAAGTGGCGACGTATCGGTTGTTGTTGGAGGGGGAGTAGGGGAGGGAGGATTGTTTGAATTGATGATGATATGATGAAGATGAGGATTGACGCGGTGAGGTGGGGTGGTATGTCTATGAACCTATGAGGAGTTTGAACCTAAAGTATTGTTAGCCCCTAGCGTCGTTATGAGAATCTTATCGTCAACGTTCCCTAGCGACGATGAACTATCCACAAAGTATACCCAACCCCACATGCCATCATTCCGAATCCCGTGCTCAAATCAACGCTCCCCGCTTCCTATCCACAGTACCCGTCCATCCGCCCCGATCAACCTGAACCTGAGCAGCAGACCCGACCCGACCATACTCTGCGGTACTTTCTCTCCCTCCCTCCCTCCCTCCCTCCCGCCCCCGAGCCCACCCGAAACCCAGAACGAAACCATCGTCATGCACGAAAGCTGATGGAACAGGAAGAAGTGGAATGGGGAGAGCGGGGGAAAAAGGGGAGGGGAGTGAGAATACGGTGGAGGGGAAAGGGGATTGCGGATAGGTCGGAGGAGCCTGTCCAAGAGAGATTGGCTGGTTGGGATGGAGTAAGGAATGCGGTGTTCCCCCTGATCGCCGCCCTTCAATCGTATCGTTCCACTACCCGTCCTTCCTTTACTCCGACCGATCATGCATGCCATATGATGACTCGTACAGCCGATCAGCTATCCATCGTCGCCTCCCCACCGCGAAAGCATCCATCAGATCATGCACGGAACCAAGCCACAAATCATAGAACAAAGTTTCTCAACGTTATAAATTCCGAGTATCGATATTTTCTGTTTCTCGTTTACTTCAATATCTCCCTCTCTCCTCCCATCCCTCTCTCTCTTCCGGCGACGGAACCCCTCCCCCCCTTTCCTTCTAAATGGTTCATGTGGTGGTGGTTATGTAAGCCGAATTCCCAAGTTTTCCTTTCCTTCCCTTTCCCGTCATGCCGCAAGTCTGTGCAAAGTGGTGATGTCGCTGGTAAAGAAAATCGGGATCGATGGGAGGGAATGAAATGCAATGGAAGGGAAAAGCGAGGGTTGTAAAATCAAGGAGAGCGAGAGTGGGATGAGGGAGAGAAGGAGAGAGAGGGATACGAATAAACCCGTCTCGCCTCTTCTTCTTCTTCTTCTTCTTCTTCTTCTTCTCATCTTATCGACATCGACATCTCCGCGCAGCAAAAAATCGAGCAGAACAGCAAAGCATGAATTACAAGGTTTGGTTGTTGCATGGGAATCGCTGTGTACAAACTACAAAGGCATCAAATAGCTTTGATGTAGAAAATCGTGAATACTCGCTTGGTGGTGTGGGAAACAGCAACAAACGTGTCATGGCTCGTTAACAGAAAAGGATGAGGCATGGGGATGGGGAAATCAAATAGCAACAGCGACCCGTGAGAGACCCGCCTCACGGACCGAAGTGAAATCCGATAGATGGGACGGGGCGGTGATGAATGTCTGAAAATATCGCCAGTCTCTCACTCGCTCTCTATCCATCGTCATCCGCATCGTCCTCGTCATCCTCCTCGTCCTCCTCGCTCTCGACGGTTCGCTGCACTGTGCCAGACTCAGTCTTGCTCTTCTTGGACGGGGTGGACTTAGAGGGAGCTGCACCGGCCTTGCGCTTTGACCCAGATGCCTTCGCCGGCGGCTCCTCCTTGACCTCCGTGTCGTCCCCCTCGCCCGCCGCCTTCCGCTCCAGCGCCGCCACCTCGTCCGCCGTGAGGAACCGTCCGCCCGGTCCGCGCGGCCGCCGCATGGCGTGGTTGTGGCGCGACTCGTGCAGGTACGGCTTGCGGCCTTTGGAGGTGAGGCGGAGGGCTTCCTCGAGCTTCTGCCGCGCTATCCGCCGCTTGAGGATGCGGTGGAATTGCTTCGCGTTGACGTAGAGGGGCGATTCTTCGGCCGCGCCGGCGACCATCTCCGGCGACTGTTGCTGGGCGGGAGCCTGCTGGGCCATCTGCGGGGCCCCTGGGGGCCGGCTGACATGGCTCAGGGTTGGCTGGGGATGTTGCAGCGCAGGGCTGCTGATCTGCTGGCTCATGCGTCGCGATTGCTGAGGCATGGGAACCTGCGACGGAAGTCCGCCTTGGGGACCTTGCGGCGGTGATCGAGGATTCCGTCCGTCGACTTTGCCCGGAGCCTGCATGCGAGGAGATGCGCTCGGGTCTTGGCTCATGGGCATTTGCCCGGGCATATAATACGGCACGGGTTGCCCTGATGCCGCGGCCAGGGCCATGGCAGCATGCTGTGAAGTTGACTGTCCATACTGGCTATGCATGGGACCCGGCACCCCATATCCTGGCTGTGAATACCCCATTTGTTGAGTGGGGTGTCCTCCTGCGTTCGGCCCGCCTTGCGGCGGATATGCATTCCCTTGTGATTGCAGGATCGGCGAGGTCTGTGACGGTGGAGGATGCATCTGGTTTTGCTGGTTTGGAGAGGTGATCCCTCCTCCGGTTCCGGACGGTGAAGTGTTGTATGCGGCTTGGATGTGGGCGGGTGGATGGGCGTTGTGGTGTGGTTGTTGATACTGCGCGTATGTCTCCATGTTGCGCGTCGGGTGGAAGTGGGTCAGAGCGGTGACTCGCTGCTAGTGGAGGATGGCTGAGGATGTTGATACCCCAGAACGCCACTCAATTGCACGAGCAGGAGATAGCGGGTCGGTGCGTTCAGGCAGCGCCACTGGAACAACCGTGCAGCAGGTGTATATAGACGTGGGGATTGGAAGTGGCCAGTAGCGGAGGTATCCTGATGTAGGAAAGGAACGAGATAGGGAGGAACTGGTATCAAAATACGACAACTGAATGTCGAAGGGTTGGCGATGAGTGGTGGATGCGTCGAAGCCTACGAGAAGTGGTCAGCTTGGAATGGTCCAATAAGAAGGCAATGCAAGGTACCGGCAACTTACAGTCCACTTAATGATATTGGACGGTCGTCGCAGACGGAATCACGTCGTCGATAGGATTGTGTTCGGAACGGAGCGCAAAACTTTGGTGGTCTTGATGTTTGCGAAGGACGCGATCTTCGTTGATTGCTAACGGGCCGGCGGGTCGGTTGGGCAATCGATCAAATCTGGGACGGCGACAAGAGCCGGCAAAGCGTGGCTGGGCGATGAGTTGTCAAATATGCCACGCCGTGCAAGTTGGGGCTTTTCCCGCAGCAGATTCTCTTCCCGTGACGAGACGCGCAGGAAGCGATGATTTGGCAGCTCGCAAGGCGTGCAGAGTCAGTCGCACCGCCTGGGCGGGATGGGAGAAAAGTGGGCGAAGAGGCAGAGTGAGGCGCGTCCGAATCCGAACGCGGATGAGGCGGTGCGCGTAAGCGGGAGGCCCGCACGTTGATGGCACCGGTGAAAAGGTCGACAGTAACGTTTCGGGTCCTAAAGGTCCAGGTTAATGGTGTTCACGACGTCAATTGGCCGGGCGAGGATGGAATTTGTAGTCAAATAGGAAGAATTGGAGGTGGGCGGGAGCTTCTGCGAGGGTAAAGGCAAGGCCCGAGTATTCAAGGCGGTCGTTGGCCCATCCGTCACCCCTCGCGGGATGCCAGCAATGAGCGGCGGCGGCCAGCGTGACGATTGGAGGAGTGATGCGCTGGCAATGCAGCAAGCTGGGGTTTGGGGGGCGAGAGGGTGGTGTGCGCGTGGTGCAGAATGCAAAGCGTGTGCTAAACTTACCTGCGTTCAACCCGGGCAGAGATCCCAAAGATAGCGCCAAATGGAGGCAGCTGGGACGGTGCGAGGTAGATTAACGATTGCTTTGTTCAGCAATCTATGTCTGGCGCAAAGCGGACCAAGATTTGTTTGGCCGAGTTTGTTTTCCTAGTAGCTCGTGCAGTCTGTCCAGCCCGGCAGAAGATTTGGCGTTGAATGGGAACGAATAAGGACGAATAAGATCGAATAATCCACAGCAGAAGCCAGAAATGCTTCGGTAAAGGCCACAAGGCGTGAAGGCCGAAACTGTGACGACCTGTAACTGGTTGAGATGTGTCTCCACGTGTACGTCACGTGTCGGTCGGGCAGTAGGCAGTGGGCAGCAAGGCAGAACGCGGTGCAACTGCAATTGAAGCCTCACTGTTGATGACGCAGAAATGAGGATGAGAATAGTTGATTGGGTTGGATCGAACCAATTTTGGCTGTGCCGATGGTTGAGAGGTGACAATGTTGTTGTTGCTGATGACGGAAGCACGGCGTGATGAAACACGAGCAAATGCAACCTAGGCAAAAGTTGGGACTTGGGAGGGAACGTCGGAAACCGGAATCCAGTGCGTGCTTGACTGGGGTCGCAAAAGTTGCTTTGTGTAGCAGAATGCGACGGTAAGCAGGAATGATTCCTTCCGCTCCGGTGCGATGGGATGCGATGCGCGGAATCAACCACAGCGGACTACGATTCTGTGAGGTCAAAGTCGGATATGATGACAATGACCAGGGCTTGGAAGCGCGGTGGAGACGTGAGATGATGAGACGTTGGACGTGGTCCTGTTGCGGACTTGGATTGTGTCGCGGTGCCTGGGGAGGGGTTTGCGATTTGATCTTGACTGGCCAGAGAAGACGAGGCGAAGATTGACAATTGGGTAGTGGAAACCCACGGGCCAGGGAACCAGGACGGCGATCTGGAGAAAGTGTGGAATTGGGAACCGAGATCAGAGATTGAAGGGGGAATTGAGGGCGACGATTGGGTAGAGCGGAAAGCGGATTTGGGAGTTTGCGAATTGCGATAGGAGGATGGGGATTTGGAGGGAACGCAAAAGGATTGGAGAGAAATCGGGGGGAAGTTTGGGTTGAGAGATGGAAGAGCCAGTGAGGAGCGAGCGGGTCAAATCTTATTCTTTTGCCATTGGAGAGATGATGGAGGGAGCCGGAGTCTCGCATTTCAGCCGCGAATGACGGCTGGCCATTGCCGCAATTTGATGTCTAGACCCAGGGGCCTTGTTCGTCATGGCTTCGTTGCTTCGTCTTCTCCACCAAAACCATGGTCAATTATGAATTAGTAAAAACTGATATTACCTAGTAAATAATACACAGTCCCAGTATGAATAGTTCCCATCGGTATCGACATAACTGTGCAACTTCCCCCAAACAGCTTGGGCCTCGGTGGCTCTTTCCTCCCTCTGACCGCCAATAACTCGGAACAGGGAGCCAGGGACACTCCCACTGCAAGTCTCAACCAACGTCTGTCTGTTCGTATTAATATCCCATAGGTACCTTACTTCAGCATCCCCGTAGATTAAGAGGCAGCTCTCCAGTGCATGATGGGTCCTATCTTCAGTTTATGTACATGTTTATGATTCATAGTAACATACTCTAGCCTGGTACTCCGTAAGTGTTGATAGATAGTTGACAGTTGGGAATACAACCGGAGATGGATGGGCGGCTTGTTGTCCGGCGCTATGCCCTTTACGTCCTCGGTTTCCTTTCACACCTCACCCCAGCACTAGGAGTTCCCTAATCCTGGCCATCTTGTCATAATTATTGTCACAGCAATTTGATGACGGAGATGCCGTGCGAAAAGCTCTTCACTCCATGCTTTGTCGCTCAGAGGAAGAACAGACTGGGAGGATGGGAAGTGAAGCGGTGTGAGAGCCGTTCTGATTGGCTCTCTCCTCCCTCAACGTCATCTCGTCTCCATCTTCGTACTTCCGCGTCGTCGCATCAGGTGTGGCGGTGAAAACCCCCAAATTGCGGTCATGAAGCAACGCGTTCCCCCCTCGAGCAATGCTAGGACTTTCCTCGCCATCATCGCGGAACGAATCCCCATCAGGCGCTTACACCGGCCCTATTATGGGCCAGAAATCCCAAACGCGACGTTATTCAAAGCGACGTGAGTTCGGAAGTGAACATCGCAAGACCCGTCCGCTCCTCAAATTAGCAAAAAGGAAATACTTGGCGCGTCAATGATTTGTCCGCCCACGCGATCGGGAGGATGCGAGAGTGGGCGCTGCTCAGCAGCTCTGTCACTCGTGTGCCTGGTTGGTATGACCGTATGAGCATGATGGGGAAGCGATTGAGTGAGTGACACGCCGTGGCCACTGGCCAGTGATGTCGTGTCGTTCGGAAACTTTGCGTCGGCGCCTTTTGCTGAAGCCTGAAGCTTGGAATGCTGAGGTCGCGTTGTTGTCTGTGTACATTGTACCGGGGTCGGAGTGATCGGCGAGAGGAGCGTGACCTCGAGGTCAAGTCACGTCGACATAACCGCCGTGATTCTGCGACCTGCTTTGTGCGATTTCGTGAAGACGAGTTGAGAACTCCAGATGTCAGATGCTGCGGCTTGACTATTCCGATCTGCATGCGCTATCCAGTCGATCCTTCAAGAAAGCCTCTATCTGTCTCTCGTCACTATTGCTTCCTTGCTCCCCTGCTCACTCAAATGCATTTCAAATTGATATTAATAACTCCCCGCATGTCTCAAGTCTCAACCCCAACCGATCGCCACCCAGCAGTCCACTGTTCGCTGTCCAGCACGGGCAGCACCCTTTCCTCCACTCCTCAGTCCTCCCAGTCCCATTCCCACACCAACCTCTCCACGACCGATGTCCTTCTCATTTCCCCATCCGCGTGACATCGATGATCGAACCCCCAATCCTCACTCTTCATGCACCCCGTCGCTCACCAATCACAATATTCACCGCCCATTTGATGCTGTGATAGGACGCCACGCCGCTATTTCGCGGCGCTCCGCAGCACTCCGCGTGGGGATTGGCCAGTGGGTCAAAACTCAAAAGCTAGTTCCTCAATCCTTTGTTAAGGTTGCCTTCATACTTTAGCCTAGGTCAAGAGTCACATGTATGTTTGTCACAGACTTTGAGTTGGGAATGGATTGAGCCATTGGCGATCAGTTGCGCAGGGAAATTCAGAGGTCCGTCCTGGTTTGACTTTTGAAGGGCTTAGATCATCATGCGAGCGAGCATTTAACATATGGCGTTAGTTATTTACTTATTTCGCTTGAGGTCTGAAATAATATGTCATCAAATACCAACGGGCCGGCGGGATGGCCCGTGGAATGGCTTCTTCTCGTGTGGTCATGACTTGCAGCGGACGGCAAGGTGGGCCAGTGAGAGAGAGAATCGGAGCAAGGGCTGTGGAAGAGCAACGGGTGGAATCTATGCTGGAGAGTCGAATACGTGAGGGAATGGAGGCGGGAACTGGTTTTCGGCGTTGAAACTGGAGCGGAATCTCGAAGACTCAGAGACGGTCATAACCAGATCGTCGACAACTCGTTTACGGAATATATCTGACGATACTTCACGATCCATCTGCCCTACACTCCCGAGTCCAACCATGCCATGGTACGAAATATTAAGTGCCAGAAAGTACCAAACAACCCGATCTCTCAACCCCCCTTCCGACATCTCCCATATCATCCTATCCATCCGACCACCACGGCTCCTCGCGAGAAATACGAACACCATCTCGGACGACTCAGGTAAGGAGGTAGGAAGGGTGACATCTCGTCGCCAAATCTCCCCAGCCGTCATTCTTCCATTCACATCGCCGTGAAGCTCTTAGCCCGCCGTCCCATCCCAGCGCTCCTCGGCTGGCGCATGAATCCCCTCCTTCGCCATTAGAGTATCCGTAGCCACGAACACCTGCAGCATCCATGAACTCCGAACAAACTAAATAAATCAACCAAATCAACCCAACCGCATGAACCGAACCACTCCTTCAGATAAAGTGATCGACCTCAATGTAAATCACGGCAGATCAACATCCAGGAACGCCGACGGCATCACCCCAACGACAAGCAAGGCGTCTTTATTTATGTAACGCCAGCCGGGTCTCCCCCGTCGCCCGCATCTAGACCTTCTCAAAGATAGTGAAAGCCGCACTTCATGTACGGGACCGCGCCGTGGACACGGGTCCGCCGCTCTGTCCGCGACTTGCCGACGATGCCGCAGATGGTAGATTTAGAGGACCATGTGCTATAGGCTGGGCTTACGTAGTATTGACGAGGGTATAGTACCTACGCAGGCTACACTGGAGGGCTTCAGCTTGATGGGTAAGGCAATTTAGGTGAGGATGCGGAAGAATGCGGGGTCGGACAGGGGGATGCGATACTGTGCACAGGATGAGGCGATGGTGGAAGACGCTGGCGTTTCGGGTGGGCAGTGGCTTGGCGATATCAGACGTTTGTAGTTTGTACATGCTCACGATTGCAGTAGCTGAGGTTCTAGATAGATGGAGTAGAGGTCTGGAAAAGGGGTTGGGAACGCAGTACGTAGGCGACGCCGCGTTGATCAAGCAGGCGGATCGATATATCACCAGCATCAAGAAATCCAGCTAACATGAAGTCTTTGATATTCGAGTCCCATTGAGTATCCGTGGTAGTATTGTAACACACATACGCAACCCACGGCGACCAGTATCGCCCCCAGTTACGGAAAATCAGACATTATTAGATGGAGGTGCACACGAGCGTACCATATACCCGTGTGACCAAGGTGGGGATAACTCGACGGGGTCAAATCGTCTATTTACCACATGTACTCATGCCAGATCATGATACAAGCCGAGGGAATGTGGTGGCATCTAGCTGAGCGTGTGGAAACGAAGAGGAGGGGATCGTGTTCGCGCCTCACAGCCGCAACCTCTTGTTAGACTGCGCCAACTCAAGCGTGATCGTCCCCGCGCGTCCTTCAAGCTCCGTCTTCGACTCCACCTGGCTCACCACCGTATCCTCCACCGATCGCTTCTTGACGAGCTGCACGTTCGACGGCACGTCGCGCTTCGCCTGGGCGGTGACGCCGTTGTTCGCGAGCAGCTTGTCGTCGCCGTCGAGCGCGGTGCCCTGGACGACGTCCCTCAGCGAGGTCTGCTTCAGGTACTCCTTCATGGCGAGGGGGTCGGTGCGCAGCTCGGGCTTGGCGTCCATCAGATAGGCCATCAGGCCGGTGACGTGGGGGCAGGCCATGCTGGTGCCGTCGAGGGAGTTGACGTAGTTGTTCTGGCCGATCCACGAGGAGACGATGTCTTCGCCGGGGGCGTAAATGTCGTTGCAGGCGCCGGTGTTGGAGAACTTGGAGATCGTGTTGGTAATGTCGATGCTGCCGACGACGATGGCGGGGCCTTGGGAACCGCCAGAGGATCCGGGGGATGCGGTGCAGGAGTTGCCGGCTTCGTTGCCGGCGGCAACGGCCATGTGGATGCCAATTTCGCTGGCGGAGCGGATGGCGCGGTCGATACCGTCGTTGTCTGGAAATGGTGAGTTCATGTCGTTCGCTCCAGGAATTTACTGATACTTACGTCGGGCAAGACCCCAAGACATGCTCATGATGCTACCGACAAAGCCTTCCTCCTCCTTGCGTTTGTTGTGATTCTGAATCACCCAATCCATGCCCTTGAGCGTATCGGAGGTAGATCCGGATCCATCAGCCCCAAGCACCTTAACGGCCCAAATGTTGGCGCCAGATGCAACACCCAGCACATTTCCTGCGGCAGTGCCCGCAACGTGGGTGCCGTGGCCATCGCCGTCAGATGTATCGTTCTCGAATGAGAAGCCGGAGCGTGCTCGACCCCCGAAAGCGATGTGATCGGTGTAGACGCCAGTGTCGATGACGTAGATGTCGACGCCAGCTCCGAGCTCAGTGTTGTCAAACGAATACGTGAAATCGAGACCGGTGGGGTTCCCGGTCACCGTGTCCGCACTGGAGATGCGTTCCAGTCCCCATGGTGCGCCACCTCGTTGCGTGGCAAAGGTTGAGACGGACATGGCCTTCTCGACAATGGATACGTCGGTCATATTCAGAAGCGCGTCCAGGCAGTGATCTTCCATATTCGCCACGAACCCCCGGAAGGCCGTATTGTTGAACACGTATTTGACATCGTTATGATCCGAAGTCAATGCCAACCGTGCAAGAACATCGTGGATCACCGGCGGGGTGGGCTGGTCGTTGTCGAGGATGATGACGAATTCTTCTCCACCAGTTTGATGGGATTCTTCAGTTGATCGAGCAACTTGTCGAGAAGAGAGCGAGTTGGAGACATGAGGATGGAGAAGTGGTTTAGCCGCAGCCACAGCAGCCAAGCCGGTAACCAAAATGGAGGAGGTGAGTTTCATATTGAAGGGGAATATTCAAACTCGGAATAAAGAGTGTTCGACTCGGGTCGTTCAAAAAAATGAGGGAAAGACAGTATGTCTAAAGAGTCCGAGGGTGGCTTAGAGAGCGATTGATCTATGATTGACGGTGAGGAACTGTTCCAACACAAACAAACAATGGTGATGAAGGACGTGCTTCGGGAACTGACTGTGGGGTGTTATCAACTCGAAGGATCGTGTTGATGATTACAGTTCTGACTCGTGACAGTTATGACAGGAGGTTCCAAAGGTCCTGTCAATGTCCTTATGCCACTGGACAGTGATATAAACGACGGGCTCGTAAAATATGGGAGAACCAGCTCGATACCGGAAAGTTCAATAGGAAACCAAATAATAATTCACCCTCACGGGATTCACCAACGGGTCAGCAGCTTGCTGAGACTCCGCTATACTGAAATGCGAAAAGAGCGTACAGATAGGTACAACGAAAGGCTTTTAAATGACCCTGATAGCAATTAGGGAAGGACAGTTCAAACCGACAGAAGTTTTAAAAGATGGCACTTCTGAAGAGACACGAACGATTGAACAAAGATGAAGCATACACGGCATCACGACACACCCGCTAGTTAAAGGGAATTGGCAACGCATTGATCGAGGTGGGACGACGGAAACTAAGGCGGTCGATGAGAAGCGGGTCGTGTGGAACAGACCAACGACGTTGGCTTCGGGCCTGAAACCGCCATGACCGTGTGTCTCCGCGTCACCAAATCGCAGGTTTGGGTGATGGTTTGTTGGGCATTGGGAGACAAAGATACGAAACACCGCAGCCGGCGCAGAGGCCAAGGGGGGCGACGCATCCCTATTCCCACCGTAAACTTGTGGAAGATGTGCCTAGCAACCATGGGACCGATTGGCAAGGAGCAACGTCCAATCTGCCTGATACGTATTAAGTTCCCCAGCTAGGCGGCGGCTAGTGCCATGGACGCCAAACCGGGTAGCATTCGGGGCCTTTGGGGCTTTTTCAGACTTTCACAAGATGACCGATCGGGTAAGGGAGAGGGCGTGGAAGCGGAGGATAAGCGCAGGATAAAGGGGTGGCGCGACGTTTGAAGATGGGGGATGAGGATGCGCGTTAATGGGCGGATTAGCGGTTTCACGTCCCCGCAGTGGGAATGGTGCCACTGGACGCCGACTGGACACCGACTGGACACGGGGATTCCTCGGACAAGGATGGTTTGGAGTAGAGATGTTCGGTATTGGTTCCATCATCAATTGTGATCGGTGATTTGTGCGTGTCTGTGCGAACTGCGAGACGTGGGAAATGGGAAACGGGAATCAACTGGACAGTGATAGCGAACCAAACGGAGGCGGAACCCTCAGAAAAGGCTTGTCTCCGAAAATGGGTGGACGTCTGTCGTCTGGACAAGGGTCAAGGAGGACGGGGGATGTTGGGCAGATCCTGAGTCCAGAGTTCAGACCAGTCGACTGTCGAGCTTGTGATTAATATCGATGATGCTGGTGATGTGAAGTTTCCACTGAATTACCCTGGATCCAGGAACAAAGATTCTCGCATGAACTGCTCGTTTAAATGCTAATACAACCTTGACACTCTGGGATTCAAATACAGATTCCGTGGTCCTATCGCGCATCGTCTTTACAAGTTTGCATCCGATCTGCAATCTGCTCCCATGAGCGATCCCACTGCCGCTGTGTTGATCTCTATCAAACAGTGTCCAATATTCCAACATGTGGGACCGAATTCTACAGAATGTTGTTGAGTTGCTCTGCTGTCTTGTTGATCCCGATGGCTATGTACGTAGGCGGTGCAACTGCAACGGGAAAAGATGGGCGTGACTTGGCCCATTTCATCCCATACGGGGTACTCCGTACTGCACCACCAACTACCGACCCGTCACATCCTATCTGTGAATCTGTCGTCACCCCCAAAGGCCTAATCCTCACGGCTCGCCAAACGGCAAACACACGTTCTTATGATCATGGGGTCTTCAATTCATTATGATCTATGCTGCTGCCGTTGCCCCTGTGGAATACTCCGTCAGGAACTCGTCGTTATTCTCGAATTCCTCTCGAACCTTCAAAAATCATTAGTTTCCCACAGCCGATGGAATTCTTCTCGGGTGGTACTTACGATGTCCAATCCACCCACCAGCTCCCCATCAACCCACAATTGAGGGAAAGTCGGCCAGTCCGCGTACTCCTTGAGCCCCTGTCTGACGTCGTCGTCGGCCAAAATATTGAAGAACCCATATCGCACGTTTTTCTGCCTCAGTAGCGCCACCGTCTGTCTGCTGAACCCGCACTGTGGAGCGCTGGGCGTCCCTTTCATGAACAGCATCACCGGCGCCGCCTTCACCAGATCCTTGAGCCGTGCAAATAGTGCCTCCTTGTCTTGCTCACCAGTACTATCTATCGGTGCTGTCTCGTTTCCTCTGGCTCCTAGTGCTCCGTTCGTCGTGCTTCCCACATCTCCCAATGTCGTGTCCTCTGCCTTCTTCACCACCTGCTGCGCCGGTGGCAGTCGTTGGCCACCCGGTGCGCCACCCGGCGCCGCATGCCGCTCGACCGCTGCCCGCACCTTAGCCGCGTCGCTGCCGGATATCGTCTCGAGCCGTGCGCCGCCTCTCAGCAGCACGATGAACGGCACTGCCGTCACGTCGAACTGCTCGGAGACCTCGGGCACCTCTTCCGCGTTGATCGAGACGAAGCTGATGGCGGGCGGGCTCTGTGCGGGATAGGTGCTGGCGAGGGTGTCCAGGACGGTGGCCATCTGTTTGCAGGGCGCGGCCCATGGTGCGTGGAAGTAGACGACGAGGAGGGCGGTGGCCGGGACGGTGTTGGCGAAGGTTTGGAACCCGAGTTCGGAGGTGATCTCGGTGACTTTTGTGGGCTGGGGTCATGCGACGGTTAGTTTTCCATCTTAACGTCTACACAGGATGGATATGTACGCACTTCTGCCATGGTTTCGGGGGTTGGTAATCAGCTTGATGGCTCTGGTGACCGGGTTGACGGCGGGGAGGTGGCAGAAGGCGACGGGTGTACCTCTCGGATTGAGGTGCTTCAGGCTATGTCAATGTTTGGAGGCCGGTAGTCTCGCTTTTCTAAGCTATCGCAAGTGAATTGAGCAAAGATTCTCTAAGTTGTAAGACACAAATGGCGCAGTCGAGGCCTCGAACATCGAAGAGTCCGTGACGTGCTTTTCTGGCTTTTCATCACCACTCATCTTTAAGTGGGGCCTGATCATCTGATAAGATACCGATTTGGAAATTTGAGATTTGGCTCTGGGAGGTGAAATTTTGGATTGCAGACCATGTACGGCTTCAAGTGAACTTCAAGTCGGACTTTTACAAGAACCACTTCGCATATATCGCCGGCCAGGATGTTAAAAACAGTGTAAGGTCCAAACGAACGATTCAAATGAGAATCCCAAGCTGATATGTTATCTGCCATCCAGAAAACCCAAGACCGCTCGGTCCAAGAGGATCCTGGAGAAGAAACAACCGCAATTAGTCGAGAACCCGAAGACAACCCTCTTCCTCCGCGGCCAGAATGCAAGCCAGGTCGTCCAGCTCGCCCTCGCCGACCTAAACGCCCTCAAACGACCGTTGTCCATCCGATTCACCAAGAAGAACGATGGCATCCATCCGTTCGAGGACCCGTCGTCGCTCGAGTTCTTCTCTGAGAAGAACGATGCCGCGCTCCTCGTCTTCGGCTACCATAGCAAGAAGCGCCCGCATTGCTTGACATTCATCCGCTGTTTCAGCCACAAGGTGCTGGATATGCTGGAGCTGTACATCGATCCGGAGTCGTTCCGCACGCTGAACCAGTTCAAGAACGAGAAGTGCGCCGTGGGCGCGAAACCGCTGCTGTCCTTCTCGGGGACGCCGTTTGAGAGTCCGACCACCAATGCATACAGCGTCGCCAAGAGTCTGTTCGTGGATTTATTCCGCGGCCATGACGCCCCCAGCATCGATATCGAGGGGTTGCAGTACATGATCCATATCAGCGCGGAAGAAGAGGTGGAGGGCCAGCCGGCGCCGAAGATCCGGATGCGGGTCTACAAGCTCGTCACGAAGCGGAGTGGGGAGAAGACGCCGCTGGTCGAGCTGGAGGAGATGGGGCCACGGATCGACTTCCATGTTGGGAGGCATAAGCAAGCGGACGAATCAATCATGAAGGAGGCGTTGAAGAGGCCGAGGGCGCTCGAGGTGCGTATCTCTCTTCCTTTTCTATTGAAAGCATATCTGACAAGTCTATCTGTACAGGCCAGGACGAAGAAGAACATCGAAACAGATATCGTGGGAGACAAGGTCGGCCGGATCCATGTCGGCAAGCAAGACCTCACCCATCTGCAGACCCGAAAGATGAAGGGTCTGAAACGCGATCGGGGGGAGTCAACTGTGGACGCGACCGACCTCAAAGAACGCTCTGCAAGCCCGCCGCCAAAGAAATCTCGTGCCGAGACTTGAGATGTTCCGCGACTCTCACGATGCAAGCATATCCATCCACATGGGTTGTCGATACTAAATTCACCAAGGAGTCGTGTTGCAGGTCTCGACAAGTTATGGTGGAAAGAGGGGGCCAATCCCCCCGTTTCGTCGTCACTGTCATGAGCTGTTTTGTTGTGCCAGGGTGTTTTGGTAGAGGCGCTAGGAGCGGGAAAATCAGCGATAGGGTTATCGGCGAGGAGGATTAGGAAAACATACCAACAAGTTTCGCAGCAGGACGACAATGGTCATCTTGCCAATCGCGGGGATATATATCGAGGCGCGATCTTTGACGCCGGGCGCGAAGTTCTACGAGGCGTTAGTGTCAAGCGAAGGATGACAGGGAGAGCACCTAACCTTTTCGCTGGAGAAGTTGATGCAGACCGCGCCGTCTTTGATCAGCTCCAACGGCACCTTGAACTTGTCGCCAGGTACACCGCTAATGACCACATCACTCAGTGGAATGCAGTCCTTCATCGTCCATCCCGGTTTCTCCGTGACCTCGTGCCGTTTCTTCTTCAACCCTTGCCCACGATGAAACCCCAGCACATCGTTCACATCGACCGAGTACACATACGCTCCGTCGTTCGCCAGCAGCGCCGCCAGCGGTCGTCCGACCACTTCGGACCGGTTGATGACCGTAATCGTGCGCCCATGCAGCCGATTCCCATACGGCAAGATCGTATTGTAAATCTGCAGATACTCCAGCACCTTAATGACGGCCAACGGCGTGCACGGCAGGATGCTCTTCACCTTCCGCTCCTCGTCCAGGAACCGAATGTTCTGATACATGTTGAAGATATACGTGTGGCTCAGCCCCTCCACGTCCTTGTTCAGCCCCACGATCTGCTGCAGGTACCGATCGTGCTGGCTGCCATAGATCGGATAGTAAACAATGATCCCGTGGACTCCCGCGTCGGCGTTCGCCGCGATGAGGCTTTCCTCGAGGTCCTCGCGGTCGACTTCGCGCAGCTCGAACTCGAAGCCCAGCTCGCGGCAGTTGCGGCCCGTCCACTCGGCGTACACGCGCGCGGCCGGGTCCTCGCTGCTAAGGAATCCCACTAACTTCGGGGGTTGCGGCGGGTTGAGGGCTTGAAGACTCTGGATTACCTCCTCCTGGAGCTTCTTCGACATCGTGTTGGCCAAGAGGACCTTGCATTGGGATTTTGGCTCCGGCTTAGGTTCCATCTTAATCGTCTTCTAACTAATGGTTCTTTGCTCTTCTTTGTTTCTCAATGCCGTCGTCAATGCCCTTTCGACAACGGTCAGATTCCTTATCAAATTTTTCGATCGGCCGGAGGAACGCGGTATATAAATTCGAGCAATTCAGGCCCTGGCTCCGATGACGGCTGGCATTTAATTTTCTTGCTTGATGCATCCATCCCACAGAGATCCCCCGCGCTAAGCCTGTTGAGGGGTGAGTCATTCCAGAAAGTGTAATCAGGACACTGCAATTGGATAATAAATTTCACTATCAATATATGCACCTTCCCGCCAAAATGTGACGACATTCGCCAGGGAAGGGATCTGACTTTGAATTTGACCGTTGACGCTGTGCTTCTACTTCCGTACAACCGCATCTGATATTCCTGCATAAGATATCTAGTGGTGCGATAGTTGTCCAACAAAGGGTTTACTCCCCATGATGTGTCCAATCTAATACATTCAATCAGTGAGATGCGTGACAATTGTTGTCGCAAGCGCTCAGGGTTGACCGAACTTTTCATATTTCAAAGACAATCAACGAACAACCGATATCTCCGGGTTAGACCAGCCATATAATTGCTTGGATGGACCCCTCCCATACCATGTCGGACATCCGGCTTTACTTAGTAGAGCACGAGAAAAGCAGAAAGGAGGCGTCCCAGATCGCGATCAGAACCGCAGAGAGTTAGCCTTACATTGTCGAGTTGCATGAAGAGATCGCTGAGTACTGTGGCAGGGTTACAATCCAAGGAACTCAAATTATTGGACCTTATCGAGGCTCTAGGAGAGTTCCTCAACGATAATGATCCGTCCGTTAGGGCAAAAGGTATACTACACTCCATCCTCAACTTCTGGATAACCCCGCTGATTTGGCTTGGATAGCGCTCGCATATCTGGCGGACGTGTTGGAATCGGTGCCCCGTGGTACCGTGTCTCGCCAGCAAAGTACGTTGTGAGATTTTTAGGACCGTCGCTTTCCCCGGTCTTATCGCGTTGGCGGAAGTCACGGAAAGAGGAACGAATACTGACCTTTTGCTTTATCAGGAGAACTGCTCGTACATTTTCTCACGACTCGGATTAACGGTGATGCTGAAGGGCTCGGCGCTGCCGCCTGCGCGAATGCGCTCATGAAGATAGAAGAGTTTGGGAAATGGGACGCGGAAAGAGCTGCGGAGTGCATGCAGACCATCATCCAATCCCTTCATCCGTTACGGCAGATCAGACAGCAGTCAGAGCGATACGCGGTTCTGAAATTGATAAACCTACTAATAGCAGAGTACCGGGAAGCGATTCACGGCCTCCATCAAGCGTCCTCGGACTTCATGCCAACGTTCATCTCGCTGTTCGAGGGAGAAAAGGATCCTAGGAACCTTATGATCGTGTTTTCGATCCTCAATGTGCCCTTCAGTGAATGGGAGCTGGGAGCTTATGCACAGGACGGGTTCGAAGCGGTATTCAACTACTTCCCCATTACCTTCCGTCCCCCTCCAGATGATCCTTACGGCATAACCGCGCAAGATCTGAAAGACAGACTTCGCGACTGCATAGCCGCATGCGGGAGCTTTGCGCCCTATTCCTTCCCAGCGCTGCTCGATAAGTTGGATTCGTCATCGCTGAATACTAAGCGAGACACTCTTGCAGCGCTCCATAGCTGCATCTCCAACTACGGAACCAGGACCGTGTCCCTCTATGCCGTCACGCTCTGGGATGCCCTCAAATTCGAGATTCTTAGCGTCCAGGAAGAAGACCTGGCAGATAAGGCTCTGGATGTCATATCCGAGATCGGAGCACAGTTATCCGTCGGACGTCCGCAACTCGTTGCATATCTCCGGCCAATATCGAAAGAATGCTCCGAGCACCTCGAGGACGCGCCGACGAAGCAATCGAAAGCAGCCGGACAGATCCTGGAGGCCGTCGCCTCAAGAACGCGAGAATGCGCAAATTTACTGGTGGCCCACGTCGTTCCGCATCTCGTTGCGCTTTTCGAAGGCGCCGATTCGCTCGCAAAGCGCCGAAGTCTGCTGGAAGTCCTGGTGCAACTGCTGAAGGCATCCGTCAAAGTGTTTGGTGATTGGGTAACCATCGCCGGAAGGGGCGTGGCAGACACGCAAGAGGATACGTACAACGCCTTTTCCGAGCACAAAGACATTCTTGTCACATTGCTTGTGGGTGGACAATTGAGCGTCCCTGCGAATGAAGTGGCATTTAAGAAGATTTGCCTGGAGGGATTAGTACAGCTTTGCATGTGTCGAAATCTCCTCCAGGACCAAGAGATTTCCACCCTCATCCGACAGTGTTTAGACCTCATCCTTGATGATTACGAAGGCAAAGTCGAGCTTCGTGGGCCCGCGATCCAAGCGTTAGTCGACATTGCTCATCAGAAACCTCACCTCATCATAGACCACGCCTTCCCTCGTTTCCTTTCCCTTATACCCGACAATGATACGGCCGGCGACCTTGGATACGTTCCTGTGTTGGACGCGTTCTCGAACTTGGCTCAAGAAGCCAAAGTCTTCGATCTTGTCATCTTACGGCTCCGGAACAAATTAGACGCCGCCATCAGAGAGCAATCTTCTTCGACCTTCCTCTGTGCGTTGTTGTCAGCGCTGTTATATGCGCTCACCCACACATCCGCTTCTCTTGACGGTACTGATGAGGACTGTCCTCTCTATGGGCAACTGATTTTCCCGTTACTGCAACGGGTAGGCGACGGTAGCAACCAGAGCAACTTCGCCAACAACAGAGTTTACGAGTTGGTCGGCCAGCTCTGCAACGTTGTGCTGCGCCGACAAACGTCGGCTTTCCAGAAGAAACACCTCATCGAAATCTACAACCCTGTGGATGCCTTTGGAGAGTCATCAGAGAATGTCGATGCCAGTGGCACCCTGCTAAATCCCCTCAAGCTCCTCGCATCCTCGTATATTGTCGCTGCCCTTCAGCGAGACGTCGTACCAATCCAAGATCTGAGAAAGCATCTTTCGACCCTTTCCGACATCGCCACAGCTGACTCTACCAGTGTCGAAGTACGTCGAGCAAGTCTGCGACAGGTCTCTCTAATCCTAAACAAATTCCTGTCGCCTGATAATGCGGAATTTGCGGTGGACCTCTTGTGCAGTAAACCGATCGGCGACTTCGCTGCCTGCGCGCATAAAAAGGACTCCGCGCGACTCATCCTGGCGTCTGTCAAGGCTCTTCTCCTCCGGAACGAACGGAAGCTTATCCCCATCCTACCTGAGCTGCGCAAGCTGTTGTTGGATCCAGAGTACGGTCGCCCGGTAGCACGAGGCTTTGCCACGATTCTCCAATCCGACGATTTCCTAACCAAAGAGAACCATTGCAAAATCTCCCCGCTCTACCGCCAGAAAGCCTTCTCCCTCATTGTCCCTCCACTGACGACGTCCTTCAAAGAAGAGTCCGACGCTATCAAGCGGAACTACCTTGTCGCGATCATGAGCATTGTCAAGTCCCTTCCCTACTCCGTGATCGAATCCGACCTCCCCTCTCTCCTCCCGCTCATCCTCCAGATGCTCGACCTCGCGGACGAAGAAGCCACCAAAGTCGCCGCAGTCGAGACGCTGGGGTTGATCTTAACCGAGAACTCCGCGGCGATGGCGAGCTATCTGAGCAGTCTGATCCCGCGGCTCCTCAAGGCCGCGTCGTCCAAGTCGAACTCCGGCGCCGTGCGGGAGACATCACTGCGATGCCTTGCGAACATCGCGGCTGCGTTCTCGGTCGATGCGGTCATTCCGTTCCGGAAGTCGGTGATTAAAGAGCTGACTAGGCCGCTGGATGATAGTAGGCGGGCGGTGCGAGCCGCTGCGGTGAAGTGTCGCACTAAGTGGATTGAGCTCGATGAGCCGAAGGATGGTGATATTTCCGAGTGATGTGGTCCTGGTCTTTCGGTTGTAGATATTCGGAAGTTGAGACAGGCTTAGATGTGGTCCTCTCTACTGATTGAGGTCAAACTAGAACTACAATCTAATGAGCTCTTATGCCTATATCTACGTTGTCGACGAATTGAGGCCTGGGACTACAGATAGGCTTGGTACTGGTCATTTTCGGCCCTTGTATCAGCGCTCTACAAGTTTTGGAATAAGATACTCCTGCCCGTAGCGGAGTGTATCCATGACCGTTGGAAGAATTCTTCACCATCAAAGCGAAATGGCAGATGGAGCAATAACGTTTCGGGATCGTACATAACCGTATCTCGCCAATAGATTTTCCATAATATTCAACCGGCCGTGACTCCTCGAGGTATATTCCATAGGTATATACTAACCCTATTCAGCCCCGATAAACTTTTTCCCCCCGCCGATCAATCGCTTGCCACCAACCCACCCCTAACCTGGACGCAATCCGGTGTAAGTGAGCAGAGTTCTATCCCATCCATCATAGCCCATAAACGTCATAACCCAAACCCTCCACTCAATCCCACGCTTCATCTCCCCCCTTATTCAAACCCCAAACCCCCACGAAACACCGCCCCAGGAAACATCTTCTCCGTCACTGCCTTCGTCTGCTCGTCTCCCGCCTGCGCATTCGTCCGCATAAACTCCGGAACTGAACTCGCCTGGACGCCGGAAGTTGTAGTGGTTGGCGCGCCGGTGGTCGAACTGTCGGCGCCGAGGATGCCGGATGAGAGATCCATGGTGCCGGGCCAGAAGTTGGAGGAGGAGTCGAGGGGGGGGTTTTGGAGGATGGTATCCCATTGGTCCTGGGGTGGGGATAGGGTTAGCACGGGCAGAAACATATTTACACATTGGAAGGCAGTGTGGTGGTAAGAAAAAAGCAGAAGGGAGGGGAGGTGTCTGTGAAGAAAGTAAAAGACAAGGAAAAGGACAAGGAAAAGGAAAGGGAAGAGGAAAGGAAGAGGAAAAAGGGGAAGGATCGGGGGAAGCTTACCCAGTTCAGATTCGCGGACGGCACTTCCATCCCCGGAAACCCACTCCCAATACTAGGCCCAAACAGCGACGAAAACGGATTCGTCACGCCCACCGCCTCCGGCGCCGCCATCCCTCCAGCTGGGCCCATCGTCCCTGTATACGCTGCCATCCCCGCCGGGCCATCGAACGGCGGCTGTTGCTGAGCATAGAACGTATTGCCTGAATTCGCTGCCAGCCCTCCGGCGCTCAGCATTCCCAGCGTCATCGCGGCCGACTGGTCGGGGGACATCTTCGCATCTACGCTAGACGGCAAGCCCGTGGTCGCGAACCCGGCTCCCGCCGACGAGGTGAGTTCGGCACCGTAAGTCGCAGCGCAGTGGGTTTTCAGCTTCGGAATGGTGGCGGAGAGAGTATTGTAGGCTTTGTAGGCCTCGACGCTGCGATCTTTCAGGGAGTCCCAGGTGACGAGGCTCTGCTCGAGGGCGGTCATCAGCGCGCAACTCTCCTTGGGGGGGTTTTCGAGCGGCAGGCGGATCCCGGCGGCGCACTCGGCTTCGGAAGTGTGGTAGAGGTCGAGGGCGACGGTCATGGCGGCCATGAGGAACTCGTTCATGGTGAGCGAGGAGATGAACCAGGTGACGCTGGCGAGGCGGCCGCCTGGGTGGGTTTCCTGCTGGAGGACGGCCTGGTGCTTGAGGAGGTCGAGGGAGGCGTCGACGCAGACGCGGCGGGAGTGGGCGAAGCGCGGGTTGCTGCGGGCGGCGCGCATGTAGCGGCGGTGGAGAACGCAGAGGCAGCGGAGGACGAGGAAGTCGAGCGAGCAGCGCTGCATGATGAGGGAGGAGGGGTCGCGGCCGGACTCGGCGATGGGGCGGGCGACGAGGTGTGGGGGGATGGAGGCTTTGAGCTCGCGGACGCGTTGGTCGAGTTTCATGATTTCTTCGTAGGCGGGGGTATTCAGGGTTTGCACGACGTCGACGATGGTGCCGAAGAGGGCGACTAAACGGGTTTTCTGGATCATGTAGGTTGCCGGGGTTGCCTCTCGCATCGGTCGTCCAATCGGCAATGTTTTCATCTGCTCGTCAAGCTCGTCGTCATACACATTCAGTGGCAGCTCGGTATTGGTGTCGGATGACCTCACGATCGGCGGCAGGCCGGCTTGATTGGAGAATAACAAGTCCATGTTCCGGATTACCGCCCATACTCTCCTTCGCATCTCGCCTTGGAAGGGGGTGACGTTTGGGTACGGAGCCGGATCGCGATGGTATCCCATTCGCATCGCTAGGCGCACCAGGATGCTTACCGTAACCAGGATGCCGGGCTCCGCATCATTGCTTCGTGAATGCTCCGCGTGGACGTGGAGGACCAGTGTTTCCAGCATATGGGTGATGGGCTGCGTGATGTCGGAAAACACCAAGCACTGCGCCGTCAGCCTGCGATACTCATTGGACATATTCCATGACCGGCCACGATACTCCGGGGGTTCATCACCTGCTCGGTGGTATGATTGAAGGGCAATGGACATCATGGCAAACACCAGTCCGAGCCAGATGACCGGAGTTTCATTCGGATTCGCCCAGTACTGGTCGTATTGCCTTTGGAATGTCGGTCCATGGATGATGTCTGGTCTCGCATTAGCAAACGTTGTCTGAACTGTGCAGCTGAACTTACGCAATGCAGGATCGTATGTATTGAAGTATCGGGTGACTAGTAGATCCGCGGTCGGCTTCTGCGGGAAAGCACTCAAAATCTCAGCTTTGCTGCTTGGTTTTGGGGTCCCTAAAAGAGGAACACTCTCAAAACGATCATCGGTCTGATTGGTCGCTTTGATCTTTCGGACTTGTTCCTCATATTGTTTCTTGTGGTCGTTAAAATAGTTCTTGACTTCGGCGATCTGGATTCCGTCAGATATATTCGATTGTTTTCCTACGGATGCGACTTACCTCTCCGAGTATCGCATACCAGTGCGATTCCGAAGCAAATACCGCCTTATCTTTATCAATCTTCATCATCCCGATCGAATGGCCGACTTGATCCACCTCGTTTTCCTCCCCTTCCTGCTCCACGGCTACCATTTCACTATTCTCTAGGTCACCCTGCGCATCCTGCGAGCTGCCACTGATACTTTCCGATATTGCGGCGTGCGCTGCGGTCGAACCTGCGGATTGCGTGCCATTGGTCATAAGCGATAATACCAAGCCTTCCAGTCGGTCAATACGGCTTTGCATCTCGTCAGGAGAACCGGAAGAGGCATTGCTTGATGAGGTCTTCTTACGGACGCCAGGGTTAGCGTAGGTGCAAGATCCGAGATCTCCACGCTTGGTGCAGTTATCACAGGGATGGGCGCGGTTACATTTGAGTCTGGAGGGTGCACCATCAGCTTCGAGCTCATGACCGTGAGGGGTTCGGGAGACCGCAGACGGTGAGGGGACTTGCTTACTTTCTGTTCCTGCATGGCGCACAAGATAGAGGGATCCGGTTCCGTTTTCTGACGACTCGGAACTGAGCGTCTGGGGATTGTCCGGTGCTTGAAGGGGTGGTGGAAGGCGGTGTCGGCGCCATTTCGAGCTTCCGTACTCCCTCGAATGAATGGAGAGAGCAGAATCTTGTCTTTAGACTAAATATGTATTCGACGTGCCCGTATTGTGTCCGCGCACTAATCGGTATACGCGTATGCCCCGGTCTTCGGTACAATCCAGCCTTGTGGACGGCTTGGATGGTGTTTCAGGGTTGGAATAAGTAGTGTGGCGCACTTCGCCGTCTGCAGGTGCCCGGTACGTTCAATATCGGTGGACTCGCCGAAACTTAGTCGCAACTTGCAAGGGAAGTTCTTTTAAGGAGCAAGATGCTGCTGATTTTGTCTATTGTACTTGATCTGCTTTCGTTCCTATTGTGGGTCGTTCTCGGTGATAGCCCTCCGACTGGTTTCTGGTCGGGTGGGTGATGGATGTCTCTCAGAGCTCGCTCTCCCGAACAAATCGATCGATCTCTCGGAGGAAAGCGGAATATCTGGAACGGCTATAGCTTTAGCATAAACGTACAAAACACCGCGTATTCACCAGCAGCGACGAGAAATCCTCAGATGTTGGCGCGAAGGGTCCGGAGTTAAGAATCGAGGATGATTTACCTTGGGCTGGAGTTGGAGCGCAGAACAATAGAGTCGCGACAGCGGAAAGGGGCGCAAGAGAGACGACAATAGAGGAAGGTGAATATGCGCCGAATGAAGGGAGTAGATGTGAGAGAGGAAGATGGTATCAAGGTACGTACGTACTTGAATCTCAGTGCTTGTCCCGTCTATCAGATCGTCTGCCCTATGACTAGCACAGACCGCGGCCCCTCTGTTCTCCCTCTTCCTCCACACTTCATCTCTCATCTCTCCCGTTTCTCTCGTTGTACCAACACCTGATTGCATCACCATCTCTTCCACAATTCCACGGTTCCACTTATTGGTTTAGATGATTTATGACTCATCGATAAAACCATCAGCCCGGCCACGAGTCGAGGGAATTCTTGTTGGGGCACCGGGGCATCTTTCTATCTTCTCATCCTCGGACCATACCTCTTATCTCCGAGAGGCCATCAGGAACTCCACGACGGACGAGCGTCCGGAAGGAGAATGTCGGAGTTATCTAGTATGGTAATATATTCATTGGGCCATCGCCATTGCTGACGTATCGAACATGTGGATAGCGACGTCGAAATACCATGATCGTCCTAACCGACTTCATCGATCAGCACGGTAACGTTGGATTGACTATGTCACACTCAGCTATCAGTCTGCCTCATCATCATGTTCTTTGTACTCGCGCTGCCTTTCCCTTTCCGTAGTCTAGCAAGTCACTTTCCTTTCAAGTGAGAGCATTCTCTCTTCAATAGTTTTCTTTGTCTCGTGGAGTCTTAACGCCTCGTAAGTCATGTCTCTGATGGTCCAATCTTCCATAATACCCGTTCTATCACCAAGCTGTGGAATCAGCTACAATGCACGCCAGTTACAATCCGTATGGGGAGTATCGCGGGAGCCCTGAGCAGCTAGATTTCAATGGTCGTTCTGCGATATCAAGCACCCCTAGCGCCGCCCTTCCGTTCCAGGCATTTGCCAAACGGACGGCACCGGTTCGAGGCCATGCGAAACGAATATCACGGAACATCCCTCGAGATCGAGCGTCGAAGCTCCTGATGACCCATCGCATCAAACGTCCGTCAAGCGTGTACAGTTTTTCGGAGGATCGGTTGGATGATGAGTATGAGGATTTGGAGCCGGGCAAACGTCTTGACCACAGTCGACGAACGAGCTATCGATCGTCCAACGCCAGTACACCGCAGCTCCAGCGTGTCAAATACCCCACGTCCTTGCAACTACGCGTATATGATCTACTTCTTCCTGACACTTCGCCGAGTGTGGGATCCACCCCAGAATGGGCGTCACACCGATCTGGTGAGTCTCTAGTGGATGTCTCGCACGCCCGCATGAGTGAAAGAAGCAATGTTTGGGCTGCATTGCCTGCAGAACCCTCGTCTCCGCCAACGGTGTCGTATCCAGAGCTGCCCGGACGTCGTTCGATACCATATAAAGCTCATCATCTCCCGTATCATTCATCACCAACCCTTGCGCCACCTCCTTCGCTTTTCATTCCTCCCGCAGGACAACAGGGGTTCAACGACTCCCTACCATCCCCTCACTACATAGCGTCTAGTCCCACTGAGACATCATCACTAGGGTCGGTGAACAGGGGACCTAGTGAGAAGGCAATAGCTGCTCTTGGTATTCTAGAAGACAATCCAGCAGAGGCACTGCGGGGTCGACACCGAGCATTGTTCCGCAACGTACAACCTCGTTCACGGGATTACTCGCATTATATGCCGGGCCGCAAACCTGCTTCTTCGGGTCGTTCACCTAGTAGTCCGCTCGCGAGATATAGCGCGGGGTCCGTCAGTGCACCCGAGAGTCCAGGGAGATATAATCCACCGTTCGGAAACGATGGGGGCGAGGATGAGACGGAGGAAGGTGAAGACGAAGGTTCTGATGAGTACCATAGACAGCTCGTTGAACAGTATCGCGACATAGCAGCCCACCATCCCGGGAGCACGAGCTACGAAGAGTTTGGCTCCAATCACGAGGACGACGATCATGACGATGATGGCCAACAAGTTCGACTGGTACCACCATCACCCCTCTGGAGCCGGAAGAACAGCAAGGCGCACAGGATACTTGGTGCTATAGTAATAAGAGACGACACACCACCGACTCCGAGCAAGAAATCCAACGAAAGTGAACCACGTCCTCGCCGACGTCGCCCTCTGTCCGCCGCTCCCCTCAAGATGGTTCTCCCCCGGCAAGTCAGAAGGAACCAAACCGAAAAAGACCGATATGTCCGTTCCCGCTCGCCACCCCCCTCCGGACGACGAGACCGCGAGGAAGGTGGGACAGATCCCCGCCTTCGAAACGCCGGCTACGCCCCCAAATCTTATCGCTCATCCGCCTACTACACCCGCACAAAACCGCCCACCTCGCATCCGAAAGGCAAGAAATCCAAGAAGCAACCCATCAACGAGCCGCCGCTCCCCCTCCATCTCCCCTCCAAAGTCGCTGCCGCCCGCCACAACTCCAAAGCCCACCTCGCTAAGATGGTCCGCATCATCGGCGGCGACCACACTGAGCGGAAACCCTCCGACGCCCCCAGCCACTCCATGTCTATGTTCTCCGACGCCTCTGCCTCCCAGAGCCTCTCGTGGTACAGCGACGGCGGCCGCACCGACCCGCTCTGGCGCTCCACCGCCCGCCCCGGCGCCGCCGACGACCACATCCCCTACCCCCAGACCATGGAGCGCCTCCCGCACCTCCGTTTCCCCTCCGCGACATCCGCACCTCCCTCGCCCACCAGCGACGTCTCCCCAACCGCCATGCGCAAGCCCTCTTCCGCCTCGCACGTCCTCCATAACGTCCTCGGACGCCACCTCTCCATGTCCTCCTGGTGCATGTCCAAGCGGCACGGAAGCCCCCAACCCCGCGCGAAGTCCCAGCAACCAACCGCATTCGACAAACATTCAGTGCGCCACCACCGCGCGCACCGCGTCCGTAGCACGCCGCACGAGACGGGGAGCGACTCGCTGACGGTCCCCGCGAAACGCGACTCGTTCGTCCACCTGCTCCGGCCATCGATGGGGGCGTTGGGCGGCGGGAGAGGGCTGTTTCGGAATGTGAATGTGTTTGAGGCGCGGCGGGAGGCGGCGGCGGAGAGGCGGAGGGTGAAGTTGAAGCGGAGTATACGGGTGGTGGGGAACGTGGATCCGAATGCGGTGGAGGTATTGAATCGACGGAGAACGCATGCGGGGGTGGGGGAAAGAAGAGGAGGCGAGGCGCAGGGGGTGGTGAAAGGGGGGATGTTGAATGGGTATGCGGTTCGGAAGGAGAGGTTTGGGGAGAGTGGGTGGTTGTGAGGGAGGGGTGGATAGGGAAACTCTGCTCTACTGCTGGGTGACGGAAGATATCGGGGATGATATCTATCTAATGTGTCAAGAGACGGAGGGCGATGTAGAATGAGTAGAGCACACTAGCGTTGCCATGATACATAGGAGTACAGGTGATGGAAGACATAGCACTCACTCGTGCATACAGTGTAGAGCAAAAGGAGAACGACGTAGGCATGGTGATGGTGATGTCCAGCAAAAGAGCAAAAATATAAGCCTCGAGGCCCTGGGAAACCCCCTGAGGTTTTCCCAACGTACTCCCGATACTTCATTTTGACCGGTGGACTGTGAAACGAGTGGTGTTATAACCACTACACTACAGCCAGATTATCTATTTCCGCTGAAATGATTTGTGTAAACTGGGTATATAAATTCCATCGACAATTCACCTACCCATTGTGAAATTCTGCTCCCCAGACATCAAATCCACTTCACTTATTCTTTGGGCTTAATGTAATACATCACCGAATCCTGGCTCCATCGCCTCATCACGAATCACAATTTATCACGTAAATCCCCTCGTCCATTCATTCAACCATTCCATTCTCTATATAAGTAACCGAGCGCACAGCTTAGTTTCCTCGACTGCCGCTCACCAAGGTATCAACAACGCCTATCATGCGTCTCCGGTCCCTCTTCCATACCACTATTCAGACAACGCCGCATGACGCACGCGACAAGTACACATTACATTCGCGGGAAGCAATGCGGTTGGTATCGGTATCGCAACCGAGAAAAGGCGAGTAAGCGCGAGGGCGGTACATAAGAAAAGGGGGCATTCGTGTGTGCATGTGGGTCTAGACAGCGGCGTTGGTGGATGATGTCGCTTGAAAAATCCCTCCTTCCCATGAAGAGTGGAAAGTGGAAGGTCGATGAAATGTAGCCGAAGCCAAAAAAAAACAAAGAACCATGCGGTATTGCGGAAGGTGATACCACACTGGGGTTGAAAAATTCCGTTTTCAGGAAAGAAAACACACGTATGTGCGTCGTAGAAAATGCAATAAAAAGATGCCGCTGTAAGAGATGTGCAACCACGCCGTGTCCGTCCTACCCAGGTCATACATGCCCATCAGATCCCGATAAACGCCATCCATACATTCCCTCTAATCTCTACCCATCACAACCTCCCCTTCCCGACCCCCACACTCCCAAACAGATGCTCCGGCGGGATGCGCGCGACGTTGTGCGCGCGGTCGACGCCGGTGGGCGCAGGCAGGTAGCCGTCGCGGTGGCGGCGGTAGCGTTCGGCGAGGAGGCCGGCGACAACGAGGAGGAAGAGGAGGACAAGGGCGATGGCGAGGGCGATGAGGACAACGAAGCCGGTGGCGAGGTGATGGGCTGGAAATCACGGATGTTAGCTTGAGATTTGAGGGAAAGATGGGGGAGGAGGGGAACATACCACTAGACATGAAGAAATTCCCGGGTCGTTCCACGAACGCCGCGCTGATACTCCCTCCATCATCACCACCCCCGACCAACAAATACGGCACCCACCCCGTCCCATTAAACACCGCTGCCCCCACGCTCCCGAACCCGTCTACTTCTATCTTCCCCATCACCAACAGCGCGCGATTCTGCTCCACCAGCGCACTATCTCCGTGCTTCGCGCTCGTCGTGAACACCTGGAGGCTGCGGATCTCCGAGTCGGCACCGAGCCCCGCGCCGAAGCCGAATTCCGTCCACTGAGCACCATCGAATTTCGCGAGGTAGGGGGTACCCGAGGATTTGCTGCCAGAGATGTAGAGTTGGGCGCCGTCGGGAGTGGCGGCGCAGAGGGCGGAGACGGGGCCAGGGGGAGCGGTGGCGAAAGGGGCGAAGGCGCGGGCGTCGGCGTCGAAGAGGGAGAGGGAGGAAGAGACGCCAGCGACGGCGAAATCGCCGGCGACGAGGAGTTTGGCGGGGGAGAGCCAGAGGAGGGCATTGACGGAGCCGGCGAGGCCGTTGGACGGGGAGGACCACTGGGCGCGGTCGGCGTTGAAGATGCAGAGGGCGGGGCAGGTGAAGGCACCGGCGGAGGCGAAGGCGCCGCCGATGTAGATGTCGGCGGAGGACGGGTGGGGGGCGATGGCGTGGACGGCGGGGGAGGGGCCGGTGAGGGCGGGAGGTTGGGTGGGGAGGAGGGAGGCGGTGAGGAGGTCGTAGAGGAGGAGGGCGGAAAGGGGGGTGGTGGGGTCGGAGGGGTCGGGGGCAGTGAGGGCGCCGCCGGCGAAGAGGGTGGTGCGGTGGGTGGCGAGGGCGAGGATGGTGGATTCGGGGGAGAGGGAAGGAATGCCGGAAAGGGCGTCGTCGTTGGAGCCGTTGAGGAAGAGGAGGTTGTGGATGGGGGAGGAGGGGTCGGGGCCTGAGGCGGAGAAGTGGCCGCCGAGGATGGTGATGTTTAGTCCGTTTTCATTATACATTAGGCCGGTCACGGCGCCGGTGGCGTTCGAAGGTGTATCCTGTCGCTTTTGGATCGACGAGGGCGTAGACGGCTGGACCTTGAAAGGAAGCTTCTGCAACGACGGACGTTCTCCGCTGATTAATCCAACCGCACCCGTCACGCCAAGCGATTGCGAGGAGACCCCGCCAGCATAGAGAGGAGCAGATCCCGGGACGTCAGTTCGTGCGGTGACGATGCCACTGATCGACGGGAGCGCAACATCGAGGTTGACCGCCCAGTTATCGCGCGACGGGACCCAGATCGCCATGTTGTCCACGGCGGTCGCGCTGTTGTTCCCGAACGCAAGCACCTCGGTGAACTTCCCGCTCACCGCGATCGCAGGCTCGGGGGTGTCGGCGGTGACGTTGATGCTGAACGGGACGAGGAACTCGACCGCGCCGTTGACGCCGGCTCCGAGCGGTTGCCATCTTTTGTCGGGGACAGAGTAGGTCGCGACATTGTTCAGGCCTTGGGCGGATTTGTCCCGTGTGTTGTTGAAGGCCCCGCCAATGTAGAGGGTCGATCCGTCTTGGGTCATCGTGCGTACGGCGCCGTTCAACCCGTCTCCGGAGAGCGACACGACGTCCGAGCCGCCAATGGAGAAGATGTGGCTAAAGTTCTGCGAGGAGAAATTGCCTGCGACGAACGTCGTTTGTCCTTGGACGGCAAGGGCGTTGACTTGCGCGCGGTCGCCCATCTCCAATCCCGCGCGATTGATGTCCGATCGGGAGAAGTCGGTTTCGACGGTGGTGACGCTGGGATTGTATTCATAGATCCCGTTCAATCCACCACCGGAGGAGACCATCTCGAACCGTACGCGCTGAGCGACGACGTTGAGGGGCCCTTTTTGGCCGGGACTCGGTCGAAGGGTGACGGTAGGACGGAAGCCGCTGCTGGAGGCGTCGACGTAACCGTAATACACGCGATCGTATTTGTCGAAGCTGTTGGTCTGGTGGATTTCAGTAGAAATGGGAGGATCCGAGCCGACGGTGCCGCTGATCATGACACGGCCTCGCGTGGCACAGGTGCTGTCCTGCAGACAGCCGGGGGTGTAGACAGTCACTGAGTAGTTCCCCGAATGCTGGATGTCCGGTTGGAATTCCACGGTCAGGGCGTCCTGATCCACGTTCCCACCTACATTTGCGGCCAGATATTGGGAATTGGTTAGGCCGGATGGTGCGATGGCCCAGGGACCGGTGCTCGTCGCTTCGGGGCGTGTCGAACTGCCTCCACACGTCGGTTGGTTGAAGTCGTTGATGGCATACGAATAGATGTCGTCCTGGAATATCTCGATGCCGCTCAGGCCTGCACCGTCACCATACCAGTCGGAGATATCGATGCGGACGGCGTCCATGCCGACGCTGTTCACGAAGCTAAAATCCTGGAAGGTCGAGTTCTTCTCCGGGAGTGGACATTGCGCGTCGCAGAATTTCTTTTGTCCGGACGGGTCGGTATATGTCAAGTTCATGATCCCGTTGATCGGCATCGCGGTTAATCGCCATGTTTTCGTCCCTCGATTCGGCTGCACCGTGTTATACAGACGTAGCTTGGTCGGCAGGAAGCCAAACCCAAACTTCGCCTGCCAAAATCCGGGGCTCCGATCGGGAAGCAGCCATGTATTCCCGGGCCCATCTTGATTTCCGGTCTTGCACACAATATTTTTTGGGTCGCCGAATCCTGCTGCACCCGATGACCGACTCGCCGTAATCTCCGCCGACGTGATCGCAACCGAGTGCGAATCCTTCGTCTTCGGCGCCGACGAGTTCCCCAGCCCCGTAAACGACCCCCCGAACACGATATTCCCATTCGGCGCTTTCGTGATCGCGGTCACCGGTCCATTGAATCCCTGAAACGGCAGGTTCGTCCATTCGTCGGTCCACGCGATCGCGTTCGTCGAGTTCTCGCCCGTGAACATCCCACCGACATATACCGTGCTCGACTCCCGATCGCAGTAGACGCTCGATACCCGTCCCGAGAGGCCGGGAAGTGCGGTGACTTTGCCGGAGGTCGCGTTGAACAGCGCAACGCCCTGCGCCTCTACGCCGCCGAGGCTAGTGAAATTCCCGCCGACGACCACGCCGTGGAAGATGCCGTCCTTCGAGACGAACGGGCAGATGGTCTGGATGTATGCATCGGCGTTGGCGACGCTCGCGAACGCGCCATTGGGAAACTGGGCGAGCAGGGACTGGGTCCCATTGAGGTTGGCGTCCTGCGACTGACCGAGGTATTCGTAGAGTGAGACGCCATCAAAATCACCGGCGAAGGCGACGCGGCCGAGTTGGGAGAGGTCGAGGTTGGGTGACGGGGAGGGTTGGAAGGAGATGGCCGAGGTGGGGACCAGGAAGCAGGCGGTGGTGATGAGCCAGGAGGCGATGGATTGGGAGCTGCATGGCAGCCATGAGGAATGGATCCTCATGGCCTGAAGAGAAGGCCGAAGAAAGTTGATGACGATTGAGGGGTTTCGCTGGAATCGTTATCGCTTGCGGTTGGTTATCGGCATGGCTTTCGGGGGATAGGGGAACCGAAGGGAGATTCGTAGAGAAAGAAAGGGAGAAGGAGAAAAAGAAGTCAAAGTGAACGAAAGTCGGAGAAATTCAGATGTCCCAATCAGGGGAAAATGAGTGTAATAGGTTCGCAACCTGGAAAAGTGAAGAGGAGGTGAAGAGAGTGACAAGACAGTGACAAGAGAGTGAGAGTTGGTGACACTGAAACTGGTAGACGTGAGTGTCGGTGGTGCGTGGAAGAGAACTCCACCAGAGCACCGCAGCGCCAGCCTCCGCACAGGCTCTCACCACTAGCAACGCTACAGGGGGAATGCCTGGCCCATGGAATTACTGTTGCACGCCAAATCGCCTAATGGCTCCGAGATGAAGAATTGCTGGTTAAAGATCCTTGTCAAACGCGAGGCACAGAGCGGGTTTACAATTTCCATCCGAGATAGAAGGTGGAGGTTGGACTAGAAGAACTACAGGTGATACAAACGGCTGGTGATGCTTTATTGGCGGTTGGGGGGGTTACTCGGTATGTTTTGATCTATCTAGAAGGAATGGCTTTATGAGATTTCACGGTTTGGCGGTCAATTGTCAACAGCATCATCGTCATTCATATGGCCCTCGTTTACAATTGTTAATTAAAGGAGGAGAAGAAGAAGTTAGCGTGTTGCCGGGGCGCCCGACCAATCAGGAATGTGGATACTCTCTGAAGACCCTGATGGCCTTGATGCCTGGTTCCTGGATGACTTGATGCCTGATCCCTGGATGCCTTGACACCTTACAGCCCTACTGTACTCAGACTTGACCCCTTGACATCATCGGAACAATCGAGAGAACAGAGAGATTCACATTGGTATTGGAAATGATCTTCTTAACAGTGTAAACGGAACTACTTCAGTCAATCCCACTCCAAGTAATTCCTACAACATCATCACAAATCTACAGGTCGTCGACCTGCGACATCCCACATGTCCATCATGCACCAACAGGGTCCCTCGTCGGTCACTTATCAACCAATACCAGCCCAGCATGACCAGGATCCTGAGATCGAATCCGTCTCAAATGATAATAATACACAAGGTACTTTCTTTCTTTAAGTATACATCTTGCGACGGGTGAGGAACGCTGCCTGATCATGGCTCTGCTTCTCTTGCGTTCATCGTGTCTCGCGTCATGCCATGGGTGTCCCGACCTCACGCTCTCCATCCTCATATGGTGTCGAGGTGCATCATGCGTTTCGTCCTTCGTAATGGTCATCGGAGGTCCCATCCTGAACCAGCAGTCCATCCTGCGACCAGTAGAAGTAGTCGGCCAACCCCAGAAGCAGCCGTCCTGCCGCCTGTACCACCACATCCTGACCGTGTAATCTTCCCAGTCCCAACCCCTCAAATATCATTATACCCCAACACCCTCCTTTCCAATCCCGAATCCACCACCGCCCATGCCCATGCCCTCCCCGCCTCCCCTCCAAACAACCCCCACGGCTCCTCACTCCGCTCCATCATCCCATCCCGCTCCATCCCCTTCATCTCATGCCCCGTCGTATACGACAAGAAATGCTCCAACCCCTCATCCTCCAGCGCCAGCGCATTCCCCGAGATCCCATGGCACAGACACGGCTCCTTCGTCAACAGCCCCCGCTCCAAAATACACTCCCGCCCCCTCTTCACCGCCCCGTCAATCCGCTCCTGCAGCGCTGGAAAGTGCTCACGGATACTCACCAACGACGTCGCCATCCCCGCCGCCCCATGACAAAACTGCACCAACCGATCCCGCCCCACCGGGATCGAACTCGGCCAATTTCCACTCTCAAACTGATAACTCAACAACGCCCCCAAATCTGCCTCCACCTCCCCCGCCCGCGTCGGGTCCGTCAACACGATCTGCACGATGATCCCCATCGCCCCGTGTGCCGCACCCACATACGCTTTCCTCCGCCACGTCCACGGCCGCGGCGCCTCGAGTATCGCGTCGATCACCTCCGTCGCCGCGCCGTTGATGAGCGAGGCAACCTCAGCGTTGTTCGGGAAGGATACGCGGACTAGGCGGAGGAGGTAGAGATACCCCGCGCGGCCGTTCAGCCACTCGTTCTCGGCGTCGGGGTCGCATGCCACCGCAGCATACCGTACCAGCTCCTCCACCAGCGCCGTGTCCTGCGTCCCTGCGGCCCCCAGCGCTAGAACCACTAGTATATCATCTCTGACACCGCAGCATCTGGGCGATGGGCCGGGGAAGTCTTTCATGTGTTCCTCGGCGCGGTGGAGGTAGGCGGCAGACCAGGATGCGAGGGAGTGGTCGTCGAGGCGGAGGGAGGGGTGGAGTGGGTGGAGGAGGGCGAGGAGGTGGGCGACGCCGAGGGCGCCGGAGTAGAGGCCGCCCGATGGGGGGATGGAGGAAGGGGGGTGGAGGGTGGTGAGGCGGTGGAGGGAGGCGAAGAGCTGTTTGTGGGGGGTGCGGGAGGTGGGGGGGGAGGAGTTGCGGAAGAAGCGGGGGCGGGGGGGGCGGGGGGTTGAGGTTGGTTCGCCTGGTTGGGGGGGTTGGGGCATGATGGTGGTCGGATGGGAAGGTATTGGCCTATAGTTGGTCGTGTAAATAGTCTTTGTTTGCGGGGTGTGAGGAGGATTGAGATGTTTATTGTAATAGGCGGTTCTTCGGTGACAGGAAGGAAATCCGGCAGGACGTGAATTTATAGGGAATTGAATCAATCGTAGGACAAATAATGGTCATGAGACGGAGAAGGAAAGGAAATATTGAATTGGTTCAACCTTACTCAAGAATAATATGGATGACGTTGATCCTTGACGGAATGGTACATTCACAGCACGTGAGCCATGTCATTAACTCCTTGATATTCCCGTACATGATCCGAGATTCAACATTCAACATCTGCAATATCGAATCGGCAAGTCAAGAGACATGAAACGCTCCCCGAATTCCCAGCTATTGGTTGTATGTAGCCCTGATGTTCAATATTCGAATAACTGGCACCATCATTGTTGGGCAGAAAGAGACCCTGACTGAATGAACAGTTCGATTCATAGGATCAGTAGTAGTATTACGCCTGTCCTTCACCATAAGCTTCAACTCATTGCTGCGTGAATACTATACATACAATTAGCTGCTCCTAACAGCCTTGCTAGGTATCATTCATTGGCGTCCACCATGTCTCTCACCCCGTCTGCTTCCGCCGTTTCGATCTCCTAACCACCTCCCCCTTAACCGTGACCACCTTCTCCTCATCCTCCACCACGCTCCTCTTCCGACTATCCCTCCTCAACGCCTTAGCGACAACCGTCTCCTCCTCCTTCGTAATCCGCTTCATCTCCATCACCGTCCCCTCTTCCTCTTTAAACCGCATCAGCTCCACCTCCTCTTCCTCCTTAACCTTCTTCACACCCTCCCTCCCCTTCTCCGCAAAAGCCTTCAAATCCGCCGTAAACAGCACCGAATGCGCCCACCCCGCCTCACTCCCCCACAACCCCCGAAACATATTCGCCACCGCATCATACGTCCCCTTCGTCAAGCTCTTCTGCCCCCGCTTCCCAAACCGATAGTCCCGCTGCGCAATCTGCCACACATGCGTGTCCACCGGCACCGCCTCCCCCCACCCCAACCCCATCAAACACACGCAATCCGCCACCTTCGGCCCGACCCCCGCCAGCGTTAACAGCGCCTCATGCGCCGTCCGATATCCTTCCCGTCCCCCCTCCGCCATCGTCGACGCCCCTGACCCCCACGCCTCGGGATTCCGCAACCCCTCTAACCACCTGACCCCCCGCTCATCCACCACCTTCGCCGTCTTCCACAAATACCCGGCCCGATACCCGAACCCCAGCTCCCTTAGCCTTCCCTCCACCCCCTCCCCCGCCAGCGCCTTGGGCTCCGGAAAATCAAAATACTTCACCCCGTCGACCTCGCCGATCAGCGTCCCGAAGTGCGTGCACAACTTCTCGACCATCGAGGAGATGCGAGAAATGTGGTTGTTGCTGCTGCAGATGAACCCGACGAGGGCCTCCCATGCGTCTTGTTGGAGGATGCGCACGCCGGTGAAGCGGGGAGCGAGGCGCCGGAAGTGCGGGTCGAGGGCGGACCAGTGGGCGTAGAGGGAGGGGAGGTGGGGGGTGAGGTTGAAGTAGTGGTGGAGGAGGGGGACGGTATCGTCTTTATCTAGGGATTGTGAGGGTAGAGGAGTTTTATTAGAGGTGGGGAGGGAGGGGGAGACGGTGCGGTAGTGCAGGTGGGAGGCGTCCTGGCGGAGGGAGAGGATGCGGCCGTGGAGGGCGATGGACCATTCGGAGGAGGGGGATTGGCGCCATCTAGGGATGTTAGGAAGAGGCGGGGATTGAAAACAGGGGGGATTCACCTGAAGGTTTGGCCGCAGCGAAGGGTGGTGTTTATACAGAGTTCATTGAGACTCATGGGCAGTTTCTGCCATTCGGAGGTTCGTAATACACCCATCTTCGCTGTTGGAGAGGAGCGGGACAGGGGAACAACTATGAACAATATAGGGGCTCTCTCCAAGGTCCAGGCTCTTTTAGAAAATCACCAAATGGACATGATAGCTCAGTACACAAAGCGGTTTATCCTTGCTCTTTTTATACAATTGACGAACGTATAAATGAACGAAAGTCGAGGACTGCGCGCTTCGAAATAAGGAGAACATTCATCCATCATATCTGACACTGTGATCCGGCGGACGAATACGACCAGTGCGCCAAACCCTTGCCACGAGACTTTGCTGTTCAGACGCCAACATGAACTGAACGCTGGAACTTTTGCTGAACCTCCCCGTTGATCATCATCAATTCTATCTGCGCTCCCTCACCAATCTCGTCCTGAATCGTATCGCAGGTCGGTGCCAGTCGCCCTTCATTTCGGATCCATCGACGACACGACCCAAGCAACTATCGTGTCTTCGTGCTACGGACCCGCATATCACCACGCGCAAAACTTTGGCGTTTCACTTCCAATCGAGGGATATCCCAACCCCCGTGAGCAGCGATGAACGGCGAAACCTACTCCTCCTCCCGACACGGGTCGTCGCGAGACCACTACGTAAGTCCTCTCCCCTCCCCACTCCTAAACCACCACTCACCAATCCTCCAGTCCTCGAGAGCTGACCGAGGCGAGCGCGACGACCGCCGAGACCGCGACCGAACCACCCGCCGACGCTCCCGCTCCCCCCACGGCCACCGCTCCTCCCGCCGCGATTACGACGGCGACACCTACTCCTCCAGTCGCGACTACCGCGAGCGCGAGCGCGAAGACCGCTACGCCGGCCGCGACCGCCGCGAAGACCGCAGCGGTTGGGAGCGCGGCGACCGCGGCCCGCGCCGTGATCGACGCGCTGACGATGGCGAACCGCGACGGGACCGCGACCTGTTCGACGACCGTGGGGGACGAGGACGACGGGACCGCGGTGACCGGGGGGGCGACCGGGAGCGGAAGCGGAGCAAGAGTCCCCCGGCGAAGAAGAGGGAACCGACGCCGGATTTGACGGGGACGGTGGGGGTGTTGCAGCGGAAGCGGCGGTTGACGCAGTGGGATATCAAGCCGCCGGGATACGAGAACGTGACGGCGGAGCAGGCGAAGTTGTCGGGGATGTTCCCGTTGCCGGGGGCGCCGCGGCAGCAGCCGATGGATCCGAGCCGGTTGCAGGCGTTTATGAACCCGTCAACTAGCGCGGCGGTGACATCGTCGTTGAAGCCGTCGAAGGCGAGGCAGGCGAAGCGGTTGTTCGCGTATAATATCCCGGCAACCACCACGGATGAGTCGCTGGTGGAGTTCTTCAACCTCCAACTCAACGGGCTGAACGTCATCAGTGGTGAGAACCCTTGCTTGGTCGCGCAGATCACTTCGGATCGAGCGTACGCGCTGCTGGAGTTCAAGACGCCGGAAGATGCGACGATGGCGTTGGCATTAGATGGAATCAGCATGGAGGCCAAAACCGCATCGAACGGTGCATCGAACGGAGACACCGCCGGGCTATCGATCCGACGACCGAAAGACTACATCGTTGCGCCTGCCTTGGACGACGCGGAGGAGCCCGAAGGCGTGCTCGCTGCCGTGGTCCGCGACTCCGCGAACAAGATCTGCATCTCGCACGTCCCGACATATCTCAACGACGAGCAAGTCACCGAGCTGCTGCAATCGTTCGGTGAGCTCAAGAAATTTGTGCTGGTCAAAGACATCGGCTCCGAGGAGTCGCGAGGCATTGCGTTCTGCGAATACACCGATCCGTCGAGCACGGACATCGCTGTCGAAGGGCTGAACGGTATGGAGCTGGGTGAGGAGCATCTGAAGGTCCAGCGGGCGAGCATCGGTCAGCAACAGGCCTCGGGCTTGGAGATGGGCGTCAATGCGATGACGATGCTGGCTGGGACGACGACGGAGGAGTTAGAGCAGGGACGCGTGCTCCAGCTACTGAACATGGTCACACCCGAAGAACTGATGGACAACGACGAATACGAAGGTACGTCACCCCATCTAGCCCCTAACTTCCATTACTAACCCACCCACCTAGAAATCTGCGAAGACGTCAAGGAAGAATGCGCCAAATACGGCCCCGTCAACGACCTCAAAATCCCGCGTCCCAGCGGCGGACGGCAATCGGCTGGCGTCGGGAAGATCTTCGTCAAGTTCGAGCAGCCGGAGTCCGCGCAGCGAGCGTTCAAGGCGTTGGCCGGCCGGAAATTCGCCGACCGCACCGTCGTGGTTTCGTTCTTCAGCGAGGTATTTATACAGTTCCATCGGGTTTCGAGGTGCATAGCTAACATCCATCGCAGGAATACTTCGACGTCAATGCATGGTAGTCGTCCATTCTCATTTCTCTAGCACGACAACATAAACTCAGTAGGAAGGTGTGGAGACTGTCTTTTCCACGACATGTAATTCTATCCATCCGTTGCTCCGACCGGTACGGCCAGGACTTTTCATACGCCTAGAACGGGCGATACAATCAGGGCTGTTAATGATGAGGGTTTCGAAAGGGCTTTTTCGTCGTTGCGGCTTTTTCGAGGGACGATGGCGTTGTGAATGTATCGTATCGCAGATCAATTCAAAAGCATTTGGACGTTGGATGCCGGTGTCTTGCCGTCGTTCAATACCAAGTCTACTCCGTACCATTCACCTAATGTCGTAACTCGTAAGTCTCCTGAGTCTTGTTGCGTGGAGGTGTGGCGCAGACGCTGTCATATGAAGGAGCTGATATGATAGGAGCCGACTATTGTTAGAAATGCCTGTGAAACGCAATATACCATAAGTATTACTACTTTGCCTTTGTTGCAATCCGAACAATTTCACGATTTGGCCGACTCCTAGAATATTCAACCGAACCTGCTGCCACTCCCTCCTTGCTGTCCATTAACACCGCCACACCTGGAAGACCCTGAAATAGAAATTGAAACAGCTGAGACGACCCCACAACAACAACTCACCCCATACTCTAATACATCACCGTTCCATCCAACCTCGACAGGCAACACTCAATCCACCTCACAACTCCCACTCCTCTGCCAAAGAACCCCATCATTCCCCCCAACAAACCCATTCCGTCTCCCAAATCCACCTACGACAATGGGCAAATTCGGCTTCGGCTCCAGCCGCAAGAACGGCAAAGACGCTGACGACGACACCGACTCCCGCAACGCCCTCTTCGGTTCCCGCTCCAACAAAGACAAGCCCAGGTCTCAGAACCCCTACGCTCAGAACTCCAACAGCCCCGATCCCTACGCCCAGAACTCCGGTCCCGATCCTTACGCCCCGAAACCCAAGGGCAACATGGAGGGCGGTTATGGAGGCCACAGCGGCAATGGCAGTCACGGGAGTCCCCCGCCACCGTATAGCAATAACGGCCAAAGCGACCGCGCCCGGCAGGAGAAAACCCCCGTACCTGCAGGCGGGTATGGCGGAGGGAATAACAACCAAGGCGGAGGCTACGGCGGAGGCTACGGCGGAGGATCCAACCCCCAAAGCGGTAGATCCAGCCAAAGTGGCGGCTACGGCGGCCAAGGCAGTTACGGCGGCCAAAGCGGCTACGGCGCCAACAAATACGGCGATGAGCCCCCCTCCAACGACAGCGGCTCCCGCTACGGACCCGGCGGCTACGGCGGCATGGGATCTCGCCTCCCGCGGCACAACAGCAACGAGACCACCAACACCGACGCCGGTCGCAACGAGCTCTTCGGAGACCCGCAGCGCCGCATGCAGCGCCAGGAATCGCAGAACGCTCCGCCTACCGGCAACGCGAACGAGGGTGGCGACGGGGAGTATGGCAGTGCGTACGCGGACCGGCAACTCACCGCGGAAGAGCAGGAGGAGGAAGACGTGCAGGCAACGAAGCAGCAGGTGCGGCAGATCAAGCAGCAAGACGTATCCTCGACGCGCAACGCGCTACGTCTGGTCGACCAGGCGTACCAGACAGGGAGCGAGACACTCGGGCGACTCGGCGGGCAAGGCGAGCGGCTGCATAACACGGAGAAGAACCTCGATCTCGCGAGCAACCAGAACCGGATGGCGAGCGAGAAGGCCGGGGAGCTGAAGACGCTGAACCGGAGCATGTTCGCGGTACACGTGGGCAACCCGTTCACGTCGGCGAAGCGGCAGGAGGAGGCGCAGGAGCGCATCGTCGACACGCATCGAAAGGAGCGGGAGCAGCGAGAGGATACGCGGTTTGACCAGTACAAGAGCAAGGCGCGGCAGAACGAGGCGGAGAAGGAGCTCCGTGGCGCGGGGCAAGGGGAGCGCGGGCAGCCGGGCAAGGCGAGTTTGCAGGATCGGGCGAAGTTTCAGTTCGAGGCGGACAGTGAGGATGAGGATATGGAGAATGAGATTGATCGGAATTTGGACCATTTGCATGGCGGGGCGAGGCGGTTGAAGACATTGGCGGGGGCGATGGGGAGGGAGGTGGAGGCGCAGAATCATGTGTTGGATCGGTTGAATCCGAAGGTATGTCGTCCGCTTTCCGCTACTGGAAGGCGGCTCGCTAACTGTGTTAGGTTGACCACGTCGACGACGAGATTCAACGGAATAAATTCAAGTTGGACCGCATCAAATAAGCAGTCGTTAGCGGCATGGGGTTGTTCGCCTCACATCTCTACCATTCCACGGCTCGGGACGTGGATCATGGCATGCTCGTTTCAGGAGTTCGGGACTGATCTTAGAAATTTACGATCATCCATATATCAGCACCTCCCTATCCATGACCAGACCTGTTTGTGCTCAAGTCCGTCCTTCTTTAGGCCTCCATCCATCATACTTCCCCGCGCCTGAGGAGTTGGACGTGTGAGTTGCCAGGAAGTACACCAGCACACGAGTGGTTAATATCAGCCATCTCTGAGAGCTCCCCAGAAGTCGAACCCGCCCAATCGACAGACCCATCAAGTGTCCCAGATTAAACCCCATGCGCCTGTCGACATCCGATCCAGGGGCATATCTACTCACATATCAACTGCAACTTCATCTGATCTCCTGTGTCGTCACCCGCCAGCTACCTTTCTGCCTGTATGCCTTACAGCCTGACCACCCTCCCCTGGCCCAGCCCAGTCCCGCTCCGCGGTACCGATCCATCGACCTGTGCCGCATGATCTCACCCTGATGATCCCATGTTCTAGACCACTTTGTCGCACCTTCCGTTTCCGTTTGGATACCGCAAAATCGATTCCGTTGGTATTACCTAAGGGAATTGTTTATATTACGATACGGGACTTGCTACAATAGCCGGAGAATATCGGAGGTGCTGGAGAGCAATGCTAAGGATTTGTTGGTGGGTGTGGAATTATTAGGATATCATGCTAGGCACATTGGAATTACCTTAGGACTCAATTCGCGAGGCCCAAGACATTATCTGTCGTGAATAGCAGAGCACCGACCAGCGAAAAAGCACGTATATCAAAAACAGCCTCAATGCATGGACTTTTTCCATTTCCACGGCTCTAAAAATGCCATGCCATGATCCGGACCGCTGATCGCGTCCGTTCCGATTCCCATCCCATTCCCATCCCATTCCCACCCAACCCAACCGGCTCCCCATGTTTTTCGGTAAGGAAAAAAACAGAGAAGCAAAACGCCGTTCTATGTGCTGGCCCGCCCGCGTCGTTGTTGGTGTGTGCATTACTAGTCCGTCGTCATGAAGCCGTGAACCGACTGCGCGTGCGTCGGCCGGAGTCGGGGGGTTTGCGGGTCGCAGGGGGGGAACCGCGGCTGCCGGAGAGGTGTGGAGGAGAGGGAGGGGAGGAGGGGGACGTGGAGGGGGCGAGAGAGAGGAAGGAGGCGAGGTTGCCTGCGGGGGAAATCGCTGTCAGAATGGATATTAGGTAAGGTAGGGGGTATCAAAGACGGCAGGGCAAAGAGCTCGGTAGGTGGGGAGGGAGCGGCGGCGGCGACGGAGAAGAACGCGAGGCACGGTGCCTCGACGAAACGCGAAACCCCCGGCCGACATCGTCCTTATCACCGGCGCCAGCCGACATTCCAGATCACATGCGCGATGTCTTTCGCCGTGTTCACCGAGTCGACCACGCGTCCGAACAAGCCCGACTCGCCCCCGGGCTCCTCCTCCCTGTCGTCTTCATAGGGCATGAACATACCGCTTGCAGTGCGACGCATCGCGCCGGATCCGGCCGGGGCCGCGCCGTCGATCGCGTCGTTGCGCGGGGAGTCCCCGTTCGAGGCGTAGGCGAGGGACGGCTCCCAGGAGATGTCGGGGTCGTCGTCGTCGTCATCTGGGTCGAGGAGGAAGTTGGCGGAGGGGCGGGAGGGGCGGAGGGTTTCTTGGGAGGGGGAGGGGGAGAAGCGAGGGGAGCGCCAGAAGGAGTTCGAGGGGAGGGAGTGGGAGGGGTGGTCGAGGATGTCGGGGGAGTCGGTGCGGTATTTGAGGGTGGTGGCGGGGAGCATGGCGATGGTTTTGCTGTCGGAGGCGAAGGAGGTGCGGGAGTGGGTGCGGGAGAGGGGCTTTTTCTTGGAGGGCTTCATCATAATAATGCCGTCGTCGGAGTCGGAATCGTTTCCCCAGTCGACGATGGCTTCGTCATCTTCCCCTTGTTGGTCCACCGCGATGCATTGCTCGACTTTGTCGTCGAATCGGATGTGTTTTCGCTCGCCGTTCGGCGTGTGAAGACCCGAGGAGCGTGAGGAACTGACCGTCCCATCGCGACTGATCGTCTTTGAGGGAAGGGGAGGCGGTATAAAATCCGAGATGGCTCGGTATAGTATCGGCCGTCCCCTTCGCGCTTCTCGTCCTTGTTGAGCTTGAACGGCTGCGGTGGCCTGTTTGAGTAGGGATGCGGCTGATAAGGACTTTTGCAGCATAATTTCCGACATGCTCCGTTTCTTTAAGATGGGCTTTTTCGCAAGAAATGAGTTACTTCGCGATATTGATTTGGACGGTGGCTCATCCATCTGCTGGCTGATGTAAATTGACGTGGCGGTTTGCAACGGGCCGTATAGCCATGTCACGTCACAGTCTTTTAACCTGGGAGTTAAGTTAGCATTGAGTTCATCGAGGAACCCAATTGGACCGGCACCTACCAATTCAGTGACTCAGGTGCAACGGTCTTGAGTTTGTTCTGTTGCTTTGCCCATTGTCGCCATGACGCGTTCTCTAACCGTGACCGCTCCCCAAGGACCCGCCGTTGCGCAACAATATGTCGCCACGAACTCCAGATATCTTCTTCCCGCCAGTCGTATGAAAGATAGTCGACATGTCGGGTGGGTTCCGGCTTGATCGACGTGTCATCTTCGGCGTGATAGACGGCATCCGGTGTCGTGGTCTCGGTCGAGTCACCGGCGGATGACGGGGTCGTATAGGAATTTTCTGTGCGCGGACTCGTGGGCGGCTCCAAATCCTCATGTTGGTCGGGTAGCTCACTACGCCCGTACGCAGGAAAAGAGATCTCCTCTTCCCCAAAGCCGGTGGACAAGCATGGATTACTTCTTGAACGAACCGGTAGACCGGCAGCTCTCGTCAATTCGATCTGGGACGACCGGGAGGAGGGGGGTGCGGAGTTGGGGAGAGATGGATTATCGAGGGTCGAGGCGCATGAATTGGAACGAAGGACAGGATATGATGGCGAGGAACTCCGGTAAGCGGATCGGGAAGGAGAGGTGCGTCGTAATGAGGAATTGAAGTATTGCCCATCGCGGATATTATGCGAGGGCGGTAAGACGGCGGCCATGTTCGATGGGGGTCAACTGTTCTCAGAGGGTGCGCCCCTCGAGAATTCAGCGGTCGAACTAGGTGACGGGAGAAAAAGGTCGGTATCGAGAGTGAGGGAGGAGTTGCGGCTCCTTTTAAGACTCGACCCGTTGCTAGAAATCTCATTCATCGACGGTTCGTTTCGTTCGACAAATTGGTCTCGGATGATATTATGTAACGTCGCTACCGATACGGTGGACTGAGTTGGGGTCCCGCGTGAAGTCTCGGAGCTGGGGGAATGATATGGTAACGATGGAAGCACGTCACGGGCGGAACCAAAGGGTAGCGATGGTCGAGGTCAAATGACGAGACAACCGTTGGAACCTGAAATCGGAAGAGACCGTTGATGGAATGTTGGTGTAGGAACCTGTGGGGCGGCAAACCAGCGGAACCGAAGACTGGAGGGAGTCGATTGATTGGAGACGTAGAGAGTAGAGACGGGAGGATTTGGATGTGGGAGAGAAGGATGATGTTATGATGTTATGATGCCATAGAATTCGTAAGATCTGGAGAGGAAGCGACAGCCAGCACGACGGTGCTTGATGGATGAATTGGAAGTTGGAGGACGTTGGAGGTGGGAGTAAAGGAAGGTCGAGATGTCGAGTGAAGGGATGTGTAGTGAAGGTGGTGGAATTTGTAAAGGGAAGTATGAATGGAATTCCGAGTTAACGCCACAGCAGTGATAGAGAAGAAATGCTCGAAGTGAAGTCCTAACTCTTCCTAACTCTTAATAGCGAAAAGGCCTGGCTAGACCGATTTTACAAAAGAGCCGTGTTCTGCTGTGCTTAGCGTTTTCTTAGTGACGAAAATCGGAGGCGAATCTAGCCCAACGCCTTCCAACTAAACAGCTTACGGGGATTGAATACCGTAAAGAGGAATAAAGCGGAATAGTCCAGAGGGATAGTTGTAGGGGCAATTATGTATCATGTATGTCATCAAAACTTTATGAACTAAACTCATCAAGATATGAGCGGTCAGCGACTCGATTTCGTGATTTCGTCCAGCCCTTTGTTCCTCATCTCTGCTCCGATTTTCGAATACCAGTAATCCAGTATGCATCACTCAAGCTCCTCTGGTACAAGATGGAATTCGTAGATGAATTGGCAAGCTCCATTCCATTGTTCCTTGATCCCCTCGGGCCTCGAACAATACCGAATATCAAGAATCCTGTTGCCCGTCCTCCCACTGTCCATTCCACCCATCCCTTCCCCATCATCCTCCCGATTCATTCTCCTCAATTTCAACGTTCAGGAAGCTATCCTTCGAAGAACCCACCATATTTTCTTGCGTCCGCCGCGCATCCCTTCCGGATGTTCGGCCGTTACATGCGTTCCCCGCACACTGCCCTGCACGGTGGTGCACTGTGCACAGAAAACTCCGGTGGGCACGAGCACGCCCACGGAGCGAAGGTTGCCCAGTGGCCAGACAAGGGATTGTTTCGTGGAAGGGGACGGGATCCAGGCAGTCAGCCACGCAGGACTCTCCCAATCATGAATCAATCGCTCGGAGGCCTGGCGGAGGATTGGTTTGGGGTTCTGATCTTCTGGAACTTGGAAGAATGACTTGGTGCATTTCGAGTTTTCCGACCATCCTGATCGCCGCAACGGCCAAAGCGCCTCCGGAAGGGGGTCCCTTGACCCCCTAGACTTTGCCCTAGTCTGGCTGACAAGCTTCATCCGGAGCTTCTAGGCTCTTTTTGCACGCTTCGATATGACTTTCTACTTTCGAGTTTGAACCGCTGTCGCCTGTCTGACTACATATTAAGTTGTAGGATATCGCCATGGTCATCAGCATCGTCTCATCCGCATTCCATCATTCCAAGGCATCCAACTGCCAACGCCATCCATATTACCAATGGTCGAACTCGCACACCATCAAGCCATGAAAGTGGATGGGCCGCCAGACAGCAGTTGGACGCGAGGTGGTGGGTCAGGCTAAACCTCAACGTCCAATCCATCGCAGATTGCATCTCGATCCTCCATCCATGGCAGTGATCCTAGAAGATGGATATATCAAAGTCCAGAGTACATAGAAGCACCTCGTATACCGCTCTGTCTGCTTCATTCATCAACTCAAGATGACCATTACCGGAGTACCGGGCATTTATCATCGTGCCATAGCGTGTCGAGTCTTGTCAGATTCCCGTCGATTTCTTCCCCTTTCCCCGCACCGACACAATTATGGAGACGATACGCCTCGACTCAGGGACAGGAAAAATTATTCCTTCATCCTTCCATCGCCGCCATGTCAAAGGCCAAACCACGGATCGAGCGCCTTTTTTACTTCTGAAGATGAAGAAAAACTCTAGCTGAGCCAGCGTTCATTGGTCTTACGAGACGAGAATGGCTAGCGGCGATGTCATTAGCGGCTCGATACCGCATCAGGGCAAGCCTATCACTGCCACGAGGGAAAGCAAATCTGCAGAACGCGTCGAGAGGTGGGCGCTAGCGCTGGCAGCCGTCCCGATTGGTGGCGTTGGTTCCGCGAGTTTCTTCAGCGGTTCCGATTTCCGAATAATTCAATCATTTCGGTGTCTGATTCACCTTCCATAGCTTCGAAAGTGCGGGATCCCTCGGTAGTCGGTACATCCGAGATCCGCCGAAAGGCGAGCAATTTGACGTCGTGGAGATGTCAGGTATTCTGGATGGTGGCGAGCACTTTGGCATCTTCGACGACATCCCACATTGCCATGGCGGGCATGGGAATATTCCGCATGCTGGCCTGTTTCTCCGATTCAGATAGCCTCCCCCCTGCGATTGGTCGCGTCGCGGAACGAGAGCGATACCTCTGTCCTTATCGGTCGGAGCTATTTCTCCCGAACATGCAACATCTATCGGGCCAGACAATTGCGTATAGAGATTGGAGACCAGCATCTTGATATCAAAGCAGCGAGCGACAGTTCGCTTTGAATTGCATCGACATGGGGGTCGATCCACACACGAGAAGCTATGCTGCACATAATTCTCGCTTGTCTGACCCCTCGGATAGGCTAATTCTATTGATATTGACCGTCTCCAGGTTCAACGTTCGAGTACCTACCATTTAGTAGCTAGGTGATGGTTCAATCGTATGCATAGCATCCAGGTCCCGTTCGACCGTTATCATCCTCCTACTTGGGTACCCGCGCCATAGTACACAGTGCCCAGTCCTGACTATACTTACAACTGGGTACAGTACCATGCCTTCAAGGGGACACATGAAACATATGCACTATGTGCATGGTGATGACTGCAATTTTCAAGGGATATCACTGCGCGTCTCTGCGACGTTCGCGGCGGGTGAGCTGCATCGATCCTCAAGTGCATGCATCGGTCTAAACTCAGCAGCATGAGTACTAGGGACCGTCTGATTGTACAAAGATATGTCTGTGGAGCTTTGATATTGACCGGCTTATAAACGGGCTCAATAAAGATTGGAACAATGGGAACCGGTCCCACTCTTCTAATTAAAAGGCTGGCAGTCCAAGGTTCACCTGATCTCATTGAGAATTGTTGATATCAAGACCTTGAGGCGGGAATAGGAATATCAACTTCAAAGTCGATCTCGATATCGCCACCTCCACGACAAATCACATACCCCGATCACAAGGCGGAGTACATTCGGCAAACAAACATCCAATTATTCTCCTTTTTTTTTGCGGAATCTCGCAGTCCACACTTTGTGGTTCCAGATATCACAGCCTTCCTGCGCGCGCAACTGCAACAGCACGCAACCGCAGCACATATCCGCAGCCTATGCAGGGTTTCTTCCCAATGCAATATCTCCCGCTCTCAACCGCATATTTGGAGATCCACAAACCGTCCCTGTCAGCAGGAGTGTCGCTCCATTGTCCCCACCATTCGCGCATGAAGAGGGAGTCTGGACTCTGGTACCTACGGTAACCGTTTTCAAGTTCCAATCTTGTATCTCCTTCCCAGGTGCTACGCAAAAGGAGCTCCCGGTACCTCCACATGAAAAAAGATGGCTGCTGCTCTCCCCTCATCGCTGTCAAGTGTTACCCCTCCATCAACCAATGACGCGTGTTCCCTACGTTGGACGGATCGGGGAGCACAACAGAAAGTAAGTAGGTACCTGCAACGGACCGCTACAGCGTATAGCATATTTCGTCTGACGTCGGCTGATATCCACATCCATTGTCAATCCACGGGCTCCACGGTCGGCTCCGAGCCAGCTTTCGGAGGCCTGGATCGAATCGCCCGGGTTGGGGAGGATAAAGGTCTCGAACGATGGGGATCTTTCGTCCATCGAGATCTTCGCTTCGCTCGGGGGCGGCGTCGAGGAGTTCCCGAGTCGATCGTTACTTGGCAGGGTAGGATATTCCTGAATACACGTCGAAGTAATGCATTGGTACGGTACGGGTAGGTACCGTTTGGTAGTGATACGAACGGTGTGTAGATGGTTGAGGCAAGTACCGGTACTTACGTCAAGGATAAGGAGATGGCATGGACTAGGCCAATTTGTTTGAGAGGTCACCAGTGTTTATTCCACGTTGCTGTTCAAGTGGTATAAACTACATCGGCGATTTAATTGGCACAGTACGTCGCACTTCGACCGTTATCGAGATCGACGGTCTCGACCGCCAGCGAGGAATATTGCATGCCGCCACCCATGTCCACGCAACCACCCGCTTCGCTCGACATTCCTCCAACCACCAGACCAACCTGTCCCTCATCAATCCCAAAAGCACAGCGCACATACTACAATTCTAACCTACGCAAACCGGCCCTCGCGCACGCAATTACCGAAGAGCACCCCAGCGCCCAAATCTCCAATCACTTCCACTTCGAGGTGTCAGGAACCACACCGGTTCGTCGCACAGATGAGGCGGACGCCAGGAAGCTGGGATATTACCTTACCGTACCGTACCTTAGCTTATACAGCCAAGACCTGAGCATTTCTCAGGACTCAAGGGAGGTGGACCAAGCTAGAATTGGGAGGATACTGGACTAGACTGAACTAAACTGAACTGGACTGGACTGGACTGGACTGGACTGGACTGGACTGGACTGGACTGGACTATAGTACACGAACACTGAATGGTGCGTAGTACTGCCCAGGTTCAGTTCTCTAGATCTTCCTAATATCTAACGGCCTCACGCAGGTTGCGAACCTACCCTGCGCGCTCATTGGTCCATCGTCGGATGTAATGTTTGTCGCCGTCCACTTCTCCTGCGCCAAGGGGATACGAATATGCAAGCGCGAACAATTCCGCGGCCATTCGGGAGACGGGATCCCGACCGGTTGGAACCTGAAAGTGCGGAGAATGAGGCCTACGAGCGAGGTCTGGACAACGGCTGAACTAGGTGTCTCAGGTAGGGTAGATGGACGGCAATTGACAGCGGCGTTAGACGACGTGCAGGTCAGTGGTATAATCGGACATGATGGATCATGAAGACCTGGAACGGCGTGGAAGGAGCCCCCAATCTTATTGCTACCGTCTCTTTTTCGGGAGCAATCGGTCAGATTCCCCTACCATCGCCCACCCAGATCCAGGAAATCTATCATCAGTAACAGCTTTATCCCTCGCGTTTTGAAACCCGCGATGAACCACCGCAGATCACAGGCCACCTTGACTTGCTTTTCCCTCCGAACGGGCCGTCCCGACACTTGCCTCCCGTCGCGCCCTCGGACGACAAACCGCCATGGCCCCATGTCCCCGTTGATACGTAGAAGGGATATTTCGTCGACCTCGCCTCTCCGTTCCGAGCCCTAGCGGAGCTCGGGGAAGCTCTCCCGCAACAAGGCTGATGGACGGAAAGCTGCGAATTGAGCAAGCCAAGCGACGTGAACGAGTTGCAAGCATACTTACATGTATTTCGAGTTTTTGATATGTAAATCTGTCGGTAGTATGCACGTCTGATGGACATATGCACGCGTGAATGGATGTAGGCAATCCCCTATGTCCAAACCACAGTTGAATTCCGCTCTATCAACCTCCGAATCACGACGACCAATATCAAATCCCGGCATCATTGCCTCGTACTGTCCCCTTTCATCCAGCCCCCTTACCACCCACCATCGCTTCAACGCCTCTCAGACATTAACCCCGCATTATTGGCCTACCATGCTGTACTATTCACCATCTTCCTCATCCTCGACCCAGCAGTCAGCGTCCCCGGCCGTCCCCTGCCCTGCCCTACCAGCCGCCCGCCAGCTGGTATGCAGCCTCATCTGCACCCCGTCCATTCTGCATGACATGACATGCATGGGTGCGTCTCATGCAGCCACGATTGCGCGTGAGGGGATCATTATGTAGGGAGGAGGGTCTAGATTGAAGGAGGGAGGGTCTAGAGGGAATAGAGGGGCGAAGGCCGAGGGATGGTCGCGAAGATGGGCTGGGGATAATGGCGGGAGGGGTTGGTTTGGGTGAGGGGCGGGTGGATGGAGATGTGGAAAGGGGGAAGAAGGGTAGGATGGGGATTGGGAGGGCGAGGGGCGATATTGGAAATGGAGAGGGAAAGGGATAAGAGAGAGTGAAGAAATGGAAAGCTGGGAAGATAATGACATCCGAAGGGTGGAATTCATAGAGTGCGTAGCATCTAACCGCCGGTAGCTTTCTGCACCGATAATCGAAACTGTGGTGGACGGTATAGTGCAAAGAGGGATCTCCGGTAAGTAAACATGCCACGAACGTGAAATATCGATGATTAGTTGGTCCCTTGGGCATGCCATGATAGGATGGACTGAGGACACATGACGAGCGACTTGGGAAAGGAGGCGGAACGAAACGACTGGCAAAGGAAGGGAAATGGCCTTTCAGGCGCAGGTGCAAGAATATAGAGCGGCAGCCCGTTGGTTTGAGACGATTTGGATATCATCCTCGACAAAAACGCGCAGTCAACGTCAAACGCATGCAAACGGAACCGAACCACTTCTGTTTTCAAGCAACGTCTTTGCATTTGCCTACATCGGCCGCATTCATATTATCGATACCGTCAATTCCCGCTCTCCGCGACTTCCAACACCCGATCTTACGCGTGATGTGCGCGCTCACCCGGCTGATCCGATGGGATGGCGATCGCTCGTGCCGGGCGGCGGGATAACGGTGGGAGTGAGGGCGGGCCGGTGGTGGATGGGAGGGTTCGTGAGAAGCTCGGATCGTCGTAGGACGGCGCCGGTATTGCGATTTGAAAGGACGACGAAAGGATGAAGAAGCATTACCTCGCCGCCCTCGCGCTCCCAGCTCTTCGAACATATTCGTCACCCGCTCTCTCCATCCAACCTGACTCGACTGCGAACCCCCTTCCCGCCCTCCGTCCAGCTCTTCTATTCCACCCACGACAACCCAACCTCTCATAATATCCGGACATGACCACCTCAACCTTTCTCCCCACCCCTCCGCCGCAGTTTCATCCCCGCACCCCCCATTATCCAAAGCCAAAACGAAGAAACCCTCCCGACCGAACAAGGTCCCCGCCGTAAGAATGATGGGGGTATATCAATACGATACGATATGCGAAAAACAGATCCGAACCGACGAAATCAGAATCGGGACCGAGCGTGCAGAGTCGTCGGGGCAGCCTGATTCCCTTCCGGACACCTCGTGTCAACCGATTGATCGGTCAAGCAATGTCGTGTCGCCAGGCAGCCCCTCCACGTCGTGTAATACCCGAGAAACACAAATCCGGCCACCCATGTGGACCCGACCGAACCGGGTCTGAACCAAACAAACGAGACTCGTGACAAAAGAAAGTAAACCCGATGGCGCCGGCCCCCGATGGCCATCCTCCCTCATCAAGATGCGATACGCACGTCGAGCGTCGAGCGTCGAGCGTCGGCCAATTATCTTCTCAATCCCCGTCCCGACGTCTTGAGCATCGGAATAGAAAGTCCTGGAACATTCAACGGAGGGGACGGATGCACGATGGGAGGAAAAAAGGCGGAAATCCAACCCCGAACAGAAAAGCCGAGCATAACAGACACGCGAGATCCCATCGTCCTCTCGCCTCCGAAAACGCCACGAGAAAAAGAACCCCGCTAACGGTGCTCATACCCTATCCGCGGCGACTGAAACTCCACCCCCTGCATCGCCGACGGCCCCACCGCGCCATTCACCCCATTCCACGACCCCGTCACCGACTGCTGTGGCGGCGCCGCGCCCTGCGGCAACGGCGCCTGGGGCGGCGACACTCCTGGCGTCTGCCCCGCCTGCTGCGGATGCGGCTGCTGTGAAGGAGGAGGTGGATGAGGACCCTGCCGCGGCCCCCCGCCATTCACGACGGGCGCGCTCGGCTCGTGGGCGGCAACGTTAGTGAAGGGGCCGAAGGAGGCGGGGGAGACGGAGGGGTCGTTGCGGTGCGCGTGCTGCCAGAGGGCATGGATCTCGGCGCGGAGGTGGCGGTTTTCGTCCTCGAGGTGGCGGGTGGTGTCGGCGAGGCGGTCGTGGTCGCGGCGGAGGTGGGCGTCGCCGACTTTGAGGGAGCGGATGTGGTCGATTGCTGGTGGGGGTTAGTTTAGTTGGGGGTTGGAGGACGGGAAGGGAAGGGAGGGGAGGGGGGGCATACATTTGGTGAGGACCTCCCATTTGCTGGATTTGCCGCCCGGGGAGTTGGGGAGAATGGCGTTCAGTTCGTCGAAGAGCTGCTTCATTTCGCTGCGGCGTTTGCGCTCCGCCATCTTGTGGCTCACCCGGAGGGCCGGCGTGCGGCTGTAATTCCCCGGGCCGGCATTGGCGCCCTGCTCTGCCTGCTGCAGGTTGGCGATGGCCCGATGCTGCATCGAATGATGATGTGTCGGGATGTCTATTATGCGGTTAGCACTCCGAAATTGAGAATTGTTCGGCCACAGGGGAGACACGTACCTTCGTCGAACCGCCTTTGGCCGGCAGGGAGCACCCCATCAGTGAACGTGTTGCTGTTGACCGAGGCGGCAAAGCTGTTCTGCCGCGACGGGATCGACGGGTCCAGCGAGTCGCCGCTACTCGAGTCTCGCCGGTCGTCCGGCTCGGGATGATCGGGGAACGCCCATGCGAACCCCTTCGTCGGCGCGGCGGCGGTGGGATCGGGCATGCCTGAGACGCTGCGCGGATTGGGGTGGATGACGGGCGCGCGCCGTGGTTGGACTTGGGCGCGATTGCGCATCATGGGTTGGGTGGGGGAGAGGGGGTTGCCGTTGATTGGGGCGCCGGTGATGCCACGTTCTCTTGCCAGGGCAGAGGTAAGCGAGGTGCGGGATGGGTTTTCGCTCGCGTACGGGGAGGTTGGGCCGATGGAGAGATGATGGAAGCCGTTGTTCACTCGGCTGTCGACGCTGCTTCGCCTCGAGTCGGCGAGGACGGAGGCTGCGTCGGCACTTGCTCGAGGGTCGGAGGTCCATGTGCTGACATGGGGTGTCGGAACGGGCTATGGAGATTAGTTATTTAAATTGAACAGAAACGGTCAAATATACCTGGTGGGCCGATCCTCGAGCGGAGTGAGGTGTCTCTGGGGCAGATGATCGCGAAGGAGATTCTTCTGCGTTGAGAATGGATTGTAATTGCAATCCTCCGAGAGGGTTGGAGACAGTTGAGGAGTCTACAATTGCTGTCAGTGATTGGTTCAATCGTTCAGATGAGGCAATGAGTAAAGCAGCAACGAGACTTCAATTCAGATTCGCTCTAGCAACCGCAGGGAGATCATCCAATCACGCTCGAGGGACATTCCACAAAATAACAAGGAATCCATCGAGGTAGATGGCCGGAACAATGCCCCTGAAATTGATCGTATACCTAGACCATTCTAGGGCGAGCAAGAACAAGACGGTATCGATGCGATCAAAGATGATAAAGACTCAACGCGACAGTTCAGCAGCAAAAGAAACTAGAACTTACGTTTGCTTTGGGATATTGACCAATTCCCCGAGTCTCTCGCATCGGAGACGGGTCGCGGAATCCCAGGTGACAGCTCCGGAGGCGGCAACGATCCCGTCAACGCGGTGATCGGCGGCAGCGTCGATATCCTCTGGCTTTGAGGAGGCTGTGCGGGACCATTCTGGCGGGTGCGGTCCGTCATCGTCGTGACAGCTGTCTCCATAGCTTTGATTGCAGTGCTACGTCTGCGAGGTACGGATGGTGAAGGAGGAGAACAAGTTAGACTTGAGTTCTCGAGAGAGTAGACGTCCGCACCCGGAGAGATCTCCGTGGACGGTTGAATTCAATTTCGAGTCCGTCGAGGGACGTTAGGTACCACCACGGCACAGTAAGAAGAAAGCGATCGATCGCAAAGGTCGATCGTAAAGACCACGATCTACCAATTCCGACGGCTCTCACAGTGCGAGGCGACAGGAAAGCTCCAACGCAGTCGTCTGACGAAGAGCAAGCGACAGAGTTCGTCAAATTCCAAAGCAGCGCTTTTCGCAGCTGGTGAGAGGGTGGCTCGGAGCGATGGCGTTCGCGGGCCAGCGAAAGTAGACGTGGCTGCAGCTCGGCGCGGTTCGATGCGTGAAGGGGATTTGCCTTGTGTACGGAGTTGCGAGGGGAGGGAGGGCGGTCGCTTGGATGGCGAGGTTACACGGGAGGGAGAATCGATGGTCCGCTGATTGGGTACCGGTTCCTACGAGTGCGTTGGTGGAGGATGCGATGCGGATGGCGGTTGGAGTGGTGGGAAGTGTCGGGATATGCGCGTATGGGATTTTCGGCGACCAAGGAAACTTGGGGTGGGATTGTTGGTGGAAGATCGGAGGCGTCGCACAAGGGGTTTTATCTATCTTTTATATATCCGCTTCTAAACTGGAGGGTTTGGGAGGAGTGGTTGGCGTGGTCTTTCACGTTCTGCTGGAACGGGTAGCCATGCGGGAATGCGATTCGGGGTCCAATGCGCACCGGGGACGGCAGGGTCTCGAGAACCACGGATGCGATCAATGAGATATATTGGGTATATTCCAAGAAACGACAAACGCTTTAGAAACGATAGTGTACGTTGGTCGACCGGGAGAGTTCTTGAGCGAGAGTATGGATCGGAGGGTGCTGAGAGCCAGAGGGTCGTCGGTTCGAAACGGTAGAGGGATGGAGGTGGTGAAGAGCGGCAGGATAAGCGACTCGGGCCAGTATTATCGAGACCATAAGGTAGAGACGATAAAGGAAAGGAGGTAGAGGAGGGAACGAGCGATACAAATTGCTTTATCAATTGACAATCTGGCGGAGACAGCGATGGCCAAGTGCTGATAGCAATGGGATGGGTGATGTTGGCGCAAGAACGTGGATGAAAGGATAATGGAGCAATTCACGCTGCCTAAGTCCGAGTTCGCGTGGAAATCGGACTCCAAGCCACTTCCAAGCACCCACACGACTACTGGCAGTGTGGCAGTCTGGCACTACGGGCACACAGAACTGAGGACACGCGCTGAGCAGATGGCGCATTTTCCGTTCGGCATTTTGGGAGCACGCGGGAGCCAGGGGACCCTCACTAGGAAATAGAGACTAGTTAGGAAACAGAGGCTAGTTAGTTAGACAGACAACTGGGAAGCAGATCCGATCGGGCTGGGGACTCGAATCCTTGGGAGTTGATAATTAGCTAGCAACTTAGAGGAGCGCTGTGGCTTGTCTGTTGAGTATTCCGTTGACAGTGTTGACAGGATGGATGACACGTTCCCCCTCGGCCCTTTGTCCATCGTTTCTGTTTTGCCTCTCGCTTTCAACGGCATTAATTCTACATATTAATCTAATACATGGATGGATTTCGGCGTTGAACACGCAACAGCAGCGGCGGCGGCGGCGGGCGGACTGCGGGCGGGCACTCGGCGAGGGGAGAGCCAAAGCGCTGGGTGACATGGAGTGGTAGAGAGGGCCATTCATTACCTTACCGTTGCTGCGTACTTACTGGGAAGAACGGATATTGAGAGTCAAAGCAACCATCAACTGAGCATCAATACCCATCTACTGTCCCTCTCAACTCCGAGCTCTTCTACCAAGTACCAACAACACAACGACCAACTCCCTCAAGGCCTCAGCCCATCTCATAACCCATAACTCATTAATATTCTGGGGCCCGTCCGTGAGTTCATCTGCTCGACGGATTCCCGCGTGGCTCCCCTCCAAGGAACCCCCGTCACGGGCTCCAGTCCACAGGGAACCCCTGGTCACGGGAATCGCCAAGGATGTCTCGGGGTCTGGGCATTGTGGGCGTTGTGGACCCGTTTGGACGCTGGGCAAGAATGGGAGGCGGCCATTGGTTGGGAGGGGCAGACGCAAGGAAGGGCCGAAGGGATCGCAGGTGGATGGATCATGGTTTGATGCTAGTTGCTGCTAACTAATTGCTTCTTGATTCCACGTCCATGTGCGGAATTGCTGATGGGCTCCGTGCTCACCACGAGGAGTTACAGTGTGCGCTAGTTATGATGTGATGTCTTTCCGATTGTTACGAACCTGGTGATTTGGTTGATGTCCGGATTGTCCGTCCGGATGGGAAGCACAAGGGAAAAAGACTCTCAAAAAGTCAAAACGTGATCAATCCCATCACCTTAGTTATCATCTGGGCGAAGGTCCAAAAGCAAAAGTGACGGGAAACTTTTAGTGGGAGGAAACTCAGTAAAGCGCCTCTTTAGCTCCACATGGAAGTCGTCGATCTTCAGCATTAGATCTTCAGTCCACAAACTCAAAAAGTCGAAGGTTCCCTCAGCCGTGGCTCCTGTCGATAGCGTTCATCCTTGTGGAGCGCTTGTCATGAGTGTCAAGTGCCAACTGTGAGTGTGAGACTAATACTAACTGAACCGGTTCGAAGATCGCCATCCAATGGGCAGCGTGCCGGGAAACGTGGAATATGTTTCACTTGCGGTAATTGCCTTTACTAGGCATCAAAGTACAAGCTAATTCATTTAGCTCGGCGCCTCCGGGGTATTATGGGCCATGGTCTATGGATAAATGTCAAATCACAAATGATAATGGAACTGTGGATGGTGCAAGATTCAGCTGTTCTGTTAATAATGTTCATTACCGATTAAGGAAGGATCGTCATCGTACAGCCTTAGTATGGTATCTTAATTCTTTCATGTGAACAGAAGATTATCAAATCATTGAAATCCTTGGATCGGCTCTTTCATTTTTGGGATGCTTTGGCGCGATTCAATGGTTTTGCAGCTTTTGCTTTGCTGTTCGGTTGGGTATTTCGTACCAATTTTCGATAATTAGTATGTAATATGTATGTACTGGACACTGGTACTTCGCCATTGATTGGCCGATGATATGATGGATGCTCTCGCCTCTCCTCGAAACTCAAATCTGTCACTATGACTAGTTATTACATTCCGAGCCACGGTAATTACCTATTTCATGATCGCATTTCTCCCAATCTCGATGCATTCGGAACTGTATCTCCAGTTCGACCCCGGACTGTTTCCCTTCCGTTCCACAACACCTCCCAAATTCAATTTAAGTCCCTTCCAATGAACCTTGATGATACATACCTTCCCTGGTCCCTCAAGGTCTGTCGTCCACGGTTCACCACCCGGGTTCTCATCGCGCACCGTTCGCCCTCAACCACTTCCCCATCTACGTTCCGCACCGATCGTCCCTTAATTACGTCAAGAACTCGAGATGGTTTTCTCTCGCCCATATTGATCGCTTAACCACCTCCCCGTGCCTCCCCACAAAACCACAGGGAACCCAACCACGGCGCCTTCAACCCCCGTCCCCATTCCCTTGACCGCGTGCGCCGACAATGCTTTTTATATGGCTAGGCACGAATCCGCGTCCCGACCGCGAGGAAAAAAAGCAATCCCATCGTCCTCCGGTTTCAGACCCAGAACGCTTCTCGGACGTCAGAACGACAGGGAGCGCCGTCGCCCAGATGTTTTGGCGACACTTAGGACGTTTGCCCGCTTCCGGTGGAGCGCTGTGCGACCAACCTACGACGGAGGGAATGTGATGTACCTGGCCGGCTGCATGGAGGACTCCGCAGACCGAGGGTCGTTGCACTTGTTTCGAAGTCACTTATTGGCAGCAATGTAGGGACACTGTACGTCTGTAATCTGTATCCGTCCATTGTCTTATTTGTCCTCTCTCGGGCATCCTTGGTTGCATGATTCCATCCAACCTCGCCAAGCATGCCGCGTCCCGTGGATCGAGGGACACGCCTTCAGGATCTTCTCAGCACATGCGCGACGAGAAGACTCCTTTTCGATATTTTCTAAGTCCATGAGTTCGGATACGTGCACCACTTCGCTACCTACTGTAACGGATACATAATTGGACAGCCACGGTCTCTTCAACACATTCGCTGTGACTTCTGACTTTGAGTTTGGTTGCCGTCCAGCTATCGACCGCACGTCCCTCCGTTCCATTGGATGATCCGTTGCCGTTCCCTTTGCTTTGTTGGACCTTTTTTGGAATCGTGAACGCCACGGTCATGGCGAATTCCGATGTGGAAACCGGAAGTCGATCGGTTCATTTCAGGCTTTCAGCGCGTCATATCCTTTTTCAGCCTTATGGAGTTCCCCGTCTCACATCTGTCTCCACATGCGGTATTATCGAATGTCGACGGCAATCGGTAGTGATTCCCGAGTGCAGAGTCCAGACGGCGGGCACGATGTCGCCCTCCAAAAGGGGTTTGATAGTTGATCGATTCCAAAAGCCTGATCATTGGGTTGATCGAGATTACCGAATCCCAATCGGCCGCCCTGTACGTAATCCGACCGACCATGGTCCTCTCAGCTTGTGTCGTCACACGAGGGCAATTCTACAGGAAGCCATGAACGCCTCCCAACACCATCGCAGAAACACATACAACGCGATATGTCACCTTCTCAGTTCTCACGTTTCCTTTCGCCCCGCCATCCCAGGCTTTCCCCAGGCGGTCGCTCCCCACCCCCGATCACTACACCCCATGCCCGTGAACCGCATATCCCTATGATCGAGTAGCATACGGAATACCCTCTACCTGCTCTTCCCAGCCATGGGTCGAAAACGGGTAGGTAGCATACCGAAGGATGGGAGACCCTCCATTCAGGGCCAAGGCGACATCCACACCACTTACCAGTCTATATCCCCACTTCCCCAGCTGTTGACCCTCTCCCAACAACGGAGTTGCTGCGTGTATTCCTGTAGTCGGTAGTCTCCGTGCCCACCCAAGCGGCCCAACCGCACTCCCATTCCGAAGGTAACCGCCCAACCCACCAACCCAACCACTTCCGATGGTCCTTCATCCCAGATATCTACAATCTCCCGCAGTGGGGAAAATCTCTTCACTTCCTCCAACAATGAACTAACCCATCCTCGCCAAGCGCCCGGGCGGCACGTGTCCCATTACCACTGCGACCACCCCTCGTACCACCGAACCGCAGCACTGAATCGGATGCTAGCAGGATTGGCGCGGGCGGTGGGGGTCTAGACCGTTGGGAGTTGGGAGTTGGGAGGGAGCTTGTGTGATGAGTTGAGGGAGATGATCGAAGATAGGGGCTGTGGAGGGTGGAGGGGGAGACGGGAGGATGAGAGGTAGGGAGGTACGTTGATGCGTACCTGTCCATTCCCCTCCGCTCAGTCTGAGTCAGGGAAATGTATCATAGACACACACCGACTATCCTGTTCTCTTTCCCACTCCATCCATCCCATCCCATCCACGCCTCTTCTCTCCTCTCTCCTCAGTCCTCACGACTCCCTCACCTCCCCCCAAGTCCTAGCTTACCGGTGACAAACCCCACCCTGTACTCCCTCCTTCCGACCTCCTGCATCTGTCGTATCATGCCTGCCCCACGCACTGTGCATCCAACCGCCCAACCACCCAACCGTCCTACCTCGTTGCCTTGGCAACGAGTATGCGTGTGGAGTGGGAGATGTAGGTCGGACGTTGGTTGGGCGATGGAAGGTGAGGTGGGATGCGACTAGGATGGGGCGGCGGGCTGGAGCGAGGAGGTGGGAGGGATGGGAGTGGATAGGGGGGATTTTTGTGAGGTGGAGGAGGAGGCAGCCATGCCGGGGTACGTACCGCAGCCTTGTACGACGTCGGGAAAGTTGGGTGGTGGGATGGAACTTGGTATGAGCGGGACTGCAAGAGTGTGTCGTCGAAGTATGCAATGTCGATCACGAAATCGTAGGAAGCACAGAATGTCCATCCATTGTAAACATATCTCATCCCATCTTCCCTACAAACAATAACTACCTCCCCATCTACCTCCCTCTCCCTGCCTTCCTCCTCTCCCGATCATACTCATTCCGCCCCCTTCCCCCCTCCTCATTAATCTCCGCCACCAACTTCCGATACTTTACCTCATACGCCGCATCCTTCGCCTTCTTCTCCTTCAACTGCTCCCGCGCCACGAAGTTCGCGTCCTTCCGCAGTTCCCTCATCGCCCCCTTCCGCTCCCTCTTGTACTCCTTTGCTAGCTTCTTCGACTCCGTCCGCCCCGCGTCCGGATCGTAGTGCTTGTCCGGGTTGTAGTTCTCCTCGAACTTGGGTTGCACGCTGCGGATCGCGAGCGGGCGGTGGTGGTGCAGTTCGAGGGGGCGGCGGCCGCGGCGCGCGTTCGCGAGGAGGACGCGCAGGCGGTGAGCGGAGGTGGGGTCGAGGAGGGGGAGGATGGAGGAGGGGAACATGGCGGGGAAGGCGCCGGGAGTCCCCGACCATAGTTCGGCCATGGTGAGGAGGTTGGCGACGTGCGCGGCGGCGAGGGTGGGAGCAGGACGGTGGCGGAGGGCAGAAGTGGAGAAGCGGAGAAGCTCGGGCATGTAGCGAGCGGAGAGGCGGAGGTAGCGGAGGGCGAGGGCGACAAGGTAGGCCCCGGTAAGGGATTCGGAGGGGGTTTTGGCGGTGTGGAGACCGAGCCAGCGGCCGATGAGGGAGATGGCGGGGGTGGCGACCTGGTGGAAGTGGTCGGATGTCGGATAGATGGTGCTGATGGCGGTGAGGAGGAAGAGGTCGCCGGGGGCGAGGTCAGAGGTAGTTTGGATGCGGCGGAGGTGCGTGCGGAAGGTTTTGGAGACCGCGAGGGGGGAGGAGCGCGCGAGGGAGTGGATGTGGCGGATTACCGTCTCCACTACCGGCAACGGAGCGGGCGGCTGGAGAGTCCCTAGGTACGCGATATGGTCGACCAAGACGGTGGAAAAGGCCGACAACTTCTCAACATTCTCGGGTCGTAGCTGCGCCCCGTAAGCCGCGCGAATCTTTTGAATGACCGACGGCAACTCGTCCATCGTGGTAGGCTCCAATATCGTCAAGAACTCCTCGTGACTTTGCGGACAGGGGTAACTGCCCGCATGCTCAGGGCCGAAGTCTATGTGCTGCTCGGCTTTTCGGCCAGAGCCAAGGGCCGTCCGGTTGGGATTCACGATATCGTCCCCCGCAAACGTGGTAGACTCGTCCTCCGACTCTTCGTCGCTAGAATACTCAGCGACGCTCCCCTCCATGTCGGACGCCACGAGGTCATCCTCAATCAGGAAGTCGTCTTCGTCCTCAAACCCGAGCTCGTCGGTTTGCTCTTCTCCAGGCATTCTGTCTTCTTCCGGTATTTTCGACGACTGGAACCCGAAGAACTCAGCGTCGCCGTCCTCGTCAGATTTAAGTTTCTCTGCCGAATCGTCCGCCTCGCCTCTCATACGACGCGCTCGCTCTTCGTCCATGGCTTTCAGACGATCCACTCGTGCTTGCTCGAGTTCTTCCACCGTCTTCGTCCGCTCCGTTGGCTTCGCGCGCTGGTCGAACAGGAGTTTTCCACGATCTTCATCGTAATCCCTGCGTTTCTCCGCGGCGGTCTCTCCACCGGCGTCTTTGGAGATCCCGTTGGCTGGAGCAGGTGGTAATCCGGCCTTCGGCGCACCGGGCTTCCCCTTCCCGAGTAATGCAAGAATCCCTTGCGTCTCCTTGTCCAACTTCTCCCGGATTTCGTGATCCTCTTCTTTCGCCTGCTGCCGTTCGAACTTGTGGAACTTAGATTTTGCAATGACTTCCTTCATGACTTCCGCCTTGCTCTTTTTCCTCTCCGGTTCTGCTCCATCCTCGACATCTGATGCGGCACCGTCCCCTTCCCATCGCCTTTTCCTGGACGCGCCATCTTCCCGGTCATCATCACTATAATCGTTTTCTCCACGCGCTTCGTCTTCCGACGCATCGCTGATGTCCTCCTCGAAGTCATCCAGATCCTTCCCAAGATGGGTCAGTCCGATGGTATCCTCGTCTTCATCCAAGTCAAACATCGTCTTCCCTCGTCGGCGGGTGGCTTCTTTGGCAAGACGCTGTTGTAATCGCTCTTCAGGAGTCAACGTGCGGTCCATCTCTCCGATTCGACGATCCTGGATCCCTCCAACCTTGCCACGGCGGTGAAGGTCCGGAAGAAGGGTGTTCCGCCGCTATATAGAGTCAGTATCTGAATAATTTTATACTCTCAGGCTGTACATACCAGCTCTTCTCCTCGGCTTTTCGTGACGCCCGGACGCCCAAGCACCACAGCTTTGCCATTTTGTCCGATGGTCTTCGAGGACGTAACATCGAACTTGCGCGGTCTCACGGCGGACTTGAGCTCGAATGGATTGAAAGACTCTCGTAAGGTAGATAAGACCGCTTCTTTATGGCCCTTCTTCGAACGGGATTGATCGGATTTGCGTGCCTTTTTCGACTGGGAAGGTCCAGAGATTCCATGGTCGCGGAGTGAAGACTTCAGTTGCTTCAACTGTGAGGGCGCCATCTTTCCCAATCACTGGCAGCTCCAGTAGTTCGAGATAATTGAGGTTATGCAGTCCGCATGGGCTTGACAATGAAAATATATATTCGAAAAGAAGGATTATGGCGGGTTGGTATAGTGTCAAGAAGCCCTTGAAACCAAAGGAAGCTGCAGAGGCAGAGAATTGAAGAAATGAAGTTACACAACTCAAAATTCAACCCCTGTCCGCCAAGATTTCGTCCCTTCCACATTCCTATCCCCCCTGTCGGCTCTCAGGTCGTCGCTTCTGTTTTTGGCCGATGCGCTTATGTGTCCAAACTGAACCTTTGTATCCACCATCGACATATTGACAATAGACACTCCCCCATACACACCACAACAGCAACAACTATAGCACCTGTAACATCCCATTCTCTCTGGGTTCGGAATTCCGTAGACCATGGTGGACTGGGTTAACCTCGCGATCCCCTTCGCCTACCTAGGCGTGGTCGTGGGCTCCCTCTACACCTTCTCCTACCTCTATCGCAAACGGCAAGCCGGTATGTCCCTCCAACCACCTCCTACCCATATACCACACCCACGATACTAACATACCCCAGCTCACGCTGCTTCTCTCGCCCCATGGTTCGACCCGCACCTCCAGCGCAACATCTACCTCTCCCTCCTGCACCTCGACCCCCCCGAAGGCACTCCCAAGGTCCCCGATGGCGTGCTGCGCGCTGCGCTGCTCCGCCGCGCCACCGAGGACATCCACCGCATCGTCGCCGTGCGGAACGCGAAGCAGGCGCTGACGACGTTGCTGCAGCGCGGGAGCGTCGGGGACGAGCTATGGCAGCGGTTTCAGCGGGCGGAGAAGGAGGTGGAGGAGGAGATAAGGGATGTGGTGAATGAGGTATGTTCTCCCTTCTTATTTCTGACTCGCTTGATCGGAGGCGGACGAACGACTGACAATGACGAGGCCAACGCCTTCTCCCCCAACTGGGGCCAATCCATCTTCCAAAGCGCCAACGAGATGGCCAACAACGCCATCGTCCGCAAGCGCACCGAGGAGCTCCAGGCGCAGGTGCCCAAGGAGAAAGAGTGGTGGGCAAAGAAGCTCGCGGGGATCCAGTCGGACTTCATGAAGGAGCTGGACGAGGAATCGGGGGCGAAGAAAGCGACGGCAGCGGTGCCAGTGTCGGCAGTGGGGAGTAAGGGGAGCGATGACGATACGGTGTTGGTGGAGGCGGGGGGACCGACGGCGTCGCAGCAGGGAGGGGGGAAGAAGAAGAAGAAGGGGAAGCATTGAAAGGGGAGATGGATGGTGTTACGCACTGGCAATGATCGGGCGTTCATATGTCTTGCGTCCTTTGGTGGTGTTGCTTGCATTTCACGGAGCGTTCGGCGTTTTTAGGGAAACAAAAGTCTACGTCTCAAGGACGGCGTGGTCGATGGTTGTACAAATATCTAGGGATTCTAAACTCGGTAGGCCTGTCCTGGTTGCAGGTGTACCATACCCGTTTTGGTATCAATATTCCAAGCCCAGAGCAACCCCCGGACTTTAATTCAAAATCCATGAAACGCCCACCCATCCAGTCCATGCCGTCCGTACGCTATGCATCATCTACCCATCCCCAATGACGTCTGTCACCCGACGGCGTCGATCCCCACCAGCGCAATTGAGCCGCATCACTCCGCAAGAACCGACCGCAGCATGGTATTGAAACTCCCCGTCAGCTTCTTCAACTCCGTCACCTCCGGCTTCTTCGGCTCCCCGGCCGACCGCCTTAACGTCTCCGACCGCCGCTGCCGCCGCTTCCGCTCCGCCGCGATGGGATCGACCACGTCTTCATCGTCCAGCTCGGACTCATCGTCGCTGTCGCTGGGGTCGTCGAGCTCGAGGTCTTCAAGATCGACCTACGGAAAGGTTAGAGATGGTCTAGGCGAAAGGGGTCACGTGGAAACGAAAAGTCAACATACCTCATTCAGCCCGAAATCGCTGCTCTTGAACGAGTTCATCCCCGGCATCCGCGTCTCATCCAACCCATCCCCCGTCGCCATCTTCTGCCGCGTCTTGTCCTGATGCCACTTCTTCCGCGCCATCTGCCACTTGATCAGCGCGTTGATCTCCCGCGTCGCTGCCGCCCCGTCGATGACATTCGCGTCTACCGCCCCTTGATACAGCGCGTTCATGTCCAACCGCCCCCCCCCACGCGGTCCCTGTTTCAGGAAATGCAGCAGCTCCTCGATCCACCCCATCAGCCGGTCGAAGAGCCCGTCGTCGTGGGTGTGTACCTCGTGCACGAACTTGTAGAAGTCGTCTTCGTGCCGCGCGCACAGGTCGATGAAGGCTTGCACGGTCTGGTTGGGGTCGGCGGAGAAATCTTGCCGTTGGGCGGCTTCGACGGTCTTGATCGTATCGTCGACGAAGGAGGCGAAGTCGGTGATGCTGTTGTACACGTTTGCGGACTTGTAGACGCGGACGAGGGGTTCGTAGAAGATGGTGAAGAGATCCTTGAAGAGTTGGAGGGTGGTAGGCTGTTCGTAAAGCGTTGTCAGCATGATCGCTAGGTTAGTGGCCTTGCGTGGAACTCACCTCTTCAATCATCTGCAGCATCATGGATTTGTCCCGCTGTCGTAGACTCAGCTTTAGTAGCTGTTTGAGATGCGCGAACAATTCAGCCCCTTGCTTCATCTCCTCGTCGACCTATAGAATTGATTAGTACTAGCCACGAAATTGACGGAAGAGTATTAGGGACAAAACACTTACATTATCAACAGCATTCGTCCAAGCAACATAGGCGTTGAAAACCTTCCCAATCTGCTCCGGCGTGAGTGGAGGCTCGATGAGCGCCGAGCGCAACACGGCAACGACAGGATCGACGTTGTCGTCGACCGCTTCCTCCCGTATGATAGCCTTGACGTCCTCATCAGCCTCCACAAACGTTTTGATCTTGTCTGACAGGACATCGTCGTCAACCTTTCCTCGCACAACGTCGACGGATTTCTGGATGTTACTGATCCCGTCGTGGATGGCCATACCGAAAATCCGCTGCATCAGCGAGCGCGTCCCGAACGGCTGCGCGAGAAAGAGATCGAGCACGCCCGCCATGACCGCGGCCGGGTTGGCGATCCGGATGACGTTTTTGAGCAGGGAATATGGGATGAGCGAGTGGATGCGTTTCGCTTGGGCGAACAGCTCGGGGGAATTGTCCTCGGCGAGGAAGAGATGATAGATCGTCGCGGCCACCTCGATGCGCAGCCACTCGGCAAACACGCGGTACTCCGGCTTGAGCTCCGCGATGGTGCTTTTCTCCCGAATCTCCTGGAACAGCTTCGACAGCCCGTTCCGCTCGACGACGTCGCGCCGGAACTTCTCCATGTGCTTGTCCAGGTCCGCCGCGCGCTGCTTAGCAATCTCGTAGAACTTCTGCTGCTCTTCCAGGCGCCGTTCGTCGAGTCCCTGCCGGCGCTCGATGTCCTCCAACTCTTCCTCGTTGGGTTGGACGACGTTCCCCGTTAGGAACTCCTGCATCGCGGGGCTGCGGGCGATGTGTTCGTTTTGCAGGAATGTGCGAAGAAACGCGCGAAGGGAAACGCGCTGTTCCTCGCGGTAGAGCACCGCCGGGCGACTAAAATCGCCCGAGCTACGAGGAGATTTTCGGCTGCGGAGGGACGAAAGGGACGCGCCTCGCTTGTGGCCTGACCCATCCACGGGACGTAGAAGAGATCGATGGCCCGTGAATGATGAGTTGGACACCTCCTGAGGATCGTTGGGAGGTGTCGTGGACTGCGTGGAAACAGAGGATATGGATTCCGAGTCGTCTCCCAATGCAGGAGCTACGGCATTTGACTTGTTTTTGCGCGGGAGGGGGGTTAATACCTTCCCAGGCAGTCCCATTCGGATCCGCTTGTGGAGGTGGACGAACTCGTCGTATCGTCGTCCAACATAGATGTCGGGTTTTCCCTCTCGCTTGACTCTGAGGATATACTCCTAGATACTGGATTAGCCGGTTTCCCTCCTGTAGTGATCCGACCTCATACCGCATGCTGATGGTATCTGACATGTCTCTTGACCGACGTTACTCGTACGCCAGCAACATTGACATCCCAACCGTGAATTGCATGCCCGTGCGGCGCATTCGCCATGAGGCCGAGCTCATTCGCTCCCCGGTCCACCACCTCGATCTCCGCGAACCGGATCCGCTCCTCATACCCCGATGCGGTCGGCAGCCCGGACACCATCATCAACTCGACGATCTTCTCCGCCTTCACCGCCAATTTCTTCCGCTTCGTCTCCTCGAGCCGATCCTCCGAAGACGAAATATGTTTGTTCGCAAACGATTCGAGGAACTGGAACGACACGCGTCAGTCACTATGTCACACCGAAGCCCGCTGTTAGGTTCCTTACCACTTGAAGCTTGTCCTGCCAAAACTCCTTCTCTCGTGCCTGGTCGAGGAACGGAAAATTCCGCACATGGTGGACAAATACGTATCTTAGTATCGGTAGTTCGGAGTCCTTGGGCGGCACCTCGCCGGCGTCCGATCGGAAAGGGGCGCCGAAGCGCTGGAGGGCGGTGTTGGACGAGAGTTCTTGGATTTCATGCTCGACTTGCTCGGAGAGCAGTTGTCGTTTGAGGTCTGGGGAGGGTCAGCGATCATATCCGTATCGCTGGTTCTACACGAGTGGGATTGCTTACAATGCTCTTGCTTGCCGGTCAGGATCGAGCCAGGTGGAGGTATAGACACGGCAGAGGTATCTGAAGGGCTCGATCCCCGGGGCTTTAATAGCGATCCATTGCCCGTGCTATCGAGCGACTCTCCTAGGTGCGGCACAGCCTTCGGGGGATGGTAGTTCGTCGCGTTTGCTGGGTCTGAGACGGTGGTGTCGGCTGCCATTCCAACGTCACTGGGGCTGTAAGTTCGTGCGGACGAGAGAGCGCTTCCGGATGGCTGGAGATGGAAACGATTGTGTTCGCAAGCACGGGAGACGGGAGTATGGAAGGGCTTTGGCACGGGAGAGGTAGCAATGTTCAGGAATGGTGGAAGAGATTGATGTCAGGGCTGGAGGAACGAGCCAAGCAGAGGGGGAAAAGGTGGAGTGTGGCAGCGCGGAACAGGAAGCAGAGAGCGGGACGGAGGCTTTTACAAGGTGCGGAAGGATGGACGGAGATATAATTTCATGGGGAGAATGACGCGAAAAAGGGTGGAGTAGATCGGTGAAGAGTAAGAAGCAAGAAGCATCAAGTAATGGAGACAAAGAGTGAGTGATGGGAAGCAATACATTCCGTATCCACGCTTCCTCGCCGCGTAATGGTGCTAACCAATATAGATGACGATGCCTCTTCAAGCTAAGCTGGCTAAGTGCTAAGCCCACCAATTCCTGGGCATTGGTTAGTTGCGAGCTGAAGGAGCCAATGGGGACTAAACTGCCCGTCGAGCAAGATCCCGTTGTTGAACGTTCCTCCAATGTCCATCTGATCCATCCTTGTAAGCGACCATCGCCAATCTAACGGCAACTTCGGATTGGCGTCATCGGACATCCTCACAAGTCACTACTCACAAGAGACACGACGGGATCATGGTGCAGATTTCGAATTTCCATTTGTTACTCAGGCTAGCTAGAAATAAAAATTTTGATCCGAAACCCGGAGGACGCGGTGCCATCTCCGCGTCGATGGCCCTGAAGTCCAGCCGTCAATCTAACATACAGTGTGAAACATAAAGGCTGGGTCCGTCATCTCTCGGAAGTCAGACACCCTTCGACGGAGTAGAGAATGTTAAATGATCGTCCCCAGCAATAATGAACGCAATTTTGCACCCGTTAAGTCACCCTAACGAACACGGACTCTTGTGGTGCGAACCCCATCGATAAGACCATGTGATGTTCTAATTCCGCGTGACGAATCCCGCGCATTTCTCCCCATATCCACGCGACGTCGCAAGGAACCCGTGCCGACTCAGTAATTCAACTCCGCACTCCCATTCGCCCCCGCCGCATCGAGGTCCTCATAGCTCCGCAACGTCCTCCCTTGCACCGCCTCCCGCGGCCCCACTAGCGCCGCCGCCGCATCGGCAAAGCGCGGATCAACCGGCATGCGCGCCCCGTTGGCGCGAGGCGGCGTCAACCGCCCAGACGCGCTGCCCCATCGCGCGTTCCGCATGTCCTTCGAGGGCCGATCGTAAGGGCCGCCCGCGCGGTTGTTCGGGCGGTTGTTGAAGCGTCGGATCGGGCCGCCGGGGCGACGGTCGTCTTCCGCACCCATCATGGCGCCGCCGGCCGTCCAGCCGGGTGGGGGGACCATGTTGTTTTGGGCGAAGTAGGCTTGGATGGCGGCGGGGTTGGGGACACCGCCTGGTATCGCGTTGTTGAAGGCGAAGGGTATGGCGGAGAGGTTGAAGCCACGAGGGGTTCCGGTGACAGCATGATTGCTCATGGGGAAGTGGCCGTTGCTGTTGGCGTCCGTCCTAGATGGTGCGATATGAGCTGGATCAAGGACATATGCATTCACAAGCTCGACCTACGGACATTAGTCTATGATCCAAGTAAATCGCGTATGGATCACTTACATCGGATTTGATCTTCTCAAAGAACTCGGCGTGCCTCTTCTCAACATGCTTCCGCCAGAAATTCTCGCCTTTGAAAAGCTTGGCGCAGTCGGGCACTTTGCATCGGAACTTGGCTTCGTCCTCCTGCTTCACAAATTTGTGAAGTTCTTCTTCCATTCCCTCTTCGGAAGGTTTCCCGCCCAGCTTCTTGATATCCACACTCGCAGGGTCCAAGATCTGGAACAGCTTGTCCTCGTAGGTCTTCACCCAGTTGAACGCTCGTTGAAGCTGCTGCTGGGTCTTCGGATTTCCTTTGGGGAATTTCTTCTCTTCAACTGGCGACAACGCGCCTTCGCCCTCTCCAGACAAATCCTGCTTTTTGTAAGGGAATGGCTGGCCGGAAGCACTCGCTTTGGCAGCGATCTTGGCTGGCGTGGTAAGACTCGCTCTCGGCCGACGCAAATGTCCACCCGGACACTTCCTCATCAATTCATGGACCGAGTCGCTTTCGAAGACGCAGAAGAAGCAGAAGTTGAAGACCCGGCGCAGATACTCGACCGTAAGATCGAGCTTCTTCTTTTTCGCAAGGAGATCCTCGTCATCCACATCCTCGTCATATGTACCCTCCTCCTCCTCTTCACCCTCTTCCATCGCATCTTCGTCCTCAGACTCCGCTTTGGCTTTCTTGGAACTAGTACCGAAGGGTGGTTGAAGGAGTCCTTGCCTCTGCATCTCTTCCACGCGTTGTTCGACCAACGCCACCCCGGAATGATCCTCGCCAAGCTCTTCGTCAAATTTGTTGGCCAGGCGCGTCACGAGCTGAAGATCGCGTTCGATGCGCTCCGGTGCGGAGAAGAGGTCCCACAAGGCTTTCTTTCTCGGAAGAGCAGGCGGCTCATGGACACCAACGTGGCACGTGAAATCTCCACGCTCCTCATCATGGATGGTCTTCCCGTTGAGTTGCTCCAAAGCCTTGACGGCGGTTCCACGAGGCCCCGAGGTCTCGTTATCTGAGCGAGCCAGACCTTCTTCGCCTTCTTCCATGTCTTCCTCTCGGCCATCGCCGCGCTCGTCCAAACCCCAAGACTGATCTTGCTGCTGATTCAAGATGACCCAGCCAATTCGATGGCACTTCTTCTGAGGGTTAGGATCGCTCAGGCTGAGCCATTTGTAGCCACCCTCCCCTTCACCAAGGTGCTCTTTGCAGAAGTTCTCCATCTTCTCACGGCTCACGGTTGGTGCGATGGTCTTGATAAGAAGCGTCGGCTGTTGCGCAGACTCGTCACGGAGGTCTCCTCCTTTCGATGGCAGGAGGTCGCCGACACCCAACACCTCATTTGCTGCGGTCGTCTCGCCTTCTTCTTTCTCAACAATACCACCGGCTCCGTTACTATCATTCTTGTAGATCCCCTCCAGGTTGAACTCATCGAAGTACCCGGAAGAAATGTCTTGCTGCCATTGATTGTAGGCTTCCTTCCTGAACTCTGCGAGTCTCTTCCTCAAAGGTTCACGGACTTGCGGGTCGTATCGCTCCTTGAACCACTCCTCGCCTTTGTGTTGGTGGATGAAAGTGCGGGCCATTTGCATCTGGAGTTTCTCCTTGTACGCATCATAAGCCGCCTGGATCTGCTCTCGTTCCTTGTTGCGCTCTTCGCGAGACTCCTTTTCGCCCTTGAGACGTTCAGGTCTACGGCCTCCGTTCTTCTGACGCTCCTTCTCCTCCTTGATGAGTTGATCCATGCGCCACCATTCAGCGAACCAATTGAACCCAACTTGAAAGTCAAGCGAGAGAGGGTTTGGAAGCGGATTGGTAGTCACAGCGGGGGCGGCCGGTTCTTGTCCGGGCACGTAACGGTCGATCCCCGCTTGGACGGGAGGTGGGCTGCGTCGCCTCGGAGGCTCTTCGCGGCCTCGATAGTATTCATCACGGTTGCGTTCGGGCTGATACCGATCGATGGCGACAGGAGATCTCGAGCGATTCCTGGGCTGACGAGGTCGACGATCGTAATTCCCTAACAAAGATGACAAATGAGCAACGATTCCATAAAGAACAAGGTCGAGGTTGAACAAAATCAAGGGACCGTTCTGAAACAATGGAATTTTCCATCTTTCATGTCAACACCATGTTGCCAGGCGATATTTCAATTCCATGGTGCAGAAAACGCATAGTCTATTTCTTACCCGAAGGTGATCTTCGACGGAATCCGTCCGTCCCGAATCGTGCGTCTTCACGCCTGCAGTCAAGTAATCAGCATATGAAGTCCAACATGAAATGCCACCGACGTACTGATATGCCTCCATTGCTGTGACGGTCCGCTCTGAATAATGTCTCGTTGAACTCAAGTTATGCAAGGCAGACAACTTTCTTGTAGGCGGATTGCCAAAGCATCATATGCCGAGCGGATTGCTCGCAGGTTGTAGGGAACCGTCAGGTAATGGGGTTTGGGTAATAGATGTGGACAATCGGTCGATGGAAGCTGTTTGCCATGATAAGAATCGCGTTAGAGTGGAACATTTCAATGAGTTAGAAGACACGGCGTTCTGAAACAAGAAAAGAGTGAGAGGGTCCAAAAGTGATGAGTGAGCAGTAATCTCGGCGACTGCTCATAAGAAAGCTGTAAGAATAGCTAATGGAAAGAGGGCTGAAAAGAGGACTTGAAAGGTGCTCGCGACGCGACTCATGTCGGCGCCAGCGCTGGAGAGAAAGGTAGATGGGGGACTGGAGAAGCAAAGCCTAAGGGTGGAGAAAACACACAATTACACAAGATGGGTTTGAGGCAGGTAGCGCAACAAGCAGACTGCACTCACGATGGTTGCGCACAAGGTAATGCAGGTGGTCAAGCAGAGAGGCTTGACATAGAGATGCAAATACCCTTAAGAGATGAAGTGAGGTTCAGTTGGGCGATGAAGGAGATGCGGATCGAGGTGTCCACTGTCCAGCCATCAAAGACATCACGTGCACAGAAGCTATCTCACGTGCCTCTACTACGTAAGTCTACCAGCGCTATACCATATTCCGTTAGGCATCTTATTTAGCAAGCTACATGCTAATCCTAAACAGCTTAATTCCACTAACTGTACATGGAATAGCGTATTCCAGGGTATGCCAGTATCAACTCTATCAAATATGACGAGGTGATGAGGGGCCGATCTCAGCAGCACTGACAGTCTCTCAATCGAGACTATTCGAGAGGTTGCTATGAAGGAGTTCAGGTTCCATATATCTCATGATTGCACGCAAATCAGGTAAGGGTTTAACCTCAGAAATATCATATTCAGATCAAAGCTGGAAAACATCTCCAGCATCCCCAATCTGAATCAAGTCGAATCAGCTTTGGTTGCAAGTCATCAAATCTTAACATCCGTATCCTATCTTTTTAAAGGATTATAATAACCCCAAGTTCATTATAAGATCTAAGTGGCTGCTACATCATACTTAATAGCCACCAATCATTATGACCACACATATACCATGCCTCACTCTTCCGTCCGCTGTTTTCAACAATGCAGCTGCCTCGATCCTGCTTCCACTGGGATGCGGCAATGCCGTTGGATACCTCACTAGACGTTTTTTTCACCTCCCCTTCTTCCTCCAATAGTTAATATCTAACTCGTTCTAGCCCGTGAAGGTCACTTTTATCCCAAGATCAAGCAGCCTCTAGGCAATCCCCCCGCATGGGTCTTCGCCCCCGTCTGGACAGCTCTTTATGCCACAATGGGATATGCTGCTCATCGCGCCTGGACCACAGGGACGTCGTCCATAACCCCTAGGAAAGTTGCTCTCGCAAGGGTATGTCTCCATGGTCAGGGAACGGCTACTGGCTGTAGAGGAGTGACTGCTGACTCAGGACACACAGCAAGGTGGCACCTTGTACACCATCCAACTGGGTTTGAACCTTCTTTGGATGCCTCTATTCTTTGGGCTCGGCAAACCGCTGGAGGCTACAGTGGATATCGTGGCACTCCTGGGTGTGACCAGCTACTTGACGTATATCTGGTCCAAGGTGGACAAGGTCTCGGCCTGGTTGATGGTCCCATATCTCGGGTGGCTATCCTATGCAACATATCTCAGCGTTAGTATTGATTCTCATTTTTACATTGGTCCAAATTAACTTGCTTCAGGCTGGATGTGGCCATCTCAATGGATGGTCCTTCAAGCAATATATGAACAAGCCCAAGCCATCCTAAAATTGGGTGTGAATAGCTTGTTTCATGGGCTCCAATTCACCTGTTGTTTTGAGCACTGTGAAGAGCTTTAGAAGAGCTGTATGAGTACAGTATCTGTCCCAGGCTCAGGAGTTCGTGAGGAATTGAGGATCTTCGAATGAGCGGTGAAATTGTAGAGACCTGGATCACTCCACGCCCTCCCATGGCTTGATGTTCGGTACCACATTATCGGAGCTCTTTGTTGGCTACCGGCAGTGTTGATGCAAAGTTTTACAAAAGAATCTTAATTTAAACTTAATAAGACGTCAATGTATATTTAGTCCCAATTAACTACGATACCTAAGACAGAGCAGGTTTGTGGTTTGTTCATGTTGATGTGATAATTTCAGTGATGTCTAAACGGGATACACGTCATTGGTTGGTAAAGTTCGACCCCTTCTCCTTGTGATCATTCCGATGCTTGCCCTGAGCTTGGGGCTCGTGAACTACTGTACTTTCATGTGAACGTGAAACAGGCCTCTTTAGATATTAGAGAGTCTGGAACCAATACCTTCCGAAATGGATTTCATCTCCGATGACGGCTATGCTAGAGACATGGACTCCACCGACCACTCTCGGCAATCAGTTCCCCGACCATCTGCCTTAACAACAGCGCTGCCGTTGCACCCGAAGCGACATCATCACCACCACCATGCTCTGCCTATCCCGCATCGCAGCAGTCGGCGGCCACATCATCGACACCATCGCAACCACTCGTTGTTAGACTACAAATCCCACACGGCACATCGCCCTAGTCACGGCCGGAGCCGCAGTTGGGACCCGGTGTTCGATACAGATCGGAACGGGCAGATGCGGGATCCCAACAAGGGCGTCGCCGTTTCTGCGATGCCTCGAGCGATGCAGCCGCAGATTGCTCGGAAAGAGGATGTGGAGGCGGAAAAGCAGCGGAATGCCATTCGGGAAGAGTAAGAATACCATACCTGTATCGTGTGACCAGAAAAATGGTTGACAACCCCGCCAGGGAACTCTACGAGTCCTATCAAACCCTTATGGACACTTCTCTAGACGCGATTCAAGAACTCGACAGCATCCACTATTCCATCCTCGAAAAGTTCTCCACGATCCAGTCGACAATGGGCTCCATCCAGGAACTCGTCTCTATGAAGGTCCAATTACATCATGAGTTCGACATCGACTCAAACGCGTTGCAAGAGGAGATCAACACTCAAGCCGAGAATCTCGGGGACTTCCAACAGCAAAGGAAAGATATTACCGAGTTATCGGGTCGTCTCGACAGCAGTAAACGGAAAGCGGACAGTTTAAAGCAGCGCCTGTACCAGACCAAGCGCCGCATCGAGAGACGCGAGCAAAGTGAGGTTCAGTGGCAGGCCAACGTAAGCAGTGAGTACCGGCCTCAGTCCACCATCCGATGCAGCTTCTGATTCCACACAGGACGTCTGAAGATCTTCTGGGGGAGTCTAGGTGCGATCGTCGCCATCATGTTGGCCCTGTCGCTCGCCCGTTACATTTGGCCTCCAGATCACGATTACGCCTCGCGCGTGGGGGTAAACGTCTCTGCCCTGAACGGCTCAGACGAAGCGGTCACATCCTTCATCCTTGACGGTGTCGGGCATTCGATCGGATCGCCTAAGAAATCACCCGCGAGCATCACGGGGAAACGTTGCTCGGCCTTGGAAATGTTTGACGAATTATGATGGGATGGAATACTTTCGAATCGGCTCTGTAACTCTACTGACCGGTGATTCGGAGCTCGGAGCTATTTCGCTGAGGGAACGATTATATGATACATCAATTACGTACGCATTATACCCAATCATGCCATTCTGCATCTACTTGTACTTCCGGTCAAATGTCAATGTATCAACCACACCTCAGCTGCAACTGCGCTTGATTCCCGATTCCCAACACTGCTCGAGGATGCGCTTGCAATTGGCTCCCTCAATATGCACTCTTTATTGTTGTACGATGTCGACAGGAAGGCTAACAGAAAAGTCAGCCGGAACATAACTGGTAAGCACACATATTTGGAGTGCACCATTCCCGCTTGCTCTCATTCGTGAAAGCGATGATATCACGCGGGGCAGAATTCAGGCAGCGCGTTGCCTTTTCTTGCCTGTTCTTGGAGATCCCGCAGTCCGCCGTTCGAAATGCGAGGCAACGAATGGGAAGCACTGGCGCCGTGTGACTGGCAGGGCCTCCCGGTCCATCGCAACATTTGGCGTATCAAACAAGCCCAATCGACACCAACCCGACGGGCACCACCCTCCACGACGCGACATCTCAGCTTCTCAGAAAGTGCCGGAAATGGCATGGCGCACTGGGCTATCGTGTTGATTGCTTCGGATCTGCTGCGTTGGCGGTCGCTGTATGGTGGACTTGCTGACGTTGGGCGACTCCCAAGTTGTCAAACGTCCGTAAAACTCCCCCGATCGCCCACCCATTGCCTCACTTCTCATCTCATCCTCTTCTCACATTTGACTTCCCGTCATTTTATCAACTCTTTGGCTTCATCATAACTTATTGTTTCTTTCATTCACATTACGCTAAGAATTCTGTCGCAAACACAGATCTTCATTTTGGACTTTCTTCTCATTGGAGACTGTCTCATGCGTAACTGACCACTAACACCATGGCGACCTTGATGACGAACTCCACCCGGCGACAAAGCTGCCAGCTCCCTTTGGACCACTCAACAAGTCTCGCGACTATCCACGAGGGTCGAACATACCTCTCTCCATCCTCCAACGGCCTCGAACACACTCGACCGTATGGCCACCCATCAAGACGGTCGATATCTTTGACGGTTCCACGGACCATGCCACCCATGGCTTCGATGAACAGCATCGGGTCTCCTGTACGAAACATCCCGGGCTTCGGTCATGTCTCCCCTTAGGCTAATTCTCAGGACCAGGATTATAACGGCGCCCCCTCCATGATCCGACACCAGAGTCATTCGGCCCTCCCTTCCCGGCCACAATGGGTCGACGATGCGATGTTGAGGTCTCACTCATCGACGGCTGCCATAGATACCACGGCGGCGGCTTCGCCATGTATCCCGTCATTTCCTGGCACCGCTCCGGCCAACTTTTCCGACGACGGATCTAGCTCATACTCGTTGAGCAACGCGGATGAGTACAGCGTCGTTGACTTTAAACAGTCGATGCTGCCAGTATGTGATGTTACTGAGTATAGCCCACTTGAGTACATCCACGCAATGGAGGACACCTCCAGTGGAGCCACTCAATCATGTTGGGCTGATAACCCAACCGAGCAATTTGCTGCTCAATTCGAGGTGTCGCAGTTTGGCTGCACACCTCTGATGACAATGGAAATGAAGATGCAAAGTTTACCCCTCTCACGCACCTCAACAGCATTAGAGCTGACAGATGCATCTCCCTTGTCGAGTGAAATGACTCGAGATAACAGTTGGAATACCAGCACCACTAGTGGTGCTGATCTTACAATGGTTCGGAGTGACTCGAGTTTCTCGAACATCTCCGATTTCAATTTTACTGCAGAACAACCTCCTTTGGGTTGTTCCGACGTTCCTTTGTTTAGTCATGTTGATGTTTTTGGTGAAGAGCAATCTTCACTCGCGCAATTCTCTTCCCCTATGACTGGTGTGTCACCGCACCAGTCACCCTTATCCTTCACACCTTGCAACAACGTGCAATCACGAAACACAGCTCAACGCAATGATGCAGGCAACCCGACCCAGTCGCGGTTGTCCCTGCGACACCAGGAGCAACTGATGCAGTCCTCAAGACCCATTGCTGCCAAAGTTGCTAACGACCAAAAACCCGTCACCATCAAAGAAGCCTCCGACCACCGTATGATGCGCATCACTTCCCGCGACGGCCACTCCAAAGAAGTCGCCGAAATCACCAAAGTCCCCTACATCCGCCCCTCCTACCCAAAGCTCCAATGTGACCTCTGCAACGAGTACCCCGACGGCTTCCGCGGCGAGCACGAAATCCGCCGCCACAAGGAGCGCGTGCACTCCACCCGCCGCCGCGTCTGGGTCACCATCGATGCCTCCCCTGACGGCAAGTTCCTCGCGAACTGCAAGCACTGCACCGGCGGCAAGAAGTACCACGCGTACTACAACTGCGCGGCGCATCTGCGGCGGGCGCATTTCAACCCGCGCAAGCGGGGGCGGAAGAGCAAGCGCGATGAGAAGCGCGGGGGGAAGGGCGGGGGCGATTGGCCGAAGATGGATCTGCTGAAGTCGCAATGGATGAAGGAGATTTATGAGACGGTCGATCCGGTGGAGGAGAGAAATGATGGCGTGGAGGGGGAATCATCGCCGCTCGAGATGGGCGAGGCCTATCCTTCGCAGTCGAGTGATGATATGCTCGACACGGTGCAGTTCGATGTCGATTTCGGCATGGTACCTGAGGCGGCTGCGGGGTATGGGTTCTCCAACACATACCCCTTCGATCCGAGTGTGCCGGACATGAGTGCCGGCTACTTTGCGACGACGGAAGATCCTTATTGTTTCCCCTGGAGGGGTCTATAGTTCTGACGTGTTTTTAATTTTCGCCTACCTTTCTTCTCTCTCACACTCCGTTGTACGAGCGGAGTTCACAGTCGGGTTTATTGCTTTCATTGGCGTTTGGACCTAGCATAGTGGGATTTTCTCGTGCCTAGGGTTCTAGTTGGGTGCTTTGGATTACTGTTTTATTGGTCTGTAACTTAGTTTTAGTCTTCTTCTTGTACATACGTCTCGGATCGCACGGGTTGATGGGAGTAACGGTCACGATGTCATGAGGGAACGGTAACAGAAATGGCACGGCAACGGCAGCGATATGATCTGGGCACGGCTTCTTCGCCGGTAAACCTTTGGCTTTTGTATTTAATAGCTAGTTCACTTGAATCTGCGGAAATCAAATCATCTCAATCCGAATCGTTCCAACACCTCCAATACCCGATCGAACAGGTGCAATTTATCGCTCCTGAACCCGGTTCATTGCTAACTGCCCAGCTCAAGCATGGGAGACCGCCTCGATATTGTTCCCCGCTGGATCCTTGACGAACGCTCCGTAATACTTCTCGTGATACTGCGGACGCGGACCCGGCGCACCATTGTCCACCCCACCCGCAGCAACCGCAGCCGCGTGGAACTTGTCGACACACTCATGATCTGCGAAACCCAGGAATGTCAGCGCTCCGAGCGTCGATCTGCAGGATTGAACATTCGTTCATGAAAAGCAATCACACGTACCATTGGCGGTGAAGGCGGTGTGGTTCGTCATGCCGGCCTCGCCATCTTTGCCGGTGATCCAGAAGTCGGGTTTCCCCGCGCCCAGGCCGGCAACGTGGAAGGGGTATTCGATCATCTTGGTGTATCCGAGTGGGGCGAGGGCCTTCTCGTAGAAAGCGAGGACTTCCGCATACTGGGCCTTGGGGACGGAGATACTGGTGTGGTCGATGGCCATGGTGAATGGTGAAATGTGAATAAAAGACCTGATTGAGTTGGAGTGAGTTGGAGTGAGGAGGGATATAACTTATAAAGTCAGTGTATAAAAGTAGGGTTCGATGTTGGTTGTTGGATAGTAGCTACAGTCTTCAAATCCAAGGCAAGGGGAAAGGCCTTATTTATATTCACAACACTCATCCCATATTCCTACTCTTGCTCGGGCAGCACGAGAATCCAAATGCCATCCACGCCCCACTCCTGACATTCCCCCGACCCTCCCTCCTGAAGTCTCTCCGGTCCGCATTTGCACGGTGAACAATTCAGGCAGCCCCCCAGTGCGGCGCATTTCGATGCACTCCAAGCCGAGTCCAAAGGCGGGGGAATCAAAACGCGTCGCCCAACGCGTTGGTGGCCGTCGCGTAGCAGACACGAAGTCCAGTGACTCCGACTCTTAAAGTTCAGTTGGTTGATGGAGTGACCGCCGGATATGGCGCGGCTGATTGGTAGGGCGCGGTGATAGTACATGCAGTCTGCATCCATCACGTCAGCCAGGATCTCGGCGCCTCAGCTGTTCGGGTAAAAATTGAAATTATCACAGCGGTGAGCTGCGACGTTTATCTGCAAACGGGATCGTTGCTGGAGAGTTGGCGGTTGGGGTGCGGCGAGTCGGAACACCGGAACACCGATCATTGCATTTGTGGGTCGATATCGGGCAGATGTTTGTCCACACTCCACAGACACATTAGAGAGCCACAACAGCATACATGAAATCAGACTGGATGGTGGGATTTAAACCTCAATTGAGTTGATATTCATATTGCTACTGTGCTGAAAAGTCTTTCTGCTCGCTCTACTCTATAGTAGTAAGGAGGCTTGTTACTCATTAAGTGAGCAGCCCTCAACAATGGGATGGATGCTTCATCTCATCTCTATCAGAGACCATTCCTCCGTTCAGCATCCTCCTGCACAAACTCCGACATTCGAAGACCCAATCATGACACCAGCTGGTGCGTCCTGGATTGCTTGGCTTGTTTAGAAAGGAAGCCTTCCAAGGTTAATTCGCAGAATTCCAGAACACGATGCGAAGCGCAATGAATCAATATATCCTCCCTCCCTCCATCGACCCGTGAATCCTACTTTGGCTGCGTGTTCGATGCAGTGAGAATCTGGAACCGGCTCTCATTCTTCGGCCGCTCCTTCGCCGCTGATCCGTGATAGAACTCGCAATTAAACTCCAGGTAGGACTCTCGCCCCTTGAACACGGTGATGCGGTCCCCGGTGTACAGCCGGCCATACAGCTTATTCCCTTCCGCATCCTTCGACCGCAGACACACTCCGTTCACCCAGATGCCGTTCTGCGAATCCGTCGTGAGGATGGTGTGCAGCCCGGGCAACTTCGTCCAGTCCCCGCCCTTCTGGTCGATCTTGTCGATGCCGGGCGCCGCGAACCAGATGATGATGCCAGTCTTGGGGATGCGCGTATCGGTGGAATCCTCGTATACGATGGTGTTGGAGGGAAGGCGGCCCCAGCTGGTGACCCGGTCTTGGAGCCGAATGGCAATGTTCTTGATCGATCCGGTGGAGGAGCGGAGCATTCCTAGGCGCGGAGGAGGGCGGATGAATTCCGGCGCAGGGGAGGAAGCGGGGTGGAGGTGCTGGGACGGGTCGGCGAGTTCTTGAGAGCCGCCCTGGGTGGAAGGGAACGAGTCCCCGACCTTTAATGAAAAGGTGGCAGCTGCAGCGATGGCAGCTGCATTCGAGTCATTGAGATAATCGAACCCGCTGATGTGAGATGCATATTCGAGGTTGTGAGTGCTTGGGTCATCGGGGTCGAAGAAGAATGACGGAGGCAGAGGCAGGCTGATCTGGCGGCTGAAGTTCGCTGGCCTTGGGGTATTGTCGTCCACGCCGTTGCTTCCAGAATGGCTGGTAGCTTCGCCTGTTTCATTTGGTGTCGTAGGTTCATTGGTGTCGGGGCCGGAATCGGGTGGGAGTGATTGAGGAGACGCCATATTCAGTTCCCGAACCATGGATTCTGTTCCAAGAAGGCTTTCCGTTACTGATTGAGCCTGTGAGTTACTCGGAACTGGTGGCTGTTGCGTGTGCAATTCGTTCTTCTGCAAATTGCGGTCGAACTGAGTGATGTCGGATGTAGGAAGTTCTTGACCTGAATTTGGTTGTGGTTGTTGGTGAATTATCCTTGGTGGATTAGCACCCAGCAATCCGGAACTTTGAAGTGCTGGCCGCCGCCCGACTTCACCAAATAGACGTGTCGGTTTCTGGGGCACCGGCATTCGCACATGACTATCGACAATTTCGGGGATCCTAGAATTGTCGTCGAAGGACGGTTCGGCGCTGGAATCCACCCCTTCGGAAGGATCACGATACTGATTGCGAGGTATCAATGGATCGATGCGAACTCTCTTCGAATGAGGCACAGCAAAGTCTTCCTCAACCACTCTTGCACCGGCTCCTGCGATGCCATTTCTATCCCTATCGACTCCAAATTCACGCTTAATGCTCAGCTGAGACATATCTTCCTGGGCTTGGGACAGAGCTTCATGCGACTCATCCACTTCTTCAATGGCACCAAGGCCGGCTTCTTCTTCTTCCACGGGATCATTTGGATCGTACAGCCAGGGATGTCGGAGGCACTCGACTTCCGTTGGTCGACTTGCGGGATCGGTATCAAGCATCATCTCCAGAAGTTCGATAGCTTCATCGGATATTTTAAGGGCCTCGAGAGGACCTGTGTCTAATCGCGTCTCCATGATCCTCTTAAGCATCGCATCACCGTTGGCGTCCATGACGCCCTCAAACGGAGGCCGCTTGCAAAGAGACGTCCACAGCACCGCTCCATAGGACCAGATATCAACGGACTGGCTGTAAGAATGGTATTTCGATGGCGTCGGGCCGTGGCGGGTTCGTTTCTGTCCCTGGCCAATGACATGGGCATCGTAGTGCGGGAACACTTCCGGCGCGCAATAAAGGAGGGTTCCGCAAAACGTCTTCAGGAACGTCTCGTCGTTTTTAACCACCTTCGACAGTCCAAAGTCGGTCAACTTGACAGTGAACGGATCGTACGAAGAGATGAGAATGTTGTCCGGTTTGATATCCCGGTGAGTGATCATCTTCTGGTGCAGATGTTTCAACGCCTTGAGAATTTGACGGGACATCTGCTTCGCCAGCGGCTCCTTCAGATAGCGTTTCATCTGAAGGTATCCTTGGAGATCCCCGAACGGCACATACTCCATGATGATATAGAGATGTTTGTCGAAATCGAGGTAGTCGACATATTGCACGATGTTCGGGTGGTTCAATTCCTTCATGATTTGCATCTCGTTGTCGAGCCGTTGATCAAGTTGCCCGTTTTTGATGACCCGTTTCTTTTCAAGCTCTTTGACCGCACGGAGGCTTCCATCTCGTTTGTTTGCCAGCCGGTATACAGTTGCGAATGCACCTTTGCCAAGGACTCCGATGACATTGTATTCCGCACCTCCATCCCATACCATGCCGAATGTGTTCGGGGCTCCGGCAATGGAAGGGCGTGTAGCTAGTCGGGTCTCAACAGGTTCTAGTCGCTTTCCCTCGCCATGGCCGAAGATGTCTTCCTTTCCCTTTCCATGTTGTTCCAGTTCGAGTTCTCTGAGTTTCTCAAGGTACGCGTTGAGGTTTCTGTGATACTCTTCATTGACGGCGCCGCTTGATAGGGGAGGAAACCGAACCATGAATCGGATCTCATCTTCAGGTTTCGGCGAAAGGATTTTGATGACAGAGCCATGGGAAAGCATTCGAGATTTATCTTCCCGTGGGTAGAGCTTCCCGCGGAGGACGGTCTCATCTACCATAGTACCGTTCGTAGATATATCCTCCAGCATCAGGACTCCATCTTCAGTCAGATAGATCCGAAAATGTTTGTTGCTCGTGCGGTTGAGACTGTCCAGTCCTAGGATAATATCGCTCTGACCGGAGTTCCTCCCAAAAACAAATCCAAGTAGAGGATTGATGGTCTTAGAAGAAAATCTCAAAGCCAAGGCATCTGCGTTAGGAGTGCCATCTCGATCTAAAATGAGTGTTTCATGCTCATTAGCGTCTGCTGGTAACAGTTTCCCCTCAGATATTGAATCACTTTTGAGCAGCACATGTTGCCGCCGTTCAGATGCTGTAATCTGGATCGCTGTAAAGGCTGCTGTCGAGCCTCCGATGAGGGTACAGATGATGTCCGCCTGCTCTGATGGGTTCAGTTCAGAGCTCTCCTCCCCAACTCGGCGAGGATCCACCATCTGCTGGGTAGCTACTTGTGTGGATTCGCCGTCCATTGTTTACTATCAAAAAATCAGTATACGTTGTTCATGCTTTGCTAAATGATTTCTCAAAGGGAGGCGATAGCAGGGACAGCCAGCTACCCATGGAATGCAGAGCAGGTGCTTTACTCACTTCACAGTAGGTTCGCGGTGTTTCAGAGAATGGCCAGAAAAGATCGGAGATGATGAGTTCTCATGCTTGGGTAGAGTGTAATATAAAAGAACAGCAAAAGTTGGAAAATGATCGAAGGGGAGTAGTCAGAATGTTGGGGCCCAAAGTTGTGCTGACATCAAAGCATAGTAACAGCCAGGAATTCACTAGATTGTGACTCATAAGAGGCACCTCTTATCCAGTTCTTATAAAAACAAGAGGTCCAATCTGCAGCAGTAGAAGCACGAGGGGCAGATGCCGAACTCCCTCGATAGCACCTCTATGCTCGTGATGCAGGCCAACCCTTAGCAAATCCCGGTCATAGGAGTCGCTTCTAAGTGCTATATTAATTCACACCATAACATATGTGCCATATAATCTTTTGCCTGACTCGTGATCGAAGGGAGTAGTCAAGAGATGTATAAGGGGGTTGATCGGTTGGCGCTACGCCTTATCGAGTATCGAGGGCGAGACGAGGCGGAGGGATATGAATCGAGTCAGATCCTGTCTTCCGACACCTTAGGATCCTTATGGACTTCTATGGGAGTAGGCACGAGAAAACGCGTTTGGTATTGTATAACAGCTTCACAGAGCGGTTCACGAGTAGCGGAGAGGGTCTCGGGAGTCCGTCCGGCGCAGGCCAAGCTGAACCTATTCGAAATAGTGAGAAGACGGTAGGGCAGAGACATGGCAAATTGGAAATCTCACAATGAATCACCTAGCTCAGGATGTCAGATCAAGCCATTCCCAGAGATTGAGACGTATGGATTGGGAGGTTGGCAACAGAACTATGAAGTTCAGTGCTTGTATCTCCAGAAACTCGAAGGTCCCCTCCAGGTTCCTGTTGTCTCCAGCAACTTTATTCTGGGGTCAGAACCGAAGAATTGCCATATATAAGCCGAATATTAACCGAAGCATACCCCTGAGAGGTGAGACCCTGACGTGTTGGTGTTTGTCCACTCCAGATACTCATCCTTTGTCAAAGCAGTAAATGCTCTCTTTCTCCGACTTCGCTGAACTGGGTTGAATATTCAAAGCCTTTCCCGTGGCTGTACACGTCAATCTTTTATGATCAAGTCGTCCGTCCCTTACCAGAAGTCTCTCCTTTCATTTGCGCATCAAATCTACTCTCTTCCTCCTCACACAGCTCCCCGAAACTAACTGTCTCAGCCATTGGGTCGACACCATGGACAACATTAGTGACCTCGTCGCACGGCTGGGTAGCGATGAAGACTCGGTCCGAAAAATGGCAGTTTTCAAGCTTCAATCCGCCATTGGCGACCCTTCCTTCGCAGACATGTTCATCAGCGAAGGCGGCCTTCCGAAGTTGCGGTTCCTCTGCCTGCAAGCGACGGGGAACACCTTAGCGTATAGTCTCACGTCGCTTTCACGGCTGCTGGAACTGGACATGGGCTGGGACCATATCTCCCAAGAGATTATTGAGCGAGTGGGTGAAGCTCGATACCTACAAGACGATCTTTGCTAATATTGTAATCAGGCGGTCGAGTTGGTCGTCACCCAACCGCTGGTCAACATCCTCCGCGGCGCCATGTCCATCCTCGTCGCCATCGTCTCACATCCACACACAGGCGCCTCTCTAGTCGGGTCCTTCGGCTTCCAAGCCCTCAAACCGGCCGTCGCGCTCTATCCGCAGTTCATGGAAATGCTAGTCGCGCGGCTTTCCTCCGCCGACCACGCACTCTGCGCCAACTCGTTGCAATTGATCAATGCACTGATGCGCGACGCGGTCACCAATGACCTGGAAGGAGAATGGCCGAAGTTCATAAAGAAATTACAGGACCTGGGCGTGATCCGCGCAGTCTACATGTTGATGCAGAGCACCGCGATCCACGATCTTGCCCATCCGTTGTTGGAGTTCCAAAGCTTGACAAAGTTGATGTTAAGGAAATGGAGGGATATCAAGGTTGACATGGAGACTGCGGACCACCGGAGAGCGTTGCGAAGTCTCTATGTTGCAAGCAGTGCATCTAAATCTGGCGGAGATGACAGCACGCTGGGTAGCAAGAAGGCACCTCCGGATCGCTGGCGGAGGCTAGGCTTTGAGACGGAGTCACCTGCATGGGAGTTTGAGAATACGGGATTCTTGGGCATGATGGATTTGACGGATTTTGTCCAGAAATATGAAGACACATACCAAAAATTGCTCCTGGAGCAGTCGACCAAACCGCTTCAACAGCGGTGTCCCATCACCCGAGCAAGTCTGGCAGTCACGAGCACATTGTACGAGCATTTCGAGGTGGATAAGTCGGACAACGAGGACTCTCAACGATATACATTGCTAGATTCGCGGACGAACTTTGAGAAGGCGTTCAAACCGTTGTTGCTTCACTGGTCTCGGTTGCATACAGCGGGTCTGAACGCTTATCTTCGCCTATGGAAGACAACTGGTGCAGAAGCCGATGATTTCGAGAAGGTCGAAGAACTGGTCCGGATCCTCGTGGAGCAGGTGGTCGGAGAGGCATCCCGCACGAAAGATATCGCCGAGGTCGAGGAAGAATTGGCCGAGTTCGAGTACCAGAAGCTCAGGGAATTGCAGATGGAATTGCTCGAGCTGACATATGAGGATGCTTGGGGCCACCACCTCCGGTATGTAAACCGACTTATTCTTTCAGCACGATTTGGCACTAACGGTACATCTAGACAAGTACGAGAGGAGCTCAACCACGAAGCCCTCCAATTTGTCAAGGAACAGCGCATCCGATGCTTACTGCAGGGAGCCTGGTTCCCGCACTCCATCGGCTATGGATCGGAAAACGGGCCTGTTACGAAGGCCAATCTCAATCGTAACGTCCCAAGCGCGTGGCGGTACGTCAAGCTGTCCCACAACCGCAGGTTCCTGCATTACGCGGATTACGAAGGCAGGGCCGAGAAAGAGCCCGGCTTAGACGATCTGAACAATAAAATCGACCTCTCCGCCGTCTCCTCCGTCGTCTCCAACGTCTCTGCCTCCCCACCTTCCACATCCTCCTCCTCATCTACCATCAAAACTACCGTACCCGCCCAAACATCCACCAAGATTACCGTCCATGGCTACATCCCCTCCTCCCACAAAGACTCCTCCGTCTCCCAAGGTGACAAGGAAATGGTCCTCTTACAGCTCAACCCGCAATCTCACACCCTCGCATCCGAATGGCTCGACGGACTCCTCATGCTCCTCAACCAGCAACCCATCACCGCGGATACGAACAAGCTCGTGAACTTGATCGGTAGCTACGGGCTGAAGATCCGCCTCCTGAACGTGCGGTTCGAGGACGTCGGACTGGAGGAGCCCGTCTTGCCGACTCGGGATGGGGTAGATGAGGATTATTACTATGATATTGGAGGCATGGATGCGGGGGCTTGAGGTAGGGCCGTGGAAATTACCCAAAGCACCCACGAAGCCCGCAGAGTACAGGACCCCTCGCAATTTGTTTCTATTTCCCGATTCTCATCGGTTTTCGAGGAGAGGACCAAGGCATGGCCCATTGTTATGCATTTAGACAGGACTGGGCGAGTCGAATGCGTGATCGCCCCATCACAGTGGTTCGAAGGCCGCACGGGTGATGAACAATCACCTATCGAATGGATGTGGGCAGCGCTGATTCCTCAAGGGGCATCTTGCAGCCCGTCCGGAGCGTGCTCTGCCCATAAATCCACGGCATGCCTAGACCTATGAACAACTTTGATTTTTGCTCAACTCTATTTGAATAGATGATCCAGGTCCGCAGGCGAAAGACTTTTGGCGGGAAGAACCGACTGAGCAATATACTCGCATCTAGTTTGGTCAAACTGAAAGATACCCTGGTGTTAGGTGTTTTGTTTCCATTTTGCTACGCAATTCCTTTATGACAAATGGTTTCCTATCGCGAGATTCAAGCATGGATCCGCTAGCAGTTGATCACACCACTGTTTTTGTCCAGTTTCGTGCAGAATTGGGATATATGACCGCATCCGGTGCATGACTTGGACACTCCTATGGATGAGAAAGCTACAGCTACAAACCTTCCATTGCTATTTGTTTCAGCCCAATTTATCAACTCGAGCTACTTCAAATATGTACATGAGCCTGTCATCCAGTGTGTGCAGTTTGCATGGCGTGTCGTAGACGCCTCTAAATTAGGGTGTCTCGCTTCCAAGTTCTCCCTCCCACCGGCGATTAATCTTCATTGAATGTCTTGAAGAACCGCCCCTTGCCTCGAGCCATCGTCATCTACTCCAGAGGATTGGCATTGTTTTGCGCGGATGTTGGTTGGCCAAGGATAGAGGTCGACAAAGAGGAGCCAACTCCTTAGGGTCGGATTTACAGTATACGGACAAGTTACCTAGACTGGTTGGGTCTCGTACAAGCTCATCTAGTTGTAGGCCTGCTCAACCAGGTCTTCAGAGGATACCTCTCCTCAATGAAGCTCTTGTCGAATGGATCGTCACTAAGAACTAGAGGTGGGGGATGTTCACCGACGGTGACCATCATCGTCCGCCCTTAGAGGGTTGTTGGAATACATCCTTTGTGATACGCCCCCAGTATTCTCCGTCAGATCCTCAAAGGCGTGACATCATGCCTAGTGGCTTTAGGACTGGCGATATGAGTGGCATGTAATCTCCGACTGTCGTTCTATGTCCGTGAAACATTGTTGGGTTTGTCCCATATATTCTTCTTTCCTTGCTGGTTATCCTTAGAGTCATCAGTATCCTACTCGTGAGGGGCACGTACATACTCACTCGTAATTAGTGTTCATTATGAAATCCTCATACAGATCTCGTTCATCTAACTCCATAGGGTCGTATATGTGGCAGCTACCCCAGCCCAACACCAGTCGTCGAAAGACTCATCTGTCCAGATTTCAAGTCTTTCCGATGTGTACTTTGTCTCCCTCGCCACTTATTTTAATTTTCTATTGACGCTTTCGCGCCGGGGGGATATCTATAGCTACCCTAAGGACATTGGGCTGGATAGAGAGACAACTGCGTGCATGGTGACTCAATAATATAAAGAACAAGCTTCGAAATGAGGTAATGGTAGAGATGCGGTGTGGCTCTTGGTACGTGATATGCTAGAAATCGAATGTATTCACGGGGAAAGATAGGGGGTGCAGGCCCGCAAGAATTCTGAATGCCCCGGCAGGCCTGAGATCGTGGGTCCAGAGTCGTCTTAGGGGATTGTTCTGTAATGGATCAGTCTATCGATACCTATATCCTGATGTTCTGCTAAATAGGTCTGCCTGGGTGAAGAGAAATATAGGCCTCCAATGAGACTCGAGGTTTCGATATTCGAAACCCCTACAGTAGACTGTTGGTTCCCCTGCGGTCAACAGGTTCCCTGTGGCACTGGCTTATCTGGAAAAAATGGATATATAGTGAATTAATGAGAACGACTGTCCTTTAGTCCCTTTCTCCGAGCACCTCTCCGTGACTTCGGTGCAGCCATCGATGATGCAAGGGGGATTTAGCAGAAACTGGCGAAAACAGAGAGTAACAACGCGAATTACCAGTTCCCAAGAGGCGTCCTAGGAGACGTTTTGTTTGGAATGAGTGTTGTATGGTGTATAGAGTGAGTACTCAGGCGTGTGCTGCGACAGCGCCCCAGAAACCGGATGTTATGAGGCAAATTACGAGACACGTTCTATAAAGTGTTGTATGGGGTGAGCTTTTAGTATGCCGGGACTGCAGCGGTCAAGGGCGACTATACACGGCCGAGAAAACGGAATATCAGTGCAACGTCGATAGTCTTCACACGAATATCAAATTCGGACACACTGATTCTTGCCATGGACTATTGTTGGCCACTGCTGAACTGCCTTGGGCTTACCTTGAATCGGTATTCCAACGGCCTTTTCTCTAGTAGACTAGGAACCTGTTCCTGATCCTCGACTCTTCCGCCTCCTTCCCCCGTGGGTGACCCTCTTTACGTACCACTTAAGTACGGCTTGCAGATGATGGAGCTGCAAATTTCTCCTTCTGTTGCCAGGTATTTTTGGCGGCCGTCGCCAGGAACTCGAACGTCTCTCCCACAATTCACGCAAGGAGGAAGGGTGGTCCCGTTGCGAAACACTTGATGGACGGGGCTGGAGTCGTTGAGGCCTTCGAAGTTGGAACGCGAGGACCCAACCCAGAATTGTGGAGGTCTGCCTCCTCCAGCTTCATGTGGTATCCCGGGCTGATGCGGTGCATTCACCGTATGGATTGCAACTTATAAGTCCACTCTAATCTTATCGTGTCGTTTCTATAGGGAGTGACTTGACATAATCTCGTCCGTGAGCCCGTTCGTGGAGTTTCCTATTCAGTCAGCATCAGTATAGAGTTACCGTGAGAAGAAGATAGCTGCAATCTTCAGAACGAAGTTGCGACTCCAAGATAATATCTACCCGGTTGACGCAAATTTCTCTGCCATAGAAATATGAGCATTCGATATTCTCTCCTTGGTGAAACCTTCCTGGTTCTCTCCCCAGATGAACCCAGTCCAGAATCGCTGTTCCTTCCCCTTCGTTACCGTTGGAACCAGCTTTGAAACCTGCTCTTGAAATGTGTCCTGGATACGAAGACTATAGAGGCATTTGGCGATCCTGCTAGCGAAGATGTCCTCCACCCTCCTACTGTTGCTAGGTCACCGGTTTTGGTTTTTGTTGGGTCACCCTGGCGAGAAATGGGGAAAGAGCGCGCCTACGAAAATGAGAGGGTCAGATCCATATTCTCCCCCACCGTGATCCGTTTGCAGAAGTTGATGAACGACGCGTGAAAGGATATGTAGGATAAACCATTACTAGCGAGATATAGCTCAATCTCGCCCCAGTCTGCCCGGTCTGCTAATACGAAGTTGATGTTCCCTCCGTTTGCGATGGAATTGTAATCGGAAACATTCAAAAGTCCACCCTCGCTTGGTTCGAAACAGACATGCGGCAGTATCGATCAAGAGTTGTCGGAGAACTCATACCGGAGAAAGTAGGAGGTTGGGGTCGAGGTTGGTTTTGATCCTGCAACAGGATAATATGTCCCCGATGGAGATGAGATATCCGAATGCACTGGTGATTGAGTGGTCTTCGCTGGTGCCCCGGGCCTGCCATTATCCGATTCCTACCCCGAGTCTGCCATGTACGGCGTGAAGAAGTAGAAAATTCAACGCCTGTGGCGTTTTGAGCGAGAAATTAAGTATGGAATAAAGAAACATCAGAATATTGTGGATTCTGCACGCAAATGAACTTGGGAAGTCGCAATTTTTGAAGCATTGAATCCTCAGCTAGTCTGACTGTCCTGTCCCGAGGACATTCGCCGGTTTGGTAGTCCATCGTCAAGTCCGAACTCGCAGAGCCTGAAGCCAGTTCTGTTTAGAACTGGCCAAGAGCCGGCCTGACGACACCCACCAACTATCGAATTTACCACGGTATCGTAGTGTTCTCCATTTGTCCCGAGAAGCGGGATTCACTCGGGCTGCTGTACGAACGGTAAGTATGACTAATAACCGATAAGCGCTTGCATATATGCAGTCAATGCTCGGACGGATGGCACTCGGATACATAATAGGACATTGAAATCCTGGATAGGCGGTTTCGGGATTTCTGCGAGCAGTACCGTTCGTTGTGTAAGCGGAAGCGGGCTAATACGAACCTGATCCGAGGAACATGAGAATGAGCACGAGATGAAGAAATAGAAACAGACGCATCGATGGGAGAATATCCCTCGAGGCTAGGCGGGACACACTAGCGAGGACACCCATAAGAAAGACACGCAGGGAGGACATCCCCTAAGAACGATAATATCGTACATTCGTGCCTGCCGAGAAGGGCGAACCTCACATTTGATTTCTAGAGTAGTTCGCTATGGAAGTAAATAAAAAACGTATTTAATATTCCTACGGGCATTCATGAATTTAGAGACTATATATAATGGGCAAACTAAGCTGGCAGCAGAATTATATTCGTTGATCTAGACTCAGACACTCAGCAGCAGGGCTTTATAAATCGAGACTTCTCCAATGTAGAATCTATGAAATGGAACATGACTTTGAAAATTGACTTTAGATTCGATAGGGAAAGGAAAGGAGATCGAGCGTTTTCAATAGACTTAAATAATTGAGGCGATAATGATGACAATTACTGGAGGAAAGAAAGCAATCAGTCTGAATCAGAGCGCAATCGGACCGCCCGTTCGCTCAACTGCATTTAAACTTCAAACCGATCGACGGCTGATCTGCTAGATCTGGTGACAGTTGATTGAGATCATCCTCTCATTCGAAGTTTGCGCGACGCTTCTGAAGATGGAATTCTGCAATCCGCATAATGGAGGAGCCGCCGCCTTTGTTCTTTGTCCTCTGTTCGTCTGATATTGTTGCGGTTTGTACCACCGCTTAAGTCAAAACCAGGCGGAGATGGTGTCCGCTTTGACCACTGCCAATGGGCCTTCGGCGGGATTTCGTCGAGATTTCATGTCCTGTGGTCTGTGGAGTGAGGTCCCTTTGCACAGTGAGTCTGCAGTCTGCATATCCGGTTGTCAAAGCTGTCACTTGTCGCTTGCGACTTAGTTGTCAGTGGTCAAAGTTGTCAAGTTATCACAGCCTCAGCAACGTAGCTTTTAGTTTCGAATCGTAACCTAGGAGGGTAGACGGGAACACGGGAGTCCTCCCTAATTAGTGGGCAATAGGGTAGAAAACTAGAAATAATCTTGTAAACTTGTAAGAGATGCAGGATATCCACGCCTGTCAAACCTTAAAAGCCCAAGCTGCTGCATGTTGCTGACTCGAATCCCCGTCCGTAGCTTCTCGAACACGAGAGAATGTGTTTGAGCCCAATGGAGTCTGTCTCACCAGCGACAAGGAGCATAGAGCCATGGTTTCTATTGGACCGAAACTGGGTGTCATTGCAACATGTTATGCAAGCTCACCGCATACCTCCGCTTCGAATTAACGATAGCCATCCATCAATTGTACGTGCGGAGGATTATCTGCATTGGTTTAGGTTAGTTGCTATTGTGAGCAGCACCCTTACCTTCGTGAGTCGTGCAGGTCCTTAGGCGGACCGTATTTCATCTTGAATGGGCCACAGGTTATGTAAGGTAGTAGGTATAGAGTAATATCAAAAATTCCAAACCTTTTAATATCCACGACCCTGGGCAACGTAGGCTTATCGCCTTTGCATGCCATTCGAAACCATGGAAATGATGAGGACATTTGGATGATGAGGCCATAAAAGTGGCACGAGCGGTCGGCTACTGAAATCCAAGCCAGTCGGGAGAGTTTCGGCGGCATCGGATTCCGGGAGCGGATATTGCGCAAGCTTCGGGGCTCTTGGCCTTCACCCGGGGACCCTGGGGCAACCCCAGCCCGCCGCCGCCCCCCGACCGCCGTCGCAATTAGCTGCCAGACTGGTAGAGGAGTGAAAAGTCGACCGCTAAGATGGGTTGACTGTTGTTAGTTGGACGGGTCTCGTGGATAACGACCAAGCGATTGACTGCCCAGTGGGCCCGTACTGCCATGATTCGCGGGCAGTCGGGGCGGCCGTCACTGGGGACACTGGCAGGAGTTACCCGTACCCTGATGGGCTCGCCCGTGGCCCACAGGAATGACTGCTTGGTGGACGTTTTCGAGTTGGAGTTTGGAATAAGAGTCAAAGGAAGAACTGTCTGCATCCAGATTGGAAGTTCGGAAAGATTTAGTGTTTCGAAGACGGTCATAAGACGACAGTTGACATTGAACACAACATGAACGGTTGGAGGATGCCACCCATCTCCGAGCGTACTATACTGGAGATAAGAGATCGTCTCCTCTGGCCCACGGGGATATTGAGGACAAAGTCTGCTTCGGTAATTTGAGCCTCTATCGACCTCTTGGAGGTTGGAAAGTTGGAAGCCTATTGTTTCCGAGAAGCAGATATGCCCACGGGTCAAGTCGCGTACTCGCGAGCCACGACATGCGGAAACCCTTTCATATTTCGGACTTCTAGTGCATCTTGGAATCAACATGAACTTTATCGCGATCTTCCCTGTCCACGACTCCACATGTAAGCTTTCGATGGGGGGACACTAACACTCAGACTGGCAGGCCTTAGGAAAACTATCTGAACTGGGTAAAGGCGGACTCGATCAGATCAACAGGCGGCGCCCATAGTCTAAACCCTTTCCCCAATAATTCTCCCCCTTCGTCCTCCCACATTCGAAATCTCAGGGACTCCAGCACTCCACTGTGGCCGGGGCCGATGATCAGATGCTCAGGGAAGCATCTTGCAATTCTGAAGCACCTCCGAATAGGAGACGTTGTGGACGTGTGGCTGAACCCTTCGTATTGCTTAGCTGTATTGTTAAATACTTTCGGAATGGAGCTTCATCTTAATCTTAATCTTAATCTCGTAAACTCGAATCCATCGTCCTTACCTACCTATCCTCCCGAACGATTGAAGAAAGCAAGGGCGTCAATAGTTAAGGTACCATTCAGGGCCTGAAGTGGCTGAACAACGATGTTCGGATCCGGCTCTCACACTTAGGACGCGCCGACGCGGACGCTATTGTACGCCTAGCCCTTTCGTCGTTCTGTGACATCCTCCCTGAATATCCAGGATATCCAGGATATCCTGAACGTCCTGAATGTCCTTGTCCTGGCATTTCCGCGACATCCATTTCACTTTCTTCACTTCCACTACTGCTTCACCCAACGACTCATAGAGTCATATCCTCCGAAGCTCATTCACTATAATTACGTGGACTCGGGTATCCTTCACTTTCTCCCTTTGAAAGCGAGACCACCACCCTTCTTCTACTGTAATACTTTCCTTTCTCCTCTCCACACACTCTCTCTTTGTCCTCCCTCATCTTCCACCAATTTAGCAACCATCCAATCAGAATTCTCCCCGGCTGCGCGCAGATGGTGAGAAGTCCCGCAACATTGTACGACTTGTGAGCCTGCACACGCAATTCGATCCATCCGGGGACGACCGAAATCAGTGTTGGGCGACGCGCGAATGCAGTAAGCCGCCGGTGCGCTGTTGCTCGGGAAGGGCTGCTCTTCTGCTTGTTTGCAAGCGCATAGCTCACATTGGGCGCCGTACCTGGATACACGTTGAAGGCGAGTCGGCTGTGGAATTCCAGTTGTAGTACTGGAGGGTTCTTTTTCAGGGGGTCCGGTACGTTTCATTGCGACAGGCTTTCACTTGGGTAGTGGAGCAGGTGATTCTGACCCGTTTGCCTAGCATTTCTCATTCAGTGAAAGTGAAACCGAATTGTCGACTCAATAGTAGTCTTTGGTCACTTCACTTCTTTCACCCGTCGAATCGACACTTCGCTCTGCCCTCGAGGCACTTGTTAGGAAGTTGCCGACTTTCCACATCGGCTCGACCATTTCCAGTGTCTCCATACCCTCACTATGGAGGCTCAACCATACAACTTTCCCGCTCGCTCCCACCGATCACGCGGTTCCGACGCAACATTCGACCAAATGGACGCACGATCTAGCCGCGCTCCATCCATTTCTTCCGACCGACCATCGGTCCTAAGCCCTCATGGATACTCCACCCTAAAATTCGTCCACCCACCACCTGGCTACGTTGCCGTTGCTGCAGCCTCGCAAATGGTGACGGATACCAACAATGCGATCCTCCGGGATCGATTCGACCTGCGAGATACGTCCCCATCTCCAATTGGCGAAACGGCACTCTTTTCCGAAGATGCGCTGGCTTTGCTGAATGCGTTCTTGGATTATATTCTCTATCGAGTCCTGGGTGCGGCAAGAGGGCCGGGATTGGCCAGACTAAGGGGTGCGTTCGTCGAGGTCCTGAAACCCCGCTTGGCGAGAGACGCGATGGCAATCGCGGAGGAGGAATTGAGGGATTTGATGTCCGAAGAGGAAGAGGAAGATGAAGAGAGCGGAGGTCGGAGGGCCATCGATGATATGCTTGATGATGCAGATAGAGAAGTCCCGGAGAGGTGGGACTTGGATGGAACCTTCAAGAGAACGCGCCTACGAGTGATGGTCTACACCCGGCTTGGAGAAATGGAGGATGAAGACGAAGAGCGATATTTGGACCTGGACAATGCGGATATCCTCTCCGGTCTAGGACTCGTCTCTGGCGCGTCCGCCATTTTCCTTACCTCCATCATCGAATACCTCGCCGAACGAATCCTCGCCATCGCCGGCGCAGCAGCATATAATCGAGTGCTCGGGAAGCGACGCGTTTCCACAGCTCGTTCTCCCGCCGTGGCCGAATCAGCCGCTCCACAACCGCAGCCGGAAATGAGACCACCCCGCATCGTCGTCGAGGATCGTGACCTTGAAAAGGTTGCCCTCAACTCCACGCTCGGCCGCCTCTACCGCACCTGGCGTCAACGCACCCGCCAAGATAGCAGTGTTCACTCGTCCATCCATTCTCCGCTTCACCATTCGGCTACGTACGCGCATTTGACGCTTCCGATGAGTCCCGCGTCATCGACGGCCGAGGCCGTCGACGGTGGAAGCCTTGCGCGACAAGACTCAAATGTCTCCGAGCACGTGAACGAAAACTTGCCCGAACATGAGCCGTCGGAGACGGAGATCGCAGCGAATATTCCGCTGCCAGAGGGCGAAGATGATGTGCGAGAGATCGAGATTCCCGGCCTCGCGAAAGAGATCACAGACGATGAGGACGCGAAGGAAGACGAGAGAAGTGATGCGCCAACTCCGATTTCGAGGCCCACGAGGCCGCATAGCTTTTTCTTGCCGATGGCAAGGTTGCTCGGGTTGGACGACGATATGGATCGCCCGGAAGTGCAAAGGCAGAGGTCGAGTTCCGTTCCGGCGCTGGAAAGAAGATCGTTGTTTGAAGAGACAGATGACGGAAGGGAGGAGTTCATGACGCCAACGGAGGAATTGTTCAGAGGTGATAATGTGGATGGACAAGAAGGGGCCGCGAAAGTTGTGGCTAAGACAGAAGAGGATGATGATGGGTCAACCGATGAAGAAGCTGAAGACGCTTACCGCATTACCTCTGACGACGAGGCCGAACCGGTGGTTATGAACATCAAGCGCGTCTCTATAGGCGTTCCGCCGTCGCCTCCCGCGGTCGTCGACACTCCCAGGCATTCCGGCAGCATTCGCTCGAAGAAATCTCGCGATACTAGCACTCCCGACATCTCGGAATTCCCCGACGAAGTTGCCGAAGATATCGCCTATCCAGGGCCGCCGGCACCAGCTTCGGCAGGACTGGGCAGCACTAGAACATCGGAGGAGTCCCCGCTCGGTCATGCGCGACCCCAGGGTCTTGCTATTGATAGCACCCCAACGCTTCCCCTGGACGATCCCGAAGCCATCGGCGTTGCGAGGACCACGGATATCCCGACTCCCGCTTCCGCATCACCTAAGGCGGAACAGGGCTTCAGCAAGACGAAACAAAAGGCAGATTCGATTGCCGACCGCGCACGAATGAGGGCGTCGGTATCACCGCCGATCCCTCGCAGCGTGCCAAGCCCGAACGAAAACTCCGCAACAACTGCCGCCCCATTGGCCACTGCAGAAGAAAATTCTGTAATTGCAACAGCGAGTCGAAACACAGACTCTCCCGAATTTCCTGCGAGAAGTGCAGCGTCCGCCGCGGGGTCGCGTTTCACAGGCCCTGATGCGGCAGAAAATGCGATTCCGTCTGAGGGCGGCAGGGGCGCCCGGACCGATTCGCCAAGCGATCGTCCGCTTCATGCGCCACCCCAGCCAGGACCCCGATCGCAACGTGCAATATCATCGGGCAGCGGAAGCAGTGGCACGACGGGAACGACCTTGCGAATTGTTACGCCCCTGCATGTCGTCGGCGGAGAACAAAAACCCGCAGTGCCCAGCCGCTCGAGCGATCGGGCCTCCCAGAATCCATCACATTCGCAACAGGCTCCGACTGCTCTGGTTAGCAGTAGAGACGGGACGACGGCGACAAGAAGCGCTAGCCAAGCTCTTCGAGACATGCCATCGACCCCGACCGGACAGACTAGGAACTCACCGCCGAATATGGGTCCTGCTACCGCGTGGGCTCCCACGTCGGCTCCTAGCCCAAGGAACTTCCGAGAATCTCCCCGTCGCTCCGCTGATACCGCTCCTAGCGGACGAGGTAGCAGCGCGAGTGCCGGGTCCACTCGTCCTCGAGCTCCCTCGATCCAGACTGCCATCAATGAGTCCCCGCAGCACCGACCGGCATCGTCGACCCCCTCGGGCCGTCGGTCCGGGTCAATCCACACGACGACGACGCCTACGCTGCACAAGACAAACGGCTCGGATACGAGCTTCGGACTCCTGAAGGGCAGTCTGGATCCGAGACAGAGCACAGAGGCGAGGGCTAGGGATTTCGATGCCTTGGTTGCGGGTGAGGACACCGTCAAGTTCAAGCTGGTGTCGCCGGCGATGCAGGACATTGAAAGTTTGCCTCCACGCGGACCGACGAATGCTCCTGCTGCTGTCCCTCCTCGCCCTTCGTCAAAGGCTTCTGTTGGCAAGGCTCCCGTGTCGTCTCCGTCTCCGGATCCTTCTTCTACTAGTTCTTCAAAGTCGAGGGGACCGGTTCCCGTCTCGCGTCCTGCACCTCCGAGCAGCTCCAGCTCCACCAAAGCCGGCCTCCTCGCCCGCGAGCCGCGCATCCAGTCCGAGTCGATGCGCGACTTCGCTGATTTCATCCGCAGCACGGGGCCGTACGGCGAGCAGATCGTTCAACCGCTGGTCGATCCGTCGGCACTCCCGCGGCACAGCATGAAGGCAGCTAGGTCACCCCAACCCAGCACATTCAGTGCCAATAGGAGCACCTTCGGTAGCACTTCCGCCTCCAACAGCAGCCTGGGTCTCTCACGCAGCCAATCTGACGCAACAGCAACCAGTGTCCCGACGCGACGCAAGCCCCACCTGGAGGCCCGATCCGCTGCGGTCGCATCCAACGATGGCAGCTCCGATCTCATCGACTTCATACGCCAAGGCCCGCCCGCCGCCAATGGCGAAGGCCGCCACCGCATTCCCCGAGCGGTCGCGCCGTTCCGAACGACGATGGACAGTGATGATCTAGGCCAGCTGGAGGCCACCGGTGGATTCGCCTCCCCGCACACTTCCATGGCCAGCACCGTGAACTCCCGCTTCTCCGCCGCGCCGTCCCACGGCTCCGCGGCCCCGCTGTTGCCATCTGCTCGCTCCTCCTTGCAATCTCGCGGGAATCCACCCTACAAATCCTCTCTCGCTAGCTCCCCCGCGCAATCCGCACCCTCCCCGAAAGCCACCCTCGCGCCCCCCGGCGGCTCCGGCTTCCCCCCGCGCACCCGCCGCCGCATCAAAGACCCTTACGCCATCGACTTCTCTGACGAAGAAGAGGATGACGACGACGGTGAGCTGCTCATCAACCCTTCGTCGAAGCGCCCGCCGCCGCGCAAGGAAGAGAGCCTCGCCGACTTCCTCCGCAGCGCCGAGCCGCCGGCGGGGAACGCGCCGAGCGCGCTATCCCCACGGGCCGGCGTGCCTTCGAGTCGTGGCGCGGGACAAGGTGGGGTGATTCCCGGGCCGTCGCGCGAGGAGGGCGGACGCATGATCGGGATGATGGGGAGGAGTAAGGTGGCGGCGAAGGACGCGAGGGCGGGTCGGCAGTCGTCGACGAATGAGTTGGCGGACTTCCTGCGCAATTCGGGGCCGCCGGTAGAGCGGAAGGGGGATGGTGGTGCGGCGGCGAAGGTGGAGAAAAAGGATAGGGAGAAGACGAGCTTTTGGAAGAGGGGGAAGCTGAGGGGGTGAGGTGGTTGGTAGATGTGAGAGGAGGGTGGTTGTGAATGGGGTTGAGTGAGCATGACGGATGGAGGAGAAATTGGGAGGCGAAGAGTTACAGGACGGCAGCGTAATGTACAGGAAGATCTGTGGAAGCTGGATGGAAATGGATGATCCATGAACTGTATGAAGAACGACGGAAACGAAGGATCGCGCATTCGTGCGTTTCATTTGTACATCGATATTTATATACCCCCCGCTGAGCTGATTGTCTGTCGTCGGATGGACGCAATTCTCAATGGCTGTATAATTGCTTCAATTAGTATAATGTCTATCCTACTGATTCGGATTCCTTCCGCTCATTCTATTGCGTGCTGTGGACTTGGTGATTAGTCTGCATTTATAATACGGTTTGCTTCTAGGTGTCTATGCTCCTAGAGACCCTGATCCGTTTGGTTAAGAGACATTCTGTCTGAAGGAACAACGATACTCTTGTTCGCAGTGCATTGCGCTTTCATTTCTGGAGACACCGTGAACAGGTGATGCCCGAACCCCGCATACGCAATAAGGAACTAGGGAAGGGGAGACCAGGGTCCAGCCACCTTCTTATCGCGGGTTCAGATCCGACTTAAGAGGCGGCGGAGTTGATCACAAGGTTGACTCACGATTACCACTTTGATTCAAACCAACGTCTAGACAAGAGATAGATATTCACGCCGGATTCTCCTTGTTCTGTCTCCATTTGCTAGATTCTATTACTGAATAGGTACTGATCCTCCTCACCATGGGTTCCGCTCAGAGCAAAGCGCCAGAGCAGACGTCGGAGGAGAAGCTCCTGGAGCGGCTCCGTATGATCCGGTTGCAAGACGCCGGGTCAACGGGCGACTACATCTCGGTGGATAGAGGAGACCGTAAGAGTTCTATACGTGAAATTCTCAGCGTGGTACTGACTCCGTCTAGCCCCCGCATATTCTCCTCGAATCACCTCCTTGTCGATCTCCGCTGCCGAACAATGGGAGAAGGAGCTCTTAGAAGACCCTAAGGTACGATGGTTTCCATCATGGCCGACACTCCATTTGCTCAGATCGCAATAGAACCGTCTCGCCCTCGCGGCCCTGTCCTCCAACGCCGCGAACGACGTGCTCCGCTCCCGCGCCGTCACCATTTCCGACGCCCAGAACTTCAACATCAAGATCCCCTTCGAGGGCAGCCCCGTCACGAACCAGCGCTCGTCCGGCCGATGCTGGCTCTTCGCCGCAACCAACGTCTTCCGCGTCGCCATCATGCAGCGGTACAAGCTGAAGGAGTTCGAGCTGAGCCAGGCATATCTGTTCTTCTGGGACAAGCTGGAGAAGGCGAACTACTTCCTGGAGAACGTGCTGGAGACGGTGGAGGAGCCGTTGGATGGGCGGCTGGTGCAGGAATTGCTGTCGAGTCCGGTCGGTGATGGCGGGTACGTAACACGAGTCGACCCCTTACGTTGATCGTTTATTGACGCCGAGCAGACAATGGGATATGGTCGCCAATCTCGTCCAGAAATACGGCCTCATCCCCCAATCCCTCTACCCTGACTCCTTCAACGCCATGAACTCCTCCGCCATGAACGGCCTCATCACCAGCAAACTCCGCGAAGATGGCATCCGCCTCCGCGCCATGTCCCAGTCCAAAGACCCCTCCGTCCGCTCTTCCATCTCCGCCACCAAAGACACGATGCTCCGCGAGATCCACCTGATCCTCACTGTCATGCTCGGGCCGCCTCCGAGCCCGACCGCCACGTTCACCTGGGAATACCACGACAAGGACGGCGCGTTCCAGTCGCTCAAGGCGACACCGAAGGACTTCTCGAAACAGCTCTCCGACTCCAAGGCCGTCCGCGCATGCGCCGGGACCGATGTCCACAAGCTGTTCAGCCTCGTCAACGACCCGCGGAACGAGTACGGCCGGCTTCTCACTGTCAACCGCCTGGGCAACGTGCACGGCGGGCGGCCGATCACGTACGTGAACGTGGACATGGCGACGATGAAAGCGGCGGTCGTCAAAATGATCCAGCGCGGGATCCCCGTGTTCTTCGGGTCGGACGTCGGGAAATACAGCGACTCGCGCAAGGGGATCATGGACACGGCGCTGTACGATTACGAACTGGGGTTCAACGTGCAGTTGGGATTGACGAAGGCGGAGCGACTGATGACGAGGGAAAGCGCGATGACGCATGCGATGGTGTTGACGGGGGTTCATGTGGTGGAGGGGAAGGCGGTGCGGTGGAGGGTGGAGAACTCGTGGTCGGAGACGGCGGGGGAGAAGGGATACTTCGTCATGTCGGATGCGTGGATGAATGAGTTTGTCTATCAGGCGGTGGTGGATCCGGCGTTCGTGAGCGAGGAGGTGAAGAAGGTGTTGGGGCAGACGCCGAAGGTGTTGAATTTGTGGGATCCGATGGGGGCGCTGGCTTAGAAGGTTGCACTGGAGCATTTCTATTGATTAAATCATGATTGTACGCATTAATATTGGATTAGTTATGCGATATGACAGCAGCCGGACTAGCTTATATTTCCTCAATGACATCTCTCTTTTTCAAATCTGGAACCGCTCGCCACTTTAGAACGATGAGTGATAGGCATGTACCGTCCAGTAAAAGTAGACTTTGGTTATCGATCCACTCGCGTATCCTTGCCTCAACGAATTGGTGTCGAGAAGGTCTCTATTCCGAAGGATCCCATGCGCCATGCGCCTACGACCCGGAGTGCCTCCCGACTTCTTTGCTGCCTAGTATACCTCACCTAATATGGACCATTCGGCCTACTTATTACCACATACCTCTCTGGTCGACAGACCAATTTTCTGGCCGACCTAAGAAAGCATTGTTTGCCTTCCTAGTGATCTCGCGTGTGCATTTCTTGCTCATCATTCCCCCTGAATGTTAGGCCACGGTTCTTCCACCACTGATTGATGGTCTCGTAAGCCTTGCTAAAGTGGTAAGTCTATGCCGTTCTTTTGCAAGCAGGATATCCATAATACCAGTGAAACACCTTTGTCGAATGTGCATCGTCAGGATGGTTGCACTGGTGCAGAATACATTCTCGAAACCCGTCGAACAGCTTCTCATTCGCTGCATTTTCATCGAAGCCATGCGGACGGTTGCCAAAACGGACGAATTCGGTCCCATGGGGCTCTTCCCTCTGGCCCAAGATCGGAAATGTGGCTCCGTGCTTTTGCGTGCCTGAACCTTCTTTTTCGACTTAATATGCTGACCGATATCAATATCAGCGCTGCATGACTCGTCGTTTTCAGATGTCAAGTGTGTTTCGTCGGACTGATTACAGCTCGAGAATACACTCTCCGGCGAAGATTCGGTTGTCTCATTTGCAAGAATGACTGCACTATCAGTAACTGGTTCGCCCATTGCAAGACCCAAGGTACTCTTAGGTACACCATGCGCACTCTGGGGGTCTCCAGCAGTGTCAGGGATACTGTTTTCATGTCCGGACTCGACAGTTCCGAATGATGATGCACCATTTTGCTTGGTTTCGCCGAGCATTGGCGAGCCGCTGAATTGGAGGCTTCTAGCTTCGACATCTCTCTGGGAGTGGTCTTGATCTCCGGATTCTCAACCTTCATCGGCTGGTTACTTGGCAATGCGCTTGGTGCGTCTCCGTCTCCATCAGTGGTTGGATCTTGAGGTAGGCATGTCGTCGCTTGATTTTTGCGAGGCGTCTGTCAGGAGAAGAGCCTGAGGCAATTCGTTTTTGAGATGGACGCTCGATTAAGCGATTGACGTTCTGCTTCATTCCCTGAGGGTCTGGCATTGTGGACATCAATGAGTGTTGTATGGTGAGTGTTGGTAGTGTGAAATTGGGGTGTTTGCAATTGGTCACTCACGAATCCCTGAGGAGAAGCATTAAGTTCACAAGTTGGCTTAGAGGAAGAAGAAATATGAAGGGATCAGGTAGGATTATCGAAGGTAAGTGGTGACTGGTGAAGCACTAATAGTGATTTATATGCAGGGACTCGATCCAGGGTCCAGCACGCATGCGGATCCTCCCGCCAAAATCTCGATCTTTGGGGTTAATTTTGAGCTGCTGATTGGTTGGATTTCTTGATGTACCACTGAACTAAGGAACGGCCCACATTCTCAACCCATACAGGTAGGGGGGGCTGCTTGAGTCTTGACCCTTGAGCCTCCTTCGGCTCTGCTCTACGGAGTATATCAGCTTTCAGTAGTGTATTCCGGCAATGGTCTGCTCCGACGCCGCTTCTTTCGATGTGGATTTCGATGTCAGTACAAGACCTCTTTTGCAATGTGAAGGGCCTCAACATAAACTCACATGTGACAGGTGCTACTGCTAGTGGCGGTTCTTCCAGTACTCGAGCAACCCGGACTCGCATCCTAACATCTACCTATGATGGCGCGACACTTCTCTTCGAACAATTTGTAACCCAACTCTCGAACCAAATTCGAAATGTGTCGTAATCATTCACTAAACTAGATCATCAATTCGTGACCAACGCAAGAGGGGCACGAGGGGTATCTCGCTTCCATATCCAAACTCGCTTCGCTAATATCAATGCTGCTGAGAATCCAACGCATCCCTTTCCCACTTCAACTGCTGCACAATCGCCTTCTCCGTCTCCAGCTCCGCCTCGAGCGTCGTGATCCGATGCGACAGTTCCACGATCTTCGCATCCTTCGCCTTCACGGCTAGCCGAGACACCTCCCGACCTCGGATCACCCCCTCCATCCGCATGGCCCACGGCATCAGGGATCGCTTCACTCGTTCCGCAGATGGCGAGTTTGGGCCGTCATATCGTGCTGCGTTGATCTCTTGGAAGGTGTGGAACAGGTCTTTGACGATGCCGTCCAGCTCTCCGATGATACTAGGATGGGCGTGCTTCGAAGGCGTGGTGTGCACCGAACCCGAAATTGCGGTGGCTGATGCGCCTCGGGTCCGGACGGGGCTAGGGGTGGGCGGGAATAGATCATCTTCGAGGTCAAAGGAATCGGGTACAAAAAGGCGTTTCGATGGGCTTGAGGAGGCCTCTGCGTCTCGAAATCGACCGCCAGTGGTGCCGGTGATGGGGGTTTCTAGTCCTATTCCATTACCTCCAGCCTCATCACGCGTGTAGGCATCCCACTTGCGCTTTCCAGTTGGGGTCTCGTATGGACTATGATGATGCGTAGAAGTCGTGTCGTCGCGCTCATTCCTCGATCGTGAATAGCTCCGGGCGTCCGCATGGCGATCATCATCCCGCTGATCCGGTCTCCAATTCGAACCCTCTCCATTCGATCGGAAGACCGACGGGGTCGAGTGCTCGTTGGTCTCCGGATGTTCCGATTCCACACCCGGTCCGGTTTGCTCCACCGGCTGGTACGGGGGTGGCGGACTTCGCATTGTCTCCCCTCGCGGCGGGCTGGGTGCAGCAGGTGCCGGCTCTCGTGAATCGCCTAGGATGGCGGGCGCCTCGCGAGGCTTCGCATCGGTCTCCCATAGAAAGAAGCCGCAGCGCTCGCCTTCAGGCTGCTGGCAGGTGTAGAACCAGCGGCCTTGGTTGCGGCCTTCTTTGCGGACTCGGAAGTATTCAGCGGGGAGTCGAGGGTCGCAGTCGCCTGTTATCTTGTTAGATATCTGCCGAAAATGTGATATCGTGGTCCACGATGTAGGGCGGACTGAACTTACAATGCCAAACTCCGTTCTGGAACTGACCCCGCGGTCTTAATCGGTTGAATTGATACCCACCACGTCCTCTTCCTCGACTCCGATTCATAATTTGTTCTTCGGGAAGGTATAGAGATGCCTGAATTGACTTTCTGGAAAAAAGAAATGGCCGTTTTGAGTAGACGTATTTGCAGTATTACAGAACGGTAGACAAAGGCGCCGTCGATGTTGGAGACCCAGACAAGCTTCACCTCCATCAACCAATCGCGGGGCAGGGAGAGTGGCTGGGATCACGTGTTTGGACTTCCGCATCCGTCTTAGCGCATCTGGAAAAGTTCAGTTTCGAGTTCATGATTAAATCGTTCGTGAATCTTTGCCATCTTCAATTCTTCATCCATCAATCAGAGCCTCTCTTTTCATTCACTTTTAGGGATTCATCCGGCCAGCGCGACGGAATTGTCTCTTGTCTTCCATATCTTTATCCTTCTGCACTCATTGAAAGTTTAATTCCGCCGATCCAAGTCGTCCATCATGTAAGTTCAACCCTGATATCGCATGCAACGCCTGCGCGTGAAATGGCTGCGACTAACGGGCGAAAGGCATTTCCTTCGACGTGCTGCCTTCCGGGTAGTGTCTACTTCTACCCGACAGGTCAACCTTTCTGCTCCCCGAAACATTCGTCCCATCACCACTGTCAATGCGACTGTTCCGCGGACACGCCTCTCAATCGCCACGTCGCTGATCCAAAGACGATTTGCCAGTGATGAGGCTGTCAAGACAGATGAAGAGAAGCTTGCTGAGAAGGCAACGTCAGATGCGCTGGCCGCCGAGACTTCCACTCTGACGCCCGCTGAGCAAGCAGAGACCGTCGTTGCAGAGCAACCTACCTCAGGTCAGTAATTATCTCCTGTTTGAAACGACTCGTTACTCACATTTGCCATTTAGATGCCTTGGGAGACGTTGAAGGACGCGCTACTATCGCAGCCTCTGCCGTCGGTCAGGAGCGGGCCCCGAGGTCTAACGCTCCCAAACACACCCTTTACATCGGAAATTTGAACTTCGAAGTTACCGATGATCAACTCAGCACAATGTTCAGCGAGTTTGGAACGTTGAATCAATGCACCATCGTCAAAGATCACCGTGGTCTACCAAGAGGGTGAGAACTCCATTAGCATCGATATGCGCCCAGCAGCTAGGATTGGCAAGCTAACGAAACCCAGCTTCGCATTCGTGTCTTTCGAGACCAAGGAAGCAGCCGACGCTGCCATCGAAGCCATGAACGAGAAGATCGTCGCCGGCCGCATCATGATCGTCCACCACCGCACCGGCACCTCGTCCAGCCAACCCCGCCAACGGCGCGAACACACCACCCCCCGCCCCGAATTCCCCCCGTCCCGCACCCTGTACATCGGCAACATGTCGTGGCAGATGACCGACAAGGACCTCACCGAGCTCTTCCGCGGCATCCGCAACGTCCTCGACGTCAGAGTCGCCATCGACCGCGCCACCGGCCACCCGCGCGGCTTTGCGCATGCCGACTTCGTCGACACGGAGAGCGCGACATCGGCGAAGGCGGTGCTCGATAACAAGCTCGTGTATGACCGTACGTTGAGGGTCAACTATGCCGAGACTTCGGCGAGGGCGAAGACGGCGCCCGCCGCGCAGGATGAGCAGAATACCCTCGCATGAATGCGTGAAGGGGGATCGAGGATGTGAGTGGTATCGCTTGTCTGGACTTGTTCCTGTGAAAGGACCAGCCTTCGTCCGGCCTTTGTCTTCCACTTGGCGCTCGGAGTGAGACGAATGGTAAAGAGGGGGTGTTTTCTCGGGGCATAATGGGGCTCATATCCGGACGATAACGGCTGTCTGTAGCCACTGCGATACCTATTGCGATGTGGCCAAAATTCCTTGGTTATTTTCCTATTCTGTCTTACTAGCTTAAATTCTGTCCTTTGTATTGCATTTGTACCATCAAGGGGAATAGATGTTTATAACGGCATAATCACGTTCTCCGCTTCCAAGAGGCATACTGCGCCCTGTGTCAATTTTCTGGATATTTTATTGTCGTTTCTACGTCGACTTCATTTTGAAAAGAAGCTAAATTTCCAGGGTATTCTATTCATAACATCCTTACTAGTAATCCTTCAAAAGGAAACTTTTCAATCCGCCAGAACGACTTCATAGAATCGCCACCGCTCCCGCTAGAGCCACCACAGCTTCCATCCCCCAAGTCTTGATACCCACCAATCCCCCTCCCACGACGCTCGACGACGGTCCCGCCCGCTCCGACGAACTCGTCACCCCAACCGACCTCGTCCCCCCCACCGTACTAGTCGTCCGATTATTCACCGACAACGTCGTCCCATTTCCAGTGCCATTCCCCGCCGCCCCGCCAACGCAACACCGAATATTCCCCGGGCCCCCACACAGACCACTCACGCTCTCCCCCCCCTTCGCCGCGCAAAACTCCGTACTCACGCACCCCGCCCCGCCCCGCCCCCCGCACTTCTCGTCCAACGGCAGCGAACAGCACCGCACGTCCACGCCCCCGGGGCACAGCCCCGCCGTCGACGACCCGCCCTGCTCGCTGCAGGAGTCCACGAGGATGCACGCGCCGCCGCGGGCGCGGCAGCGGGATTCTGCGGACGGGTCGCCGACGCCGCCTGCGGTGGCCCTGGGGGTGGCGGTGCCGGTGCCAGTAAGTGTGGCGCGGACGGCGGGAGGGGAGGTGAGGGATGCGCGGCCGAGGACGAGGGTGGGTGCGCAGAGGCCGTGGTTGGCGGGGTCGCAGGTGGAGCCGGAGGGGCAGCAGAGATTGGTGAAAGGGGGGGAGCAGCGGAGGGCGGAGAGGCAGGTGGTTTGGCAGAGAGGGATGTTGGAGGTGGTGCGGGTGCATGGGGCGTTGAGGGGGCAGCAGCCTGGGGAGGTTAGTTGGGGAAGAGGGGTTAGAGGGGGAGGAATTGGTACCGGTCATGTCGGGGCAGATGGTATCGGATGGTTGTTGGCATATGGCTTGCCGCTTGTCGAGGAGGAATGCTGGGGAGGTGATCTGTGGGTTCCGCGCGTGGAGCGCATCGGAGGCCACCAGATCTGAGAGAAGGCACAGAACGAAGATACAAATCGAGAAGCGATGCATGATGGGACTTGAAACGGCGATCGTCGGGAGCATTACGACTCAAACGTCTAAACCAAGGACTAACGACCATAGGAAACCAAAAAATTGGGGTAGCCCGAGGGCCTCCTTATAGCCACCGATCATCGTCTATCCACACCTTCGATTAGAGCCCAGAGGTCGGAGCGGGAGTATCCTGGTGAGAAATGAGGGTGCCCAGGTTCCAAGCAAGCATCTCCGCCAGTTTGTGCCATTTTGGAGCCAAATATAGCGCCAGGGCCAGCATTTAAGAACTGGGGGAGTCTTATAAAGTTATGGACAGGGACACATGGTGCCTGTCGTGGTGTGCTTCAATTCTGCCTTGTGCAACGACTCCTGGCCAACCGACAACTGCATATGGTCAGTTCGATACGATATGATTCAATTTGTACCACGATATCCGGTGGTCTGGGACAAAGAATGGGTGTTCTGGTCATATTAATGCACCTCGCAAACACCCAGGTCTTATTTGATCCAATTCAGCTGAGGCAAATCAGTGCAATGTACAGATCAGTGTCTCGTTCTCTCTTCAGCAAGTTAGGAACGATTAATTTATCGTTATATTGACCAGATGGGGTGCAGCAGAGGCTGCATTACGATGCAGTAACGTCGCTGCGCCTCTTCTTGATCACGGATGCCGCTTGGGGTCTCGAATGCTGTGTTCCACAAACCCGAAGGAGAATTCCCCGGAAAATACGAGAGACATATGTATTTGAGATGCAACATTCCTAGAATGGCACCTGAAGTTGGGCGATGAGATAGAGGATGGCGACTTGAGATGTTGAAACGGGAGGGGGACAGAAACAAAGTTCATGCACGTGACCAGGAGCAACAGAAACAATTGCTGCCTTGCGCCTATGGCGTTCTGCCTTGTTGCCTTCTGGTCCCTCATCTCCAGCATTTCGGAAATCGGAACCGGAACTGACGCCTCTCCCGACACCTCTTCCTCATGTGGACCAGATTTATGTTCACGTTGCTACCTGGTACGGTGGCCTTCGACAATCCATCATCTGCCATCTTTCAGGTCATCCTCCTCGGCTCCTAGGCTGCCATCATCCTCTTTGTCTTACATTGCTAGACATCCATATTAACCTCCTCCCCGTTCGTTGTGAGGAGATAGTCGTTTCGCCGTTCTCATTTATCCCCTCTTCATCCTATCTGATCCCCTAATACAAGTACCTGAATCTTGAATTCCGCCATATATTGAAGGTAGTACAACCATCACGGTAGTCCACCGCTGAACTCGCGACACCATGAAGGATCCCTTCCCCCTCCAGCCCTCTCCCCGCATCAAAATCGCCATCGACCACTACCTCAGCCGCGTCGCGGAGCCGCTCGACCTCTCTACCCTCCACTACCACTCTCACGAGGTCGCCCTCGCCTTCCTCTTCTACAACTTCATCTACAACCGCCTGTCGCCATGGATCTCTATGAAGCTCTGCCCGCGCACCTACGCCAATCTGCCGCGCAAGACCCGCCTCAACTGGGACATCCACGTCGTCTCGTTCGTCCAGAGCGTCCTGATCAGCGCCATGGCGCTGTACGTCGTCGCGGTCGATGAGGAGCGGAAGGTCATGGGGCTGGCGGAGAACTGGCCGGAAAGGATCTGGGGGTACGACGGCGGATTGGGGTTGATCTTGGCGTTTGCATGTGGGTATTTCGCGTGGGATTTGGCCGTCAGCCTGCTCCATGCAGATATGTTTGGATTCGGCATTTTGGCACATGCGGTTTGTGCTCTGACGGTGTTTACACTTGGTTTCGTAGGTCCCATATGCAGGTGATGTGTAAGCGACTGCATGCTAACATTATTCTCCAAGCGGCCATATGCTAATTACTTTGGGCCGACCTTCATCCTCTACGAGCTGTCCACACCCTTTTTGAACATCCACTGGTTCTGCGACAAGTTGAACCTTACGGGGTCCCGGATACAGCTGATCAACGGCATCATTCTCCTCTGCACCTTCTTCAGCTGCCGCCTCGTCTGGGGAACCTATTCCTCCATGCAAGCCTTCTCCGACATTTACCGCGCCTGGACCGCCGACAAGGATGAACTCGCCCTCTACCTCGACCGCCGGACGGCGGCCCTCCTCCCTGGCTCCGAAGACACCATGCGGTACGCCGGCGAAATGCACATGCCCGCCTGGCTCGGCGCCACCTACCTCGCCGCCAACCTAACCCTCAACTCGCTGAACTTCTTCTGGTTCAACAAGATGATCCAGACGATCCGCAAGCGGTTCGATCCGCCGTTCGGGACGCGGCGCGCCGAGAAGGGGAAGGGGAAGGCGGAGGAACCGGCGGATGGGGGGGTGCTGGTGGCGAGTGATGTGCAGGTGGGGCGCGGGGTGGGTGCGGAGGGGAGGAAGTCAGTGGAGGTGGAGGCGACGAGGCGGGTTAGGAGGCGGAATAGCTTTGATGAGATTGCGGATGAGATTGCGGAGGCAATGGAGGGGATGACGGGGGATGATAGCGAGCTTGTTGGGGGGCTATAGCCCGCTTGGGTCATCCTGTTTCATATTCTGGGGGGACCTGGATATAATCCCTCGACCTATTGGTATGAAGCTGATGACAAGAGGTGTCAATAACGCAGATGGTCGTTATTGGCTACTACTATGTATTATGTCGGCTGGTCAACGGCGGACAGCCATTGGCGGAAGCGAGATCCCGCAGTTCTGGATTGAATTTAGGGAGAACACTCTTTACGTATCATACATCGCATACTTAATTGAGAAATTAAGATTCCCTAATGACCGACGAAATGTAGAACAGACAATATCGACAAAAGCCAACCCCTCCAGAAGCTACACGCCAGTATGATAGGCGACTAGCATCTCTGATGCTCTCAGCATTGGGGATTCTACGCACTTTGCCCTTGGAATCAAAGGGGGGCGTCAGAGCCCAGCAGCTCAAAGAGGCTAGGTATTGAATTTTGTTCTGTTGATGGCACGTCAATTAATTTGCTTGAAATACTATCTAAAACAATCCGATTGCACACAAAGTCTGCACACAAAGCCTGTACTGAAAACCAACCGAGACGCCATGCGCAATGAAGACAGTCATCACATCGATCGAAATCTTCCACCCGGGGCCCAATCGAAACGCCAGAACTGGATGAACCTATGAAACTACACACCCCGTTAAAACCCAAACGCGTCCAACAGACTATTCGCATCCGGCTCCTGGAACTGCGTCGGCGTCCTATCCTCCTTCCTCGACCTCCCCTCCGCTGCAGCCTGCTCACGCTCCGACTGCGGGGTCCCCGCGTCCTCCAGCACGCCGTTCAAGTTCGCCACGCCGCCCGCGTGACCGTCTGGCGCGGGGAGGTCAGCGACGACCATAGAGCTGCGACGGCGGAGGATCTTGCGCGGGTCGATGTTGAAGTTGTCGAGGGCGGAGCGGGCCTGGGGGGTAAGAGGGGAGTGGAGAGGGTGGGTGAAGTCAGGAGATGCGGGGGGTTGGGGGCTTTGGGGTTGGGTGGGCTGATGGCCGCATGCGGGGAGAAGGAATTCCCAGGTTTTGACTGTTGGATTGTTAGCGGTGGTTACGAAAGGAATGGGAAAGGAGTTCGTACCCAGATCGAGTGCGAGGAGGTCACAGCCCATCCTCGTGTATAAGTTGGCAGTGTGAAGCACGAACTCCCACTCCGTCCTCGGCGACACCGACATCGCACCTCGCAATGTCTGCAATGACTTCTCCCGCAACTGCTTATACAACACAATGAGCGCCGGGTCATCCGTAAGGAACAAGCGCGACTCCAGCTTCGGAGATTCCGGGGGCGAGACCAAGGTCGTCAGAGGAGTGACAAGTGCCAGCACTGCCTTGTCTCGTCGGTTCAGCATCCAAAACGCCCAGGTGGCAAGCCATCGATTCCCGTCGGTCACGGCTTGCGGCAGCACGCGCTCCAGCAGGAAGTCTCTGAGTACCGGGCCATCGTCGCCTTCGTACACGCGCGCCACGGCGATCGCAAGCTGCATGTCTTGGAGCCGGTTCGCTAGGACGCTGACCGCATCGGCGAGGTGGTCGGCGAGCAAGAAGAACGCGGCGGCGTATTGAAATCTCCGCCGTCCCATGAGCGCGTAGGCGTTCTTCAACGCCGCCGTCTTCCATCGTGCCTCGTTGAAGTTGTTGGACAGTAGCTTCGAGGTTGCGCCCTGTTCTTTGCACCACGTCGCCATTCTCCACAGCCCCACCAATACAGCCTTTTTCTTCAGAGCGAGGTAATACAAGCTGCAGTCGATAGGGTCCTTTTCCTCGGATTTGGTAAACTCATTCCGCGCAATGACCTCGAACTGACTCCGGAGCGCGTTCAAATCCGTCATCCACATGAACATGCCGCTCTGCCGCGCATGTTGCCAGAGCATCTTGCCGTGGTAATGTCTCGACACGAGGTCAACGAGGATGTCCTGACTACCACTGTGATAAGCCCAGGTGATCTCGCGCCAAGAAAGCGGGTGTAAGTCGACCTGCTCCGATTTGCGAAGAACATGCAGGCGGAAGAATAGAAGAAATCGGCGCGCATTGTCGTCCACGGAGCGACGGTGCTTCTCCACCGTGCCGACGCATTCGACGATGTGCGCGAGATGGAATTGCTCCCTGCTCGAGAGTTGGGGTATTTGACAGTGCATCAAGATACCATTTATCGAACTTGCAACCTCTTCAGTCACTGTCGCGGGCTCGTCGTCGTCGCTGTCAAAATCGGCATAGGAAGAATGCATTTCCTTTCTTGCAGCATGGTACATTTCCGGTTTTCGGGAAACGTCATCTGCGTCAAATCCAAGGCTACTGTCCAACGGGTCTCCTTCCGAGTAGAATTTCAAGATTTTGAAGAGCTTCGTCAGAATCTGTTGCGCCAACAACAGCTTCCCAGTCAAAACGCATTGGGCAAGAAACTGGGGGTGGAAGACTGGTAACGGTCCGTTCAGACGGCTGACGGCTGTGAAAATGTCCAAGGAGCCGTGCGCACTTGATGGCAACCGGATGTTCGATAGAATACCGTAAGATACGTCTAGCTTATCATCTTGCACGAACAGTTGATTCCCCGCCCCCATGACGAGACCGCCATTGCCCAACCAACAGGAATCGCCAATGGGATGGGGAGTCAGACTCCGAATATGGATCTCACGAATCGGTGCCCATGACGGACCTGCGTCCAGGTAATCGTATCGTAGCTGGGTATATATGAGGACTTTGTGATCGAACCCGACGGAGAGTATCGATTGGTTGTCTGGCGTGAAAGACCAATCCAGGTCCGTGATGATTTGATCTTTGAACACTTCTTGATGCTCTAACTGGGCGCTACGCGTATTCCAAATCGTCAACGACGTTTTATCGGCATCGATCATCGCGGCTTTACGGATCGATGTACCGCTCATAAGCGACGGGTTTTCGATGAAGGTGTCCACACTGGCAGTGTTCAGCCACTCCAATGTTCGCTTCGCTTTATTGACACGCGTTGTCCACGCCTTGATAGTCCCGGAAGTCGTGTAGGATATTGCAATGTCTCGAGCGAAGGTGTCTAGGAAGCCAGAGATCACGGGTGCAGTGCCCGCTGGATCGACCGGAAGGACAAATGCAAGATCGTCGCCCGTGCCAAGATCGAATGTCCCGAAGTCTCGGAGCTGGACTTCATCGGTTGCACCATTCGCGTGCCCGTCGGCTTGTTCAGGAGGAAGTTGAACTTCCCATGCCACGCCGTCCATCTCCGAGCTAATGGTCGCGAGATGCACAGAGTCTTGTTCACCCGAAGCCTCAGGTATCAAGATCAAGCAAAGTGGCTTACCCCTGATCGTGTATTGTCTTCGGGCTACTTCAAAAGCTTTGGGTCCGCGGGAGTCCCATACGGACACGCTTCCATGGTGTAGAAAGACAACAAACTTGCCCTCTCGAAGGAGCCACATACGGTGAATGTGTTCGTCGATTGGAACCATGCTCTGCAGAGAGAGTCTCATTCCGGGGCTGGATAGCTTCTGAACCCAGATACAGCTCCTGTTGTTTTCTGTACGAGAAATGACAGCCTTCCCGGTAGCGGTTCGTACTATTTTTTTGATCGGTTTTCGATGGCCAGCCCATAGCGCCCTCCGGTGCAGCCGCTGCTTTCGCGGTTCCAAATCGAACAGTTGGTCAACTCTGGCCTCGAACCATTCTATTCGACCATCGAAATGCTGAGCAATCAGCGTGAATGCACTGTTGGATTTGTCCCCACAGAAGTTGTGAAACTGGGCATAAGACCCCAGACCGCTTGTATGGCTTGCGAACCGCAGTTTTAATCCATGAACGTGGGCGATATTGAAAATATCGGAAAGCTTTGGATGAGGCAACCCTACACCTTCAAGACCCCATGCAGACATGTTGCCCTGATCGTCGAGAACCACACAGACCTCGGGATTTCGATTTGCGGCTTCAATGAGATGCGCCAGAGCTCGTTGTTCGGCCAAGTCATTTGCAGCCTGTTGAACCGCTCGTTCAGCTGCGAGCGTAAAGTCTCGACTGTCGATTATGAAAGCGTATCTCTTCGAGGACCTCTGCGAAGGATCGAGGCCCCTGGGTTGTATCGATTGCATGAGGTCGATTTCTCCCCATTGTTGGAAGATTGACGGCGCATGGTGGTCCATAGGAGCAAAGATTCGGACCTTGTTATCAGCGCAGATCGTATATACGATGTTCTCCATGGACTGTTCCCTATGGAATGGCTGCCGCCAGTGTATGTCGGTAACGACGGCCGGGTGACGAAGGTATCCATAGTCAAACTCTTGACCAGAGGGTCCAACACCCAGTAGCCTCCATATCTTGACGAGCCGATCATATTGGCCTGATGTGGCTATTAGGGTTCCGTCATACGAAAACTCGGCGAACTTGGCGGCATTTGCTAAAGGTCTCGACCAGTGAAGGTTGGAGGCGTTGTGAGTATCGTAAAGACTCAACGCGTTGCTTCCAACCAACAAGCCTTCATCTTGGCCCCAGGATAGTGTCTGCACATCTCCCTTCGTTTCGTCGGTGCGAATCGAGCATTGCAATGACCACTGAGGCGCATTAGCTCCATATCAACGATTCCAATGAGCCTTGAATACCTGGAGGAAGCCTTCCTCCTTCCCATATGGCTTGTAGATGTGAATCTCCGTGCTCGAAGCCGCTGCTATTTTCCCCGAGTCCTCATCGAGTGCAACTGCTTGTAGGTCGTCATCCTTGTCGAGATAGATGGTCTGGAGAAGCTGGTGCGGTCCATCAAGGATGACGACGGCATTCCCGGAGATGTATACCTTCCGTTGGTGTTAGAGTCTAGCATCGGAGCGTGTCGCTTAGGAGATGTGGACATACGACAATGTGTTTCCCATCCCAAAGCTCCGTGGAGACAGCTTGAAGCTTTGCCTGGGGTCTGCCAGGTAGGACAGTTCGCATGAGCGCGACGAGCTAGAGGAATTGCCAGAGCTTCAATGCATTCTCTGGACAATGTGGAAACGGCAGGCCAGAAGATTTGGGACCCGCAGAATGAATGATAGCAGATCCTGAAGCACACGACGGATAGAAGATACGGCGTTATTGCAAGTGACCAGATCATGTACAGTTACGAGGCGCAGGTGATGATGTACGCGTGCAGCGCTATTTCATTAAGTGGATTTCATTAGGTGTATTCATTGACGCCTCGTTCCGTAATGATCGAATTATCTGATGCCTGTCATGCGCCAACCAGGGTCTCCCCCTGACTCGGATCGTTGCCGTCGACTTCAACTCTGCCATTCATCGTATTCTCTACTTCTACTACCCCTTCGGGTCTGTCTTTCTATGATATTATTGTAGAGATTTTACCTCTCTGCTATCTAGAGTTCCCAGTGAGCGACCTCTAGACATTTCATTCAATTATCATTGATCCCGTACCAGCCCGGGAAACTTCCGACACCAGTACACCACACTCCTCGAAGTATTACACAGCACACAACTACGAGCGCAACCGGTGATTATATGAACACCAGTCCTCTTCGGATCTTATCTTCAATCTACGTAATACCATAGGGCTTCCAAATTTTGAGAGATTCCTTATTTGACTATTCTTGAACCGTATAGGCCCGGGGATAAGTAGTACCTCCTAACGAATTAACCAAGCCTGCGTGCCAGACACTTTTGGTTCCTTCGGCGAGGACCAGGAAATATCAACCTCCAATCCCCTTTTGTTCGATTTCCCTTGACGATAGGTGATGGTTCCGGAGACAGTATCTCCAGTTTTGAGATCACTGGTCTTCGTTTTGGTCTGGTCGATCCAAAATACCCCCGACATCCAATGCGTTTCCTTTCCAAACGGTCCTGTTGTGAACGCAGTTCCTCGTGAAGGATCTTTCCAGTTCTCGGCGCGAGCATCGGGCTCGAGGGTGGCGTCGGGAGAAGTCAGAAAGAACGTGTCGAACCAAACCACCCAGGCGTCCAATTGAGCGTCCTTCTTTTCAAGGGTCACATTGAACTCGCGAGTAAATGAGAGGTCTTTCGTGGTGATGTCATGCAACGGCAAAACTAGGAAAGGGTATGACTTTCCTGCAATGTTCTTTTCCTTCAGTTGGCAGACTAATGCGTCATCGTGCATCTTCTCCCCCATGGCACTCATTTTGAACCCGTAGACGTCGCGCCAGAAGTCGACGTTGTCCCTGAAATAGTCGGAATCCATCGCCGGTGCGATCTGGAGGGTGCAATGGGATGGAACCATTAGCCCACCAGATTTGAGATATCTATCTCGTGCCCATAAGACCGAGTCCAGCATCGCCTCGAACAACAAGCAGTAGCCCATCCACTCAGAAACAATGATGTCAACTTTTTCCACAGGGAGCTTTACTTCCTCGATTTTCCCGCGGATGCAGGTGATCGTCTTCTCCAGTCCGTTTTCTGCCACATTGGCCCTGGCTCGTTCGAGGACAGATGAGTTGTCCACTGCAATGACCCGTGCTGCGCCTGCTTTGGCACAGAACATGGACAGGATTCCTGTTCCACAGCCGATGTCGAGGACCGTCTTTCCAGCGAAGAGGTGCTTGTTGTCGTAGATGAAGTCCCGGTATGCGTCTGTCCGGATTGCGTCTTTCAGCATGGTGTGATGGATATCTAGTCCTGATTAGCCTCGATCTACCAGTAGACGTCAACTAACATACTGTGGTCGTCGTAAGACTCGAAATAGGAGTCGTCATGTCCCGCTTGGCGTTCATTGACATCGGCGGCAGAAATCTTGGGAACGACTGGCGCATCCTCGGTTTCTGCACTGGCACCCCATCGCTTATCAAGAGATTTTGAAACCGCCTCCCGGTAGCTCTCGAATTCCTGATTCTTCTGATTCAGAGCTTCTTCCAGTTCTTTGATTTGCTTCTTCAATTCCTGATCCGTACCAGTCGGCCCTGGCTCCTGGTTTTCAGCATCATCAGGCCCATCATCGAAACTTAAGCTGAACAACAGCGCATCGTCTTCCAATGCAGGCTGCAGGAATTTATCATCGACAAATTGATCTCGTGAAGTAATTTCGGGGACATCCTTAGACACTTTTGCCCCCTCTCGGATGTAGTTGATGAGTTTGATAGTATCATAGAAATCCAAACCTGCGCACAACCTTGGTCAGCAATCGTGCAATCAAAGAATTCCGCATTAATGGAACATGCAACATGTTTACAAACCGAGGCGCTTGCGGACATCCGAGAAATCAAATCCATGCTCTTGTTTGCAATACTCCAGCATGCTCTTTACATCGGGAAACCAGCGGTCGTCGAAGAAACTTTTGACTGAAATGATCTCCTCTTCAGGTTCGACATCTTCCCACCCTTCATCCGCACGAGGATCTAGAATGTCGGATTCTGAGTCTGAGGAGACGCTCGACATGATTTCAGCTTTGCTTGGGGTTTCTGCGGCACACTAATGAAGCGCTTATTTTGCGGTATTGACTACCAAGGTGGGAGAAGGAGAAGAGCCAAGACCGGCAAAATTCAAGACCGAGTGATAGTGAAAGTAATCAAATTGTAGGTGATAATCCGATCATACACGTCCCGGACATCTCTGCGAGCAAAATGATTTTTGAAGATGCAGGTCTGGTACATAAAGTAGCGTATCCATAAAAGCGAATTTGGGGAATGGAAACTTTAGCCGACCAAGATTCCCCCTGTCAGGTGTCACTGGTCAGACTGGATGGCGAACTTTGAATGGCAGACCGCTACGGGAAATCATAGATATTCCTAACTTTAGGGTAATCATAGATCCGGTGGTAAAACTAGATGCAAATTACAGGATGCTGCTGCATAATAGCCCTAACACCTAATCTCCATGGTTAAAACACCTGGCATGGTACCAGCAGATGACTTCCCCCTGAAATCCAGCGAACTCCATCGAAGCCCATCGGGGCCGATGGCAAGGTCAAGAGAGCACTGTATTCTTCCTTTACATTCTGTGCACCTTACTATTCTTGCTCCACCTCCGGAACGTCTTACCATAGAAGAAGAAGATGACCCCGCACAGGGTGAAGAACGCTGTCAGGGCCATGTTGGTCATGATCGGAGGGATGAAGCTATATCCATTGAATCAGCGGGTTGTAAGGGATATTAGTTCTGGCAAGACTTACCCAACTTCCATGCTCCAAGGAGTAATGAAGCGCGAGAATCCTAGACTATGTCAGTCGATAGCGGCTTGTGTACGTTTTTAGCTGCATACCATAACCCCAAACGTTCTTGTTCACCGTGATCGCAACGAACAGACTTCCAGTGACCGGTTTATAGCTGTCCACGGCATATGTGCTGGATATGGACGGCAAGGCTGCGACCTGGATGCCTGCGCAAGTGAATCCAATAACCACGATGGCTTGCCAGGGCCAGTGGTGCTGATAGCCCACCGCCACAACGATGTTCCCCAGTATCATGATCAGGAAAAAGGGGATCATCGCGGGCAGTCGCATTTCGGGCTCTCGGATACCCGAGTTACGTTGTGTTAGTTTCGCAGCGACCCAGTCGCTCAAAGGCCCCGCCGTGACCAGACCGATGAGCGCGCCGATCAGAATTGCGAAGTTGGTGAATCCGATGGCTTGCGGACTAAAGTCGTAAGGTGGTGCGGCGAGCGCCTGGCTTTGGGTGAGATTGATCGACAGGTAAACCGCGCAGGACCATGAAACCACAAACGCCGCGTACTCGACGATAGGGAACGCGAAGAGTTTCCAAGGCGTCCACACGTCGTTGATGATAGACTTCCAGGGATGAGGATTGGGCTGGTATAGCCAATATTGACTCCGAGATGGGGATCCGCGGCCAATCCAAGGGTCTCTGGCTCCAGTCTCCTCACGAGTAAGTTCAGCCTCGCGTACTGGACTGTCCCCTTGAGCAGCGGAAACCCGGTCCCCCAGTTTCTCATCATTGGCAACTTTCTCGTCGGGGGAGATCTTGACCTCTCCGGCTGCAAACTCACCTGTCTCACTTCGAGGACCCCATTTTGTCTCTGGAAAACAGAAGACAACCATCACTAGAGCAAGGACACAAAGACCTGTGTTTAGCCACCAGAACGAGGCAACGCCCACGTGCTCTGCCATCGGACCGGAAACAATTGGAGCCACAATCAGCGAACCCATGTACATGACCCAATAGAACGTATTCCAAGTCCCCCGATCGTGAAGGAAGAAGATATCCGTGATGACGGCAGGTTGGATTGTTTCGGCCGGCCCGGCTCCAATGCCATTGAGTACGCAAGCACCCATAAATGAGCCATAGGACGTCGCGAGCGCCCGCCAGATCATGGATGCAAGGCAAATGGAAATGGAGAGCATGTATGCGCATCTCCTACCGAACGACGTGCTTATGGGGACCCTGGACACACGTAAATTGAGCATCCCAATTCGGATCTTCTGACAAATCTCATGGAACGTACCATATAAAGTTGCTGAACCCAAGAACCAGGATACAGACGCCAGTAAACTGCACCACCGCCTCCAAGTCCCTGTGGTACAGCTCCTGGTAGGCGGGAAACATTGGAGCCAGAGCCAATGGTCCGAAAGCCATCATAAACGTGACGAAACTGGACGTAGCGATGGCCGAAACTTTCCACCAGAGGCTCCAATTCAAGGGGTCATGTTTGTCGGCGGATGGCTGAGGGACCAGGACTTGTTTTGAGGCCTTGACGAAGTGATGGTCCCCGATATCTGCCATGATCTCCGTCCCGGGGAGGATGTCGATGTGTAACTCCTCCTCGATTTGACGCCGTTCCTGTACTTGGTCTTAGGATATGTGATGTGGAAGCTCGGTCTGGTAAACCCACACGTTCACCTATGTTAACCTCCATGTTGAATGTCCTATATCGTAGTTTTATTCAAAAATGGGACGGATACAGAGGTAGAACAGAACCGACCAACGGACGGACTACTAGTATATCGACTTTGATGAACGGAACAAAACGCAGCTTTGGCTATAGTATATGAAGGCTCAGCCGCGAACAGCAGGAGAAACGTCCCCTAAACGATTTGACTTAACAACTTGACGTTGAACTCTAGAAACCAAGGACCGTAAAGCAGAGTAAAAGATCCCACGCTCCATTACATATAGAACCTACTTCAGGATCATCAACCATGCTGGGGCGACTTCCGAAGCCATCTCCGCAACCGAGCACCTGGGATGAGAAGCAAGGCATGCCACAGAGTCCATATCATTGGAGTAGCAAGAGCGGGTGATGCCATTCCCAGTGTTTCCTCCGCTTGCTTGGGAACTACCCCAGACGAACAGCTGTGGGTGATGCTGTTGATCTTTGCGGGGAAGAGTTGCCAAGTGCCAAAAACCATGGAGCCTGGAGGTGACAATAATAATGCGACCAGCGACATCCATGAGCTCGAGGATCGGACACGTTGCTGGCCCTGCGGCCTGCATTCGAATGAGGAACTGACGTAAGGTCTTACCCAATACCACTGGCCTTTGACGCTATTTACGATGGAATCCTTGGTATTTCGCACCGAGCGCTAGGAAATGCGACTATTATATGATTTTGGACGTGACGATTACCATCCCGACCGTGTCAACGCAATGTATCCGCGTCCTGGTGACGGTCCAACCTGTCAACCTTTTCGAGAAGCCATCAACTGCGCATCGGACTCGGGAGTGAAACTCGGCACATAAACTTCTAGATTCAAGGGCGGTATTTGCCTGCCAATGATCTAGTCTCGCTGGCCAAGGCGCTCGAGATCTTGGTTAAACCTGGGGGTGAAGCAGATCGTTAAGCGGATGGATGTTGTTCAAAAGAGGTTGTTTGCTTGCAGCTGCGATCAACAGAACAGGAAGTGATCGACGCCGGGACAGAGCGGGGATTGGTCGGAATTAAAGGTTCACGGCGGAGAGCCGTTAGAACAACTGGGGGGGCATTGGGATTACATTATCAGAATCCAGATTGGTTAAGATTTATGGCGAGGAAATGGAGGAGCATGTTTAACTTCCACATGAACAATCATGCGATCGTATTGAAGGACAATATACGATTTCATAACAAATCTAACAGGACTGCTCCACCAGCCCATCACGGCTTCGGCCTCGGTCCAATAATCTGCCTCCTCGCCCCAAACCCGATCCCACTACCCCCCCGATTCTGCCCATCGCCGCCCATATACCCATACTGATTCACATCCCACGACTGCCCCTCCCCGGTCCCCTCACTCAAATCCCGCTTCGCCGTCCGCGACGCCTTCTGCGCCTCTTCCCACTCCTGCTGCCGCTCGCGCTCGCGCTCCATCTCCCGCTCCAGCAGGCTCTTTGAGGCCCAGCCGCCAGCTTTCGTCTTCTGTTGCGCGGCGTGGCGGCGGGCGGTTTCGGCGTCTTGTTCGGCGGCAGTGAGGTGCGCGGTTTCGGAGGGCTGGTGGGTGGTGGGGAGGGAGCGGGTGGGGGCGGGATGGGAGGAGAGGAATTGGTCGGTTCGGGAGATGGGAAGGGGGGGTTTGGGGCGGTAACTTGTGGGGTCAGGGAGGGGGCGGGATGAGGTTGGTGCGGAAGATGGGTTGGGGAGCGGCCGGGCGGGTGTTGGGGGCTTCGGCGATAATGTTGATGGATCAGGAAGAGATCGTCCGGGTGCTGGAGGCTTCGGCGATGAAGTTGATGGATCGGGCAGCGGTCGGTGTGATCCAATGTTGGAAGCGGCTTTACTCCGATAGTCATTGACTTGCTGTCGAAGATATTCTCGTTCGTCACCGGCCCACGAAACCTCGCTATCCTTTGGCGAAGGTGCTCGAGGGGGTGGTCTGGGACGACTCCGCGATCGTGAACGGTTTTGGCGCTGTGGGCTCTCCTGCTTTTGTCGGAGTTTCTCCTCTCGTTCCAATTCATATTGTCTCTCGCGCTCCTTTGCTTCCGCTAGCTGTCGCTCGAGTTCCACCACCCGCTGTCTGTCCGGAGACAGTGTGTTCTCCCTCGAATCGTTTCGAGAGTTCGATCGCGAAACCTGTTCCCTTTTGTAGTCGCTGAGGTATTGACCACGCAGCTTGGCATCGCTTGGAGCACGCGGCCTCTGGGTCTCCTTTTCGAACTGTTCTTGGGCTTCTCTCTCTTCACGCAGTCGCGCTTCTTCGGCCGCTTTCCATCTCCTCTCCTGCTCTTCCCACTCGACTTTCTGCTGTTCGACCCGTTTCTTCTCCTCTTCACGCAGTCGGCGAGTCTCGTCCTCCCATCGCCTCTCCTCTGCAACGCGAATCCGCTCCTCCTCGGCTTCTCGTTCGATCCGGCGTATGTTCTCCGCTTCTTCCGCAAGCTGCCGCAACCTCTGATCCTCAGCCTCCTTCTCCTTCCGTTTTCGTTCCTTCTCGGCCAGCGATGGGACATTAGGAGCCGCAGACGTTATTTGCCGGCGAGCACCGAATGCGATCCCCTGGTTACCTTGACTAGCACCGCCCATGTACCCTATATCATATTAGTGTCATATCACTAATTAGAGGCGTAGTACACGCACCGTATTGTGCAATGTTCCATGCCGGGGATGTCACATGTTCATCCTTCCTTTTGCTCCAGCTACTCACCGAAGGCGGCGACCTCGCTCCCCCATTTGTCGTCTTCGAAGAGTTCGATCCGCCAGTAATGGTAGGGCTCATTTCACGAGAAGGTCCAGGCCTGGAACTGCTTTCCTTCACCGGACTTATGGGTGTGAAACCTGTCGCGGATCCTGTTGTCGTGGGGCTGATGACCGTTCGCTTCGGGCCGATGGTGGTACGGAATCGTGTCGGATTTACGGAATGCGCCACGCGACTGAATGCGCCCATACACTGGAGGACTTGCGCGGGATCTTTGGCCTCATATAGGTCGACTGTGAGGAAACGATCGTGGGCCTGAAGATTGAGCGGGGGCATTTCGCACGCCTTGAGGAAATGGGAAATGTTTTCCATCTGCATGAAAGGCATGTTCGATTTCTTGAATTTGATTCCGGGCGGGGGAAGGGCCAGATTGGCTAGCCTTTGAAGCAATCGCAGTCAGCGGTGCGATCCATAGGGAAGATGACCGGAATGCCTACCTGCAGAGTACAGTTCCATCCTTAAGGACATCCAACAAATCTCCGGGCGGTAACTTCTCCCCGAGTGTATCCTCAATCCATAACCTGATTTCGTTCGCTGCTTGTGGAGTGTATCGGCCAAGACGCAGCTTGCGCATGTCCTGATCCAGAGACGACACCGAGGCCATCTTGGGTTGGGGGCTTGGTCCGGTTTATGTAGGTGGTGGGAGTGGTTCGGAGATTCGCGTCTGTAATGTCGGGATATATTGTTATAGAAGGTTGTGTATTCAGTGATGGGCCTTTAAATTCGTTGAATCTGTCATATGCGCCGGCGTTGACAAAGCAGCGCGGGGAGCGACGAGGGGCGCTGGTTAGCTACGCTATATGTAGGGTTGGGATCTTGATATTCGTAGAGCGAGATCGCTCAGATAGGTACATTCGCAAACTAGATTGGGAGCGGAGTTCGATCAGAACGAAGATTGTATGATTATCTGTGTAACTCTGTAACTGTCTTTGAGGAGGAATGAAGTTCGAGATTCTGTTGTTTGAGCTGTAGTGCGTGTCAAAGCCCCAGCCACAAGTAAAGGTGTCCAGCCACAATTTCATGCGTCATCCTCATTCGACCCCTGCGGGCCCTGGGAAGTTCATAGCGCGATCCTAAATTTACACATGGAGCTTCGGTCGCTGTTAGGATTCGGATTTGACCATATGTTGGGATATATCCTCACTCCATCACATTGTCATGTGCTTCTGAAGCCTCTGCGTGTTCTTCCCTGGCCAGAATAATCCGCCCCGATGTCGACACGACCGCCCACACCCGGACTCCTCAGTCGCGTATGGTTCCAATGGAAATCCATAAGACTACCGTGGAGGAACAAATGGCTCGTCGGTAAGTGCGGACCCGGCGCATGGCTGCTTCATTTCGTTCTGGGAACTAACGCCAATGAGGCTCGGATCTCTCGGGAAACACCTTCTGGGAATTCAAGGACGCACTCAACGCGAACCGTCTGCGGCGCATCGTACATTACAATCCGAAGGCCCACTTTGGAGACATTCAGATCACACGTACGTGACGGTGCATTTGCGATTTCATATCCGGAAACTCATGTCGACAGCGCAATGGCACCAATGGCTACGGCATACGCGGCTGGATGCGCCGTCGATCAACGAACAGCAACTGGACGAGGTGCGGCAAGCGCAGATTAAGAAGCTGGCGGCGGCGGCGGACGCGAGATGGGAGGCGCAGGAATCGTTTCTCGTCGCGCCTGAAGGGCAGGGGCAAAGCAATGTCCCAGATATACGATCCACGCCGGCTGGAATAGCTTCGAGGACGGTCAAGCAGAAGGACAGCGGTTTGAAAGGCGGTCCGGAGTCGACTCCGGCCAGAGCAGTTGAAGGACAGTCACCGCGGCAGCCCGGTTCAACATCACAAACAGGGAATCAGAGCACCGAACAACCGGGGGGTTGGACTCCGAAATCGACAAGTCGATAGGAGGATTGCATTCAATCAAGAGTACCAATTAGGGTTTCGCCGAGCGACCATCCGCTCCATCAGGGTCCTTGACCACCTATGACCCGATTCCCGAACCCGGACACTTTACAGTCTGCACATGTTCGTGCCACTGACAGTTCAAATCATTCCTCCTCGCATCCGTCATCCCATTGTGATGGAAGTTCAGCACTGCCTTCAACAAGTCGACCGCCAGTTCGCCTCCTTTCCCGACGACCTCGCACATACCCGGCGCAGGGACCTCTTTCTCGCAGAGCATTTTGTATGCTGCGGTGTGCACCAAGAATTCCCGCATCTTGTTCGGCGTTTTGGTCGCCTCGTATATGTATTCCAGCCGATACGGCGGCGCGGCCATGTTCTTGTCGCGGTAATACGCGCGCACGAAATCCATCGCCTCGTTCTTCAGTGCCTCGTAATTGAACTGGTCGCCGATGACGTACAGGCCGAGGTAGTCCTGCAAGCCGTAGAAATCGGTGGGGCGGTGAAGGGACTTGCCGCCCTTGCGCAGGCGCTGGACGAACAGTTTGAATGACTGTTCCTCGAAATCGGGGAAGTCGAACGAGCGTTCCTCGAAGGATTCGACGCCCGTCGCGGAGGGGCGGGGGAAGTAGGGGATCGGGAGGAGGAGGTCGCGGTGGATGGTGAATCTTTTGAGGGTGGGCCCGACGTAGAACTCGACCGTTTCGATTTTCTTATATCTACGATCGAATTAGATCGGGTGATCTAGCATCGGAACCCGTGAAGTGCTCTCGCCGCCGCTCAGCAAATCCAAGTCCATCGTTGACCCACCGTGAGCGTCCCCTTTCAGTAGCAGCAGAACTGTCCGCTTCGCCTGCGGTGCTAGAACCGGTTCCGGAGCGGGGGAATGACAGAGCGGAGCGCAATTTCTTGAAGGCTCGATTCAAAGGGTTTCGACGAGGCCTTGGGGGCGGCAATGGGGCTGCCTCGATTCCGGGAGTCGGCAACATGGCGATGCTCAATGTAGGTATCTGGACATAGGATAGGATCGACTTCGAAATCAGGAATTGTGCCAGTTGAACATGCCGAGGAAATAATAGGACGTGGTGGACGAGAAGAAGAAACACGAATGTAGTACTGCGGTTTGTATAGAGGATCAATGTGTTGACTGTTGTCACAGGGCTGCTCTTTCCTTCAATATACCTATAGGTACTTTTGATTGACCCACCATTTATCACTCCCCCTTCATAAGACGTGTTATCGAACCTTACTTCGAAATCAAGTTCGCGGATCTGCCCCAGTAATGAGCCTGATCAGCCCCAATTCAAGTTTTCCGAGCGCTATTGAATTCATCGTCGACCTGCCATGGACCTCCTCCCACTAAGCAGGATCCAATTCTTGCCATCCGTACGCCGCTCGGAGTATGCATCATGCCCCATATACAAGCTAGAAAGCAAAAACAACAACCGTAGACTTTTAGATGAGATGTTTTGACCTGGGACGCCGTTAGTCGTACACTTCGCACTCGGTGTTCTAAGACCCACCTGAAATATGACCGCAAGTAGACAACCTGCCACCCTCCGAACCCGATCAGCACGAAGATCGTGCACATCCCGAACCATTTCACGCGCTCGTTGGTGCTTTCGTTCGTGTCTCGCAGCTTCTGCTCGCGCTCGCGGAGGTAATCCATCTCCCCGACGACCTCCCCCACCGTCTCCTCGATCCGCCGCAGCTCGATCTCCAGCGGCTTCAGCTTCTCCTGCGCCTGGACTTGCGACCAGTCTTTCGCGTCGGCGCCGATGTCGATGTCGAGTTCAACCATTCGCGAAGGGCTCATCCCGTATTGCGCTGGAGCGGTGGATGGTTAGTGAAGCTTGGGGGTCGAAGTTCGTGATACGTACCATTCCCCGACAGCACGTTCTCGAAACATACATCGAACGCCGAGTTCGCATGCGACGTGAACGCATACCGATTCTCACCCGCCACGTCGCGCGGTCGCCCGTATTCGTTCCCAACCGCATCTTTGATCTACCAGCACGTAAGTCTCCATGTCCGCCCATTCCATCCCGCCCACTTCAAACATACGTGCATATTGAGCGTCTGCCCATCCCCCCGATATCCGCTGACGATGGCCGTGACGACGACCAGCTGCTCCTTCGCGACGAAGTTACGGATGCATCGCTCATGCTTGGCGGATTCGTGGCCGTGGTGGGCTTGGAGTTCGAATTTGAGGGCCGAGGCGAGGGGGGAGAGGGTGAGTAGGCAGAGTGCCCCTGCGACCGATATGAGGCTCTTCATGGTTCCGCGATGGTTCGGTTGGATGGTGGTGCGGTGCAAGGGATTGGAATGACAGTGGGTGGCTTCAAGTTTTAGTTGACGTTGCCAGATCATGATGAGGTGTGGAAGCTGCCCCCCTGTTCACCCACCCCTGTCCGCTGGTCCAGACTGACAGCTGGGACGTAGTAGAGAATATTCCTATCAACTCTAGATTGTCAAACTTCATCTTTAACCTATATGTATCACGGATACTCGATTTAGTTAAAGGATTCATTACACACTAAGCAATGATATAAACATTAGGAAGCTTGGTTTCGTGGGGTCATGGCATTGACCTGCTTGTCCTTTACTCCTTTTGTCTCCTCAAACTTCTAAACTCCGTAATGATATTGACAGCCCTCCTTTCCATTTAATCGTCTGCGCGTCAACTTTCCAATATCATAGCCCCAGAATGCTGACGATCCGCACAAACCCATTGCCGCAAAACCACTTCCAACTCTGTATTCCGCTATAAGAGATGGTAAAGCACTGGCGATGTCCATCTTCACCGCTCCGCTTCATTCGTAACATCCTCGAGTATTCGAGGCGGGGATACCTTCTGTATCCTGCTCTGAATCTCCCTCCTCGGTCGTTTGAGCGAGCGAGAAAATTCCTGGCTCCTGGACTCTGGAACATTTTCGCACGTGTTTCTACTATCAGTGCTTGGGAGACCGCCGTCGGCAGCGACAGGGGTAGGGAGAATAGTTGTGTTCGATTCAGTAACGGTAGCAGAGCCCGATGGTCGGATTGATGGCGTCCGGGTCAACTCTCTGTTTAGCCGTGGAGGCCTTGTTGGCACACTGGAGGAGATAGCTGCCGTAAAACCTGTGTTCGTCATGGTCTCGAGTTCAGTGCTGCCTGCAGAGGATGTCTGAAGTGTCGACGAAAGGCTAGACCGGAGCATCGACATGGAGACTGAGGCCCCATATCTATGCCGAAGGGGGATCCCGTCCAGGTCGCTTGTGCCCGCTTCAATATTTGCTCGGACCCGCCGGCTCACTTCATGCACGACCTGGACGAGTTCCGCTTCCCACTCTTTATTCGAAAGCTCGTCACCATCATATTGATCAACGCCCATGCTTCTCGAAACCAGTGCGACACTGATTCCAGTGACGAGCCCCGACGTTTTATTTGACTCGGTTGCATCTTTCTGCAACCCCGAGAAGGTCAGCGCATCGACCCAGGTACGGTCTGCGTGGAATTTCAGCATGCGCGGATGTCGAAGCATCATGAAGTCGCAAGACGGCGGTCGGACGAATCCGCTCCCTAGAATTTCGACCACGGGGGGAGGCCAGAAAAGACTCATCTCTTCAAGTTCCTTCTTTTCGATCCCAGAATAGCCGATGACTCGCATGTCGGAACTTCCAGAACCAGCAACGGATGCCTTGAATCGGACATCATCGTTCAGTGCTTTAAAGATGGCTTTTGGAATTATCTCAGCGTCGCCGAGTCCCGCTACGACTTGGAATACGGGAATCCCATTAAAGCGAACCTCGTCAGGGTTCGTCAAACAGCCGAGGAAGAACTTGGTATATTTGACACCCTTGGTCCCTCTCGCCATTTGTTTCTCGCCTAGAGCGTCATACAATCCACCCACAACGGCAAGGTCACAAACGTCTCGTTCTCCTCCCAGGGAGACAAGGTAGTCTTTCTTGAGCTTTATGTATCCGTGACAGCTCAGTTCATTCATCTTGGAGGGATGTTTGAAGGTGAAATATGGTTGATCGGCAGGTTTCAGCAGAAGCCCCTCCGCCGCGCAACCAAGAGCAGCCCCTAGCTGTTTAGCGAGCTTTGTCGATGCATCAGGAGACCCAAAGTCAATCTGGCGATACAGCGCTGTCATCGATCTCCCTCTGATCTTCTTCACCACCCGTCCCAGAACTTCTCGCCTTTCCCCATGATGTTTGCGCATAACGACGTCGTCATCCAGGAGCAGCATGTCAAAGTAAACCAACGCAAGATTCTCGCTGCTGTAATCCGAAGAGAAGCCATCCAACGATTTGCCGTAATACGATCCGGACCGAGAGACATGGCGACGGATATGATCAAAAGGAAGCACTTTGTTGTCACGGTCGCTCCAAACCACCATCTCTGCCAACAAGATTGCCTTGCGCTTGATGAGACATTGAGGCGTTCCTAGCTTCAGACTCCTTTTGATCGTGTCGTGGACATTGGCTCGATCTCTCGTCGAATCTTTTCCAGATTTCGAGAAGATTCTGATACAATCGGTTCCTACAGGATCCGGATTCGCCGTGAGATCAATGTGAATCTCGGCAAATTCACCATCATATTTCCTTTCAACAATCCACTTCCTTCTCCCGCACAGCTTTAGGCAGTTATTCAAGCTCCAAGCTTTGTGGTGCGTTGGCCTCCCAACTTTGACGTTGATCTGAGGTTGCAAGTTTTCGGATGCCATGTATCTAAAGCCAGCAGCTGAATCGACGTCCGTGCTCGAGGGGAGTGGGGAGAATTGACCCTTCAGCAACTTCACAGCTGCTGCAAAGTCATTCTGAAATTTTAAGAGGGAGGGGAGTAGAAAATGATAGCAGGACAACACAAGCGGAGGATTGAAGACAACGGGACTGAAATTTTTCAAGATAAGTCTTGTCAACCACTTCGCTTCCCTGGAGCGCAGACGCCAATACAGCGGCCTCAGAAGCTCCACGATAGGGACACCGCCTAGATCCTGTCGTGCAGATCGGCGAACATCAGGATTCGAAAACCTGCTCCGTCCTGCCAGCTGCTGCATGCAGCGATCCACCTCTTCTACCGTAACGTCACCAGCATTTCCATTCAGTTGAACTCGAGGTTCAGCATCATACAGCCTCTGATCTCGTTCGAGGCATTCTGCCAAATCCCCATGGCCGGGGATCTCGTACTTTCGTAGCTTGTCGAAACGCGCACTCGGCATTTGATAACAGCGCCCAATGATCTTGGACAACGATCGCGCTTGCAGCTGGTAAACTCGGTCCGTCCGCTGTTCTGGAAGGAAGGTAGAGAGGATGGCGACACCATCGGTCAAATCGATTGCTTGACGGTTCTGCCGGAACCACATAGAAGTTCTCTCGTGAAGGATTTCATCGCGTCGTGCAGGAAGTAGAGGGGGATCTTTGGTGACCGTCCTCTCCAGTTCGTGGAGAAGGTTGCAAAATGCAGAGAATTTGAGTGCCATGTTCGTTTTGATAGAACCAAGCTGTGATTCGGACTGTAGCTGTCGGATTATATGCTCTTGGTGTTCTGTCTAGGCTGAATATGGGTTGAAAGACGCGTTGTATAAAATATTAGCTGCAATAGAATAGTAGATATGTTGGGAAAGATTGACGGAAGAAGGAACGGAACAGAAGGAAATCCTTTCACTTTGGGAGTCGGGAAGGTGGAGCCGATAGAAGACATTCCAGCTGAGTGCGCGGTAGGTATTATTATGGAATATTGAATAGCTAGAGAATGGTAGGGGATGTTGAACAGAATGGTAGGGGAGTTTGAACGAATAATTACGCCTCTCCTGTTTTCACCCCATTGCCAAAGTTGGACAAGCCAAGTGCTTCATCAGCATTGAAGATAAGGCTATCCAGTGACGCTGAGAAAAATAAAATCGCAAGAACTTAAAAGAACTGAAACATGATATCTCTTGACCATTAATAGCATGAGCGTAGAATTGTAGATGTCGTAGATGGATCAAAAGCGACAAATAATTCGGCCTGAGGCGACGTATTGCCAATTGCCATTATGGACGCGGTGGCAGACCATTCCCTTTGTTGAAGAAAACGCGCTAATGCACGCTATCACGTGTCACTCCTTTTTCACATCTCATATTCACCTGGAGTTCATTGTCCATCCATATATGTATTCAGTTAATTTCATTGCGTTTAGAGCAGGAGAACAATTGTCGGGGGTTGCCGTTGTCCTCATGAACTCAAGTCAGTTATTTCATTATGGTGTATCTGAATTCTTTGCTGGTTGGCTCAATGTATTTGAGAGTTGAAAAGTTGAACCAGAAACGCCACAGCAGCTACTGCATTCTACTAGTTAATATTAGTGTCCTGCACGATGGCTTGACTTAACTTCTTTTCATCCACGGCGAAGTTGGAGCCGGAATTGCATCCGCAATGGTGGATGGCATCGCTGGCAATAGCCAATCGCTGTCCGCAGTCGCAATGACCGCGGCATAGCAAAGAGCTAAAGACGTACAGACTACAGTCTATCATCGTATGTCATTTAGAGGGCAATGCTATGACCTACCGTTCTTCTGGACCATGTCCACTGCCCAGGACTCCAGATACGGCCGAAGCGTTTGACGATAATTACCACACACGACAGTGGAAATCGGCAAGTCGCACCACGAACAACACCAGTACGTAGCATGGTTTCTTGATTCTTCACGAGCTGCCAGACCTTCCCCTCTTTCTGTCTGATGTCGGATGATAATCAACGGGAGAGATCCATAGTAGGGACTAAGTATCGTAAGTGTGAACCCACTTTAAACTTACCTGATGGGCGATGGCTGATCGTTATATTTAGCGGCTAGGTTGATTAATGATTGACGATTGTACTTTTGGAATTTGTCTCGACCAAACCACTGTCATTCTCTCCTTAACCCCGCCTTAGGATTTGGTGGCAGACGCTTAACGAAATCGAACTTTGGTTATAGTTCATCGCCATCCATTTCTGCACACGTACATACCTATTCAGTCTCGTTGATGAAGCTTTCGGTTGTTCAGAAGTCAGTACCTCAGATCATCCTGCTGGCACTTGAGATGAATGCCATTCCCCGCTTATTACGTATTTCTTGCAAGTTTCTGTTACGAAGTTGACTTTCCCCTCTAGTGTCAGAGGAGTCGATTACAGCCGAAGTCAAGTCGTCACTTAATTTTAGGGAACGTCAAGGAAACCCATGCCCATGGCCTCGACTGGGTTTGTTTCACGAAGTATGAATTGTTTGAACTGGTTGAATTGTTCTCGAGCTCTTCGGCAAGTTTGCCATATTGATAATCGACAGCTTGTCCGGGATTCCACCAGGATTCCCCCAGATTGAACCTTGGCGCCATGATGCCTAGGCTTGATCACTTCCGAGCAACATGAAACAAATTCAAGCAGAATTCCTGGTTGAATGCCGTTTGCGAACGTCGAACTGTGTTCATACCCTTGTTATGAACGGATTATATAAATTATTGTATATTTTGATGCGCAACCTGCACAACTTTACGGTCTACCTTGAAGATGGTTTCCTGTCAACCCTGGACCTATCTGCAGCATGCCAGCATCATACCATTAACGAACTTTGATGATTGATCCCAAAAATGCGATCATCACCCCACATTTAATGCTGGTGGCCATGGAGTCTCCGATCCTGAACCGGAAATTTAAAATTACTGCCGAACGAGTGTCGATCTTGTCCCCATTTCGATCGGCATTTTGTGAAATGCCAGTAGGAACCGACGAACCGTTACCTACCCTCCCACTGCTAGCGCTTAGCAGCCGATCATGCTTTCATGGCTGATCACTGATGCCATGCATCTTCGGCCCCAAAACGGGTCGTGCCTTCCTAGAACTTGGGAGACTAATATTCGGTATTCCCATTTCCCATTGTGAGTCCTCGGCACAGGGATGATAGTAGAGGCAAGCAGAATAAACCTTGTCCCATGCTGTTCATATCTCAGGTCAGCCAGCCGGCGAACGCGTCAAGCACAGTCCATCCTATTCAATTTGTATATATACCTATGAAGGCATCCTTTGGCCCTCAGTTGAGATTTATATCGTTCCACATAGGCAGTCCCCGTTGATAAGGAGTCTACTAGTTATTGCACTCGTAATGATCAATACATAGCTGACATTCTCCCCGGTCAGTTCATCGTCTGAACAACAATTGTCATTCTTTTCAATTCACTCGTTGCATTCGTCACAATGCGTCCGTCCATTTCGACCCTCCTCATCGGCCTTGCCGCCACCGAATGCTCCGCTCAACTCACCTCTTTCCCCAACCCGTCCACCGGCCGCGGCGTCACCGCCGCCTGCGCGGCTCTTGAACGCGCTATTCCCGGTAAGGTCGTGTTCGCCAAAGACAATTCGACATCATACCACGAAGTCCAGGACGACTACTGGCACGCGGGACTTTCGGAATGGGCGCCGCCATGCATAGTATTGCCGACGGCAGCCGAGGAGGTCGCCGCAGCGGTGAAGGTGCTAAATCAGCACCCAACCGTCAAGTTCGCGGTCAAGAGCGGAGGGCATGACGCCAACCCAGGGCATTCGTCGATTAAGGATGGAGTGTTGATCGCACTAGAGCAATTGACGGGAACGGAGTTGGATAAGGAGAACGGAGTCGCGCATATCAAGCCCGGAGGAAATTGGAGCGGTGTGATCAAGGCGCTAGATGCTGAGGGATATGCGGTCCTTTCGGGGCGGCTGGGTACGTATAACTGTGCACTGTATAGGCCACTACTGAACGGTAACTAGGGATTGTGGGCATTGGAGGGTTTATCACCGGCGGCGGGATGTCGTTCCTTAGCGCACAACACGGGCTAACAGCAGACGTAAGTAAGGGTCCCGATTGACTATGAGCATTAACGCTGACGTACGTACTATGTAGACCGCGGTGAACTTTGAAACTGTCAGGGCCGATGGCTCTATTCAGAATATCAATGCTACGAGCGACCCAGAAGTGTTCCGCGCGATGAAGGGTAGCACCAACCAATTCGGTATGACAAATTCCCAGCGGCTGATTGATGACCCGTGCTAACGGCGTGGAGGCATCGTAACAAAGTTCACCCTTAAGGCTTACCCGATCGGTCAAGTAAGTTCGTACTTCATACGGAGATGGTACAGATACTTACCTTGGATAGGTTTGGGGCGGCTCGCGAATCTACCTCCCAGATGTTCAGCGTGAGGTGCTGAAGGCGACGCATGATTTCATCTCCAATCCGTCCGACCCGAAGGCGGCCATCATCGTCAACCATAACATGGTTATGGGAGGCGTGACTATTGTTCAGGTCTTCTTTTTCTATGACGGGACGACTCCTCCATCAGCTGCGTTCAACGGCTTGCTCGAGATTCCATCCGTGCAAGACCAGACGGCGGTCCGATCGTATGCCGAGTTGGTAAGTAAGCCGAGTCTGAGAACAGATGAGCCGCAACTGATATATGTAGCTTGATTTCAATTCGGAGGGCGCTGCCGGGTTCAAGCATCGGTCCTCGTGGCGTGTAGGTGTTTCTCGTGTGTTTGAAACCCTGCCATACTGATAGAACATCACAGAGCATAACCCTCCCTCTTCTTCCTGGTGATGGGGGCATTGATTTTATGCAAAATCTGGTCAATAACTGGCAGAACATCTCGCTCCCGTACTTCTCCCAGCACGCAGAGGCCGTCCAAACCATCGCGATCCAGCCTCTCCCGAGCCTCTTTGGAAAACACTCTCAAGCTGCCGGTGGAAATGCCATGGGCCTTACCGGGTCTGATGGTCCACGCTACATTATTGAGCTGAGTAGCATCTGGGGAAGTCCACAGAATGGAACGGATGACCAGACCATTTATGGGCTGGCCACGCAGGTGACGAAATATGCGGAGAGGTCGTTGGCTACCGCATTGAGGCAGCCCGTGAACAGGGGAGCGGAGAGATATAACCCCTTCTTCTTGAACGACGCAAACTTCAATCAGGATGTATTGAAGTCGTACAAGGACTACAACTCATTCAGATGGTTGCAGCGACGAAATGATCCGGCTGGACTGTTCTTGAGAAGAGTCGGTGGCTTCAAGTACTGAAATCCCAGATAGGCAGGCAGATGCAGCTACACGATGTCATTATGCAAACGGATCATGCTGGCGACATGGTCGTTGCACTCTCATTGGACTCGGAGAACTGAGGAAATGTATGCATGCGGCATTTACATGATATACAAAAGCAATGTACATCCAAGGCACACTACTAGCCCCACGAGTTTACTGGAGGTCTCATGTCATCACCCGTTGAGCAGACCACTCATGTTTCCATTCGTCCGCTTGGAGTTGGATCTATTCCATCACCCAAGATGACTACCAAGGTACTGGGTTGGTACCTTCGCAGATACGGTACTCATAATAGTAGATACTAGGATTCAATAGTACCGTATGCCGAATTTCTATTCTCTAATTGATTGTCTTCGAAACGAGACTGATCAAATTCTGGTAGTTCTCCCCCACTGACCCCCAGGCACTCAGATCCTCCGTATTTATGAGTCCGTAGCATGCAGTCAAAAAAGCAAAGACAGCCTTTTCAACTTCTCCTCGAAAAGCCGCGGCCGGACTATCGGATTCGGACAGTCGGAGATGCAAAATGGAAGGACCAGGGAAGGAAAGATAAATGAATAGATCCGGCGGCCCAGCCCGTCGAGTCGTCGACAGGCTAACCCACCCGATGTGATACGACTCGACGGGCTAACCCACCCGATGTGATACTCTATCGAGCAGCCAACCTAGCTCCCGCGTCCCCGATACTTTTTCTTTAGCGGCGGAGAGCCGCACGTCACCCCGATCTCCAATCTCCAGAGCGTTCACGGTCAGGGGGTCGCCCAGGTCGGGACTCACACATCCCTCAAGATATAACTGTCTAGCAATTCCCTGTTATTGTTGATCTTTATAGGGCATCTTGATTGCAGATCTGATCGATCCCGAGTGTCGTTTTTGTTTGATCCCAACATCTGTAGTTATTTTCAGGGTTCTGTGGAGCTTGAAGCTTGCACCCTGACGCGAATCTTATTGCGGGCTCAAGCGCCGATAGGGGTCCCCACAATACCATCTTGGCTGAAGTCAAGTAGAGTCAGGCAGGACACAGCATCCAATTCTATTCCGCTGTTCAGTTGCCCGTCATGAAACAGCACGGTACGTACTTAGTGCGATCCATGCTTTCGAAATTTTCTCCATGATTCTTTTATGAATCATCATGTTGGATGGGCGGGTAGGTGTGGGCTGTTGGTGGTTCAGGGGGGTTGGTGCCAGGGTCCATTTCGCAAAGATCGCACTTACAGGAACGTTTTCGAATTCCATCACGTCACGGGGTCCTTCTAGTAATGGTAATCGGCCTCTATGATACTTCATCTTGCAGTCACATCGCCATCTCTTTTCATTGTCATTTCGCTGGGTGAAATCTTCCTTCCATGTGATTTGCTAACGATTCTACATAGTACCTCCCGTAGACCAGATCGAGCGCATTCTCCAAGGAAATAAAGCTCACGCTCGCCGCACCCTCGAGGCCGACCCCGAGTTCTTCAAGGGTTACGCCGACAAACAGAGGCCTGGGGTCCTCTGGATCGGATGCGCCGACAGCCGCGTTCCCGAGACCACCATCTCCGACAGCAAGCCCGGCGAGATCTTCGTGCACCGTAACATCGCGAACGTCGTCAACACTGATGAAGTGGGCGCGAACAGCGTCCTCGATTTCGCCGTCGGCAACGTGAAGGTCCAGAAGATCGTGGTCTGCGGGCATACGAACTGCGGCGGCGCTGCGGCGGCTTTGGGGGATGCGAATTTGGGACCGAACTTGAATAAGTGGATAGAGCCACTGAGGGAGCTACGTAAGAGTCATCAAGGGGAGTTGGATAAGTTGAAGACGGATTATTTGAGGGGGCTCAGGGTGGTGGAGTTGAATGTTCAGCGAAGTGTGAAAAATGTGAAGGCAAACGCCACGGTGCAGCAGGCGATGAAAGGGAGGGGTCTGACGGTTCATGGTTTTGTCTACGATATACCCACCGGCGAACTGCGAGCTCTTGATACCGCTGAATAAAGAGCGGCTACGTTGGTCATTACTGGATAAGCGTTTATAAATATTTCTGCGGGTGTTGGGAGAAGTTGGATAGGTTGAGGATTTTCAGTAGCGATTTAATTAAATGACTATAAGGTAGAACAACTAAGCGAGATCTCATTATTATGATCATCTATGGCAGATTCTTCATACTTCCTTGACAAGAGAACAAATGCCGCACTCTGCATTGAGTTCCGAATTCCGATATAAATATGCTGAGTCATAGGTCGGTCGGACGTTGAATCATATGAGTCATGTTGAACGTCAGCCTTACTGTCGACCTCCCTCGATGATACGAAGCTTCAACCTTTGAAGCTAGCTCACCGGAAGGCTAATTACAGCCGACAAACCTTCCGCCGCAGTCCGACAATCCGTCTTGACAACACAGCCTTGATAGCTTCGGCATCTTGGCATGCATACCGAGATAAACACTAGCGGAAGCAAGCTGCTTGTCATCCATACTATCGTCTTCTCATTCGCTTCATGCCGCTACAATGTCAGAATGCAACAAATCAATCGCGGCCAAAGATCAGTCAAGTGTCAACCGCTCGAGCTGCCTACTAAGAATTATTTACCGGCAGGAGAATCGAATTGGCGTCGTAGAAGAACACGAAGGTTCGTTCTTCGCTGAGGCGTTTTGGCCGAGGACATGTCGTTCCATTCAGTATAGTATGGGCAAGCTCCGGCAGTTGTCTCGTTTCATCGATGGCATTGCTCGTGTCAATACTTGACAACACATCGCTTGGCAAGTAAGATGCAAGGACCCGGAAGAAGTTAACACTGCTTGATTGCTTCATGCGAGGAGTGCTCGCGAGGCGATGCTGCACTACCTCAAGGCTGTGGTTGAAGCTAGGGTACTCCCTACAGACCGGCGTAATATAAGAGATGGAGTGGCTGTGCTCTTGGAGACAAGCAACCCCGCCCACCATAGCACCACACCTCAAGCAGGCAGCCTTATAGGCAGAACAGACGGGTACTTCTGCCTTGAAGAGGCGCACTAACCTAGATAGCGGGGCGAAGTAACTGGCTCTCACGAGATGTCGGGCAGTAGCCATGCAACGGCTCGTGTCGACATTTGGCAGACAATTCGGTGACTGGTTTTGGCATTTCTGATAAGGCTTTCGCTGCGGTTCATATATAGGAGCAGTTGTCCACGAACTTGCAGCCTTCCTCAAACAGACACGCTCTAAAACCGTCTGTGCATCTTCAGTACCCCAAATGCTCACTCTCCTTTCGATCAACCGTCCTCTACAACCCAGTCGAACACCTCATCTAATTTCCTTCAATCGGTGGAAGACGCAATGCAGGACACTTCGCCCTCCCACAATTCCTCGTCGACCACGTCGACGGATACCACCATGCTTACTTCCTCTAATGCATCGGATTCTCGCACCGAGGAAGATCCCGCAACCCCAACATTGTCCACCTCATCATTTCCCGTCATCATTGGGCCTGGCTCGTCGACCACCGAATGCGACATGTCCGTAGGTTCCAAGTATGCGGCGAGTGAGTGGTCGTGCTCGACCTTATCCGCTACCTCGAGTACTATGGAGCTGCTCCAGGCGGAACGTGACTCGCTGCTTCGTACCGTTGCGGAAGAACGGGCAAGAACGGCCGAGATTCAACGCCTCGCCGAGGCGGAACGAGCCATCGTCGAGCGGCTCAAGCGCGAGGGCAACGAAGGCGAGCTCTCTGCAACAGAAGCCCGGCTCCGAATTCTCCAACTCAAACAAGACATGCAGGCGGCAGGTGCCAAGGCACCACGTCGTCCGACGACAGGACTATTCAAATCGGTCTGCTCCACCGACTTGCTGTTCCTCCTTGACACCACTGGCTCCATGTGGGACTACATTAACGCCGCAAAGGACCAAGTCAGGAGCATCGTGAAAGACATCGGAGAATCGTTTCTCGGCGAAGCGGAAGTACGGGTCGCGGTGGTGGGCTATAAGGACCACGGTGATAAACCTAATATCCAGTTTCTAGACTTTACGCCGTCCGTGGATGAAGTACATAGGTTTCTTAACACGCTACAAGCTACCGGCGGGGGCGATGCACCCGAGGACGTCCTGGGAGGTCTTCAACAAGCCATCAACGCATCGTGGTCGCACCAGACTCGGTGCGTCATCCATATCGCAGACGCTCCACCACATGGCAGCGATTTACAATTAGTCCCGGACGCAGGCGACAAATTCCCCGTACCCGGAACTGAGCCACACGGTCTCACCCACAAACCGCTACTCAGGCGGATGATCGCCCTCAAACTCAACTATACTCTGCTCCGTATCAACAGTAGCACGGACCGTATGGCCACCGAATTCTGCAAGGAGTACGATGCTGCTTCTGCGGACTGCAGGCTACACAAGGATCACATATACTACTTATATCCGGCCACGGGCACGCGCACGGACACAAGCACTCGGAGCGGGACAAGTTCTAAGCGCAGCGCCAAAGCCGGGCTGGTATTTGAGGAGAATGAGCTCGGAACTACTTTTAGTGCATTACAGCACCTGGTTGTCAAAATGGTCACCACTTCGGCTTCTCGCACAGCTGTTCGTGTGTCGGGGAGCCGAGCGACCAAGCTAGTGGGTGACAAGAAGCAGGATGCGAAGCTTCGTGCTATCAACGAGGATGAGGATGACGAGGGCGACGAGAAGCGGCTGGAGATCACCCTACCCCAGTGGGACACGCCCGGATGGCTCAACGAGGCGCTGTCGGTAGAAGGTTTCTCTCCTGATGTTATCGTGCACAACGCCAGTACCCTCAACGAAATGATGGCGCATGACGACAACATCATGATGGGTATCACCGAACTTTCCATCTACAAGCGGTCGCGGCCATTTGCCGAAGGCGCGCTGCGCGAGGCGTTTTATGCCCGCACGGCGGCTTCTACCAACCGTTTCGTGGTCAAGTCATTCAAGCGAGACGGAAAGCGGCTCGCACATTTGGCCGAAGACATGCGGTGCCAAGCGCTATGCAAAGCCTTTGCACTCGAGTTCAACGCCTTCTCGGGGGAGGAACACGCAATTGACTTCATCGTAACGACGTGCTTGAAGGGCAAAGCGGGGATAACGTCAGGCTCTGAGTGCATGTCCCTCGAACCTTTCCTCGAAGGCACGTACGTCAAGTATAACAACAACTGCGGCTATGTCAACGAGGAACAGTCCGATGATCGGTTCAACCAAGCCGCGCAAGCGTTCTCGCACTTCACTTTCGAGCGCTCGCAAGGCCGCTTTTTAGTCAGCGACATGCAGGGTGTTGGACACTTACTTACTGACCCGGCCATCCATTCGCTCGATCCCGGACGGTTCCAGCTAGCGGACACTAACCTTGGCCAGGAAGGGTTCAAGTTCTTCTTCGCCACGCACGCCTGCAATGACATCTGCCGCAAGTTGGATCTCAAGAGCAACGGCGCAATGATCTCGTCGGGCGAGTACAAATTCCGGGAGGAGTGGCCGAACATGCACAATACGGTGTGCTGCTCCAACAAGCTTTGCGGCAAGATTGTGCGGAAATCCAGCTCCAAGAAGTCGGAAAAGTTCCCCGGGTACCGCTGGTGCGAATTGTGCTGGCTACAGGTACGCATGTTTGCCGTCAAGCGGATCTGTGTCGCTCCCGGGCCGTACCACGAGTTCTATACGTCCGAGTTCTTCTGCGAATCACAGGGGCGAAGCGTAATACGGAGATGCCCCGATCATCGTGGGGAAGAAATTCCAGAGGCCAAGAATGCAATGGTGGTGGTTGAAAGCTTTTGGTCGAAGTTGAAATCTGCGAACAAGAGGAGGTCCTTCTTTAGGAGGAGTCGTTAATGGGGAAAGGGGTCTGCTGCCGTGGCTGGCTTTGGATTTTCCTTACGACGATAATGCCCTATAATGGTGGTCTTAATGTTGGTGAAGGGATATCTCTCGAATTTGGCGCATTTAGGACTGGGTAATCCACGGAGTTCTGTATCTAGATGAATGTAAATCCTGCGTAAATCACTCCAAGCCTGGCTGATGGTGGAGGTTTTAAGAATGACCTGAATGATGAGGATGCGGAATAATACCAAATACTCAGGGTGGTGAAGCATGTGGCGTCGCTCATTTATTTTTAGAGGCATAATTAAAGCTAACTCACTTACTCAGCCTTGTTGTGCTGCTTTCGATATGTCACGTCTTAACTCACTTTCAGACTTCAGTTTACGGCTATTATCTCTGTTGCTCATCAGGAGACAATATGTTCGAGTATAGTCTCAATAGAAATCTTACCCATTGTCTTATGAGCTGATCATTATGCGTCTTTTGGTAATTGATAGTGACGGTGAGCTGCGCCTCATTAACCGTGTCGGTGATAACATTCCGGAATATGCCATACTTTCGCATACCTGGGGAGCAGATGACGAGGAGGTCACCTTCAAAGATGTCATCAATAAGACTGGGATCAACAAACCTGGATATAAGAAGCTGCTATTTTGTGGAAAGCAAGCGGAGAAAGATGGTCTCCTATTCTTCTGGGTGGATTCGTGTTGCATCGATCGATCAAGCAGCGCCGAACTCTCGACGGCGATTAACTCTATGTTTCGCTGGTATCGTGAAGCTGCTCGGTGCTACGTGTATCTTTCAGATGTTCCTAACCCGAAGGATCCTACATCTACGGCGGAGTCAGCATTCCTAAACAGCCGATGGTTCATGCGAGGGTGGACACTCCAAGAGCTCCTGGCGCCGTCATCCGTCCAATTCTTCTCCTATAAAGGCGAGCCTTTGGGCGATAAGAAATCGCGAGAGCAACAAGTTCATCAGATAACCGGGATTGCCATTGATGCTCTTCGAGGAAATCCTATGTCTGAATTCAGCATCGCCGACCGACTATCATGGGCAGCAAGACGTGAGACAACGATCGGAGAAGATGCTGCATACTGCCTGCTAGGTATTTTCGAAATCTACATACCACTTATTTACGGCGAAGGACGGAACAATGCATTGGACCGGCTTCAGCGGAAGATCCGAAAGTTTTCGAACCCAGCATCGCTCATCCCAGCAGGTGCTCCTTGGATTGTACCTTTTGAAAGAAACCCCCATTTCACCGGTCGCGAATCGCAACTCGCTCAGTTGGAAGGCAAGCTATTCGCCAAAGATCGCACAATGAAGATCGCAGTGACGGGACTTGGGGGAGTAGGAAAGACTCAGCTGGTACTGGAACTGTTGTTTCGGACGAAGGAAAAATTCCAAAACTGCTCGATCATCTGGATACCGGCAACGAACATGGAAAATCTTCATCAAGCCTACGTCCACGTTGCGCGGCAACTGGGAATTCCTGGTTGGGAGCAAGAGCAAAGAGATGTGAAGAAACTGGTCCAAGAATACCTGAGCATAGATAATGCAAGCCAGTGGCTGCTTGTGTTCGACAACGCCGATGACTTGGACATGTGGATTACCAAAACTATACCTCGAGAGGAACCGGAGCAAGAGCTTTCCCGATTGATCGACTATCTCCCGAGCAGTAAGCAAGGCTCTATCATCTTCACTACGCGTGATCGGAAGACGGCCGTCAAGCTCGCACCGCAAAATATAGTGGAGGTGACTGAGATGGATGAAGAAATAGCAATGCAACTGCTTCGAAAGAGCTTGGCCAATAAAGATCACCTTGGCAGGGGACCAGACACAACAGACCTGCTTGCAAAGCTTATGTACCTCCCACTGGCTATCATTCAAGCAGCAGCGTACATCAATGAGAACGGGACGTCTATAACAGAGTACCTGTCTGTCCTCAAAGGGCAAGAAGAAGATACTATCGATATTCTGAGTGAGGACTTTGAAGATGCTGGAAGATACCACAACGTAAAGAATCCCGTAGCCACGACATGGCTGATCTCATTCGAGCAGATCCGACGTCGTGATGCTCTGGCGGCCGATTACCTCTCGTTCATGGCCTGTGTGGAACCAAAGGACATTCCGCTGTCTCTGTTCCCACCAGGGCTGTCACGGAAGAAGGAAATGGATGCGATCGGAACGCTTTACGCGTATTCTTTCATCAGCAGACGGCCAGCAGACCTGGCAGTCGATGTTCATCGGCTAGTGCATTTGTCTACGCGCAACTGGCTTCGAAACGAAGGGATACTTGTCCGGTCAATGGAGAAAGCAATTTCGCGACTAGAAGAAGTGTTTCCGGACGCGGACCACAAAAATCGGAGCATTTGGAGAACATATTTGCCACATACGCGTTATGTACTGGAGTCAGATCTGGTTGACAGAAATTGGAAGGATAGAACGGATCTTCTATGGAGATATGGAACGTGTCTCTACGAAGACGGAAGATGGAATGAGGCCGAGGGACCTTTTACACAGGTTCTCGAAATGAAGAAGAGGTTGCTTGGACTAGAGCATCCAGACACGCTGACCAGCATGGCCAACCTGGCGTCGACGTACCGGAATCAAGGCCGGTGGGACGCAGCCGAAGAGCTGGAGGTGCAAGTAATGGAGACGAGCAAGAAGAAAATTGGATCGGATCATCTTGACACGCTAAGAAATATGGCCAACCTGGCGACGACGTACCGGAAACAAGGCCGGTGGGACGCAGCCGAAGAGCTAGAGGTGCAAGTAATAGAGACTCGCAAGAAGAAACTCGGAGCGGACCATCCCGACATGCTAAGCAGCATGGGCAATTTGGCGATAACGTACAGGAATCAAGGCCGGTGGGACGCAGCCGAAGAGCTAGAGGTGCAAGTAATGGAGACTCGCAAGAAGAAACTCGGAGCGGACCATCCCCATACGCTCAGCAGCATGGCCAACCTGGCGTCGACGTACTGGAATCAAGGCCGGTGGGACGCAGCCGAAGAGCTAGAGGTGCAAGTGATGGAGACTCGCAAGAAGAAACTCGGAGCGGACCATCCCGACACGCTCAGCAGCCTGGCCAACCTGGCGTCGACATACTGGAAACAAGGCCGGTGGGACGCAGCGGAAGAGCTAGATGCGCAAGTAATGGAGACTCGCAGGAAGAAACTCGGAGCGGACCATCCCGACACGCTGACCAGCATGGCCAACCTGGCGTCAACGTACTGGAATCAAGGCCGGTGGGACGTAACTGAAGAGCTAGAGGTGCAAGTAATGGAGACTCGCAAGAAGAAACTCGGAGCGGACCATCCCCACACGCTCAGCAGCATGGCCAACCTGGCCATAACGTGGAAAGGAACCGGCCGAGATTTGGATGCTATTCATCTAATGGAACAATGCATCATGCTACGAAAGCATGTCTTAGGTGTTGATCACGCTTACACTCGTTCTTCTTCGGCAATATTGATGCAGTGGCAGACAGAGCAGCTTGATATTGGTACGTCGGCAGCTAAAGACGGGGAGTGCGATGACAAAGTTGATCAATAGGTTGCAAACGTTGGGCTCGCATCGACCTGGCCTAGCATCCTGTGATCGACCAGGCACTCTGCCATGTAGGTTCGCAGAGCCGCCTAAGTTCCACGCCCTGGGCAGGCGCCATGCTGCATGTAGGTGGCGAGGTGCTCCGGCCCTTGGAGCATACAAAGATCTCGATAGCATGATGGATAGCGAGGCAATACCTGGACAGAATCAGTGGTGAATTTGGTTCCTTTATTAGTAGTATAGAGGGGGTGAATCGTACCTCTCGGTGGAGCCCTGCCTTTAGTCTGTATCGGCAGAAGTATATTCTGCTTCCGCTGACACCTAATTATCAGACCCAGAGGATGTCCCAGCGTCCGACAATGGATGCGCTAGGCGGGAAGGAGATGGTGTAGGATAGAGCGGAGTGCCCTTAATCTCTGTTAGATGGCAACCACTCATTATAGACATGGGAGGGCGTTTAGATCGAATGAATGAAGGTTAAGGCTAATATAATAGCCAGAGAAACTGTAGTGTTAGAAGGTCAGGCCCAGATCTGGCTGAGATCCTAAGACGTGTTCAAGGGAAGGTACAGATATACCAAAGGAAACTACAGTGATTGAAGGTCGGGTGCAGATATTGCTGGGACTTCCGTTAAGGATGCTTTCACGATAAGGTACAGGTGTGCAGCTATTAAATACTTCAATGCAATTAACTAGTTAATAATTAAGCTTTGTGTCTTGAGGAATCATATGCTAAAATCCGGGGTACTCTAAAGGCAAAGATCTCGTCGGTTGGTGAAAGGGGCGAGCCACATGGTTTGACCGTTTGACATGCATCTTCCTGTTCGCAAAGGCGGTCCCGCTTCCCAAATTTTGATCGTCCGGCTGAGATGCCGGAACCCTAGTCTATACGTGATGAATTCATTTGTGTCTTGTGATATCAGACTGTGAAGAAGTGAGAAACGGCTAGGCCCGGACAGAACAAGGTTACATTCGAAGCGAGTTCCTAGGTTTCCATTAGTAGATAGGCGAGTGATGCCGGATTTTCATGATTGGTAACATTTTCAGAGGCATCATCAGTATACCAATGGCCTTTATTGTCCAGCCCTTCGATTTCGGCTGGTAACTTTGGAGTGTGTTCTTATTTTGATTTGCGAAGGATGACATTCTCTAACCGCATCGTTCGCAGCTCTCTACGAGAAGCTTCTTGCATGTGTTAATCGTAGCTTCTGTATACCGTATTCAAAGGATTATACGCCATTGTTTCATCCTTTCCTACCGTTCAATTGAAACCGCTGTCATTGTTTTCAGGAACATGGACATGTCCCTGTCACTGGCAGGCTGAAGTGAGCCTGAATGGATTGTGTTCCAGGACAGGACTAAGAGTGCAAATGAAAGGCGAATGAGGATGGGTATAGGGTTCGAATCATGGCGTTTTCGGGTCTTGTGAACTCATGGTTTGATAGCGAACCGTCAAAGTTGCCTCGCTCAAGGCATTGACTCCTGGAGATATATAAAGGAGGATGTCCAGCAACTTAAGGTCAGTGCATCTTCTCAGTCAGTCGCCTTGTCCATAGAAGTCACTCCATAGACTCTTCACCAGTTCAACATTTATCATATCCAACATCACCCAAGATGCGCTTCTCATCTCTCCTCGCACCCCTTCTCTTCACTACCCCCATCCTCGCCACACCCAACCCCAAACCCAATCCAGAGCCACAGTTCGACCTTGAAAATCTTGACCTTGCCAAAATCATGCAACTCATTAACGCTGCGGGGCCACTGATCGACCTTTTCTCTGGCAGTTCTGAAGGACTGGGTGGCCTGTCTGGACGCGATACGGGAGGACTCGGAGAACTTTTGGGCAGTGTTGGGGGAATAGGTGATACGGTCGGGAAACTGGGAAACGTCGTCACGCAGGCTGATGCACTGTTGACACCGCGGTTCGTCAACCAGACGCACAGCTTGATTGACACGGCTAGTACGGTGAGTGAAGGACTATCTTGAGCTGCGAAGGGACAGAACGAGGAAGACTGATCGCCATATAGCTTTTGCCGTTGCTGCCGGGACTGATTGGTGGACTTTTGCCCAATGGTACGAGCCGCTAGACGTATTCAGTGTAAAGGGGCCGGATGTGGTTGTTGGACAGCTGTGAATTGCTTGACAATGTTTGAATGAAGTGGCAGTGACTTGCAGAGCAAGCATTGATGCCGCAGCGGCTTGTATTGTATAAGTAAACAATAGTGCTTTGATAGCCCATTTACATCACGACTGAGATCATGGGAGCATGCAAGCTGTCGTAGCTCTTGATACCTCTTCACCTTGAATCATGTCCTTTGCTAGTACCTTCATTATACTATTTGTGCTGTGCTATAGTCTGATTGCTATCTCAACTATCGAGACTCTTCTCCGAGTTAGCTGGCTTTACAGCTACCCATCAAGATACCGCGTCCCGTATTCTCTTGCCTTCAGATTGCCCCCCATATGGGAGGGATGTGCATCAGTGCCCTAGAGAACCTATCCTTCGGATCATATTTGGTCTTGACCTCCCTCAACTTCTGGTAGTTCTTGCCGAAAATCTAGGGGAAAATTTAGCATCACGCTACCTCTTAAGATAATGGAGTGGCACTCACGGCTGGGATGTCAGTGTACTTGGGATTGATGAAGTTCGGCATGAAGTCTGCACTTGTGATCCCAGGGACAATCTTGCCAAATGATTCGCCAAGGACGGTCATCGCGGTATCGAGTGAGCAGGATGATTCTGGTAGATAGCCGACACCGAGCTGGAGAAGATGGGCCGGTTCGTTGTAAGGCCAGGCAGACTTGCCTTCTGACGAGCCGAAGCAAGCCTAAATTAAAGAGTAAGTAAAGCAATCAATGTGCCTTTGAATCAGGGGTCTAGTGTACCGGTTGAGCATGTTCAAAGAGCACGTACGAGCCATGAGCCAAGGTTTCGTCCTCTTCAATCGTCTTAAAGTACCAGTTCATGCAGCGAGCGACGAGTCCGGGATCGACTTCCTTGACGAGAGCACTTTGTCCAAAGGTAGAAGTTTTCCCCTTGAGAGCACTGAGTTGAGCTGCGAGAAAATTTGAGCAATCAAGTACAGCATAAATTGGAGGCATCACTCACCATTTCCCATGACCACGTTGTAATACGGCATCTCCCCGACCATGGGCTTCGCCCCTTCAATCTCGAAGGCCCACTGAAAGTTCTTTCGGCCCGAATCCTCGCCATTGGCATCATAGAGAAGGAGTCCAACCCCTCTGGGGAAGGGGAAGAGGGGTGAGTTGGGCTCCGTCGCAAACGCCATGATGGCGACCTTGGGATCCTTGTTTTTAGGAATGAAGTCGGCGACAGCTTTGGAAATTGCCTCGATGGACGATTCTGGATAGAGGACCGGCCCAAAGAAGACCGGCTTGTCTTCCTTGTATGCCCGAAGCTTCACATTGACCAGGACTGCTTCAAATTTAGAGGTGTTTTGGCCATGATACGTTTAGGGAGTCTTACCTCCAAAGTTTCCGCCTCCACCTCGAATCGCCCACATCAGGTCCGGCTCACTAGAGGCCCAGACTACACTTCCGTCCGCGAGCACAACTTGAGCATCCAGAAGGTTCTTGGCATTGGAAATCAAGCCATGCTCCATGGAGAGCCATGAGACGCCTCCCCCGAGGATTGAACCACCGACACCAACGAATGGTTGCCGAGCACCGGGAACTTCCACTTGTTAGACTTGATTCCAAGGAATGTAATATGGACATGACCAAGCCAGACGCAAACTGAAAAGCTCGACATTGGCTTCCATTTAGAAACCATGACAACTTACCCGCATAGCCAGGAGCGATATCCTTAAACTTGGGATACACGCTTCCCCACTCCTGCCCGGCCCCCAAGAGCACCTCCATCTTCTCCTCATCAAACTGAACATCGTCGAACGCACTCAGGCTGATGACGACATCCTGCGCGGTAGCATCGCCGGTTCCCGTGGACCGGACGGCGAACTCCAAATCCGAATCACACAAGTACTTTACGATCTTCTGCAGCGACGTGAGGTTGGCCGGGCGGACGACGAGGCCTGGCTTTCGGTTCGCTCCCGCTGACCAAGTCTTGGTTTCGGTGACGAAGGCATCTTCGGACGACGGGTGGATGACCTCATCGGCCGACAAAATGGTCGTGATCTCTTTTCGGGCAGTGTCGGAGACCATGGCCACGATATGTTCTTGATTTCTCAAGTCAAGCAATGATGGGATCGTGTGAGGTGTGAGGTGTGAGGTCGTAAGCTCTTGATATTGGTGTCTGTTGAACGGAGGAAGGCGAGAAAGAAGTGAAATGCAATCAGGTGCGGCGCAGAATGTGCTCAGATTCTCACCTTTATATGCAAGGGGCCATGAACCTTCGTATTATGGGTAAGTTACCTTAACAGTGGTTCAAACATGGCCCCTTTGGCATTCGATGCGGCCCTTGCCTCCGGGTCATTTCCGTTGCGGCCCCCATTTCCCTATATCCCGATTATATGAGATGGACAGTCGGACTTGCCAATGCGGGACACTGCATTAGGTCCACAACAAAGTCGTCAACGTCGGATCCGACCACTCATCCTAGCCTATTCACAGAATGGAGGCGGGAGGGCACAGCAGAATGAACATTGATCGATGAACATTGATCGGATGGGGGTTGTAAACTGTGAGCCTGTGACCGGCCGGTTTACGTACGTAGTGATGTATAGCGTCCAATGCCGAGCGGTTGTATGATTGCATCACAACCAGTAGAGATGGTCGTGTCCATCAAACGTTTCGGATCACGAAAGGGGAATATGAAGCCGTCGATCATCCGTTCCAGAGCGGGCGTCCCGCTGCTATGCCCGACTTACTGAGGGAGTGAGCAAGTGAGCGTGTAACTACTCCGCACGCTGATTGCTGAACCATATTATCGGTAAAAATAGCAGAGTACCTATCTACTGCTAGAGTAACGCCAGCATCCGATACCGCTGAAAACTCCCACAATTGTGATACATTTAACTCATTTAATATGATTGAAATTTTAAGCTACAACGTTACGGCGTAAGCTCTAACGCTCAGCCATCGTGGTCGGACTAAGTTTGCGTATTCAAGACTGGGCCCAGTGGTCGGTGAGTTTGCTCCATTGCTGCGGTATCCCAACATATATTATGTTGGATATTTAGGCACCACGCTACCCTAGTACATTCCACTGGAATAACTGGATCAGTGGTCACAGCATTTAGGAAGCACATGCATGACCCAGACAACAGCTTTGGTAGACCAGTCTTGTCCACCTCCGGTTAGGAAATATAGATTGATGCTGTACGATGTAGCCGACTTAGGGATCTACTACAGCAAGGTCGATGACCGCGATCAACGTGAAAATCAGACGTAGATAATAGGGCCTCCATCTATATAGACGTCTTGGAGCCCTTTAGCCGCAACCTGATGACCAACACCAAGCCAGGAGGTGTTGCGTGAAATTCCCCTGAACGCGACCCCAAGCGCCATGCGATGCTGATTTCCAACTCATCCTCCTAACTCCGACAAATGTTGGACCGGGCAAGACAAAGCCGATCATCTCCTCCCCCGTCCGCCACCACCCGGCATCCCGGGCATCCCGGGCATCCCGCCGCCCATGCCACCGCCCATCATCTTCATCAGCTGGGACATATCCGGCATCCCACCGCCTCCCATACCCGGCATCCCTCCCGCTCCTCCGCCCATCATCTTCATCAAACTCGCCATGTCCGCTCCACCAGGCATCCCTCCCCCGCCCATACTCTGCATCCTCCGCTGCATGGCCTCCATCTGCTGCCGATTATTCTTCCCACCCAACTGACCCTGTGCGCGCTGCATATTCGCCATGCCGCCCTTCATCTTCTTCGCCATACCGGCCATCATCCGATGCTGGGTCAGCAGGTCCTCTACCTCACGGACGCTGGTGCCGGATCCGCGAGCGATCCGTACCTGGCGGCTGGGCTGGTTGACGAGGATGCGGCCGTCCGAGTCCAGCTCTTTCAGGGTCATGGAGTCGCAGATGCAGATCATGCGGCGGAGTTTCGTGGAGCCTTCGTCATCGTCCATGCCCTGCATCATATTGGAGAGGCCGGGGATCATGCCGGCCATCTTGGATAGGGGACCCATCTTCATGATTCCAGAGAGTTGGTCGCGGAGATCCCGGACGGTGAAGACACCCTCGGCAATATGTTTCATGGTATCTTTCTGGTTGAGGTTCATCGATTGGACGTGCTCGACCAAGCCGGCCATATCCCCCAGGCCAAGTAGCTTGCTCACGAAGCGTTCCGGTTCGAACCGTTCTAGATCGAGGAGGTGCTCGCCACTCCCGAGGAAGATAATAGGAGTGTGAGTGGTAGCCACTGCAGAAATGGCGCCACCGCCTTTGGCGGCACCGTCGGTCTTCGTAATAATGATCGCCCCAAAGTCAGCCGCCTCTTTGAATGCTCTTGATTGCGCTTCGGCGGCTTGGCCTATTGAGCCATCTAGAACCATGATTGTCTGATCGGGTTTGATAGCCCGTTGGATATCCACCATCTCGGTGAATAAATCCTCTTCTTGCCGATGTCGACCGGATGTATCCACGATGATAATATCGAACCTCTCTTTCTTGAACTTCTCCACACCCTCACGTGCGACCACTACCGGGTCGGGTTGCAATAGATTGCCGTAGTACGGGATCTTCGCCTTCGTCGCATTCTGCTTCAGCTGGTCAAAGGCACCGGCACGGAAAGTATCCGCGCACACGAGACATGATCGGAAGCCCCGAACTGCGTAGAATCGGGCAATTTTCGTGCACGTTGTCGTCTTTCCCGCACCTTGTAATCCGACGAACATGATAACATTTGGTTTGCCCTTCTTCGGTTTGAACGGCTCGGCATGAGGGTTGACAAGGCTGACCAGTTCGTCGAAGACAGCCTTCTGGATTATGCGCTTCTTATTGACGCCCTGGCCCAACTCTTTGAAGTTGACTTTCTTGCGTATCGAGGTTCGTAGCCCGGACACTAGTCGGACACTGACATCGGCTTCGATCAAGGCATTGCAGATCTCTTTGACCATTCCATCGAAAGCCTAGAATATGTCAGAACCTCGTTAGAATAATCGTAGTTATGCGGTCAGTACCTTCTCATCCAAAGTTGGTGCTCTGGTCAAGTCCGAGACAGCGGAGCTGATCCGCTGCCCGAGGCTTGAAAGCACCATATTTGCGACTGTTCCTTAAATAGGTAGAAGTATATCACTTCATCTGGCACGGGGTGCACGAGATACAGGTATCTGAAGTGAAGTGGGATGAGAGCGGGACATGCCAAGTTGACACGGAACTTCTGTTCAGTTGACGGTCGAGATGTCAGGTGCGTCAAATGTTGATAGTGGGGCGAGATCTTGGCGCTACAGGGGTAATCATCCTTGGCATCAAAATTTCCATACTTCGCTCAGTCGCTGCTTCCCATCTTGAGTTTTCAGGGAAACATATCAATTCACCAAAACAATTGAGCACAAAATGGCCCCAAGCACTCTGAAACGCAAACAACCAGACACGGGCTCTCAAAAACCCGTAAAAGGGATCCTAAAGAAACCGAAACGACAAAGATTCGCATATTATAGCTCCAGCGAAGACGAAGACGATGAGACCCGAACAGGCCCGAAATCAAGAGCTTCAAAGACCAAGGAGGCAGCCGAAGATTCCGACGATGAAATTCAAGATATAGCCGAAGAGGAGGAAGAGGAGGGCGATGATGACTTCGGAAGCGAAGCCGGCAGTGACTTCGACTCGGACGCATCCGACGCCTCCACCACGAGCGCCCGCAAGAAGCGCAAACGCAACGACCCCGGCGCCTTCGCGACTTCCATGTCCAAGATCCTCAGCTCCAAACTCACCACCACCAAACGCACCGACCCCGTCCTCTCCCGCAGCAAGGACGCGACTACCGCGTCCCACGCCGTCCTCGACGCTAAGCTGGAAGTAAAAGCGCGCGAGAAGATGCGCGCCGAGAAGAAGGCCGCGCGGGAGCGGGGAAGGGTGAAGGATGTGATGGGGCTGGATTCGACGGATGTGTCGACGCATGACATCTTGCAGAGGGAGAAGGCGCTCAAGAGGATCGCACAGAGGGGTGTGATTAAGTTGTTCAACGCGGTAAGGGCGGCGCAGCTTAAGGGGGAGGAGGCGTCGAGGCAGGCGAAGGAGGAGGGGGTGATTGGGATTGGCAACAGGGAGGAGAAGGTGACGGAGATGAGCAAGCAGGGCTTTTTGGATCTGATTGCGGGTGGTGGGAAGAAGGTGGAGAGAGTGGCGGAGGAGAACGACGACGAGTCATGATTCCCGACTACCACGAGCCGAATTGCATTTATCAGCTAGAGAATGAGAGCATGTTTCTAAGATTATGGAAGCTCAGCCTCCAACAATGCTCCCATTCCCTTCGTCTTCTAAGCCGAGTTCACTAAGGTTAGTGTATGAACCCTTCTCTTCCCCTTTAGCCTCAAAGGCTTTCCGGAGTCCGAGAACATTTGCCCTCATCCACCGCTGCCTATCCTCCCACCGCTCCGCCTGCTTCCCCAACCCATCATTTTCCAAGCCCTCCCGTTTATCCGCATGTGCCGCCCAATCCACCATTTGGTTGATATACTCCAAGTCCTCAGGGAAGGGCATCAGATGGAAAGACTCCCCTTCCCCTCGCTGCTCGATCCTATCGTCTTCCCACTTCTTCATCGCCTCCTGGCTTGGGGTGTCCAATCTGCCTGCATAGACTCGAGCCACTACGGAAGCCTGCGCTTCCGATAGGGGAAAAGGCACCACGCGTTGAGGCAACGCGAGGAAGGAAAGCGTCGGGTCGGGCCAGTAGAATAGGTGTTCGAAGGTCCTCTGAACCCGCCGCCCTGCGGGAGTGATGGCCGCCGGATCCAGCCTGGAGAGGAAGGAAAGGGTGTAGAGATAGCCTGTTGCGAAGAGTAGAACATCGATATCCTTCGCTTCTTCGCCATCTGAGAACCTCACCGTTCTGCCCACGGGATCTACGGACACGAGTCCCGCATGGGTCGTAGTATTATCCTTGAATCTAATCGGGACTTTATCGAGGGGATGATTAGACGCCAGCAAAACGCTCCTCTCGTTTACCGACGCGATTTGACCGACGATATCAAGTCCCGAAGCGCTCGCTCCAATGACCAAAACTCGATTCTTCTTAAACTCCTGGGGCTGATCGTAGTATTTCGAGTGGTATATCGTCCCCGGATGCACCTCCTGCCACTCCTCAATGCCGGGCAAGTTCGGGATGAACGGCGTAGCAAAGTGCCCCGAGGCAACGATCACGGCATCGTACTCCTCGCGCACTATTTTCCCCGTGTCCAACGGCATAGACACGACGAGCCACGGCGACTGGGCGTCCCCTGGATTGTCTTTCCATACGTCAATCACCTGCGTCCGAAAACGGATCCGATCCGTCACGCTTTCTGCGTACGAGGCCAAGTAGTCCTTGACGATTTCGTGCGGAGGGAAGATTTGCGCCGTCGTGGGGAACGCGTGGTCGGAAAATCGCATCAACTGCTTGGGGAGATTCGTGGTTAAGGACGAGTACATGGGACTGACAAACACGGGGTCAGCGTTCGATGTGCCATGTGCGTCTTTATGAGACTCCGGTACTGAAACTTCTTCATTCTCCGAGCTCTTTTGATGACCTTCAGTTGGATTGTGACATTTTTGCCGCCATACTGGCTTCTCAGCACCGACTCTTGCGTCAGTGGATGGAACGGGAACAGGTTTCGATGTCTTCTCTTGTGAAGTGTAATTCCAAACGCCGCCCACCGTCGATCGTTGCTCGAAAACCGTGACCTTCGAAAATATTCGTTCGGCCTCTAGATACCTAGCCGGAATGAGGAGCTTGTTCAATAGGGGACGGTACCACGCAATACGAACTTTGCTGCCGTGATACCTGCTGGACCCCCGCCGATAATCGCAATAGATCTACATGAGAGTCTCATCCTGGAATTACAATATCTAGCATGGGATAATGAATGATAGCGGGTACATTACACCGCGGATAAAAGTTGTCTAGATATATCATTGACAATTGAAGATGGGAAATGCTTGAGATAGTTTCATTATTCGAGACCGGGGTCATATGGTATCGTCCACCAGATGCAGGCAAAGCCAAGCTTAGAGATAAAACAACCAACACCCCAGTCCGCTTCCTGTCAACCAATTCGACGGATGCGAATTATTGTACAGAAGGTTCCCTGTAGCATGCATGTTGAATGATAAAATATGGATGAACAACCAACGCCCTGACTCCGAGCAGGTAAGAGCAAGAACCTGACACATGCATCTATCCCATCCCATCTCTCACGCTGGTCTCCTCCTCAGAAAATCCTCCAAATCCTCCTTCGTCGCCACCCCCAACACGAACCGCCTCCCCCCATCCGTCACCACCGCGAAATCCTCCGGTGTCCGTCCGTCCGCACCCCCCTCGAAGAATCCCTGCAGCTCCTCCAGCGGCGTGTCCATCGTAATGACCTTATACACCTTACCCTTCCGTCGGAACCGCGTCATCGCCTGCTCCACCGCGTCGGTCTCCTGGACCTTGCCGTGCTGGAGCTGGTCCTTGAGGCGGGGGATGCTGAGGTAGCCGAGGAGGGCGCGGTTTTCTTGGGAGACGACGGTGAGGTGGGTGTAGTCGCGTTCGAAGGCGTTCATGAGGGCGTGGGAGATGGGGTCGGAGGGGCTAACGGAGAGGGCGGCGGGGGGTTCCAGATCCTCTACTGTCGCCTTTATACATGTTAGCCTTATTATCGAGGATATACATTGACTGTTATACTTACCCCACGGTACCGGCTGGATAGTCTCTCTAATGATGAGTCGCCGGTGGCGGTGGGAGCAGTTGCGGCTTGGGCCATTTTGAAAAGGTTTGATATGTTTTCGAAGCGGGAGGGGTAAGTTGGATTAAAGGGGATGTCTCCTCCTATGACATAGGTCATTCACTCGGTATTATTATTGCCGGCTTGGGGGCTACTCTGCATTGAGGACCTGTTGAGAAGAAATGTAAGATGCGTTCCGTCATTTTGCGCGACTCGATCCCTGTTGGCGTACCCCCAAGTTACCCCACCCTTTGTTGTTGATCTGAAGATCTTCCAGTTCGGCCTGGATTTCAATGATGCAGCTTTTGATATTGTATTTATGGATTGTGGACATTCTATTATTTCCTGAACATAATAGACTTGAATAGCCAGGAGTTCTCCGAGTTGGCTGAAACATAGACGATACCAGATATATTTATGGCTATAGGGAAGGCCAGATTTTACAAATTCCACCCGAACCTCCACGAGAATCGCTACATACAATCTACGACACCATGAGGAACCTATAACTTGCTCTTCGACGCTTGACCCTTCGCCTCCTCCACCAAACTCCAAGCCACTTCCGCAAACGGCTTCATCTGCTTCCCATACTCGCTCGCCTGCGCACTGCTAGCCTGCCGCAACGCATACCGCGCGGCAATCCCCTGCATGATGATGGAGCCGCGGTAGATGCCAAACGCGTCGCCCCAGGTGATTTCCGAGGCCGGATTCCATCCCGCGACCTCCGTATACCAGTTGATGCACTCCTGCTTGGTGGGGAGGCCGGGCGTTTTGCCGGGCTGGAATTTCGGACTGCCACGGCCGATTTCAATGGCCTTTTGGGAGCTGGCAGTGGTGAAGGGGGTGATGAGGTTGGCCAGGTCGGAGAGTGGGTGGCCGACGGTGGACATTTCCCAGCTATGAACCGTCAATCCGAGTTCAACACAGGCAGAGAGGATTCGACTTACTCTAAGATCCCGATGATCCGTGGCTCGGTCTTGTGGAAGACGACGTTGTCGATTTTATAGTCGCCGTGGACGAACGAACTCCGGTCCTTAGGCTGCGTCTTCGGGTTGGAGAAGAAGGCCACCATGTCGTCGTAGTGAGGGATCTTGCCGACCGGAACTTTCGTCTCCACATCGATGGCTTGCGCCTGCGCTTCGGAGATGGTCGCGAACGTGGCCAGTTGGCGGGTGTAGAAGCCGCTGGGCTTGCCGTAGCTCTCCAATCCGACGCTCTTCGGGCTGACGCGGTGGAACTTGGCAAGGGCGCGGATGGCGTCGTGCCACCTAAGAAGAGAAGTCAGATACTGTCCGGTTTAATAGGTAAATTATCGGGGCTCAAGTATTACATTTCCTTCCTTTCCTCAGGCGTTACGCCTGGAATCGCCGGATCCTCGAAGATCCTCCCATCCAGGAACTCCATGATGTAGAAAGCGGTGCCAATGACACTGTCATCTTCGCATAGGCAATACGCTTTCGGCACCGGCACGTCGGTATTCTCCAGAGCGTGAATGATCCGATACTCTCGGTCCACCTTATGCGCGGTCTTCGAAAGCAGCTGTCCCGGAGGCTTCTTCCTCAACACGAACTTCTTCCCGGTTTTGTCGATGAGCTGGTAGGTTGGATTGGATTGTCCATAGCCAAACTGCACTTGAATGTTAGCGAAGATGAACTTCTACGTCGTTTAATTCGGGACCTGGTATCTCACCTGCTTCACCTCCAATGGGACCTGGATTTCCGGCACGTTGGATGCGACGAAGCGCTCCAAGGAGGCCACATCGATGGGTTGGCGAACTGCACCAGCCATCTTTCGTATGATACTATGTACCTAAGTTGTACTGACACGCAATCCGTGAAACCGAAGAAGGTTGAATCTCTGGTCATGTAAGGATGGGCTATTGTTACCCGTCCATCATGCCGAGGTCCCCCGATGCAATTGCCCAGGTATTGCTTTGATCATCAGTCAGGTGTGTTTGGTGTCCGTCCTTTTGGACACTTTACATGATCTCGGCCAGTCAAGGATCCGAGTCCCATCCGAAAGTATTGCATCCCGGTCTGGTCGATATAATCGGAGTCCAATAAGACTCTGATGACCAGAATTACCGGTAAGGCCGAGTTGAACAACAGAAGCATATACGTAGTTGCCGCCTTGTGTCCTTATGGCCTTATGATGGTGGGGAAATTCTGCCCTCATTTGAAGCTGCAGTGTGTGCGTGTAATGCATGCGGGGAATATCTACTCCAAGTTCTACTATCTCGGTCCTTGAACGGGTCATTCAATCGAAACTCGAAGCGGAAATCGATCTTGAGCCTCACGTCTAACTCTAGAACCACCAGATTACCCAATACGTTCCAGATCCTTCCGTGATGGGCGACAATGGCGTAGCTGGCGCGGAATCCATCCCACAGTCGAAGGTGGTCGTGTACTGCGGAGGTGCGAAAGACATGTCCTAGTATAACTGTTGAATCTGGACTTGTGCTAACTATGTCCAGTCTGCTCGTTACCCCCAGAAGTAGGTGAGATCCCCATCGCGGGATCGTTGCTGCGGGCCGATTCCTGACATGCCCCTCCTAGTACTGCGAGTTCGGCGGGACGACGAAGAAATGCGAGGAATGGCTGAAGAAACACCATCCTAGCCTCCACGGAGAGTTATATTCCGAAGGTACGCCTCCCTGCCGTCCGAGTTGCTCCTAATCCGAAACCAGCGCTGACGGATACCGCCCAGCCGCAATCGAAGCCAACCTCTCTACCCTCTCCCTCGACGCCCAAAAACGTGCCGAGAAAGACGCCCAGAAGAAAGCCGCCAAAGCCGCCACGGCGGAGGCGAAAGAGGTGGAGAAGAAGGCCGCCGCGAAGGTGTACATTAAGCGAGTGGAGCGGAACAAGAGGAAATATGTGACCGCGGTTGCGGGGCTAGAGGAGCATGGGCTGGAGTTGAAGAAGGTGGCCAAGGACTTGGGGAAGAAATTCGCGACGGGGTCGAGCGTGACGAAGATGGCGGCGGGTGGAGAGGAGATCACGGTGCAGGGGGACTTGACGGAAGGGCTGTTGGAATACATTGTGAAGACGTATAAAGGTGTGCCCGAGGATAATATCGAGTGTATCGATGAGAGCAAGAAGAAGAAGGCAGCTGCAGCGGCGGCTGCTATTGCTGCTACTGAGGCTGGGCTGCAAGGCAGATGAGTTGACTCGACGGAACAGTTCTCTATGTACCACTGTTGGATTTGCACAGGGTTCGTTCTGTACGTACGGTAGTTACCATGGCACCGTAGTCAAGTGCTCATAATGTTTGATGAAAACTCCAAGAGCATCCCGATTCCATACCGTGCACAAACACCGGCATATTGAGGTTAAACTCCGAAACATGCATCCAAGATTAACATCCGTCAATCCTCGATGTCATCATCGCTGAGGAACAATTTCTCCTCAGCCATCTCCTCGACCGGCTCCTTGCTCCGTTTGAGCTTCGTCCCGACGGCGTTTCCTGGGCCCTCGCCAATATCCTCGTCGTCAGTCTCTTCGTCCACCTGTACTTCCTCATGCCGGATCTTCGTCAAATTTTCAACATGTTTCCATATGCTGTCGTGGAAAGCACCACGCGTTTTGCCACGGATTGCGGCGAGGTAGGGCAAGATCTCAAGTAAGAGCTCTCCTTTTGAGACACTCTTCAGAACGGCGGCGTCCTCTGTCCGGTCACTCTGCGTTCCATCTGAGTGCTCTGCTTGGATCGGAGGCCGTCGAGATGTCGCCGCACGATTCCACGCTGCGACTCCCGTCTCTTTGAACTTCGGCCGTGAAGCCATCGCCCCGGAGTCGGCGGCAAGTCGCCCTTTCATCGCCTCCGTCGCCACCAAATCCAGCACCGCACCAATCTCCTCCTGTTTTCTCCACACCCTCGCACTTGCGGGGTAAAACATCTTAAATGCGTCCGTCCGCGACCCTGTCCCGGTCGCTATAGACGCATTCGGAGGCGGAAGCCGCTTCACTGGGTTCGGTAAGTTAAACAACAATCCCCTCACTGCAAGGTGGAAGGACATCTCATCCTGCCGTAGCTCATCGACCGATCCGCCCTGGAATCGCCGACGACGGACGCCGAACCCTTCGGGTGAGATTGAATCGGCATCGGAAAGGGCGTCGAGGCAGCCGCATACGGAGTCCAGGGTGGCTTCGGTGTCGGTGTCGCTGCAGGAGAGAACGTAGTTTTCATGGAGAGCGGCAATAAAGGTTGAGATGTCGGTTCCCAGTTCGTTGAGGATGTCATCGACGTTGTTTTGGGGGGTTTTGTAGCGCCAGTGCTGGGAGAACCAGTTTGGCGGTTGGGGGATGATGGTGCCAGGTGGCGGGTCATCGCGTTTGTTATGGACGACTTTTCCGACTGCGTGGAAGATGTTTAGTGTATTCTCACGTTGCGTGATTAATTCGAGCGATTCCCTTTCCATTGCCGTGATCTCCGGGGCAACCGCACCACGTTTCTTCGTCGTGAAGGTGACCCTTCCACTCCAATTCTTTTCATCATCGGGACGCAAGGCGAGGAAATGCAACGATGACACGGCGCTCCGGATATCGCCAATGGTGGATAGATGCTTCAGCACTGCTACCCCAGGGGCCCGCCGCCGTCCGGACTTTCGCGCTTCCTTTCGGATGATCAGTTCCAGTGCCTTGGACATGTATGTCGGTGCTATGGGGTTGAACTCTATGACGGTAACCCCTGGATGAGAAAGGATCTCTTGCCCAAGCAGTCGGTGAGCCGTGAAGTTGTCAGCTGAAGATGATGCGCTAGCGAGGAGGCTTTCGGTGATGATCAGGATTACGGGAATTGGTGGTGGGAGAGAGGCAGTGTTCGAGAATAACTCGCCCATTGATGGAGTGTTCTGTGCGAGGAATTGGAGGACGACATTGCGAAACCCTTGTGATGTCGACGATCGGGAGGTGATAGTTGGGAACTCTTCCAGCAGAATTGCCTTCCTCGTGGATTCATTCTTCGGATTTGATTGCGATACGACCGTTCCTGACCCGTCTGATAGAGCAAGGCTGCCAAACTTGCCCGCCATCCTTAGGAACTCGTCAAATTTTGCGCCCATCGACACGAATCCTTCGGAGGTTTCCATGGCCTCCTGGTTTCTCCACTCTGTTATTTCTATCCCAAGCTCCTTCGCCAGTAGGCTTATCGTCGTAGTCTTCCCTGCCCCGGCGGGCCCTTTAAGCACCAGGAAGCGCCGCCTCTCCCGCCCGGTGTAAACATTCTCGAGCCATGACCGGATATCCTTGACTTTCTTCACATGAACTGCAAGTTCATCGATGGATATAGGCCCAAATCGCTCTGTCCATGGCCTACCGTCTTCAATTCGGCTGGGATTCTGTGGTGGGATGGGGTTTGTCTTGAGGAACTTGTGGCTAGCCCTCCGCAAACCCTCCCCAGGAATAGCATCCACAGAATCTCTTTTCCTCTTCGCCCCGGACTGTGTGGACGAAAATGAGGATTGCTTCCGCGATTGTGAGTCTTCTGTTGGCGAATCATCCTCGATGTCTTCGATTTCGTCTTCCTTTGCTGATATGTTGGATGGTAGGGAACGGTGGTCTCCGTTTGTTTGTAAGGTTCGCGTGGATTGGGTGGAAGGTGCGGCGGTGAAGAACGACGAGATCTTCTGGTTCTTACTCGGGGACTCGGTGGATGCAGCGGTTGTCTTCCTCTTTCGAGGCGAGATCGAGGTGGTACCATTGCGACTTCGAGATGGAAGTTGCTGTGACGAAGACAATCCATTGTGTTTGTTGGGAGCGTCCTTTAGCTGCGAGAGGATCGAACTCGAGGGTTTCGGCGGGGGCTTTCTAGAAGTTGCCTTCTTTTTCGGTGCTGGTGTTTCAACATAATCGTCACTATTGTTGTCGTCGTCCGACAATACGACTCGAGTCGGCTTCTTCCTGGCACTCCGCAGCTTCGCCATGCTTGCAACTTTGACCGGTTCCTTGGATAGGTGGAATAGCTGAGTATCTATTCATTATGGAGGGTCGGGACCTGTCCTGAGGAAAGAGGTTGAAAGGATGGAAGATGTGACCTGTCAGCAATGCTATTGTTGGTAAACAGACGGCGCAAGGTGAATGCAGCTCTGGAGCCCGCTGAGCATAGAAGTGCTACTCCATCCTATGCGTGCGTAGGTGTAGGCTCTAAATGTCTACGAGGATATGAAGTAGTATGTAAGTCTATTGGTGGAGTACGGTGATGCTGAGTTCTGGAGATTTATCGCTGGTTGGAACTCGAGTCGAGATGTCCGTGATTCCTGGATGTGGAGCTGGACCCTGAAGCTCCATAACTGGAATGGGATGAAACGCTTCCAAGCTGTCGTAAACAACAAGATACAGGGGAATTGTATTACCATAGGCTACTTGCTCAGATTCAGCTAGAATGAGGACGAAAATCATCAGTAAGGGCTATCAAATTGCTTCAACCACATGCAAGCAGTATACAGTCTACAAATGATACTTGTCGTTGTTCACCCCCCTGCCCCTGATGACTGAGGTAGGTGAATTCATTGTCAGGCCTCTAGCATACCCGTAGTAATATCAAACCCACCACCAGACTTCCAGGATTCCGTTCAAACCATGCACCATACATTCGCTCTGTGTATCCCTATCAGCTTTCATAACAATGCAATGTGCCGCCCATTTCAATGCTAAGAAGGGAACCTTGCTCCCTTCAGGAACCATGCTTGGATAGTATCTCACTGAGTCGTCTGTCTCGAAACAGGCCCCGACTCCTTTTCACTCCAAGATGCGCCTCGTAACCAAATGGCGCCATGCAGACCAAGACATTAAGTAAAGGATAGTAGTTCCGCAAATATCATGCAAATAGCGAAAGTGGAAAATGGGTATAGTGCGTCGTGAAATCACGAGACAGCAGAAGTCGACCGAAACGAGGGAACAGATAATGACAGATCGGAAATGCATGGCAATGTAGTCCGTGGCTACGCATCGAAGGAAGTTCGCAGCAAAAAACCCTCGCCTACGTGACCACCCACCCCTTCCCCGCCGCCCCCGTCCCATCCTCGGGAAAAAACCCGCAAACGAGCCGGAACAAATCCCTCAGCCAGCTGAACCCCTCTGCCCGGGCCATCCACTGTACGGCGCGCGCGATCTCCGCAGCGGACATCCGCCTCCCGAACGGCAGGTTTTCCCGCGCCCGCAGGGTCGGATCCGTCAGCACGAGTCGCTTGTATTGCTCCAACAACTTGAGCTGCCAGGGCGCGGATCCGAAGGTGGTGGTGGGGAGGGATTTGACGAAGGTGAGGAGGGAAAGGCTAGTCGAATGGGTGGCGGTGGACGAGGAGTTGGAGTTTGTGGACGAGACGCCGGTGGGGACGCGGGCGTATGGAGTGTAGCCGCTATTCAGCGCGGCTTTGAGGATCAGGACTTTTAGACGAGTCAGATGTGGGTCTTCGACTTCGGCGGGAGGGATGGGGGTGCTGGATGCGGAGGAGTTGATGGGAACGCCGGTGGCGGAAAGGGTGCGGTGGGACGCATCGGAGAGGGAGGAGCGGGAAGACGACGAGGCGGCGGAGCTGGACCAGCGTGTGTTGGCCGTTGGGGAACGGATATTGTTCATCTCCGGGCCTAGCACCATGATGTTGGGAATTTCGGGCTCTTCGGGGGAAATATCGGTGGGCTCGTCAAAGATAGTCGTGGGGGTTTCGGGGTTAGGCATCTTGCGGAAAGAGTCGGTAAGCGACATGGAGCTCTCGGGACGGCTGGGGATTTGGCTGGGGGCGTAGATTGACGGTGGGTTGCTTCCACCGTTCTTTTGGCTGGAGTTGGAGAACGGAGGAAAGACACGCTGAACGGGTCGCGGGGTGCCTCGTTCCGGACGGACCTGCGTCCAGCCTTCGCGGAACAGGTCACAGAGTTCCCAGCAGGCTTGGACGGCGGAACACATGAGTTCTTCGTCCGCAGGTTTGCCGTCGCGGTTGCTCTGACGTAGGCTGAAGAGCATCTCGGCCAGCGACCAGCATGCACGAAGGAGGGAATCGGTTTCCTCTGGCAGACTCGTTCGTTGCTTCATCAGTCGATGGCACATGGTGAGGTAAAAATCCAACGTCCGTTCCCGGAATGCCTCTGGTAGTGCTCGGTCGTTCGTGTTGTAAAGGTGATTGTTTAGCTCGAAGCTAACCCTCAGGATCGAGTCGGAACTCTCGTCGGCTCGCTGCCTTGCTTCGAACAGTGCCTGGCAGAATTCCCGGCAGAGCTCTAACGTGGGTTCGACTTGGCTGGCCTGACCTTCATTCCAGCTGTCGTACAATTTTTGACAGAGCCGCCAGCACGATTTCCATGCTTGCTCCTGAACCGATCCGGTGTTGTCGAAACTGAACATGCGTTCTCGGTGGATGGAGCTGAGACCCGCTAACGTGTTGCATAGTGTCCAGCACTCGACCAGAGCAACTCGTAGCGTTCCAACGTCTTCTTCGACATTGCTGAGATCTTGCAATGCTTGGCCCATTGATTGAACGTTTGGTTCCTCAACCTCTTCTTCCTCGTCTTCTTCCTCATCACCCTTCTCGTGGTCGTCGTGTTCCGCAATGTCTGGAATGAATGTTAATAACTCTTCTCTTATAGTAATTGGCTAATTGCTACCTTCTAAGCCTGTGCTGTTCCGTTTCCTCTTCCACTCTTCCTCGACTTCCTTTGCACTTGAAGCTCGCGGGGTAATACCGAAGTCGGCATTCTTCCGAGGGATGTTTGTATCGATCGGGGTGGTGATCATCCCAGAGGAGAGCCGCTATTCAAAGTCAGTCTATATTCATTTTAGTATACAAAGGGGGAGCAGCAAACCCTGTCCTCGTGCAATTTGCTCCGTTCCGGTGTAGCAGGTGACACAACCGTATTCTCTGATTGTTCCGATGGCGACGAAGCGGATCTTGTCCTCTGCTGCTGCTTTTGGTTGTTTGGCGTTCCAATTGATGGCGGGGGGGACGATTTTGGGTTCTCCTGTACAAATAGAATGAGCATGATGGGTTGCTACTAGTGCGAAAAAACAGAGCTCTCGTGTAGGTTCCCGTACCACAAATTGTCTGAAGCCCGGTGGAACGTGGATGACAGATAACGGTGCGTCTTCTGCGGAGTCGGAACGCATCCGCATCGATATTGACGTATTGATTTTCGCAAGCTTTTGGTCCAGCTGTTAGTGTGCTGCTCGAGGAGAAGAACAGATCAATATATACTTCGGAAGCTGGAGACCTTGCCGTCGGAGGCGGACTGATGACTTCTATATCTGGAGATCTCAACTCCTCCACATGCTCCGGATCCGTCTGGTCTTCATTTTCTATTTCTGTCGTCTCCGTCGAGTTTGAGGCATGGGAATCCACGGGTGACGGGTCGACATGAGCCGGATATGGGGATTCCACGCTCAATTGAGACCCACTGCCAGCCGAGCCGTTCGAAAACCTATTCATTAAGCCGCGTCAGTCTGCGTCCCTCTAATTCATTGCGGCTGACTGCAAGTCGTCGATCGCCTCACGCGGCACAACACGCACCTTTGCATGGCACTGAAAGCGGACGTGAAGGTCGCCGGGGAACTTTGTGGCGAATCGCTATATGGCGAGAAAGCAGATTGTAAGGTTGGGCTTGGCATCTAGACGAAGCATATCATATTAGCATATGGTCATTGATAGTAGGGTAATCGGCAGTGATCATTCAATCACCCAATGCCACTTAGTAGAGGGATATATTCAGGGAAGAGAGTCATACGAGGGGAGCGGTCAATGCCATCCTCTTCGAGAGGTCGCTAGGTCCGATTATCTGTCTTTTAGAAAACTTCTGGGCAGCTTTCTTCCCAGAAGCTGTGTGTGGGTGCTGTGCCGCACGTCCAGACACTTGCTTGACCCGTGAAAACCGACAGTTGCATCCAACGCCGCAAAATGTATCCGCCGCGCGCCAGTTACGAAGATATGCACCAAGGCTGTTCCTACACCCAGCAAAGAATAATCATGCCCGAGACAGCAAAGGCAGACGCGGTCGGATGAACAGGCTGCAGTGGTGGTCTCTCGCTCGACTCAGCCTGGCTCGCCTTCCGATGTATGTGAGGCAAGGAGGGGCGGAAAGCTCAAGCTGAGGAGCTGAGAGTTAAGGATAAGACGGAGGAAGTGAGAAGGTGGTGCAACGGCAAGAATTAAAGAGCCACCTAAGAAGGACTGGCGAAGGCACACGGCGAGGTAAATATGAAAGTCCTCGACGGCGAGGCTCCCAAGGAGATGAGGAGGATCAAATGGCGGACGGCGAGGTCATATTTGGGTAATGAATCGTGTCGGAATCCGGATAGAAAACAGGACGCGGTCTTGGTACATTAGTTGCACCGCACAATGGCGCGACCTCTGTATCCCGTAAATGCAAAAGCAACAACGGATCAATCGCCGGAGGGAAAAAGAACAAATCGGAGAGGAATCGGCGGATGCTTGCTTGTCCTTAACTCAGGTTCAAGGTTGGATGGGAATCATGGGATGGCCCGTGAGTCGCATCGACTTGGCCTTGGGGACGTGGGACGAGACAGGGACACTGCAATCGACCAGTCTCAGAAAAACAACTGAGTATCGAGCCTCAATCCATCAACATCCCCGCTCACCATCTGGATTGTACCGTGATGCGGCTTCGCTCGGCAAAGCAGCCTCGATTACTCCTTCGTGTGCCTCTGCTGGGCCTCAACGTGGAGAGAGTTCGACCGAAACTCATGCAGTGCGACCTCCCACAATCCCTCATTGACTATGGCTTCTGACAAAACATGCACGACACGACATGGAAGAGCGGATGTGTAGTCAGATGTGGGCAGAGGCCTGGAGGAGCATGCAGCCCGCAGGACATCACTCTTTGCGCCAATGACCGATCCCGCTGATCACCAACTGACGAAACACTGGAGGGGTGTGAATACTGAGCAATCAGCAGGAGCGTTGTTTCTCTCAAGCAGAATCAAGCTCATAACGCGACATAAAATCGCATGGTCGGCAGCCTAACCCTCGCAGGAAAACGACAGAAAACCAATCATGGGGAAGCGTAAGCGCCGTGGACCACCTTCAAGCTCAGCGACATCAAAGAATCCACGTCGACGGTTTAGCACCAAGCCATCGACAAGGGATGAAGGAATCCATCCCTCCTCCCACCATCCACGGCTTCTCCTGCTCTTTTCCTTTTGCAGCCTAGCCCAACGCTGATGCCATGAGTTCCGTGTTGACGATGCCCCCTCCACGATGAAGATTGGTCATGTCGCAGAAAATCCCATGGGCACCATACCATTAGTATCCGCTGAGGAATCCCAAGGACGGAGGACCCAAGTAAAACTGCCCGCTACGGGAGCGAGTGCCGCCATTTCTACTCCCTCGGGTCGCCAATCAGAGCAGGTATTGGTACATTGACGTCGTGGCGTCGTGAGCATGGAGATGCATCGCTTGCTATGGCGGTTGGGATCTCCTCGTTTTCGATAAGTCCAGGTACAAGCGACCTGTTAGGGAGCGGGGGGAGGATTCCCGAATTTTTGAGCCCGTCTCACATCCGAGCATCTGGCAGCCCGCAGCTTGCCCGCACCAGGCTCCCCGTAGGCCGTAGATGGTAATTTGAAGGTGATGTAGAGAGGTTCGAGCGGCAGCCCCTGGCTATTGTCTTGCATAAACCATTGACGAATCAGGCAACCTGACAGCCCAAAATCCAACCTGGAGCTACGAACAAAGGCCAGCCCCTCCCCCTCCTCATTCCTCTGACCTTCCAGCTTCGCTCCCCTTGAGCCGCATCCCATGCAACACTTCAGAATTCAGATGCTCCTTCACCGGTCATTTCGCTAAGGTCCGGAGAATGTTGCTTGTTGCTTGCTAGGGCTGCAGCATGCATGCTCGAGATGCAGCGATGGTGCATGAGGCGTTATCGTCCGTCGTCTCATGATGAGACTCGGCACGGCAGATGGACAGTTTGGATAATTGAGTTGTCGATGCTAGCCTTCTCTGAATGCATATTCGGCTTGGGAATTTGGACGCATTCTGCGGTGAAAGACTTATCCTGAGCGCACAATCTCCAAAAGGGATATATTGGGGAGATAATTGGCTGGCGATGGGAGAATTCTTAAAAACCTATTTCGTCTATCAGCCTCCTTGGGCAACCTTCAACTTCAGGATGACGGCCTAATTGTTTATGCGGATCCCACGTGCCGAGATATTAGAACCAACAGCTCGTTCAATATTACTGGGTATCCATTGGTCTCATCTTGTTCCGCCTGATAGAATCCAGGGCCGTGCATATAATACACAGTTCTGATCCAATATATTGACTCGAATTGTACTCATACTGAGGCTTTATGAACCTCTTCTGACTTGAACGCTGGATTCGATGACAGTTGAGAGGAACTAGATACCCTAGACAGATACTAAGTAGCAAGATTCAAGAGAAAAGGGCCGAGAGCAGAGCGAAAGATCAAATGATCCCTCTTTTTTGTGGGCGATGATCTCTCCAGTCCCCGCAGTCCACATCCGTCGTCAACGCCCATGACTCGCCCCTTAACTCGCTAGGAGTTAGGACATCCTTCCCCAAACCTTTTTTTTCCAACAAAAACAAACCAACAATGAACGCATGGTCAGTGTTTTGCAATCCGATCCTCCCGGGCGAATCGACATCGGAAGGGGCTGAAGCCGGAAGTGGAAACGACTGACGAGTCGACATCTGATTCGACTGATCTACAACGATGAATACGCCCGTTACCACAAGTGCCGATCGACCGTCCGTATCCGCTTAAGAACCAGCCATCATCTCACCATATTGTAACCAATAGCCACGCCACCCAGTGCCACGGATGAGATGGCCCAGGGGAGCTGTTAGTAGATGCGGCGAGGAGTTGAAGTCGCTTCGTGATGATGTGGATTATAGAGTACCAACAATCTACCGGGTTGGAATTGATAATGTGCCGGCCAGTCGGGATCCGGGATGGCTAGGCTGCTCTAACGGAAGGATTAGGAATTGTGGATGGCTTGATCCTTCGAAGAGCCTCCAGGAGTCCAGGTGGTGAAAGTTGGATCGAAAGGTTCGTGCATGAAACATCCACACCTCGGTAGAGTGACGATAGCTTAATGGGTTGCTATACGGAGAATCATATGTGCGTGGCGAGGGAAAGGGTAAATGGTAGACGGAGACAAATCAGAGCCAGGTATGCAAATTAAACCAACAGATACACATTTATATAATGCTCAATGCTCATAAACCAAACTGGCTCGGTGAGATCTGTCTACCAACATGTCCTGCGTCTTATGCAGATCAGTCCGTCTCCTCTTCCCCGAGGAATCTCTTTATTCTCTAATATCCCAAACGGTGGACGTCCCATACCCCATCCTTCCCAGCACCGAAGCAGCGCAAGCCTATCCCTGGCCGCCTCACTTCGTATATTCCTGCTGCAACATCTTCGCAATCGTCGTCAACTGAATATTGCTCGTCCCCTCATAAATCGCCCCAATCTTGCTATCCCGGAAGAACTTCTCCGCGAGCCCCTCCCGTACGAACCCCATGCCGCCCATCCATTCGACCGCGCTGGACGACAGCTTGCCCGCGACCTGCGACGCGTACAGCTTCGCCATCGCGGCGTCGCGGACGAAGTCCAGGCCGGCTTCCTTTTTGCGGGCGGCGTTGTACACGAGGGCCCGCGCGGCTTGGAGCTCGGTGTAGGATTGTGCGATCTGGTGTTGCATGCCTTGGAAGGTGCCGATGAGCTGGCCGAATTGTTTGCGGTCGTTGAAGCAGTAGCTGAGGATATATTAGTTACTAGGCACTCGTTCAACGGCGGCGTGACCTTACCTCGCGGCGTTCTCGAACGCTCCCCATGCAAGACCGGTCATTTGCGCAGCGATACCGATCCGGCCTTCGTTGAGTAGGCTGATTGCCATCTTGTAGCCCTTGCCCTCTTCACCCAAAAGATTTTCCTTCGGAATTTCCATATCGTCGAAATTGAGCACGCAGGTCGAGCTAGCCCGGATTCCAAGCTTCTTCTCTTTCTTGGCGACGCTGAATCCGGGGGTGTCCTTCTCACAGATGAAGGCCGTGATGCCCTTGTATCCGGCCGAGGGGTTCAGATTCGCGAAGACGATGAAGAAATTGGCTTCCATCGAGTTTGTTATCCACATCTTGCTGCCATTGATCTTGTATCCTGACGCGGTCTTCTCCGCCTTGGTGGCAAGGGCGAATGCATCGGATCCGGACACTGGCTCGGACAAGCAGAATGATCCTAGACTCTCGTCAATATCGCAACTCGCACCGGTCCGCAAACCACCACTTACCAACAGTCTCCGTCGCCAGCTTCGGCAACCACTTCTTCGTCTGTGCCTCCGTTCCCCACCTCAACACTGCCGTGTTCACCAACGTATTATGCACATCGCACATGACACTGACACTCGGGTCCACCCTCGCCAATTCCTCGATCGCCACGATCGCCGCCGTGAAGTTCATACCGGCTCCGCCATACTCCTCCGGTATCTCGACACCCATCAACCCCTGCTCGAACAGCTGCTCGACGACTGTCGGGTCCATCGTTTCGGCCTCGTCCATGTCCCGGACTTTGGGGAGGATGACTTCGCGGGCGAATTTGCCGACGCTGTCCGCCATCATGGTCTCGATTTCGGAGAAGTGGCTGATCGGCGTGGGTTGGAGATCGGTCAGGTCGATGGTGGAGTCATTGTGGAGGGGACGAGTGGTGGAGAGGCATCGGGCAGTGTTGCTGAAGGATGGGGTAAGTTTGGGTTTGCGGTGGGATATGAGAGCAAGTATTGGTTGCTATCGCGTCAATTGAGAGAAATTCAACCTACAATCGGAGTCTCTGGCGTGGCACCGCGACCCGTCGTCCTCCGACTCGTGCGGCGGCAGCGGTCAATGGCCGCATTGCTCTTGATACGCTTGCCATCTTGTATAGTTGGGGCACTACTTCAAGGATTTCCAGGTATACCAGTAGAAGGAGAAACAGAATTCCAACGGCTAACAACGATTGAAATACAAAGCAGCAGTTGTCAGAAGGAAAATCACAAATACTGTCAGATTCTCATGCCCATACCCAAAGGAGGAGAAGTGCGGGATGGCAGTTGAAGGTGAAAGTCAACTAGGGCGACCCCTTGTCCTTGTCGATGATCTCCCCCGCTTGTAGCCGAGGATTCGGCGTGAGAATTCCGGGTTTCGCTCGGTGATTTCCGGAGTTCCAATTGGCTGAATCCAACATGGACAAATGGAAGGGTTGGAGGCGAGAAACTGAGGATACCGTATGTCGGAGACCTTATGCCGTAACAGTACTAGCAATAAGCCTGTGGACTCAAGAGTCAAGACGGAGGGGCGGGATGTCCGATGCCTGGATTTCTGACATGTGACGTTACCGCAAGTTATTATTAGGGGGGTAGATAAGGGGTCTACATGCATACCTAAGCATCAGATACTAGATGGGAGGAATCAGATCGTCGGTATTATGCAGGTACAGAGTACGCCTGTGGTGGATGGGCTTCAACATATCGAATCATTGAGAGTTGTCGTTGATCTCTCGCCAAACTCCCGCGCTTCCAAATGCTATATGAATACGGTAAAGTACAAGTCAGAGTCGTAATCATCGAGCTCACCCGACCTTCCGGGTCGCGTCGTTCTTGATGACCTTCAACGCCTCCTTCGCCTCATCAAGATCCCGATAGAGGCCCATAATAGCCATGATTCTCGTCATATTTGGCACCTTCGTCGACCGTGCCTGCTTGAGTGCCGTGCCCAGATCCAACAAGATCGTATTCTTCACCTGCATCACCCGTGCTTCCTGTGCTGTTAAGAAGGGGTGCTCGGGGCCAAGTTCCTTGGAGAGATGCTCCAGGCTCAGATACATCTCCACATGTCTCCGCAGACGGAATAGAGGCACCGCACCCACCAGCTCTTCCTCATCCCCATCTTCCTCGTCCTCCTCGCTCTCGTCGTCGTCGGAATCACCCTCCACCTTCCCGGTGGAATCAATCATCAACCCGGCCTCCAACTCCTTACACCTCCTCTCCCACTCCATCAACCCCCTCCCCACCCCCAACAACCCCCTCACCTCCACCCTCTCCCCCAACAACCCCTCCACCTCACCCCTCCGTCCTCCCACCTTCCCCCTCGTCTCCTCCAACCCCCTCCGCAACCCCATCAACCCCACGCTCACCTCCTCCACCCTCTCTTCCCCCCCCTTCAGCCCCTCCCCCAAACTTAAAAACTCGCCATAGTGCGAATTGACCAGCTCCAGCAGCTCCGTTTGGATCGTGCGCACGCGCGCGCGCAGCTCGGTCGCGAGGTCGGCGAGCGTTTGGTGTCGCGAGCGGATGTGCAGGGAGGAGAGGAATTCTGAGGGGGAGAAGGGGGAGGCGAGGAAGGGTTGGCGGGAGAGGGGGGCAGGGTAGGGGAGGTCGTCGGTGTCGGAGTCGTAGGGGGGATCGTAGATGTCGTCGCCGTTTTCGGAGAGGCTGGAGGGGGTGTCGAGCTGGACGAATGTTAGCTGTGGATTTGTCAGGCGGAGTTTGGGGGACGTACCTGAAATCGGCTCATGATGAATGCACTATATCGTAGAGATAATTGTTGGCGTTACGAGGAGAAGCAATGTCGACAATGCAAGCAATAATGATGTATCAAGGCGCTAACGACTCTTATCGATAACGCTGACATGGCAATACGATGGCATTGGTGATGGCAAGGGAGCTCTACCTGTTGACTTCCGAAGAGGGGTGGAACTTTTAGCCGAGTCGTTGATGACAACCGCAAGTCCGCAACTAGTCCGCTGTGATGACTGATCTCTATGTTGGTTCTATGTCTATGCCGCCCCGCCGTGTCGACAACATATCGAGCATTTCGATCTTTAGGGATTTCCTCATCGGTGCGAACGAACAGTAAGCCTCAACTTTCAATTGCGCGTCATCTCGCTACAAGGGCGGCTCGAAGTCTATCTGATACCATGTCTCAACCACCACAACAGCAGCCGAGTCTCCCTGAACCCGCCCACGCCGACATCGATTCCATGCTGTCCCGGAAGTTTGGCAAGGAGGTCGCGAACTATTTCGCAGGTACTACGAACTCCAAATCCCTCTTCATTATGCAAACAAGATCTAACTAAACCGCAGGATCGCCCCTCAACCGAGTTTCCTTCCTCCGAACCGACCATGCCTTCCTCTCCACCGCGCTGAACCATCCCTCGACCACCTTCCTCGTCCTGAACAACTTCAACGCCCTCGTCACAGCGCCCAAAGAGCTCGCGTACGTGAAATACGACGCCGTCAAGGCGATCCTCGGCGGTGACCCGTTCGTGAAATCCGAGGCCGAGCTGCTGAAGGAATACAACTCCACGACGTATCTCCCGCAAGTCGTCTTCCTAGGGTTGGATCCCCGGAGAGAGGACGGGATCGATCATAAGGGCGGCTACAAGGGCGCGCCGGTATTCGCGATCGACATCACGCCGAAATCGACGTTAAAAGATGCCGCGGAGAAGTTGGTCCAGGAGTTCGAGGGCAAGGGATACAGCTTCCCCAAGGATCGCGTTCAAATGTCGTTCCCCGCCCACGAAGGTAAGCCTCCTATCCTCCCCCACTTGGCACCCATCGTCGGCCACCAACAAACCTGACCCCTTCTAGCCGCCATCTACGCCGAAGCCCGCCATGTCATGGACTGGAACGCCCGCAACCCCTTCTGCGCCCAATGCGGCCAACCCACCCTTTCCATTAACGCCGGCTGGAAACGCAGCTGTCCGCCTACAGACCTCGCGCGCGTCGGCGGCGTCGTCGGCAGCACCACCTCGGAGACCCCCTCCAAGCGACCCGACTGTGCGACGCGGACGAGCCTCTCCAACGTCTCGTTCCCGCGGACCGACCCCACCGTCATCATGGCCGTCGTGTCGGCGGACGGGCATCGCGTGCTGATGGGCCGGCAGAAGCGGTGGCCGGCGTTTTGGTATAGCACACTGGCTGGGTTCTTGGAGCCGGCGGAGTCGGTTGAGGAGGCGGTGCGGCGCGAGGTGTGGGAGGAGAGTGGCATTACGCTCGGGCGGGTGGTGATCCATTCGACGCAGCCGTGGCCGTATCCGGCGAACCTGATGATCGGGGCGATCGGGCAGGCGATCGCCGGGGACGGGGAGAAGGTGCACCTGGGACATGATGCGGAGTTGGAGGATGCGAAATGGTTTACGATGGAGGAAGTGAGGACGGCGTTGAGGGTTGGCACGAGTGGTTTGGGGGATGCGGCTGGTGCGGAGTACAAGGAAGGGGGGCTGAGGTTACCGCCGAGCACCGCGATTGCTAATCAGTTGTTGACAGCTGTGGCTAACGGATTCGTTAGTGGGGATAGTAAGATATAGATATTCCTGCGCATATCTACGCAAGATCTTGCAGCCTTGTGCCGGACTTTGGTATATAGACAGTGACTAGACTGCATTATAGCAATGGACTATTGACTAATCCTCACTTGGCCTCGTAATCGTGGAACTAAGTCTGCGTGAAGAATCTTTTGAATTCATCAACAAGATTCCCTCGCATTTCTCCTTTTAGGTGGCAAAACATTTGCAGCGAAGGTCTGGGATGACCGTTCCAGACTGTTGAAATGCCGTTGTCGCCCCCGCTATGGAGAGGACTCGAATCCCGTGTCGGCTGATGCCTTGCTTGATGTCTGTTGGCTCGGCTCATGGTACATGGGAGGAGTACTTTGTTCAAAAGCTCAATGACACTCCTGGATCGCCGAGAACTGTCGAGGACGACTTCAGGACACCCCCCAATGATCGCCATGGAGATCTCCATACATGGCCCTATATCTCAAGTTCAGAGGCGCAATCGGGGTCTGCTTCATATAAAATCATGGTTGGATTCGATGAAATTGCATCTGAGACCACGTCAGTAACGTCCGGGAAATTGATCTCCATATCACGAACTCTTGGTTATATCCATGCCCATCCTCCACTTCCATTTCTGCCCACGGAACTACCTTCTTATCCGAAACGCCTTATGCCATTCCAAAGTGCGCCTTTTCTTGACTTAGTTCTCATGTCGAATTGATATTGTGTCCGCCAAGGTTTTCTAAGCCAAGAGGTCCGCCACTGCTTCGCATTAGTATCTGGAAGACCATTTTCACAACTCAGGAAGAGGATTCTCACCATTCATTGGCATTTCATCAATCTGTGTCGAGTAGTAGACTGTTTCCGTCAGTAGCAGTTCGGACATAGGCATGCTGCAACTTACGCTCAATATCGCGCAGAATCCGAACGTCTTCGGTCGTGACGAAGTTAATCGCCACACCTTTTCGGCCAAAGCGACCGCTACGCCCAATCCGATGAATATAATTCTCACGATTGCTCGGAAGATCGTAGTTGATAACCAAAGAAACTTGTTGCACGTCGATGCCCCTTGCCCAGACATCCGTCGAGATGAGCACACGGGAGTTGCCTTGACGGAAATCTTGCATGATACTATCACGTTCCTTTTGCGGCATCTCTCCGTGCATTGAGGAGACCGTGAAATTCGCTTCGCGCATCTTGTCCGTCAACCAGTCCACCTTCCGGCGTGTATTGCAGAAGATGACTGCTTGGGTAATCGTGAGGGTATCGTAAAGGTCGCACAGCGTGTCGAACTTCCATTCCTCCTTCTCGATGGCGATGAAATATTGCTTGAGGCCTTCCAAGGTAAGCTCGTCACGCTTCACCAGGATGCGCACCGGGTCGGTCATGAACTTGGTGGTCATGTCGAGCACGTCGTATGGGAGGGTGGCAGAGACGACCACAACCTGTGTCGCAGGTGGAAGATATCGGTAGACATCGTAGATCTGCTCCCTGAATCCTCGGTTTAGGAGCTCGTCGGCTTCGTCAAGGACTAGCATCTTGATATGGCGTGTGCGAAGGTTGCGACGGCGAATCATGTCGGCGACACGACCGGGCGTTCCAGACACTACGTGCTGACCATGGTCCAGCTTGCGGATATCCTCACCGACGTTTGTGCCGCCAATACAGGCATGGCATTGCACATTCATGTAGTCACCAAGAGCCATGATAACCGACTGGATTTGCGTCGCAAGTTCGCGGGTGGGGGAGAGAACGAGAGCTAGCGACTGGATCAGCAAGGCTTGCGCATTCGATGGTCTTCAGTACTCACCCTGTGTCTCTCTCACCGCTGTATCAATAACCTGGAGGATGCTGACCGAAAACGTCGCCGTCTTACCCGTGCCGGACTGCGCTTGAGCAATGGTATCGCGACCTTTGCATATCTGAACGATGGCACGAGACTGGACCGCGGAGGGGGATTCATATCCATAAGCGTAGACGCCGCGAAGGAGGTTTTCTTTGAGGTGCATAGCCTCAAAGGTCGGTGCGACTGTCACCTCCTTGGAGGTGTTAAACTCCATCCGCTCTGCATTGCTTCTGTTAGAGGCGAATATGCAAGTGAGTGGAGCTACTCACCATCGGCTCTTCGATCGATGCCTTCCGCCATATTGAAGATTGAGTCTGTCCAAGTCGATAGAAGTGATTTGTAGGGGGTTCAAGGAATCCTTGAAGACGGCGATCGGATGATTGACTGTTGAGTAGAAGTTGAGATTGTGAGATGGAGAAGCAACTCAGGATGGATATCTCGAACTTCGAACATTTGGATGGTCCGTGCGCAAAAGATCGTGAGGCGACAAGGCTGAGAATTTATGGACTTCACATCGATCATCCAGTCTGATACCTACAGTAATACCTACTTCGATTGATACCTCAAATCTCTCTCATACATCCTTACCTTGCACTCCCAGTTATCACATTAAACGCATCTCAACCATGATTATCGAAGACCAAAGGATAATCCATGAGGATATCGAGCGGTTGGAACAAGCCATCGCCGACCGCATCATTGACGATCCCACTAACGTACGCGTTCATGACTATACTTTTGCGCCAGACGCTAACAGAACGCAGATTCGCGACCGGTTACACCGAGACCACCAGATCGCAGGCTTCCTCCAACGGATCGAAGAGCAGTCGCAAAGATTGCTCGACATCTACAAAGATGCGGACAAGTCGCGCGCTCGGGAAATCCAGACCCTTTCCACCAGCGACCAGTTCGAAACCTTCTACTCTAACCTGAAAGACATCAAAGCGCACCACCGGAAATATCCCAATGAACCGGTCGAGAATCTCGAGAAGGCGTACCAGAACCGCGGCCCGGGGGAAAATGGACCATCCGGGGGCGTGGACATCGACGCGATATTCACGGGCGAGGAGACGTACGGAAGGTTCTTTGACCTGACGGTGCTACACGAGGACTACCTCAACCTGCCGGGAGTAAAAGGAGGAAAGCGAGTCACATACCCCCAATATCTCGACATATTCGACAAGTTCACACCACCCGAGTGCACCGTCAAGCCGCCGGACAAGATGAAGGAGCCGTATTTCCAATACATCACGGCGCTGGCGGAGTATTTGGAGGGGTTCATGCGACGGATACGGCCGCTGGAAGACACCGACAAGCTCCTTACGCAGTTCGACGAAGAGTTCGAGAAAGCCTGGGCCAGCAACGAAATCGAAGGCTGGGGCGCAAAGGCTGCACAGCCGTCAAAACCCGCGACGAGCCCGTCCGAGGCCGTCTATTGCGACGACTGCGAGAAAGAGTTCGGCAACGAGAACACGTACAAAGCGCATTTAAACGGGAAAAAGCACATTCGCGCCGCGGAGGCCAAGAAGCAGCGCGGCGGCACTAGAACAAGCGACGCCCCCGGAACCGACAAGGCGACGGCCTCAATCCAACGACTGAAAGAGCGTGCCGTGGCGGAGCGGGAATTCCGGGTGCAGAAGTTCGCGAACGCGATGCAGACGATCCGGCACGATACCCGCAGCAACGTGGAGCGGAAGCAGGGCATGACGGAGAAGGAGCGGCAGCAGGAACTCGCGGCCCTGTTCGCGGAGCAATCGGAGGTGCTGGGCGGAACGAGAGACGAGGGGGAGGAGTCGGACGACGAGGAGAAGATTTACAATCCGTTGAAGCTGCCGCTGGCGTGGGATGGCAAGCCGATCCCGTATTGGCTATACAAGCTGCATGGCTTAGGGGTCGAGTTCCCGTGCGAGATCTGCGGGAACTTCGTGTACATGGGACGACGAGCATTCGATAAGCATTTCAGCGAGGCGCGGCATATCCATGGGTTGAAGTGCCTGGGCATCACAAACACGACGCTCTTCCGCGAAATCACGCGGATCCAGGACGCGATCAACCTGTGGGATAAGATCCAGAAGGACAAGAAGAAGGAGAAGTCGTCCACGGAGAATGTGGTGCAGATGGAGGATGCGGAGGGCAATGTGATGCCGGAGAAAGTGTATTACGATCTGCAAAAGCAGGGGCTGCTGTGAACCGTTCCTTGGAGCGGTCGCTTGCGCTTCGCTTGTACTATTAGACAAATATATTCCTCAATGCGGACGGTTGCCACCCGCGTTTCAATATACCCCCAACGCCGTTGCTGTAAATATAAATGTAACAAGTGATGAGCCTCCGCTAATCACTGTCTGAGTCGCCGCCCACAATCCCCAAAGGATTCGCCACTTGTTTTCCTTTGATGCCTGCGAGGAGTGGTTTCTGCTTCTTCTTGATGATACGCTTGAACTCCGGGACAGGAGGTTTCGGCTTGACCACCTCCACGATCGGTTTCTCCTCTTGCGCCGGTGCTTCTGAAACCGCGTCGCCCACTCCATCCACCTCCTCCACGATCGCATCCATCATATCCATCGCATCCACAAGAATTCCCCCCCCATCCCAATTCTCGTCCGTCTTCCCCGCTCTGGCAAACGCCCTCCTCGCCGCCTCCTCATCCTCCATCTCCTGCCTCTTCTTCTCCTCATCCAACTGCTCCCTCACTACCTGCACCGCCTCCGTGCCCCCCTGCCCCTCCCGCTCGATCCTCGCATTCCGCATCCGAATCTCATCCAACGCATCCGCAATCGCCATCTCTGTCTTCGCATCCACCTGCTTTCCCTCCAGCTCCTTCATCGGATCCCGCTCCGCCTCCTCCCTCTCCAGCCGATCCAACGTCTCCTCCTCCGTCTCCTCTGCTAACTTCCCCTCGCGCCACGGCTCGAAGTTCCGCCGCGCCCCCTGCTCGCACTCGTAGTCCATGTTCTTCGGGTCGGTCTTGAAGGTGATCTCCGAGCTGCACCGCGTGCAGCGGATGTAGAAGCGGTAGATGGGGATGGAGTAATATTTCTCGTCGGTCGTCTCTTTCTGCGCGTTGAACTTGCGGCCTTTGTAGATGTATTCGGAGCACCGCGTGCATTTCATGCTGAAGGGCGCCATGAGGCGGACGGGGATGCGCTTGGGGCCTTTGGGACCACGTTGGCGGACTCGACCGAGTTTGCTAGGGTCGAAGTCGGGGGGATAGTATTTGGAGGTGACTTTTCGTTCAGACATTTTGGATTATTCTGGGTGACGATTAGGAGGATGGTGTGTAACAGGAATCGAAGATAAAGTTGATATTGAGGTTCCGCCTTCCCTTGAGTTGATGATAGAGGGGCTGTGGCGAACTGTATGCACCAAATCTGCAGTTTATCGACACTGACAGCCATCTGATTGGAGTTTGGAGTTTGGAGTTTGGACGGTGGATTCCCCCGAATTAAAGGGATCTGGGATCACGTGGACAAACTACTGCTACAAATCACGTGCAATGTGTCTGACTCGTGTGCCCCGCGATCTCTTCGATATGTTTGGCTTTTCCTGACTCCTGTCATGGACATGATAAACATCCAAACCCGCAGATGCTCTCTCCCATGTGGTTGCGCCTTCGGCGCTGATTGTTTGTGCTCTGTCGCTATTGCTTGGAATATGATTTCACGCTGTCTTCATGGATACATCGTACCGGTATCTTGTATGTGTTAACTTTATGTGCCTTTTCAACTTATCAGATCCCCTCTGCAAGCGCGTTGCATCCAGATATCCGACATGGAAAAGTTCCTGAGGGAATGGAGACAGGATGCCTTGAACAAGCACCAATATGAGTCTGCTATCTTCATCGGAGATAAGTTGTTAGCTCTCACAAGTTCGTACTTCCCATTTGGCCCTTGACCGGTCGGAAAACTGAAAATTCTGCTAGACAATGACAAAGATGCCTTCTGGCTTGCACAAGTACATTTTTCGACCGGCAACTACTCAAGAGCCTTAAGTTTTCTTGCCAAAAACGACCTGATCAAGAGCAATTCCTCATGTCGATACCTCGCTGCACACTGCTTGATCAAGCAATCGAAGTTCGAGGAAGCCTTGGTGGTTCTTGGGGACAAAAACCCCGTCCACCTCATATCCGCCCCTGGCAGCGCAAGAAGAAAACGCCAGCATATCGATGCCTTGGTACATGGCAAATTGCGAAATGGGAAAGGGGCGGTCCGATCGGACCGTATAGACCGGAGCGATGAGCGGGACCACGAGGATTCGTCGAACATCAAGTTCGAGGCCGCAATGTGCTATCTTCGAGGGGTCTGCTACGCGAAGCAGAATGCTTTCGACCGGGCAAAGGAATGCTATAAAGATGCCGTGCAGATCGACGTGCAATGCTTCGAAGCATTCGATCAGCTTATGAAGAATTCGCTTATGTCCCCGGAAGAGGAATGGAAATTCTTAGAGTCCCTCGACTTCGACTCCATCACGGTCAACGACAGCTCATCCTCAGCACAGGAAGCCGCTGAATTCACGAAAATGCTATATATGACCCGGTTATCCAAATACGAGCACCCCGAAAACTTCACCCTCGCCACCGAAACACTCTCGACACATTACAAACTATCGGATAACCCTGACATCCTCCTCGCCAAAGCCGACCTCCTCTTCACCCAATGTCGTTTCCGCGACTCCTTGACCCTGACCGAAGCGATCCTCTCCAACGATCGTTACAACTTCGCAGCATTACCTGTACACCTCGCCTGTCTACACGAACTCAACGAGAAGAATGCATTGTTCTTAATATCCCACGACCTCGCCGACAACCATCCGGAAGAGCCCGCCTCCTGGCTAGCCATCGGCGTCTACTATCTCACCATCCGCCGTGTGGCCGAAGCGCGGCGGTTCTTCAGCAAGTCCAGCATGATGGATCCGCATTTCGGGCCGGCCTGGATCGGATTTGCGCACACCTTCGCTGCAGAAGGGGAGCACGATCAAGCGATTTCCGCCTACTCCACCGCGGCCCGGCTCTTCCAAGGCACACATCTCCCCCCTCTCTTCCTCGGCATGCAGAATCTCCAACTCAACAACCTCGCCCTCGCCCACGAGTACCTCAACTCCGCATACGGCCTCTGCCGCACCGACCCCCTCCTCCTCAACGAGCTCGGCGTCGTCTTCTACCACGAAGATCACCTCGAAGACGCTATCAAAGTCTTCGTGCAAGCCCTCCGCGTCGCCTCCGACATCCACTCCGAGCCGCGCGCCTGGATCGCCACCCGCGCGAACCTGGGGCACGCACTCCGACGGGCGGGTCGGTTGCCTGAAGCGCTCGAGCAATTCGACGAGGTGCTCCGTCAGGGGGGGAAGGAGGAGGGGGCGCCGATCTTCACGGCGAAGGGGCTCGTGTTGATGGAGATGGAGCGGGCGTGGGATGCGGTGGTGGTGCTGCACGAGGCGCTGGCGGTCAGTCCTCAGGACCCGATTGCGGGGGATCTGCTGAAGCGGGCGCTGGAGTTGAATGGGGAAGAGGGGATTATGGAGGAGAGCGAGGAGGAGGAATTCGATCGGAAGATGGAGGGGAATCGGCGGGGGGCGAGAGTGGGGAGGAAGGGGCGGGCGAAGATGAAGGAGGTGGTGGTGGAGGATATGGACGGGAGCTTGATGATGGATGCGGACTTGAGCGATGAGTGATGAAGAGGTTCATACGGTGAAGTTTCGGGACATGGGTCAGCTTATTGTAGTGTTTACATGTTGGTTGATTAACATGGGAGGGAATAGACCGTATACACCTGTGCATAGCAGGCCCTGCTTGTGGATTAAAACAGTTCAATTAGCGATTGGATCTCATACTGTTACGAATAGCACACAATGACAGTCAAGTTTATTTCCAGCATCCATCGTCCAGTATCGCACCATGTGCCTAGAAAAGATCTGAATTTCTAGACGAGCGCCTGGTCTTAAGCAAAGCCATCATAATATCGTGGAGAACGCAAGGTCCTCCAGTCTCTCCAGTCAGTGTCAGCCCTGTTGGCGTAGGACTCGGCATCAGTTAACGCCGACCTCACGGCTTACGCTTTGATTACGGGATCAAAATCCCAATTGCATCCTTCTTTATGCTTCGTCATTTCAAGCAATAAATCCGTTCTTCAATTCCGTCTATTTCGAGCCCGGCGTACCGGCCGATTGATATGTCCGTGATTGACACGTCCGAGATTGACATGTCCGACATGTCAAACACCAACCCTTACGGCCGTATTCATAGAAGATTCGGGTCCGTAGGGGCGAAGAATTGAGCGGCACGCTCTCAACTTCGTCCGTTCTCGGAATGATGCTGACAATCCACGATCATATATGTCTGGCTGACATATATCCCTTCGGAGTAATCTCGGCCGGCAGAGCTTAATTCCAAATGATAATTAAAGTTGAGAAGCTGCTAGTGTTTATAAGTCCGTTCAACGACTGCAATGGAATACCCAGCTCCAAGAGTTCCCATTGAGGACCGTGGGATCATATTCGACGCATGTTGCCATGTTCCCTCTAAATCGTATACCCATCGATTCCGCCCGCAAGGCCACCATGGCCGACTCTAAATCTCAAAGCTCTAATGAGCCGTTTAAAGCAAAAGAGTTCGACATGATGAGGCGTGGTGTGAAAGGACCTTCACCAGTAGCTACCTTCACCTTCATCGGCTTACGCACCCTCGACCTCCCGCTTCAGTATGCACTCTTGCGCGGAGGACTTGGGGTAACACTACTCACGAAACTGGGCCTAACACCGATTTCCGCGCAACCTGCTTTCCGGACCGGCCTCTCCGCAATCGATTCCTTGGATCTACCGCTCCCGCAGCTGCTCATGCTCCTGATGACCGCAAGCAGTACAATACGAATTTATTACTGAATCCTGTTCCTCGCGAAGGAGAAGTTGTCAATGTTCGCTGCTCTATCTATACCTGCCTTCAGTGTCCTCGTGAACAGCATCGGCTCCATCTTAATCACTTGGGCTGCGACCTCGAGTATCAATTCCACCTGGCGCATTCCCGGAATCGACCTCCCCGCACCGATTGTCATCGGTTTCGTCGGATATCTTCTCGGCAGTCTACTTGAGACCGGCTCCGAGCACCAGAGGAAGGTGTTCAAGAACAAGCCGGAGAATCAGGGAAAGATCTGCACGGTGGGGTTCTGGAAATATGCTAGGCATATCAACTATGGGGGATTCATCCTCTGGAGATCGTCTTATACCCTGGCGGCATCGGATTGGCTCGCAGGGCTGGCGACGGTAGCATTTCATGGGAATGATTTAGGGAAAAGAGGAGTTGCGGTGATGAATGACTACATGTCACTCCGATACGGAGAGCAGTGGAGGCAGTATAAGGCAAAGGTGCCGTACAAGCTGTTCCCTGGAATCTACTGAACTCGTAAACGGTGTGTTTTCTGTATTAAACATTGGGGAATACCATTTTGGAACTGTTGATATATCAGCATATTCATTCATATCCTTCGCGCTACTTCGTAAATATGACACGCATTGCAACAGTTAATAGTAAGCCTTTACCTCTAAAGCTGAGACCCTGACTGCGTTGCTGGCACTGAACATATATGCTGCACGGCACGTACTAAGTGCTACGGAGTAGTAACGTATTAATCCTAGGAACAGATATTTACCTACCTTCATACTAAGTACAGTAGGTATCCATCGCCCCAGTCTCGCATTATGTCTTCGCGCCTAACGGACACCTCATGGCGTATGTAGACTACCTATGCCGGATAGCAGGATGACCGGTTGCCCTCGAGAGGTCATCAGAGACTCGTGGAAACCTTCGATCCGAGGTTCAGGCCGTGGAATTCCAGGTAGCCAGATTGCCACAGACCGTGGTAGTCTAAACCGTATTTGAAAGATACAATTAGCAAAACTTAGAGAAGAATGGTTTGGTTGCGAGTTTTTGAGGCCCTGGAGGCAACCTTTAGCGTCTCCGATTTCGTTCGCGTTCGGTGGCCCGTAAGCAATTTATATGAGAAACACTCCACAAATTTGAAATGGAAGATTTGTTATGCATGAGAGTTTTATGTCAACAGCGCGTGGTTGAGAGGTTTGATGCCGTTGGATAAAAGCAGTTGACAAACGATAGTCGATTCGTGAATAATTTAGGGGTCTAGAAGAAAGTTCCCGAACAAAGTAAAGGGAAAAGATCGACCTACACCCCCAAAGGCTCAACCTACACCCTTCGCACGTGAATTTGAATTCCTGCAATCTGATTGGTCCATTTAGGAACGGTCATATAGCACGTGACTTATTTTGACGACGTCCCTATGGCGCGGGCACCCTATCACCCATTTGGGGCAACCCCCAAAACCCATTTTGGGCAACCCCCACCCACCCGTCTTGGGCACCCGACCACCCATCTGTGGCACTTACGACCACCCGTTTTAGGCAGACCCTATCCCCAGTTTTGGGTTAGCCGCTCGTTGTGGCGGCGTAGAAGTGGTCGAGGGCCGTATAGGCGGCAAAGAGTGCCCAAAAGTGGTGGTACAGGGAGTGCAAAATGGGTGGTAGGGGTCGCCCAAAATGGGTGGTCGGGTGCCCAAGACGGGTGGGTGGGGGTTGCCCAAAATGGGTTTTGGGGGTTGCCCCAAATGGGTGATAGGGTGCCCGCGCCATAGGGACGTCGTCAAAATAAGTCACGTGCTATATGACCGTTCCTAAATGGACCAATCAGATTGCAGGAATTCAAATTCACGTGCGAAGGGTGTAGGTTGAGCCTTTGGGGGGGTGTAGGTCGATCTTTTCCCCAAAGTAAATACCGGAAGTGAACAAGCCAGTGTAGCAATGACAATCCCAACTTGGACGACTTAGCGGTTAGTTGGACAATTCAACTGGACGCGACTTGCGGACGGAGAAAATGATCTTTTAGAATTGTCTAATACAGCGAATCGTATCCATGAAATCCTTCAATCAAATGCAGCCTCCAATCTCTATATCCGGGGCTCTGGAGTGTACAATGTTGACGCCTTGCTCAAAGTATCAATCGCTTCCTTCTCAATACGCTTCAGAAGGTCCACGCAAGTGGGAATATCATGGATCAACCCGATAACCTGGCCGGCAGTCCAAACCTAAAAGATTCATTAGCCTTATCCAAAGTTACAAGCAGAGTAATTTTACTTACGCCATAGTCCTTGTCACCATTGAGGAACACCTGGCGACCTCTCTGTCCGCTCATATACGGCGCAACCTCCTCGAATTGGCCTGTGGTGCTCTCCTTCTCAATCTTGATCGCCTGCTTCGCAACCTTGTTTGCGAAGAGTCGGCTGGTATTCCGCCACCTCCTGAGCAGCAACTCAGTATCGGTCTCCTCGGCGTCGACGATTGCCTGCTTGATGTTGTGGTGAATGGGGGCCTCGAGGGTGGCCATGAAGCGGGTGCCCATGTTGATGCCATCAGCACCCAGGGTCAGGGCAGCCGCGAGACCCTGACCGTCCGCGAACCCGCCGGAGGCGATGAACGGGATGTTGATGACCTGCCTTGCCTTGGACAACAAGATGAAATTGGTGATATCGGTCTCGCCGACGTGGCCCGCGCACTCGAAGCCATCGATGCTCAGGAAATCCACACCGAGCTTCACCGCCGACTGGGCGTGTCGGATCGTCGTGCATTTATGGAGAATGATGATGTTGGCCTCCTTCAGCTGCTTGATGATCGGCCCTGGGGAGTTACCGGCCGTCTCGACGATCTTAATGCCTTCCTCGATGATGACGCGGGCGTATGCGGGGTAGTCCGGAGGCACCATGGCGGGGAGGAGAGTCAGGTTGACGCCGAATGGGTTCTTGGTCATGGTTCTGCAGCGGCGGATCTCCTTGCGGAGGTCTTCGGGAGTGGGTTGGGTGAGGGCGGTGATCTAGGGAGAGGACATGTTAGGAGACCGATTCATGTCGGGTATAAAGATACGGATTTGGAGCATTGGATCCAAGAAGTTGAATTCGACGGGAATCGAGGGAAATCGAGGCAGGAGGGACATACAAGTCCGAGACCGCCAGCGTTGCTGACGGCGGAGGCCATTTCAGCGTAGCCAACCCATTGCATACCACCCTGAACCACAGGGACTGCTCATTGTCAGTCGATATGCCATGAAGGTCGGATTACACATCCAACGTACTCTTGATCCCCAGCTTTCGGGTAAGCGCAGTATTAAACGGCATCTTGTCGGGGTATCTACAACGGAACGAGGGTCTAGGATACGGGACGGTGTACTGGAAGGGTAAGGCGACGCTATGGAAATCTGAAGGAGTGCAAATCGCTGTCAACAAATACTATTTAAACAAACCGCAGTCTAGACTGAGAACTCGGCAACCTCATGGCCGGACATCCGAAACGAACGAGGGCGGCTTTGGCTGTCGGGGAGGCAACGTCTCTCGCCTGTAGCTCACGCGGTAAACTTGGGAATGGCGTTGCGTTCAGTGGGGTTTCTACCGAGTCAGGCCGAGGCTCTGCAAGCATTCAGGTGATGCATCCACATGGTTGAAGAGTAATCGAGTCCTTCAAGCGAGTTAGAATACGATCTACGACCGCCCAATCACGGCGTGTATAGCAAAACGTTCAATATGCATAATTATTCCAGGGTGAATTCCGACTGGACGGAGGAATTGCGGCTTGATTGTGCAATTGCGGGAGGTATCAAAAGCGGCCATTTGAACACAAGGGCCATAGATGTAAGATTTCAAATATTCACAGGATATAAAACGAGTATCTACATCTATTTACTCGGCCCTGGCTCCATCATAATCCAAGTCCCGTTACCATCCCACGTCCCGGCCTTTGTATAATCTCCCCTACTCCTCTTGCCCGTCAAATACGCAAACCTAAAATACTCCGGCCATCCTTCCTCATGTCTCTCCCAAGCGAATTCCCTCGTGTCCTTCTTCCCATCATCAACCCTGTTGAAGCGCTCCACATCATTGACTAACACACTGACACCATCGTATCCCTCCTCAATGGGAGGCGCCGCCCATGCGAAGGTGATATTCGCCGGGATGGCGAGATCCAAGTTCAGATTGATTTTCGGGAACTCCGGGAGCAGGACGGGAAGCAAAGATCCAAGCTGTGCGCCGCCGCGCAGTTCGTCCGGGGTCTGCAGAATGGAGTCAAAGCCCCATCGCGCAATGCCATTGATGAACAGGCCAATGAGTAGACCTTGGTAAATCAGGCTTGGACGCGTTTGCAGGGCCGTGCCAGGAAGGAGGAGAAGCGCCAGGATATAGTGGTGGATGCGCAGGCTCATCTTCGGGATCGCCACCATGATCAATATTCCTAGGACAAAGACGGCGTAGAGTTTCAGGTATCGTGGCATGCGGCCCTCCACGCGGAAACACCATGCTTGGCCGAGAGCGATAGCAAGGAGGGATAGGACGATGATGACCAGCGCCGGGATTGCTCCTGGTTGTTGCTTGAGATCGTGCGGAGTTAGCCGGGAGATAGGAATACGGTCAAATGTATAGTTGTTAAATGCGCCGACCCAGCAGGCGCCAAGCCAGAGGACCGTCTTCTCGAATTGTGCGGTCAGCCCGGTTAGCTGAAACTTAATTGGGTATCGGAACATGACATAGGCGATAAACATCGACGGGAGGAAGCGGCCAAGGGTGAGACTGATGACCGTATAGTAATCCGTGAGACTAGGTGGATCAGACGCGAGGGCGACATGCATGAAGACACTAACGAAGATGGAGTAAAAGAAGACAGCTGGGTCAGTGGTGAAGAGGGAGATAAGGATAGTAAACGTGAGGGAAACGGAAAATAATGGCCACCGAAGGTCGGGACACTGCGCCGCCGTGCCGTCAACGAAGGAGTACGAGAGAGGGAAGTAGGAGTCAAATCCAATACTTTCGATACCGTTCGCCTTGGTGCTGGGAAATTCGTTTTGCTCGCCGATCAATGCGATTACTCCGCACCCGCCACTACGCTTGGTTGAGAAGCCAGCGTGTATCGCAGCGGGGCATATGAACGAGTCGCCACGGTAGAGATTGGATTGAACGCCCTTATCTAACTCTTTCGGCCCACCGATGACCAGTGGTCGATAATTGACTATTTGGCCACCAACAGCGTATGGTTCAAGCACTTCTGCCTTCTCGCAGCTGGCTGGACAGCGGAAGGCAAATGTAGCGTTGTCGAACGGACTGCAATCGCGACCATTTACACCGCATTCATTGCCCGGACCGTCCCTACAACCATGTCAGATATGTCCTGCGATCAAACCTCCAGGAGCCTTACCAGTGTCGTGCATGACAGGTAACCCGCGTAGGAGACCCGTAGCCCGGAATATCCTCCGCAAAGGCGGACTTGTGGAGGACCACCACAAATAATATGAACCATACGACATATGTCGCAATAAGCAGCGTGATCTTATCCTTCTTTTTTGGGCAATATCTATCCAACAATCGAATCGGTGCCACTTGGATCATCGGAAAGAAAGGACGTATTTGATAAGGCCGAGGAGGGTCTGGGCCGACCACCCACCCTCCCAATGCTTCCCAAGCCCTCGTTACCCTCGTGGGGACATATTTCTCTAAGAATTGGAATTTTTTCATCATCTTCGAAGACTCGAAGTATTCATTCCGTCTCCGCCGGAAGGAGAAGCTTTCATTCAGCGTGAAGGCGTTCTCCGAGGATGGTTCGGAAATATCGTCGCGGAATTGCGGGCTAGGTGGCTCTTCGGGGTCGAGGAGGGGTACAGAGGAGGACATGCTAATCACCAGGATGGCCTGGAGACACTCTCTTTATGAAGCAGAATGGCGATGCTGCAAGCGCGGTGTCGTCGATCGGCTGAAGAACCAAAGTCACAGTGACCTGAAGTCCCATCCATGGCACCGACCTGGAGGCTGGAGTGCGTATGCATTTGGTCCCACTGTTCCATCATCTGGATCGGCGCTAGGACCGAAGCAGCATCGGTTTTAGTTAAGCTGGAGCATTGGATTTTGGATTTTGGAGGGACCCGAGCGCTGACATGATGGTCGCTATTATTACCGTAGTACTATTACTGGGTGGCAACCCCTGGCCCCTGGGATGAGTGGGAGATCATTAGTCCTGGAACACAATCACATAATCACGCTGAGGGATAACGACATTAGAAGATTAGGAAGTATTAAAAGGCTGCTGGCCGCCATGATCTGAGAGTTTCGTGAAATGGAAGAATTCCGTTCGGGACTCCTAAGTCTCAACGACCAATTTTGACCACACCCGAACCGCATTCAGACCTGGAACACCTGATGACTGATGTGTGCCGTGCGGTGTACGGGTACCGACTAAAGGATAATAGTACTACGAAGTACGGAGTAACGGAGTACTGATCATACTGTATGCCTAGGGCGCATTATTAGCACTCTGTTCGCCATTAGCTCTATCTGCCCTGGATATGGCGATGCCAAGATGGGGCGGTCTCTGGAGTTTGGAGTGCCGAATCGGACCCGCCAGGGTCTGGACTCTAGCGCTGGTGGTGCTGTGCAGCAAGAGGTGGAAACGCTCAAAGGTTTAACGGCCCAACAGTGCTGGCGGCCGAGATCAGCGATGAGCGAGGTGCCATTGGTATTGGCCGTGTTGATAACAGAAGTTCCATGATATCTGCTTATCAATCTACCAGTAACCCTTTCTTGCGGCCATCTTCTGGTTGAATTGAGGCCTTTCTCTTGATCATTTGAATACCTCAAGGTTTGAATGCTCGTTTCATCTCAAGCAAGCCTTTTTCTCCCTCTAACTGACAGCGAACCATGGCATCAATGTCGGAGACTATGCCTCTCCCGGAACCAAAGGACCTTACCCACCACCTCTCTAGAACCACCAAGAACCGCAAGTCGTCAAACATCAAGAAGTTCTACAAATTCTTCGAGATCCCTGGAATTGGCCAGCTTGCAGGCGGACTCCCGAATCCGTCTTATTTCCCTTACGATACATTTGAGGCAACAGTAGCTCATGCGAACCGATGGCAACCGATGGACGGAACGGCGGCTGAGGATATAAACCCACAAAAGACGACTGTGAAAGCGTCAAGGAGCTCGTCTGACGAACCGTCGATACTGCCGGCATCTCGCCTCCTCGTGCCGAGAACTGACGACGCAGACGTCAGCCGGAAGATCGACTTGACGACTGCACTTCAATATGGTACCGCAGAAGGATATCCGGCTCTACATTCGTTCATTCGGGAGTTCACACGAGAGCATCTGCATTCGCACATTCCGTACGCAGGAGGGCCGGAAGTGATCCTAACATGTGGATCCACGGACGGTTTCTCAAAAGCGATTCAATGTTTCAATAACGAATGGGATGGGGCCCATGATCCGATTGAGGAGAAGGAAGGGTTATTGGTGGAAGAATATGCATATATGAATGCGATTCAGACGGCAGAACCGAGGGGGATGAATGTCGTGCCGGTGGCGATTGACAATGAGGGGATGGTGGCAGAGGGGAAAGGAGGGCTGAGAGAGGTGTTGGAGAATTGGGATTTGAAGAAGGGGAAAATGCCGCATTTGATGTATACGGTCACGTAAGTTTTTGGCACAAGAATGAGTCTTTAAGTTGGTCGTACAGGTGGCTCACAGCATGCAGTATCGGCCAGAATCCCACCAGCGGAACCCTCGGTGTTCCGCGTCGAAAGCAACTCTACGCCCTCTGCCAGCAATACGACATCATTATCATTGAAGACGAGCCCTACTGGTATCTTCAATATCCATCTTCTTACCCTCCAGACCCCGCCTTTTCCCGACATGATGCACGGATCAGCGATTCACGGCCGCCTTTCCTCCGCTCTCTTGTCCCCTCCTACCTCACCATCGACACTGACGGCCGCGTCGTCCGGCTCGATACGTTTTCCAAAACCGTTGCCCCCGGATGCCGTCTCGGATGGATCACCGCGCAACCCGCTCTCGTCGAGCGGATCCTCAGAATCACCGAAACCTCGACGCAGCAGCCCAGCGGCTTTGTGCAGAGCATGATCGCCGAGCTAATCATGGGGCCATCCCAAGCATCCTCCGCGTCCGGCCCTCGAACCACCGACCACAAGCCTCATTCAACGGGCTGGTTTTCTCGCGCCCAGGCGCAAGACTCGGGCGAGGAAAAGCAAGCCGTCGGCTGGCAGTTCGACGGCTGGATCCGCTGGCTGGAAGGCCTACGCGGCGAATATGAGCGCCGGATGTCCGAAATGTGCGACGTTCTCTCCTCGGGCCGACATGTCCTCAAGCACGGGCGGCGCCTCTCTCTTGAAACCTCCATCGGCACCGAGGACTGGGCCGTCGTAGAGAAAGTCGCTACATTTAACTTCATGCGGCCGCTTGGTGGCATGTTCATCTGGTTGCGGTTCGCGTTCGAGACGCACCCGTTATTTACCAACCGAGGGCGGGAGGGAAAGTTCACCGGGGAAAAGCTGAGTAAGGCATTGTGGGTGTATTGGATGCAAGACCCGTTCAAGGTCCTGTTGAGCCCCGGCCAGATATTCGCGGCGAGCGAGGAGGTGTTGGTGGAGGATGCGTGGAAATGCTATCGGGTGTGTTTCGCGGCAATTGAAAAGGAAGAGGTGAAGAAAATTAGCGAGAGGCTGGTGAAAGGGGTGCACAAATTTTGGAGGATCAAAGATCCGAAGGAGGTGGAAGGTCTTCTGAAAGAGGTGGACATGGCGGATGTGGGGGAGCTGGGGGGCATGATGAGTTTGATGGGGATGTGCTAGGTGAGTGGACCTAAGACGGACGAAATTGATGGCACGACGCACTTGACGTACGCCCCCCGACATTCATAAACCGGGAAGATATACAGGCTTATCTGACTAGAAGGTACAATCGGCAGATATGAGGTCTTGCCTCTACTCTAGCAAGGTAAGGTCCAATATGGGGAGCAGCTTTGGTTTTTCTCAACCCTGGGGGGGTATACTTTAAGTTCATTGGTTTCGTCCAGTGGAATTGATATGGCCCAGAGAGAGGAGAGTATAGTTACGATAGAGTTATGGATTTCAATGTACTTGACGATACTAATGGAATAGAATTCACCTTCGACAAAGGCGCAACGATTCTAGATATCGCTGTCGAGCTCTTGACTTGTAAATGGCTTCAGCATGGCATTTGGTCTAGTCGTCACTTGAATCCCTCTGTTTGTACCTTATCTGTACCCATGTCGTCCCTACTTCAGGGGAGCCAAACCGTGCCACAAATCTCACCAGAGATGGATCATTCTGGAGCGAGCTTGCGCAAGCGGTTTAATCGCTAGACAGCTCCGCCTTCAGGAAGGCAAGCATGAATCTCCTGTGTCCGAAAGAGAATAGATCTGATACCAAGCAACGGTAGACATGTCTTCCATTCCTGCATTCTAATACCGTAGTCTTCCTAGATGTCCAGAACACATCCATACAGATCATAGGCACAGCACGGACGTACCGAGGCTCCACATTAAGATTTGTTGAATCAAGAATCGCTTGATTTTGGCAAGGGATAATTAGGAGAGATAGGTGCCATCAGCAATATAGAGGGGACCCCATCACTGGGGGACAAAGATCTAGGATTTTGGGTGAGGATAGAGCGGTTTATATAGACACGTCTGACACAGGGGCTATCAAGTAAGATGAGAAGGGTAGTATGTAATTACTAATTAGGTCCTAACTTAATTATTGAAATACCTAAAAATAGCATAGATTTTCTTGCGACAAGATTGCACCCTCAAGTGTGTCGTATTACTCCCGCTTCATATCTGGATTCGTCGAACTCCGCATCCTTTCAAAGTTTTCACTAATTCAAGAACTATATCATACAAAAAGGCTTAAGGAATTGTGGCACATCTGCTAGTAGCATCCCGCACCCTTTCAATTGCTTGAAAGAAGCGAATCGAGAACCATGTCTACAACCAATGAATATGCGCCGTTTAACCTCACGAAGTCGATCAGGCAGTCACCCCCACTCGACTTTTCCATCCCGTACTCCGAATCATGGCTTTCGGGAAAACATATCCTAATTACCGGAGGAGCATCCGGGTTCGGCGAAGGGTTCGCACGCCGATGGGCTGCAGCCGGCGCGAGTATTGTTGTGGGAGATATCAATGAAAAGCTTGGAACGTCTACTGTTGCTTCGATCCGGTTAGAAACTAAGAACGAGAATGTGTGGTTCGTCAAGTGCGATGTCTGTGACTGGGATGCTCAAGTTCAGATGTTCAAGGAAGCCGTTCGCTTGAGCCCTCACAAAGGGATAGATGTGGTGGTCGCGAATGCTGGAATTGCAGGAACCGATCCAATGCAAATGCCAGTTGTGCGCAATGGCGAAGTTCAAAAACCGAACTTAAAGATCCTGGAGGTCGACCTCATTGGCGTCATGTACACCTCGCACCTTGCTTTTCACTACCTCCCAAACAACCCTGGCAGCCTCGATTGCAGTGTGAATGCCAATCCCGAGAATGCAAGCTTCAAACGAGATCGATTACTTCTCCTGACTGGAAGCGTGGCATCCCTAGGGCCTATCGCCAATCAGCCTCAGTACGGGACGGCAAAACATGGAGTGCTTGGACTCTTCAGGTGCCTACGAGGCAGCTCTTTCGTACAAGGCGTGAGAGTAAACCTACTTTGCCCTTACTTCATTGAAACTCCCATCGTTCCAGCGGAAGCCCGTCTACTCATGGCTGGTGCAGCATATGGAAAGGTGGAAGACGTTGTCGAAGCGGCCACGAGACTGACTGCGGACTCGAGAATCCTTGGTCGCTCTGTGGTGATCGGCCCGAAGGTCCGGGTCAAGCAAGAAGATTCTGGGGATTGGAAATTTGTCGGTTTCGGGCCTGGAGAAGGCGGTGAAGAGAAGGCAATCTGGGAGGCATACGCTGAGGACTGGGAAGACTCCGAGGTATTCACGAGACGCATGGTAGTCCTACTCAACATAGTTCAAAAGGCTAGGGGATGGCTTGGCGCGTTGTCTGATATTGTCAAGGTCTTTGCTGGCAGGTAGGACAATCAGCTATCGCCACTGGCAGCATTTCCTAGCCATTTGAATTTCTCCCGTCGAATCAACGAAGGCTTGATTCCCGTGTCCAAGAACGGTTTATCCTGTTGAAGGTGCTTGGCTGCCATTGTTCAGAGTTCAGGGTGCGCGAAGCGGTTCTGCAGCCAACCAAAGTTGGGAACATCAACCAAGTCCAGCATCTATATTTATTTGCTTCTTAAACAGAGGGACGAACAAAATTTGACGGATCTCAAGGAGGCACATTTCTTATGCTGGGAGAACCCGGCCATTGTACTGGGTTGTTACGGTATCCCGTTGCGAGGGATACAATCAAGCATTTTCGACTTGCTCGACAACAAGTTTCTTCTTACTGTCTTCCCCGGAAGACACACCGTTCACTTCCAGGTCTGCCATTGCCTTTGCATATTCCTCTTCCTCTTCAGCGGTCGCTCCGTAATAATGCACTGCCACCTGTTCTCCGAATGCCTGGTTGATGTCTTCAAGTGACCGCTGCTTGGTTTCGGGGAAGAAGAAGTACACGTTGAGGAAATGCAATGCTGTTGGAATGATCAAGATGAGATAAAACTTCCACGTGATCTCATCCAACGCGATCGGTCCGGCTACCAGCAGAATGATCGAACTGGTGTACATCCCGACCATACCAAGAGCCACTCCTTGGGATCGGATGTGGGTTGGGAATATCTCAGCGAGATAGACGAATTGGCTCGCATCGAGGAAAGTAGACCAAAAGAAGATACTGTCGAGCATCGGTTAGCGTTTCTGGGCTTCTAGTTCTGGCAAGGGGTTGCACTACGTACAAGAGGAATATGAAGAACACAGCGGCTTTCTGACCCGCAGTGTTGTCAGTTCCAAGGAACTGCGCTTGCAACGCGGCTTCGAAACTGTTGGTCACAACAAGTCCAGCCAGCCCGGTTAGCAAGAAGAACCGCCGTCCAATCTTGTCTACGAAGAAGGCAGTAAACACATTGCCTGGGAAAGATGCAGTTACCCATAGTGCTGCAAGCTATGGTTGTATGGGTCAGTACAATTCGTCGACAAGCATCTCCGGGGCCTATACGTACAAGAAGCGGCATATAATCCTCCATACCGAGCGAGCTATACAGCAGCACACCTATTCAGGACCGTTAATTGCGGTGTCGCGATTTGCGAAATCCTCGGACCTCTTACCATAATTCGCAACGATAAGAACCCCGGTGAATTGGTTTCCGAACATGAGTGTGAAGCCAACATATGCTCTCTTTCGGTTGGGAGCAGTTGCGAAAACTTCGAACCTCCCGGTCTTTGCTTTGATCTGGCGATCCAACTCGAGCTGCTTCTTCATCTGGAAGAATTCCCTCTTCACCTGACTGTCGTCGGTGCTCTCCTTGGTATGATGTAATCGCTTGATTATCTCGTATGCCTCATCCGGCCGGTCGTTCTGCAAAAGCCAACGAGGCGAAAATGGGAGCCATGGGGAGAGGCACAGCAACAGGGCGGCTGGGACTGCTTGGAAGGCAAGAGGGAATCTCCAGGGGAACGAAGAGGTCGAACCGGATGCGCTGATGAAGTAAACGCCAAACCCGATCCAGGCAGACGTCATGTATCCAACGGCGAAAAGGACTCCATGCAACGATACCATGAACCCACGGGATTCCGGAGTGGAAACTTCGGCTTGGTACATGGGGATTGCCTGCGACGGTTAGCCAAAGACGGCTCTTGGTGTTGCGTTGGACCGCCTTACCGTGACGAGCATGCCGATTCCCCAACCAGCGATGACTCTTGCGACCAGGAACATTGCAACGTTGACACTTCCGGCACATAACCCAGCACCAATAATCAGGACGATAGCACCCATCTGGATGCTTCTCAACCTCCCGAATTTATCTGCGGACCAGCTGGTGAAAGCGGCTCCTAGGGCACTGCCTGCGGAGTTCAAGCCATTCATGGCTCCAATCAAGTTCGCGGTATGACTATATCCAGGTTCTCCTTGGGGTGTCAAGTCCAAGTCCGTATAGAACATGGGCTGTCCTATAGTGGCGGATATGACTGCCATGCCATACGAACAGGCCATGGACCCGAGGGCCACGGTGATGACCACCATCAAATTGAACGCATTTGGGATGAGCCGCCCCATTTTGGGCTACGATTACCTCTCAGGCAGGATGATAGTGGAAAAGTTCTCAACCGGAGACTAAGATCAGGGTGGGTTTTGAAGCTGTAACCGAATATCGATGTATAGTCGGCAATAGCATTTATCTTGGAGAGGCATATGGTATATAGGAAGCATGTCCATGTCTACCCAATTGGGGATACGATGGCAGTTCTCGGCTATGTAGAAACGTGGTGCTGATCATGATAATCAGCATTCGTCTACCCCTGATGGGACTGCAGGAGAACTTCTGCAGCAAAAGATCGTCGACAGATCGTCGACCACCCTCATTCCTCCATCATTATACTTCTGTGATCTTCCAAGCAGTTGGACCAAATGTTGGATGGAAATCCGGAGGGGACGACTATCCATTTATCAATCCAATCCCCAAACTCCATCGCCTACTGAATCCATCCAGATCTGTTCGACAAGGGGCCTGCTCCTCCCTTCCAAGTCTAGTCCTTACAGTATAGGCGCTATAGGTTAAGGGTCACTAGTGACATTGCGTAAGTATGTGACGGCTTTCCCGAAATGCGGGGGATAGGTTGCGGGGTCGGCTACAATAAACCGGGCCGAGTCATGACTCATGTCGTACGGATCGTTCTTTCGTCTCTCCGAATCATCGTGCAGTATAAACGATTTGGACGGTCTGGACTCTGGAGTAATCCTATCAACGAGAGCCCAGAATTGAATATTCAGTGCAAGCGTCTTGGCCTGCCTCGTATAAACCAAGACGGTAAACCAGCTTTACAGTGTTCGACGTTCTTCCTCGGTCTCTTCCAGTGCCTGCTGAATGACGTCATACATCGCCAATGATACCCTCCAGATTCGACCTGATAGCCCACAGTTGTGCTTAGAGCCAAAGAAATTGGTGAATAGAGTCCTTCTTAGGATTACCTTCAAGTCTTTCAATCGCATTCAAAGTACCATTTCCGTCTTCTCTGTACATGTAACTTATTTCAGCATTTAAGTCTTTCGTTCAATGACCTCATTTCTTCCCAGTGATCCAGAGCATTGGGGGTGTATCGAACGATGGTAGTTTGACGTCACAAGCCGTAGAATATGTACGTAGATGTCGATAGGTTTGGGAAGCTGCACACAGCTGCATACAAATACCCTGAAATTTGCGATATCGAGACTATTCAACCATCGTTAACAAAGGCGCATTCTCCAGTGCATCCCCTATACTTGTCGCATATCTATTGAGATACTGAAAGATGGCTTCCGCACCAGGAGAGCAGTTCGAACCGCGACAAACAACCATGTCGGATGACTATACTCCTGATCCTTTATTGTCGCTCCCTCTGGACGCCGAGAGACAAGCAGTGGTCGACGACATCATTGATCTCTACAGCTGCGATCCAACTGTGGAAAAAGTGAAGCGATACACGTACTAGGGCGCCACGAACTGTCACCGAACCTAGTGACTAACTCATCTATAGTCCGGATTGCGTCTATGATGACCAATTCGTGTATGCGAACGATCGGTACAAGGTGGCCGGCTATTGGTTTGCCCTTCCAAAGCTCTTCAAAGAGAGCAAGAATGTTGAGTCTCAAATCATCGCAAGCGGGAAGGATTTCATTCAGTTCAAGAACATGCAGGTTAGTCAGCTAATGTTCATGGTTGGGCGCGGACGATACTTACTTGGGTATCATTGCCAGACCCGGACCTTTCGACTCATCCCGAAAAAAATAACAACCACTAGCTTGGTGACGTTGAGCCTAGATCCAAGCACTGTCAACTCTGATTTCATTCAGGTGAAATGTATGGCTAGAGCACTCTCAGCCTAAAGACCGCTTCTGACTGATGTTCAACAGACCACAAAGATCAGTCGAACGCCGAGGACTTCTCCCACGAAGTAAGCAAAGCAAGCTTGTGGACAATTTCCAATTCACTAATACATGTACAGGGTGTTGTCTTTAAATTCAAACAATGGCAAGCAGGTGAGCTCGCATGCATTCTCGCCTTTCAAGTTCCATATTGATTCGCAGCAGACCATATCAGTGATTGGCTCTCACGTGAGACCTTGCCCGAGATGAAAGAGTTTGAGGCAGATAGAACGGCCGCGAAGGAAGATGTCCACAAGCACGGCAGTGGGAAGTATGCGCCGACGAAAGACGTCAAGTCTGCAAGCACACTGTAGTGTCAGTGCGCTACGAGAGGGGATTTAGCATACGTAGGTAGCCAGGGAATCGAACCGAATGCAAGGCTCCAGTTTCGGTTGTGCTAGTATCACCGAGGGACTATTGCTCAGTGAACAGGCACAAGAAAATAATCAATGACAATGTAGACTAGGGAAAGAATAAACTCGTCGGGCGAGAAGGAATTTACGACATGCACTCCCAACGAAGGCCTCGTTGTACCAGACTCCCGCCTTGGTTGAATCTCGCAGAACAGCGTAGGAAACAATTTAATTTGATGTATTTGATGTATTTGGACTTGCCATAACACACAAGCCCATTCAATGCTCTCTCAGAACTCCGCCTTGGTATCGTATTGCATGATAATCAATTGCCATTGATGTCCATCTTCTGTGACGGCATGGGTGGTGCAGCCTCTTCCTCGTCATCCTCCGGAATATACTCCGGATGGCTAGGACCAGTTAGTTCCAGTTGAGGTGCTTATGTTATATATATGAACTACTAGACTTACCCAAGAAGGTTCTTCACATCCTTCATCTCATAATGCCTCCTTCTCATCTCCTCAAACTGCCTGTGTTTCTCTCGTTCCTCGGCAGTCATATCCGCACTCTCCTCGCCATGTCTTCCCTCATCATCTTCCATCATCTCCGTATCGACGATGACTCTCTTCTCACCTTCCGGTGTGTGGGCCTCCATCGGATAGTCTTCCGGCTCTCCAAGATCCAACTGCGGAATATCCTCTTCCTTCTTCCGCGCCCCGGCTTTCGCTTTGGCCTTGTCCAACTCATCAACCATCAATTCATCGGCGTTCAGCGCGGAAATCTCCTCATCATCCTCGGCCGGGTCGTACTGTTTCGCATACGGCGTCTTGGGTTCGGTGATTTTCATGGTGCTGCCTCGCTCCTGCTCCGTCAGGTACAGATTGGCCTCGTCCCATTTGAGCCTCGGGCTATTTTCATCGGCATTTTCGCCCATGACGCTGCCTGACTGGCGGCGTGATGGAGGGCCTCTGGCACCAGATGATGATGTCCGGCGAGGACCGGCGTTCTGAAGCGTGTTCTGAAATACCATTTCCTTGTCTGACATCTCTCGTGCGCCTAGCTCGGGACGCTCGACTGGCGCGGTCGCGGGCGAGGGCTCGTTTGGTGTTGGTAACCCAAACGAGGATGTCTTCTTGAGGATACCTAGATGCAGCATGTGAGCATTCAAAATCCTCTCCAGCGAGCATATATGTAAGGTATTCGGCGCATACCTTTGGGGCGATCACCATGGCTCGCATGGTGAGACGGCGGTGAGTGTAGTGTCATGATGGTCGCTGGCGATAAAATTTCTGGGACCGGTGAAGAGGACACAGGTATATATTGATGGACAAGTGCCCGCAAGACCGTACAAGATGGTGAAGCTGGGACAATACAGGTCTGGTGACGACAGGTGATATTGGAACAAGTTCAATCAAATCCAATGGTCTCACACCCAACCACGAAATGCGATGATCGCTACCTCATTGGCAAGAGGAGGTTGTAGGGAAAAAGGAAGTGCGTAGGACGATGTGCATCAAGAAGGGATGGTTGCGAGTGTTTGTTGAAGGGAAATGGACGGAGGGGGGGAGTTGCGATAGGTTAAGAAAGATTGCATGTGGGGCGACAAATGTTGGAGGGGTGATGATGTGCATCTGGGGCAACTCTGGTAGAATCTACCAAAACACCCAGTCCCCGCCAATAAAGATGGTGTATTATTCGGTATTTCCCTCCAGCAACTCCCTGCAGAAGGTACTGCCTAGGGACAAGAAATTGAAATTCGATACCATTTTTCTGGTAGATTGACAATAGTCCTCAAGTATCCGGAGACGATTACCTTCAGCGAACTGATCTAAGTCCCGATACTGCCAGGCCAGAAATGACGTAGTTTCCTGAACTTCCCATGCGCCTGGCCGCCTGCTGTATTGCGGATGACCTGTTACCTTCATTTAGTTGCCTTATCCTCCCAGGACTGTTGAGCTTCGGTTTGTTTTCGAGTTGAAGTATAGGGCAAGATCTTTGGTACCCTCGAGTGCTGGTAGGCTGATGTCAATTCGGAGGCGATATTCCATATATAGAATAATGGCGATGGGTTGATTCATGTAGTGACCAGTAATTAATATCCTGAAGCCGACTCGAAATTTATTCCTATGCCCGACACCATAGACGCGGACTGAATCGGTTAAATTTTTCAATGCTCCATATCTTAGGTAACTTAATGTTTCCAATAATCTTTAGCTACCGTAGCCGTGCGGAACTTGAGCATGCTGGAGCATGAAGTTTGAACCGTGATGAAGTTGTCCCCGCACTTAAAGTGGTGAGCGCAGCGCAGTATCCATACAACCACAGCAGAAATAGCAACCACATCCATCACTGGCCGCAACTTCTCTTCCTACCACAACCACCAAATCTTATTCCAACCTCTCCACGCGAACACCATTAGGTGCTCACTAGCTCCTATCCAAATCCTCGGAACTCAAAATAGTTGACCGAGTCTTAGTCAACTTCATCTGCCGTCTAAAACGATACGGCCACAAGCAATTGGTACAGTCCTTGAGGCTTTCCAATCAACCATGGTCAAACCACTCACCTTCAAAGGCGACAAGAAGACGTCCAGCAAGAAGCGCAAACGGGATGATGCCGAATCAAGCCGGACCAAAGGCCCCAATGAGCAGAGTGTTTCCAAGGAGGAGTCAAATGTCGGGGACGATACATGGGTCGCAGTCGACAGCCCATCCGATATTTCCGGGCCTGTCATCTTCATCCTACCTACATCCCCACCAAGTCTCCTCTCCTCGGATGCGGCCGGATCTATATTCAACCTAAAAGCGGAGAACATCATTGAGGGCAACCCTAAAACCGTCGAGCCGGACGATGTGCGACAAGTGTGGATAGCCTCAAGAGTCGCTGGTCGAGAAGAGTTCAGTTTCAAGTCAAGTCATGGGAAGTACCTCTCTAGCGACAAGTACGGATTACTATCAGCAATGCGCGAAGCGGTTGGGCTAGAGGAGGGATGGGCCGTCCAAGATGCCGACACACCTTCGAGATATGTTCTCAGAACCGGCCGTAGCACTTTTCTGGCAGCAAGAGACGATATCAAGGGCAAGACGGAGATCAGAGCGGATGGTGCTGAGAAAGACGACCATCAATCAGCCATCATTGTGAGGATGCAAGCGAGATTTAAGCCGAGATTACAGGTTGCAAAAACAGAGAAAGCTTACGAGAAGATCAGCTGGAGAGAACTGGAGGAGCTGGTAGGGCGTAAGTTGAACGATGATGAGGTCCGGACGCTGAAGAAGGCCCGTCGGCATGGTGGGTTCCATGAGGCTTTGTTGGATGTCAAAGTTCGTGGGAAGCATGATAAGTTTGCATAGAAAGCACTACTCTATATTTAACTTCAATGTAACGTAGTAGATGGAATCATGAGCCATTCCAATAAACGCTATTTGTTCAACCCTTTTGATGTATCCAGATTACAGCAAAGGATGGAGCATTTGCAGACTTTTGAAATTAAAAAAAATACATTAAGCATTGATTAGGACGAGAAGCCGCCTTCCTAATGGCTGAAAGCGAACTTTAGGTCTATCAATTTCGTCTCCTATGTTAAGGCTTCTGCCATGATACATGTATGGATGTTATTGCAGGATGATCTAATACGGAAAGCACCGCAGAATGTACTACCCACAACTCCACCAAAAATACTCATATCAAATCGAAACCAACTTGAGAATGCCCCTAGAGGAAAGATAAAAACTGCTTGGCCAAAAAGAAAAGCCAAAAAGATAAACCCACGACGGGATTCGAACCCGTAACCTTGAGATTAAGAGTCTCACGCGCTGACCAATTGTGCCACGCAGGCTGTGCTTTATTATTGATAAAATTGCAAGGTTTTCATATATATAATACACTAGCAAATTGACCCCGCATGTCTTGTGGCTGGCCCAGCATAGAAATGGATTTGTGGCCTCATCGCCTTATATATTTGTTTCTGCCTTGCGATCATAAATTTCTTCAACATCTGAGTTGAGGACTCCACATCCTAAATATTGAGAGAGAAATGTGTTCAAGATGGGCCCATCAGATACGAGATCCTGGAAGGTGCTGTCACCGCCTTTATCAGAATGGTTGTTGGAAGCTGTTTCCAGTTCGTTCAGTCGCATGACGCCTGTCCAAGCCAGTACCATTCCACTTTTCATGGGCAATAAAGATGTGGTTGTCGAGGCAGTCACCGGAAGCGGCAAGACGCTGGCTTTCTTAATACCAGTAATCGAGAAACTCCTAAGACTGGATGAAGCCGTCAAAAAGCATCATGTGGGAGCTATAATTGTCTCTCCGACGCGGTAAGTTCAATCCGAGTTGATATATCGAACCCTCCTGACCGTTTCCGCAGAGAACTCGCTTCGCAAATACACGCTGTCCTTACCTCCTTGATTGCTTTTCATCCGCCGTCAGCTGCCCTCCTGAACCAAGAAGATGAAGAGGAAGCTCCTGGAGAAAGTGGCTCAGAGGAGAAGGTTCAGCACGTATTCTCTTCGTCCGTTCCTAAAATCGTCCCCCAGCTTGTTCTGGGGGGCACATCCACACCGACTCAAGACCTGAACGACTTCCTTCGCCTATCTCCAAATGTACTCATTGGTACCCCTGGACGGCTGGTGACTCTCCTCTCATCGCCCCGTGTCCATGCCCCCCAGTCTTCATTTGAAGTTCTCGTTTTGGATGAAGCAGACCGATTACTGGATCTCGGATTTAAAGAAGACCTGCAGAAAATCCTGAGAATGCTACCAAAACAGCGACGCACGGGCTTATTTAGTGCCAGTGTCAGCGATGCTGTTTCATCCCTCATTCGCGTTGGCCTAAGGAATCCTGTCAAGGTTACTGTCCGAGTCAAATCCACGCGCGGTGTAGAGGCCCGGACACCGGCATCCCTACAACTGACTTACCACATCGCTCCTCCTGATCGGAAGCTTGTGGCATTAGCGAAACTCCTCTCCTCGATATCCCCCATTCCTCAGAAAACTATAATCTATGTTTCGACATGCGCTGCCGTCGACTACTTCTCATCGATTTTGCCAACTATTTTCGATCTTGTTTCCACTCGAATGCACGCAATTTCGCCGGGTCTCGTCAGTCTTCACGGCAAAATGACACCCAAGGTGCGGACGAGAAATTTTATGCGATTCCTCAACGCCATGGAACCGACAGTGCTCATTACCACCGATGTCGCAGCTCGAGGGCTTGATATTCCTACCGTGGATCTGGTGGTGCAACTTGACGCCCCTACTACTAGCTCATCGTTCATGCATCGTGCAGGCCGTGCCGGGCGAGCAGGACGGTCAGGAGCCTCAGTAATATTTCTTTCCCCTGGACGAGAAGAAGACTACATCTCTTTCTTGACTGTCAGGGGCACTCCCGTCGTCAAATTACAAGACTCTCCAGTAGAGGGCGTTGAAGATGGAACGCTGGATGTCTCAGATGAAGAGAAGTGGGAAATGATTCGAGCAGTGAGGGACCAGGCATACCAAGACAGAGCCGTATACGAAAAAGCTCAGAAAGCATTTGTGAGCTGGGTTCGGGCGTATGCCGAGCATGATGCCAAGAGCATTTTCCGCATTAAAGATGTCGACTGGAAGGAACTCGCTGAAGGCTGGGCATTGCTACGGTTACCCAGGATGCCAGAAGCGAAGGCCTGGGAGGGAGATAAAAACTTGGGCCTGACCATTGATTGGAAAGAATATGCGTTCCAAGACAAAGTGAGAGAGAAGCGGCGGAGAGAAGAGATGGAATTGGGGGTGGAGAAACCGAATCCAAAGGCCAAAAAGTTCCGGGATTCGAAAAAAGAACCGAATTCATGGAGCAAGGAGAAGGAGAAGAAACAGGTCAAAGAAGAGCGGAGGGAGAAGAAGCAAGATAAGCGCGAAAAGGAGAGAATAGCAAATATGACGGAGGATGAGCGAAGAAAGCAGACAGAGTTAGAAGGGATGATAAAGAAGATTCGGACACAGCCTGATGAGGAGACTTGGGAGGGTTTTGACGGTTGATGTCCACACATTTGAGATACCCCAAACTTGTTGCATAGCCAATAGAAGTTCAATTTCATTTAACCGCTAAAGGCACCATTTCTTTCCGTTCAGCGTCCCATCTGGAAGCCAGAACTGATCCAACATTATATTTGTAGTAGTTTTCCGTTCCTCCTCGTACCATTGCCTTTCGAAACGTGATATTGATTCTCCCATTCCCAATACTCTCTGCTTTCCGCTTTGGAACGCTATGCAACCAGTTTGATTGCGTCTTGCTTCGCATCAAAAGCATGTCTCCAGACATTAACGAAAACTTTAGCGGATTTGCATTCACTGCCGTCGCTACCGCATCTCCCGGAGCGATAGGTTTATGCTTCATCAAGAAACCCCTAGCGACACCCAATGAGAAAGATGCAATGGCAGGATTCTGCCCAAGGAAACGTTCGTTGTCTGAATGATATGAGATGCTATCGCTTCCACTGGCATAGTAATTGACAAGGCAGAGGTTATATGTCTCGTCTGTTGAACCTTCGGTCAATTCCTGTAGTTTGTCAAGACACGCTGGGTTCGGACGTGGCTTGCACTTGTATCTGTCCGCTGAAATCGGCTGCTTCGTGACTGAATCGATCAAGCTGCCTTCGGACGAGAACATGGATGTTGCATCTACGCCGAAAACAGTCGTAAAACGTGGTGTGTTGATTGTGGTCTCCACTGGTCCGCGCTTGATGTTGTATATGACCCGGTAAAAGAACAAATTGTTTCTGTGAAAGTTAAATAGTTCATTAGATGCCTCGCGGTTAATGTAAGGTTGATAGTAAACCAAGCTTATATCGGGGTGGTCATTGATCACTCTCCCTTCTGACGCTGACGAGAATGAAAGTGCTTCAGACAGTAACGGAGGGACGCGAGGATTGGGGTGAGGGTATGTGGCATGATTTGAGACATCTTCCAGCGAAACCTCTAGGTTTGGCTTGAAGCCTTTGGACTTGAAGAAGCCGTCAAGTGTGCGCTTTCTTGCTATGTAGGGCTGTGACAGCCGTGTATGGCCTTTTCCGAATTCGAATAGAGACACCGGAAGCAATAAATGGATTGAAAGCTCGGTAAAAGGACTGACGAGTCAGAAACCCTCAGTGGTTGGACTCGTGACGTCAGGTCAGGGTGAAGGAGTAGACAATACGAAGGTTGAAAGCACACCTTAAAGAGAGCACTAGATGTTTTGGATGAAGAAACAATATGAAACCTACATATGCGCACAAAATAGAGATATGGTGTCTATGCAGTGCATCCAAAGTGGCGATCACTGGAGACGCGTCGGTTGGTGGCGCGTCCAACGGTCCAAACTCCACGCGTGGTCACGTGCTATCTGGGCTTCGACCGCTTCTGTACCTCACCAGAAAATTTCAAGCTGACTTGAATATCCACCGAGTCTCCATCAGTTTCACGCACCTTCAGCAACAAATAACCTTAAATTTCCTGATTGCCTATTATAGGAATCTTTTTATCTCAGGCAGATCGATATCGCGCATACCATGGGGAAGAAGCGAAAGTACTCGTCGGAGAATGGATTCGGCATTGGAGAGACGCTGGCGAATATCAACGGCTCCACCGACAAACCTGAATCGCAAAATGCCGATTCCAAGCCCGACGAAGACGGTTGGCAGGTTGTTCAGCACCGCTCAAAGAAGCCTAAACATGACAGGTCCTATCCGGAATTCGTGCATTCTCCAAACTCTCGACTCCAGTCTCAAGTCTCTGTCAGCAATTTGCAAAGTTTGATTCTTTACCTTCTTGCTGATGGCATCGCTCCGCAATGGATATCCGTCAAGAATCGTACTGCGGTCAAGAAAGTTGTTGTACTCATGGTTCCAGGACTTGAAGCTGGAATGTTTCATGGGACCATCGATTTGGAACCGCCATCCGATAATGGTCCAGCAGATACTGTTGGTACCTCAGAAGTGCAGGGTCAACAAGCATCAAATCCAAGTTCCGATAATGGCGCCCCTACCTGCACAAGGACGCGTAAATTCATTAGCCCAGATGAATATTATCCTGTCAAGCTTGAGAAGGAAATCCTCCCTTCAGTCCTTCAACCACTAGCGGATATATTCCCTCATATTTGGCCGGTTAAAGCTCCCGGAGACGACAAATACTCTAGAGTGTTCTCCCCTTTGCAGGCTGTTCTCACGGCTCATATTCCAAAGTCGCAGGAAGATAAGAAACTCAAAGGGCCTAAACCTCCTCGGGCGTCAGCCTCTTTCCAACCCAAACGCACTCCCATTACCGCTTTCATTGGTTCTCTTGACCAGCTTATTGAAAATGACTTTGTTATTCATCCGGCGATGCTTCAGACTGAGCAGGAAAAGGAGGATCTCAAGCAACGGCGCGAAAAATCGAAGACATCGTCTGCAGATGGGTGGGTCGACACGAACGTGAACTCCCTAGAGGAGGCAACTGTCCCCGAAGACGAATATGAATCAGGCAGCATGGCGGCTGGACACGAAATCCTAGCAATTGATTGCGAGATGTGCATGACCGGGCAAGATCAGTTTGAGCTTACACGAGTTAGTGTGGTCGATTGGCACTCCAAGGTCGTGATGGATGAGCTCGTGAAGCCGAACAACCCCATCACCAACTATTTGACTCCCTATTCTGGCATGACCAAAGAGAAGCTCGATTCTGTCACGACAAGGCTAGAAGATGTTCAGAAGCGACTCATTTCCCTAATCACTCCTCGCACCATACTCGTCGGACATTCATTAAATGCCGATCTAACAGCTCTGAAGATGACACATCCGTTCATTGTTGACACGACCATCACCTATCCCCATTCGCGAGGTCCTCCGCTAAAGAATGCACTCAAGTTCCTAGCTTCAAAATATCTTGGGAAGGAGATACAGAAACAACATGGCGTTACCGGCCATGATAGTATCGAAGACGCCTGCGCGGCACTTGAACTTGCTCGACAGAAATGCGAGAAAGGGCCGCAATGGGGAACGAGTGAGGTGAGCTCAGAGGCAATCTTTGCGCGCCTCGGGCGCTCACCTCGGCCGGCGAACCATCGAGCAAACCCAACGGTGGAGGAGTTCCGAAAAGGCGCAGTTGTGGATTGGGGCAATCCTCGAAAAGGACATGGCAACGCAGCGGAGCTGAGTATCGGTTGCGGCACAGATGAAGAGGTGGTAGCTGGTGTGCAAAGAGCTGTTTCCAAACCCTCTGAGGATAACGGTATTCCGATAGGAGGTCTCGACTTCGTATGGGCGCGATTCAAAGAGCTGGAAGCAGTACGGGGTTGGTGGAATGAAGGACGGTCACTAGAGATGGAGAAGTTTCGGCGTGAGGCTCTCAAAGAATATCAAACCTCCGGTTCAAAAAGCGAGGAGGATGGAGCCGCAGACGCGTCGCGTCCGATCAACCTCGACCCAGGCAGCCTCGCAAAGGCCGTCGGCAGAACGGTTGCAAACATCACCAAGATCTACGAGTCGTTGCCGGCCTGCACGGCGTTCATCGTATACAGCGGAACAGGCGATCCTCGGGATCTGGTACGAATGCAAGGTCTTCATCAAACCTTCAAGCGCGAGTACCAGGTTAAGAAGTGGGATCAATTGAGCGTCAAGTGGACAGATACCGAAGACCAAGCCTTGAAAGCGGCATCCCGGACAGCGCGAAATGGCATTGGCTTCATGGTGGTGAAATAGAGGCTATCATTGGAGATCTATGCGATCGGTTTCACGAGTCGGCGGTCTGTAAATTGGCGTCTTATGTTGATCCAGTCGCCCGCAGTGCTTTGATGGCTGTAAGGTGAGCCCATTTCAACCAAGCTTGACATCCGAAGATTACGGGAATCGGGATGAATATCGGCAATGGTGCTGGTACATCTGTCTCCACCACAATGGGGTTGCTGCCAGCATCATTATGAAACCCTGGTCTTTTCATCCCCCCGAAGATAGTCTTGGTCTAATTGATTGTATGAACTCCCCAATATACACAATTCCCGGCGTCATCTCTCTAGGGTTTCATTTGCTAAGCATCGGAGATTTCCTTCCTTTTAGCAGTATTCCCAGCTTGCATATAGACAAGCATGGATAAATACATAACCTCCAACTAACGATAGATGGAGGTTATCCAGGCTCCAGACATGAAGTACTTGGGCCCTGGAGTTACGCAGTCCCTGGCTCTCCTTGCCCCTGGCTCAATTCCGAGTTTAGCAGAAGCCGATGCCTAGGCACAACTGGACAAGCTCATTGGCTCGATAGTGCCTCCAAGATCAGCTCAATGCATGTGTTTGAAGACGCTAAAAATGCAATGCAATTATGCAATAGCCAGTCAATATAGCCTTATCAATGTGAAGATGAACGCGCCATACTACGAAACCCATATACGAAGATAGAACAGAAGGCCAATGAAGCGGGACTCGCCTCCCGGAGAGAGGTGCACAAGTGACGATAGGCAGTGGGGCATCTCGGAGCCAGCCGAAGTTACCCTCCTTTTGTGATGACTAGCTCTATGGACATGGGTCGTCAATCGTCATAAATACCGTAAGTAATAAAGAGCGAGAACGAACAGGATTCGCTTCAAACTCATGATTGCACTTGAACCAGCCACTATTGGCACTGTTGCCGGCACTACATGTGATAGCGTCGAGATTTAATTGCTTGAGTCCTTGTTTCTACCAACATTCCCTCAAGAGTCAAGGGTGCAGGATTTCAGGCTTACCTAGAAAGCTACTGCTCTGCATCTAATGGACTTAGCGTTCGGCAGCAATTACATGAAATAGCATAGCGACTAGTGAGGGTCTTGTCGATTCCCTATTAGAGTCTTAGTGATAGGGTTTAAGGATAGGAGGTGCTAGTATTGCATCGGATTGCGCGAGATCACACAGTAGCAAGAGGCAGTAGCGCCGTACTCGGATTCGTTTAATCTTATACGAGTATAAATTATGGGACATCTACTTGCCAGGGCTTATTGGACTTTATCTGAGGGAGCATGAGATTGTTTTACAGTGCCCCTTGGCACTTTGGCGCGACGGCGGCGACGCAGTTCCCGGGGCACCGGGGCCATGGGAGGACGGCAGGGGATTCCATCGGCAAGGCCCTACTACGGGTTTGCCCTTGACAGCTGGTCCCTGCAACCCAAAGGATGTGTAGACGACGAACAACCGGATGTCTGAACAGGACGGCAGAATACTCCAGATTTGGGAGAGTGAGTATTAGTTGAGACTGGGTACTCAGCGCAAATCATGATCAGGGGTTGGCGATAGCTGTCTGGCTGCTGGACGGAAGAGGAATTTCCTGTTGACTATCCGTCGCTATACGAACATATTGGAAGCCACAGCTATCTCTGTTTTGGGGATTATTCGTGCTCCTTCTCAGCTTAGCTTAACTATCATTTCATTATCAATTATCATCCTGTAGGCTGTAGGGGCTCCACTCCGTCGCTTAAATTTACTTGCCGCCGATCACTGCCGCCAGTAATTGAGTAATACAATTCACATTCCACACCCAGTAGCGAATGTCAGCGCCTTTCATGTAGGCTATAAAAAAAAATCAATTTTCCAAAACCTAGGTACCTTCGTTAGTGATAGAATACAAGCCGAGTGTGTACCTAAGTAACAGGAAGCATCGCTGTCGCCCGGGCTCCAGGTCGTCGCTTTGGTTCCTAGATCTCACACATCACACATGAGTGACACTGTGACACATCTCCACAGACTCCACAGTCCACCTAATCCTTCCCAGTTCCTGTAGCCTGGCTTGCTAATCCGCCCTAATCCAGGATCGTCGGCTCACTTTCGTACTTTGCCCTAACACCTATTCTCCATTCCCTATCTTATTTTCAACCCAACAGACGTTTATTGAGTTTATCAAACTCACCCCATCAGCGACCAGTGTCGATACATCCCTTGTTCGCATCCGGAGTATGAAAACCGAAACCTTTTCCAATCTGCGTTAATACCTCATTGAGCCTTATTTCCTGCCCGGCCGAGACGAGCACGACTGAGGCACTCCGTTACCGCTTCCAGTCTGGCTTCATCCGTCGGCTCTAACGCGTGGACAGATAGTGCACACCCTCTCCGTTGCCGCATATAGTCCCCCTTGGGCGTGTCATGAAGTTATGGAGGACGTTGAATTTACTTCCTCGCAATCAAGATCCACCAAGGCGATCTGTGGAAAGTGAGTACAAACTTCCATACTGCCTCAATTGGAAATCTGATATTTCGCATCTACGACGCGTTCTATGCACTCCAATCCGCAACAAGGAGTACTTACTTACCTCATTCGAAAATATAGATGCGGCACTCACTTTGGCAACTTCTATGACAGTTGGCAGCAGATCACCGGTTCTTATTTCCTCCCTTCACTTCCAGCTAGCTACGAGGTTCCGGGTCTGGTGGAAAAGAAAATCCCATTGCAAGCATCTTCCAAAAGTGACCTTCGAGGCTGGTAAGTTTGCAATCATTTCCTTCAATTTGTTGTCCCTAGCCATGCCGAGTTATGCAGTTTTGCATAAGAGCTTTTTGCTACATCAACTACGCCCATCACCTCGTTTATTTGAAGCGCGATACGAGAGATTCGACATATTTGACTCCACTGGCCAAACCGATGCGCCAGGTTTCGGACCATCCCCGATTTTGCGGACATGATACGACCTGGCTCTGATTTCATTTCCAAATCCTCGTTATTGGATGCAGACCCCCGACGCAACTTCACAGCCTAAATTGATAGAATGGTCTATTGGCTTCTTTTTGGCGAGGCGAGCAAAGTCACCTCACTCTGACACCCCTGGAGCACGGCGTATTGGACTGGACCTGAATTGCAGTCATAGAAATTCTCACCACATCAGTACTTTTGCTATTCCAAGTGTCTCATCTGCCAATGCGCGCATCCAACAAAGAGTTTAACTGCTGGGGTGATAACACTCTTTGCCCTCTTCATTACTACTATCAACGCCTTCTCGCGCCTCATTGCAAGCCAGTTCTCCTTTTTGCGGTTTTGCCGTTCCTCCTTGACGGCTGACACTCTTCATACCCTGCCTGACCTTCTCTTTCCTTATTCTGCTCCGTTTTCACCATCTGGGCCTTGCGCTAGTCCATTTAAAATTTTGAGAGCTCCACTAATCAGCACTTCGCTGAAGAGCTATACGCAACTTAAACTCGCCTATCCAATACTTAAATTCCCATGCTTGTCATTGGCTGTCGCGTTCCACTTTCCCTTTCACTTTTTCCTTGTTGATACTTGATCGTCCTTGGACATGGACATTCAAATAATAGCCCGACCCACCCACCTGCGATTTGGTTTACGAAATGCTCTATTATTATTTTACATGACCAACGCCTGATAGCTAGCCTGATTCCCATGACTCTCCATTTCTGCTTTATATTCGTGGACATTTCTGCAGCATATGGCTAACCCTACCTCTTTCGGGTCCACACAGTGAGGTCCTCCCACTCCCATGCAGACATTGCGGCGAGAGGATAGCGATTCGGATATTGCAGACTCCAATAGAAACAGAACATCTTCTGTAAGTACTCCTTACTCTCATATGTATTCGTCCTTCGGAAATGGTACATTCTGCGGGTTCGTTAATTCCCTAAAGTATAACACTTTTATTGCGTGGTCGACGTTGTGCAACCCGCTAACACCACTTCTTCGACCATCAGAGGATGCGAGATTTTCAAGCATAAGTCAATCATATTCCGAAACGAAGACACAGGCAAGGAAGTGCAACCTGATGTGGTGGAATATGCTGCAAAGTCGAGACCGTCCTTAGGTGCAACGCGAACCACAGCGACGAACCATATCGAAACTCCTGCGAGCTCGAAGTCCACTGTTCCCACCGAGCCCAGTTTTCATCCTCCTGCCGTAACAGACATGTCGGCGTCAACTACTCTCCCGCCGATACAACGGCAGCTCTCTGGGGATCATCCAGGGTCTCTTCCACCACTTCTACAGTCCAAATCAGTTCAATTGTCACCTCACGCACAGTCTATGCAAATGCCAGCGACCAATGGCACTAGCTACCCATCACAGTTCCAGGTCAAAATGGACGCGATTGATCGCATTCAGACCCAGGTCAACTACAATCGCGCGACTCTCGAATTACAGAGTCGGGAGTTGAAACGAGTGGAGTCCGCAGTGGGTGGCATTCAGCATGATATTCGCTCACTCTTCAGGCTCGTCGAGGATCTGCGTCGACCTGGGGCGACCGGAAGAAAAGAATCTCGCGCTGGTGTTGATGACTCCGATCTAGAACTCTTTTCCCAAACCCTAGCCAATATCGCTGCTAAAACGAACGAAATCGACGGGATAAAGTTGCAGATGGAAGTCCTCAAACGAAAAACCAAACGACTCGAGGAAAACACGGCTGGTCCAGTGACTCCTTCAGGTTCGTCGCAAAGAGAGTCGTCTGTTTTACCACCATTGCCAGGGAGTGCTGGGCCTCTGGCGAGTCTTGCCGAAACAAGACCGACATATCCTCATCACAGTCTTCCTCATGAGAAATCTGGCCCTCAACCAAGCGGATGGGCGACGGTCAACCCAGGGACGAAGCGACCGTTGGTGAATGGAACTGATGCGTACGCGACCAACCACACGCCCGTCGGGTCGCCGAAACGTCTCAAACTTGCGCCTCTAGGACCGCGAGAGAGCTATCCATCGCAGCATCAACGCATGGATGCTGATGACTACTCGTTACGTCGTTCATCATCTTTCCCCGAGAAAACGAATTCAGGATACGGAATCAATCAAGATCAAGCGGAAGAACACTGGCGAGCGGATCACTATGTGTCCCAAAGAGGCAGGGAAACACCTCGTGGCCCAGGAAGGCCACGCAAATACCCTAGCGTGGAAGGTGCGGAGTCTACTGAGTGGGAGCGTGATCAGGGTCGGGTATCAGGAGCGTACGATCCCTCGGACGCGTACTACCAACAGCGCCGCGGATCTGGTGTCATGCGGCGAGGCTCTGGCGGAGCACTGGCCGGAACTACTGGTGGTGGCCTTGGCCGACCGATGCCGGCACCAACGATGACGACTACCATCATGGATCCGTACGCGCATACCAAGAAGACACGCACCAAGCCGTCGCGAAACTCCGAGGGCATTCTCATCCGCAAAGACGGGAGGCCGGACATGCGAAGCCAGAGCAGCGCGGCAAATCTACGGAAGGTGCACGCACGGAAGGAACAGGAACGCATGGCGGAACTCGGCACCTCCCTTCCGCATCGAGGCAGCCCTCAAGAAGGGGGTGTGGACAGCCCTCAGCAGCCGGTTCAGAGCATTGGCGCGAATACCCCGGACGCCGAAGGGAGCGCTGAGGTGCGGGACGAGCGAGAGAGCACGGATGAAGGATCGCGACATGAGGATGTTATGAGGCAGATCTTCTCACGAGGTGTAGAGCGCGAGAATGAGAGAGTGAGTTCGGTGAGGAAGGAGCTTGAATCTCCTGTTAGCACTGCACCATCTACTGGGACGGATACGGGCGCAACTTTTGCGCGGCCGACTACAGAACACGGAATTGCAACGCAGAGTGAATCAGGGGAGACGGATAGGGGCGCATCTGTCGGGCAGCCGAGTACAGAACATGGAGTGGCAACAGAGGGTGAATCTGGGGAGACGACTGGCGATGGTACTGGAGCAGAGAAGCCTCCAGCTGGTCCTGAGGCCGAGGCAAAGCAGTGATACCCATTTCAAGCGTCGCAATGGAGTTTCGGATATGGTTTTCACTAGCTATGATCATGGAGATTCGAACCATCTAGTCAATCATAACTAAGGTGGTAAAGGTTCTAGGAAACCTGTTTCGGAATTACACAACCACCGAAGAGCATATAGTCGACCGCGAACAGGTCCCTAGGTAGCATTACCAATCTATGGACCTTGTCTCATAAGTTGGGTCACCATTACTCCTTCGTGCCACCGCCCGTCGCCCCATCATGTCTCGAAACTCGGGCTACGAGGCGCCTCGAAACAGAAATTGCGTTCGAAGCATATTCATACAACGTCCGATCCTAATACAGTAAACTACCGAATTTCGAGCCTGTGAAAACCATGCCGGGGAGCCCGGCTTGATTGGGACCTCGAAATACATCGATGCCCTAATTGTAGAATAGTAGGGCTTCCTCGGTTGATTCGGACTGCTCCATTTAGTATCCTAATTAACCAAGCCCTAAGTTAGCGGCTAACAGTCGTTCTACTCAGGAAGCTGCACAACTATCTTGTTCGAGTTTAATGAATGCTCGGACCACCTGCAATGCATAACCTGACTAACCTGCCAAGTCCGGGGTACATGCTCGAAACGGAACCTGAAGATGTTGTGATATTGGATGCGATCGTACATCGTAATTCGTACCGTTATATAGTGAATCGGAGGCGGACTAGAGGAAGGCTAAATTCGTTTAAGAGATTGGAAACCGGAACCCCCTCTTAAAGGGATTAGGGCTTCCTACGGGTTCCGACGCCAGTGGATCAGCACTTTAATCCATTGCTGAAGGGAGCAATTGATCCCGATGGCTGATATAGCTGGTGCAGTCAGTGAGTCAACGTGCTCAAAGTCCATCTCGTTTACTCGTACTATCGTATATGATCAACCTATAGATAATATCAAATTCTATTGCATGATGGACATAGATTAAAGAATATCGCATAGGATCGAATACATCGGAACCCTGAGAAGTGATTCACACTCCGAGAACCAGGGAAACTTCCCGTGATGTTGTCCCGGGTTGAGACTCGACCAGGGTTCATGAAGAACGATATCTGTCGGCCACTAATTGTCCGCCAGGACTTCTGCTCCATTCATCATCAATCGCAATCTATTCGACCAGTCACTATATGTGAATATTTGCAAGATTTTCCATTTTCCCGTCTTAAGCGATCTAGGTAGCGTCGTTGTGGACTATAGCAATTTGGCCAAGTTGCCTGTGCGCTGCATTGTTCCTGGGTCTTCAAACTTAATAACGCCCGTTATTATCACAAGCAAAGTCATTAAAGCAGAAAGTCACGATGCGGATTGTATTATCGGAAACTCTACGAACCCTACGACATCTCGTATCCGTCGACATTATTTCCTCGAGGTCCTACAAGCCAACACATTCGCCCCCTTCGCGTATTGCATGCTCTGCATGTCGCCGCGGCCCTCGCAATCCGCAGCGCTACAGACTGTTGTCTACCACCACCCGGCTTTCTAGCGAACCCCCGAAAGCTCACAGAGCCACCGAACGGCCAATCCCCCAGTCCAAACCCAACAGGCCGTCTACATACTACGAGCTCTTCCCTCAGACCCTCTCCGCCGGCCCGCCACCCGCCGGTCCCTTCCTCATCGACGTCCGCGCACTTCGCGCGGAGTTTCTCCGTCTACAGTCGATCGCACACCCGGATCTCGCGCCTCCAGCGCGCAAGAGGGAGGCGGAAGCGGCATCGTCGTATATCAACGAGGCGTACAAAACGCTGCGAGAACCCCTCGCGCGGGCGCAGTATTTGTTGCGGCTGCGGGGTATCACATCGCATGAGGATGAGAGCTCCAAGTTGGATGAGAATGATCAGGAATTGCTGATGGAGGTGCTGGAGGCTAGGGAGGAGGTGGAAGAAGCGGAGACCGAGGACGTCGTGTGGAAGCTGCGGGAGGTGAATGAGAAACGGGTGGAGGACTGTGTGAGGACCTTGGAGGAGCTGTTTGCAAAGGATAATTTGGATGAGGCGAAGAAGGAGACGGTGAAATTGCGGTTTTGGATGAATATCAGGGAGAGCTTGGATAATTGGGAGAAGGGGAAGCCGGTGGTGTTGCAGCATTAAGCACCAGGAGCCCCCATTTTATGACTGATAATGTAATAATAGCTTCCCAATCCACTCCATAAATTTGGCTATTTGTCCATTTAATTGTCTTCTGATATCGATTTCCCATTCCGGCGCTGGAATGCTCTCCGCTTGGGCATGGGAAGTGCATCAGGGGGTGGAGCGGGAAGCCTGAGCGGAACCCCTGCATGATTTCCACCCCGCTGACATCAACGAACAGCTGTCACCTTCAATAAACAACATACACTTCTGGTACAGTTATTGGAGTTTATCCGACATCTGCAAACTGCAGAAGCGACATATATCTGCGGCAAACAATGCGCTCATGAGGAACATATGGGCTTTCGTCGCCTTGTTGCGACTGGCCGATGCCAGCTCGCATGCATTCAACGTGCTGGATGACCTGCTATCGTATCCCCAAGTACGCGACAACTCTCAATCCGTGCCGGACGCGTTATGCTAATTCTCCTAGTATGAGATCGTGTTTTCGGACGACGTTATTGCTGCCGACGACCCAAAGAGTCTTACACGATCCGGACTCACTCCCTCCACGTCATACCTCCCCGAACATTCACAGTCAGCGAATCTGCAGGACACAGCGGAGTCGCGGAAAGAGCCGGAAATCCGTGACTATGAGCTTATGAACCTCCGCGGAATCGAGTACCTCTGCAGCATTCCTGTGGTCAATCCTCCGAATACTACAAAGGAGGAACACTCGCCGGAAGAGCAGAGCAGTGAGCTTGTTCGGGCGACTGCTCGCGGATGGGAGCTCGTGAAGGAGATGGAAGGGCAGTGTATCTATTTCGTCTCAGGATGGTGGTCATACTCATTCTGCTTCAATGATGGCGTGAAGCAGTTCCATCCACTTTCCACAGAAAGGGGCGGCCCGGCGTATCCGCCCATCGAGGACTCGTCCGTGGACAGCTATGTCTTGGGTGTTTTTCCTGAGCCAAGTGATGGAAAGGGGTACACTACCTCACGCCGGCAGAGTGAAGAGACTGGGCTGGCGAAGCTTGAAACCAGAGGCGAGAAAAGATATTTGGTGCAGAAGCTGGGGGGGGGAACCCAGTGCGATTTGACCGGGCGAGAGAGGCGGATAGAAGTCCAGGTTCGTCATAAGCTTCCAAGAGCTCGCATATAATCTGTCCCATTCAGATCTACGGTACTGACTCTGCTACTCTAGTTCCATTGCTCACCTCAAGCAGCGGATCAAATCGGCCTTATCAAAGAGGTTGCCACGTGCTCTTATCTCATGGTCATCAAAACCCCCCGCCTCTGCAACGATATAGCCTTCCTTCCTCCGAAAAAAGAAAAGCCTAATCCGATCACTTGTCGAGCTGTTCTCCCCGAAGAAGAGCTAAAGGAGTTTGAGGCTATGCAGCAGGAAGCCCAGCAGCAAGCGTCTCAAAGTCTGGTGGATCTACAAACAGCACTGGAACAAGCACCGCCCAAGTATCCCATCGCTGGCGGGGTAGAGATCGGTGCGAAGAAATGGGTTGGGATGGAGGGGAAAGTCCTAGAAAAGGGCGAGATCCTCGGCGGCGGAACGGCGACATTTATAACGACTGTGGCTTCAAGCAAGGGAGTCAACCTAACCCCAGCCGAACTGAAGAAGTTGAAGATCACAAACACCGATGAGCTCGAAATTATGAAGGCGGGGATCGAGCGAGCCGCTCGTGATCATGAGTGGAAGATTGATCTTTACGAGGTGCGGCGGGGATTGGAATACCGTGCGGAGATCAAGCCGAAGAAGAAGACTGGAGCGAAGAAAGATAAGGAAAGCCAAAGTGAAGGGCAGAATGGAAATGAGAGAGATTCCGAGCCGCTCAAAGAGGAGGAGGAGCAGGAAGGCAGCGAGGAGACATACAAAGAGGAGTTGTAGCCAAAGATGGCTTTGGATAGATGTCTGCCTTCGAGATACCTTGTCCAGGTAGCTTATACCCATTTTGATATTGTTCCATTATTCCAGAGTTTGTGTTCAAGCCTGAAGTTCAGGACACTGGGCTTGAATCACATCAGCTGCCTCTTCACGCTTGTAGCTTAGTTGCCACATCCATCACATGCGGGACTGGTCCATAAGACTCATGTGTTCCCAAGTAAAGTATTGCTTCTGGAGACAACAATCGACGTGCCTACAACCAGGTGAATCAAAACAAAGCATCTCTGTGTCAGCATTGCTCATGTCTCTCTAGTTTCTAATTTTCACAAGACTCTTCTCCATCCTGCATCTTAAGTCGCATTCACTTTCAAATTCTCAATCCTCCCACTTTCTCACCACATCATTGACCTTTGCTTATAATCACCAGCATTCAGCGTACGAGACCGGCGATATGCCCACACTTCAAAATCTGAAGTGCTGGGTCGAGAAAGCCCGGGCTACCACCAAATTCCGCGAGCACGATGTGAGGTACTACGATGGCGTCGTTCAATCATATCTTGAGATCCCAAATGAGCCTGCAGGCTTCTGCATCCGCCTCGAAACACTCGGATATATTGGCCCTGGCTTACACGCATTCGTCTATATCGACGGCGAATACCAGACAAACAGAGTCTCACAGTATCTTTTGCCTCCTAACCACAAAGATGCTGTGCTTGACTCCAAGGTTTCAATGGTAATCCGTGGAAAGGAGATTCCAATCGAACCAAATAGGTTCTTGCAGCGAGCCTTCAAGTTCGAAGAGGTCCACAAAAGTATGTTCTCTAAGTCAAGTTTTGCGACTGTCCTTAACACTCTTCTAGCCAAAGGTAGTAAGTCTGACCGGAGCGAGTCCAAACTTAGTGGCCTCGGCACTATTGAGGTCGTTGTGCTCCGATGTGGAAGCCATTCAGGAGCCGAAGAATGGCATAGAGCGTTGAATGATAGTCCGAGACGCAAGGAGGCCGTGCTTGTGGAATCCAGGTCAAGAAGATTCACTGAATCCAGCATCTGTCAAGGAGCACCTGGGTTCTCCATCCCCGGGTTCTTTGACGGCGCAAATGACGGGCTCGACTATGGCAGGGCGACAGCCTTTGGACTAGACGGCAATCACGATGAGGATGACTGTGACTGTCCGAGCGTCGACGAGAGAGTTCCCGCAAACCGGCGTCGCACATACGAAGTCCCTTACAATTTGCAACCAGACTCATATGGATACTACCAAATACCAGGTGCCTATCAGCCGACGCCTCAGTACTATCCCTACGATCCCGCATATCCTCCTCCTCTACAGCCATGGTATGGTGACAGCCGATCAGATGCCTCGCGTGGATTTCAAAATCTTCGCTACCCTTCTAGGGAGCATGATTCAACTTGGCGTGATGATCATCGGCATGAGAGGTCGACTCATCGCTACCCTTCTAGGGAGAATGGTCTAACTTGGCGTGATGATCATCGATATGGCAGGTCGGCTCATCGGGAAGACCACATCGGGCGAGAGCGGCACTGGCACGGTCCTCGCGAGGATACAAGGCGATACCGCAGTCCATCTATGTTCTCGACCTCCGACACTACTTACAGCGGCCCTCACTACGTCAACGCTCCCACCGATCGTCACCGGACCCACCACCACATGAATCATAATTATGACGGACGGCCTCGATATTCAGTGTCAGCACGTCGTGAGAGTAAGCTCGCTCCGATTTATTGTTAGTTTTTAATACTAAACATACCAGGACATGACCAAGACACCGACCATTACCATCATTGTCGTAAGTGTGGCGGGAAAAGGCCTCCTAAGGATGACACCAACGAAAACAACTCCGCCCAAGCTGGCTCTATCGTCGAGCCTGCTAAAAATCAGCAGCAAGACACGCAGAATCAGACTTATGGTGAACACCAGACAAATCAGGACGACAACGGTGACAACAATTTCAACAATGGTTTTGAGAATTACGACAACGACAATAACGAGGACAACGAGAGCAACAACGATGGTCAAAATCTACCAACCAATGATGGATTCGTCGCATGGCCAACCGAAGAGGCAAGCTCTGCTAATGAGCCCAATTCGAAGACTAGCAGCACCAACGACAGCAGCACAAGTAGCAGTAACAGCAGCACCAGCAGCGCCAGCAATGCAAGTAGCGACAGCGAGGATACCGGCAGTGGGAATTCCAACAACGACGGTAGCAAATCCACCCGTACCGGTGGACCACGTCATGAGCCATTTGTGCAGGACTACTGGAAGAAATGGGCGTTCAGCCTTCCTCCGGATCCAGAAGCTCTTTCCTCTGATGACGAAGCCAACGGGGGAGTCTACGTCGCTAAGAAAGAGGACGTGCCTCGCATCCCGGAAAAATACGCTGGAAAGCATCAGATTAAGTTCCTGATGAGGGCAGGGAAGGGGTTCAAATATTGGCATTCGTAAGACGACCGTGCCTTAGTATTTATGTTGGCGCGTTACTGACAACTTACAGAAGTTGTCAAGCACCAACACAAATCGATACTCTCGACAGGCCATTTGCCGTTTTCCGTTTCTTCTATCGCACCAGGGGTAAGGTTGGAGCGACCGTATTTGCTGCTCACCATTGACATGAGTAGATGCTTTGGAAGATATCCTGGACCATCCTCTCGAAGAAGACGACGATGATTACAGCAAACGGCTCGAAGAGATGACGCAAGCAGAGCTTCGTGCGGAGATCCTACGACTGCGACTCGAGGATTCGGAGAGTGGCAGCTCGTCCAGCAGCTCGTCCAGCAGCTCGGAAGAATCTGCTGAGGAAAAAAATTCCAAGAAGCCCAAGAAGGCGAAGGAAAAGAAAAGGGGGAAGAAGGAGAAGAAGAAGGAGGAGAAAAACTCGAAGAAAAGGAAAGGCTCGAAGAAAAGCAAGAAGGGGACTTCCAAATCTGAGAAGACAAAGTCCAACTATGGTGTTTTCGTTCCCGAGCCAGAGGGGGGAGATGGTGGTTTTGTAGCCCAGGATATGACGGCGCCAAATGATCCGTGGAGTTGATGTCGAAGTCCGGTGGCTAGAAAAGTAGGGGGGACCGACACTCGATCCCAAGCTTCTCCCCATATGCAGTCAGACTGGTTTGTTTATTCAACAAGAGCTCACATACAAGATGGCAACATGTTGATCGTCGGGGCACATTTTAGCTCAAGGAATGCGTGAAGGCGAGGGGAGATTTGTATAGAAAAATGTAATGTTGCCCATTGAGGAACGCGGTAACCCGTCTACTTGATAAGTGGAGAGAAGTGAGGGAGGCATATAAAGTTGAATACCTAAATTGGGTAGCCCATGTTGATATTTCCACAGTTGGTACACCATACTCCGGAATTTATACCCATAGCCGTATTTTGTACACAAATTATTCCTCTATTCATTATCCAAAGTACTCTAACTACCTACTAGCATTCAGCCTTCTTCGTTTCGATGCTGGAATTGGCGCGCTAAATGCCCAATACGGTCGATTCCAATACGGACTCTTTGCGTACCGAGGGTCACAAAACTTGTCCATTCGTTCCATAAAATGCTTGCGAGCAGCATCGGAGAGCCCTATGGCATCGAACAGATCAAAGATATAAATGCGATTTCCCCAATTTCGAACTGGGAAACCTCCGGCTCGTTGAGTACAGAAGGCGGCATATTTGCCCAATGCAAGACAAAATTCTACCCAGTGACAAATGCCAGTTGGGCTCGGTAGCGCCTCATGCTATCTGAACTCTATCGTTTGTCCTCCGTAATAGTTTCCTTCTAGGATTTGATTGGCGAAACTAACCAACATGTCCTTTTCGTGGTCCAGTTCATCGTTGCCGCATAAGAGCCGTCTCAGCCCAGTCGCATTCGTCGTCCGATCTATCTCCTCGAAAATCTCCTCCAGAAGTCTCCAGCGGAATGAAATGTAGTTTGTCTGCCCGTCAGTAGACCGGTCTCTCCTGTCGTTATTGTAGCAAACCTGGAGGTCGCTGTTCCATTGATAGAGTCCAGAAGTGGGTACAGGTCATTTTCGAGTGCATGCGTATGGAACTCGTTACCGCGAATCTTGGGAGAAATGTATTCCACAGCCCAGGAATCCCAGTTCTGCGCCTGCTCGCCCGGTTTGTCCTTGAGCACCGTCGCTTTCAGTTCTTGTTTTGTGAGTGCCTGTACGGTTAGTTCAGTGGAGATATTCCAATAGTCGAATATCACCGCCTTCCTGTCGTTGGTATCAAAGTGTACATGGGCCGCTATAGGCAATTTAGCAATCTCATTCACTTTCCGGGCCGCCAATTCCAGAGGCTCCACCGTGTATGATCGAATGCGCCCGCCCTCTAGTTCAACCCAGTCTTCGACACCTGCAGAATATCCGTCCTCTTCATCTATACCGGAGATCGCCCAGCTGGGATAAGGAATATTCGTGTATCCCTCCTTCCATAGATACCTTTCCGCGTCCTCAGGCAGGGATTTCACTATCGCATGGCGAGCTGGCAAGACCGTTCGGAGATCGCTCTCACTAAAAGCAAAGATTGTCTCAAATTCTATGCCGAAGGCTAAGGCTCCGTAATTTCCCGATTCCAGGATCTCCTAGGCATCAGAGCCAGACCTGTTGCCTGCTGCCAACTCCTCCAGCCTCCGCTGGTACTGCTCTTGGTTTGCTGGAGGTATGGAACCAGAGGATGTTAGGCCTAATACGCCCACCACTGATGACTCCATTGTCGACTAGCGAATTGTGACGCTTGACGAATAAGAAGTGTACGAAAGCTCGAAGAGGAAATTGTAGATTTTGACTTCTGCTGTGATAAATTCAGGACACTAAACAACAAAAAGCCAAGTTGACTGAAGATTCGGACCGACGAACAGATTCAGATTCAAAGTGAACGCATTGAAGAATCAAGAAATGCCGACAGCTACAGGTTATCGACATCTACTGTTAGAGAAGGCCCAACAAAGAGAAAGAATGTAACGAGAGCTGCGATATATATTTCCCATTATTTTAGTCCCGGAAGCGGAGGTACTTATGGTGGAAGTTCAACAATGGAATTCATACAACAAAGAAACGCATTTATGCTTGGGCTTTGGTTACGTGTTCAGGGGATTAGATCTATGCCATGGATATTGGGTAGACACCCTATTCATGTAATCATGTTCGAAAGAGAATGAGATACTACTCTGAGTTTCTCTAAATAAATCATACACCACCTATCAAGCGTCAGCAATTGGGTATATTTTATGATTCTAGCCAAATCCACACATTTCCAGGCCCGAGGCAAAAAGCATCCAAGACTCCAATCATCCGTGCAGCGGTCTCAGACATCCAATGTGGGCCGTTTACGAACTGCCCACGAGCCCTACAAGTACAAAAGAGCATCAGAGCAGCCATGATACAACTTCAAAACGTCGAGGAGTAGCATTGCTGCCAGATCCGGACTTCGATGCATCCCCGGGCTGCTCCACATTCCAGGCGTACATGAAGCTTAGCCCGACCCGCCGAGAACGCCATTGACAAAGGATTTAAATTCGTCCAGTTTGCCGTGCACCCAATCAATCCAACCTTTCACCTGCTCTTCTGGTGTTTCCTGGGAAGGATCATTAGTTGCATCCTCAGAGCCGGGGCTAGTCGTCGAAGTGGGGAGCAAATCGTCTGCGGGGGGTGTAGCGACGTTTGTAGAAGAGGCCACCACGTCTGGCTGAGGCTCTGGAGGCACAGGCTCTGGAGACGCGGGCTCTGGAGACGCGGGCTTTGGAGACGCGGGCTTTGGAGATGCGGGCTTTGGGGGCACAGGTTCTGGAGACGCGGGCTTTGGGGGCACGGGCTCTGAAGGCGGCGGGTCATTCGGTGGGTCTAGTGTCGGAGCACCCTCATCCGAATGTAGGCCAATCGGTTTTAGGGGAAGGTGTAAAGTGCCATTGTTTGGACTCGGGACGATACCAATCGACTCGCAGATGATATTATACACTTCGGTGTTTTCTAGAGACACCCCGTTAGGATCGGAATGGAGAAGGCAAGGGTGTTCAACTTACGGAAGACTTCCACTCTGCTATCAGGTTTATGCGGGAACGCCGGACCTCGCGCAACAAATATCGCCCGCATCAAGGGGTGCTCGGGGTCATATCCATGTAATCCAAGAGGATGGTAAACATCGCCGTTTATCAGCCCCTCAGCTACGTTGAATTCATCATTCTTAACGATTGCCCACCCAGCTTCCGGAACAATCCAGAGCGGCGCAATACGATCGTTATTTCGGAAGTGATACCGCTCAGGCATATCACGATCTCGGAGATATACTTCAATATGAGGATTCGTCTCCGCCTTTGCCTTGATTTGGTTGTAAAGGTCCTCAAGATCCGCAGGGTCTTTCGGGCGAAGACCAATTAGGGGCCAGCCATCGATGTGTTCGATCCGAGAGACATCCACCAGATCTTCCAACTGCATAAGTCGCTGCGTCGACGTGGTAGCCATACCATGATCGGAAACAACGACGACGTTAACAATGTCTGTTAGATTGCGCTCTTCCAAACCATTGAATAGGCCTGCTAGCATGTTATCCACGTTTTGGATCGTCTGCCGGATATCAGTGCTATTCGGCCCATATTTGTGTCCAGCCGAATCTACGACAGGTATATATGCAGCAATAAGCTGTGGCCTTGGTTGCGGATGATCGGATGATTCCAGTCCAGGTAAATCAAGCAGCTCGAGAACTCTGTCGACCTTCTTCGAAAGGATTTCAGAACCATTATACTTGTCAACAAAAGTCGGCTCGATGCCACCGATGTGGGCTTCTGAGCCCGGCCACATGTGGATCGCGCTTCTCACGCTCTGTTTCTCCGCTGTGACCCAGATTGGCTCTCCATTCCACCATTTCGGGTCCATCGCTTCTTTGTCAGTGTAATAGAAGCTATCTTGCAGATCGGGATCCCAGAATGTATTTCCTACTATCCCATGGGTTTCGGGATAGAGTCCAGTAACCAAAGTAAAATGGTTCGGAAATGTTACGCTAGGGAAGCTTGCTGTCATGTACAGCGGCGAGATTCCCTCGCGGACAAAAGCGTTCAGGGTTGGAGTAAGGCCTCTTTGGAGGAAATCGGCACGGAATCCATCCAGTGATACGATGATAGTGGTAGGTGCGAACAGCGACGTTCCGTTGGATAGTGTTGCAAGGGGAGAGCGAGGTTTCGAGGCTTGCGTTGCCTTGTATGCGGCAAAGAGTAGGACGAGGAAGAGGGCTATGATCGAAAGATAGAGTGCAATACGTTTAATTAATGAGAGACGTTTCGTCCAGTTACTGTTAGCGAAGCCTAAATCGTCGAAAGATGGCTTTAGGTACCTTCTCAGCTCCCCGATATGAACTCAGCTTTCTCAAATCCGACTCCGACGAGCTTCGAGATGAGGCAAAGTCGGAACCAGGACCACCTTCTTCCATTTCATACATCAGCCCATTATCTTGCCCTCGGCTTCTCCTGTTCTGACTTTGTCGTGCTTCTCTTGCGAGCCTCCTCCTCTCCCTCTTCCCGATCTCGACCGCGCTGTTCCCATCCTCACGACCACGAAGGAGTCTTTGAATCCCCGAGGTTTCTTTCCTCAATAGCAGCTCCTGCTGCTCGTCTTCCTCCTGGAGTAACACCCGATCATCGTCGTGCAGCTCTCCTGAAGCTCTGCTGCCCAGGGAGGGAGCACGTCGTTCGGAATCGGAATCGACATCGTCACTATTCAGGCGACCATACTTCGTTGACTTCTCGGCGTCGATGGCCATGATGAAAGGCTGGAGCAGAGGTATTTGCTCTACATCTCCATAAATAACATTTTATTGTTCTCCAGAAAGTCTTGACAGGTGCCTCACACGATGAGAACGCGTCTGGAACAAGACATGCGCTAATAACGGAAGATGGATGTAACACTCTCCGAGATAGATCGACGTAATCCTTGATGACTGAGCCGGAGAATTTCGGCCTTTGTGCCTGAGGCATAAAATACCAACAACGCCAGGCCCACCTCCAATCTCTAGGTCATCTGGTCCTGGCAACTAATATCACCAACCTACTGCTTGGTCGGCTGTCTGGAAAGAAATCTACTTTAAGGCTCATGACCTTTGTCTTACTACTGTTACCTGACAGAAGTGAAGTGTTATGGTGTAGTTCATCCTATTCTACGGCACTCCTGATTTGATGCCGATTTCGAAGGTCAAGTCAATGTCACCTGCTCTTCTGCAACGTTATATCAGAGTCCTGAAACAGCTCCGTCAATCTATCCACCACGTCCCATTGGTGGCGTTGAATATTTCAATTTCAGTCTATCATTGCAAGAATGGTTCCTTACCTGAATCCACCCGTCATACTCCTTGTTCCAAGAGCTAGGAATTATTTCATTGGGTGGGAAATTTAGTCGGAGTATCGAATTCAGCAATATGCGGTTTGAGAACGGAACCACTGCTTCTTCATGTCCGGATTGGAACCAGATAGAGTGTGGATATGATTAGACTTCGTGCTGATGATACTTATGGAACTGTACTTGTCGTCATGTTTTCCATCCTCTTCGGCGCAAGTCATAGTGTGAACTCCTTCTCCTCACGAAACCCCACTGGATGCCGTAGCCAGTGCAGGAAGGATCCGCCACGATGTACCCTCTACCATTTGTACTTACCGTTCTCTTATTGGCAGGCCAATCTCTGGCTGCCATCAAAATCATGGCACTTGGCGACTCGATTACCGGCAGCCCAGTATGTCATTTCCACGGGTTCCTTTACCATCCAGTTAACCTCCTTAGGGCTGCTGGCGCGCGCTCCTCTACCGCAAGCTCCAAACCGCCGGACTGACGACGAACACCGACTTCGTCGGCACCCTGCAACCCGACGGCTGCGGCTTCACGTACGACGGCCAACATGAGGGCCACGCGAGCATGTTCGCGACGAACATCGCGAGCCAGAACCTGCTGACGGGATGGCTCGCCGCGACGAAGCCGGACGTGGTCATGATGCATCTGGGGACGAACGACGTGTGGAGTGCAAAGAGCCCGACGGAGCTGTTGGGGGCGTATGCGACGTTGGTGAAGCAGATGCGGGCAAGCAATAGTCGGATGAAGATACTGGTGAGTTTCGACCTCCTTTGTTTTCGTGGATGCGGGGATGGTTGACGTGGATGCTTAGGTTGCACAAATCATCCCGCTGAATCCGCGGGAAACGAGCCCGTGCGCCGAATGTCCGCAGCGAGTCGTCGCGTTGGATCAGGCGATCCCGCAGTGGGCCGCGGGGTTGAATAGCACCGAGTCCCCGATTACCGTGGTGGATTGCTACACGGGGTTCAATCCGGCGACGGACACGGGTGATGGCGTCCACCCGAATGAAGCGGGCAATGAGAAGCTTGCAGATGCCTGGTTTGCGCCGCTGGCGAGCGTCATCAGGACGTTTGGGGAAGGGTCGTAACGCGCAATATCATGAGAATAGCCAGCAGACTGATGCATTAAAAATGAGAAGAAGAGTCCCCTGGAATTTGCCTATCGTCACCGAGGGGCCAGGACTCCGTAAATACAACCCAAAGGCCCCCCAGACGGCCCCCAAGACGCTGCAATGCAGCTACATGTCGTCAATTATATGCGAATATATACCACCCAAGCTTCCCAAGTTCCCTTTCATCCTCATCCATCGGGGTGCTAATATATCAATATATTATAGCGAGAGCCCACGAACATCCACATGTACCAGCATCGCCAGTCCAACGATGCATCCAGCAGTAAAATTATATCCCCCACAATCTAACGACTCTGTTCCGGACGCGCCGCAAAACCACAGAGGTACAAGCAAGCTCAACCATCCACCTCACGTATCTCCCCCAAAGAACCGACTCGCCGCAATGATATCCTCATCCCCATTCGCAAAGTCCCATCCCACGATCGTCGGATCCTGCGAGCAGCAGATGATCCGTCGGCTGTCGAACTGCAGCTTGAAGACGCGCGAGTTCGACGGCATCATGGCCGGCGGCGGCGGCAGCAGGTGTGGAGGTGGGTTGTTGCCAGCGCCAGGTCCGGCCGCCGCACCGGCCTGCTGCTGGTAGAACTGTTGGAGTGCCGGAGGGATGTGTTGCATGTGTTGTAGCATTTGTTGGTGGTGTTGCTGCTGCATGGGGGTCAGAGGCTGGCCTGCCGGGGCGGGCACCGGTCCTGCCGGGGCGGGTTGGGGTTCGTTGGTAGATTGTGGGGCCGGAGTTGCGGGTGCTGGTTGCGTTGGTGCGGCGGTTGGCGTGTTCGGGGTAGCCGCTGGAGTGCTCTGCGACGCTGTTGCTGCTGGAGGCTGAGAAGTCGAGGCGGATGCTGACGCCCCTTGCGGCTGCGAAGGGGTGGTAGTGGGTGTGATTGGGGATGGCGAACGAGATGCAGAGCCATTCGTGGATGCGTTGCTTGCAGATATGGCCACGGAAAGATGGATTGCTGATTGAGAAGCAGCCTGAGCCGAAACTGGGGTCTGAGGTTGGGGATGTTGCGCAGTCGATGGCCCAGCCTGATTCTGGGGCGGCTGCAAATTGCTCGTCGCAGCACCCCCTTGACCCTGAGCGAGCGGTGCAGGTGCTTGCGGGTGATTTGCACCGTTTTGCGCCTGATTCGGGTTCGGAAGAGCCATTTGGGCCTGGGCCGCAGCCACATGTCTCTGCCTGGCGTTATTCGGTCCTCCCGCCTTGATAACCGCCCTCGACTGCGACAGCTGGTGAGCCACGACCCACTCCCCGTCCGCGTTCCGCTTCCAGATGATCACGGTCTCGTCGTAGGAACCGGAGACGATCCGCGCCCACCGACTCCCACCTCCACCAGGCGGGAGTTTCGCGCCGTACGCGAAGATACGACTGGGGTCGCGCGACCCAGAATTTCGCGCTCTCATAACCTCGCGACTCACTTCCTCGAGTTGTCCTAGACGTTTGGCCGAGAAGTATTGCTGATCGATCTGGCGCGCTTCGGCTTCGAGCTCATCTTCTGCGCCGGGAAGATCGCCAAATCGCGCTTGCACAGTACGGACGAGGTTCGTATGTCCTTTTAGACATGCTACCTCTGCGCCGGTGACTCGATCGAAGATTCGCACGGTCTCGTCGCTGCTACCGCTGACGATTCGTCGACCGTCGAATTGCACGCAGGCAATCCCTTTGATATGTCCAGGTATGGTTTTTACACATCTACCAGACCTAACGTCCCATATCTTGACTGTTCGATCTCCGGAGGCCGAAACAATCTCGCCGTCGAGAATCTGAATGGCGTTCACTGCTGCGGTATGGCCGTGGAGGGTCATGAGCAGTTCATACGGTTTAAGAGATGGGGCCTCGCTGTACATGACCTGACTCAATTGCTGCCGCTCGTATTCAGCAGCAAGACTGATGACTCTCTCCGCAAACTTCGCAGAGACATTCGCAGTGGGGCGAGGGAAGTTGGGGTGAGTCGTGGGTAGGTTCTTTCGATTCCAAACTTTGACGGTACGATCTTTCGAGCAGGTAATGAGATATCGCGAGTCAAATCGAAGGTTCAACACCGGTTCTCGGTGGGCTCTGTTGATGGTATGGATACATACGCCATCCGAAAACCGCCATATTTTGACATGGCAGTCACTGCCGCCTGAAATGATGACATCCTCTTGAGGGCTATCATCGAACTGTAAACAGAGTACCGACGCTTGGTGCCCTGTCAGAGGCGGCCGAGCGAGCCGCTGCGTCTCCAAATCCCAGATTCTGAGTGTCTTATCTCGACTGCCGCTGACAAGATAGCGGTCGGAATACTGAATAGTATAGACGCACTCGTTGTGCGACTCTTCTGGAAAGTCAGGATGAGGGAGAATAAAGTTGGTAAATCGGCCATGGTTCCAATTGGCTTCTAATCTCCGCTTCTGCTTATAGATGTAATACCAGTCTAGCTGCGGTCTGTTTTGCTCATCGCGGGTCATGAAAGGCGTTTTCGTCGGACTCTGCGAATTTCCATTCCGTATGGGGGATTGGCTCGGCGTAGCGGACATGTCATCATTTGGCTCGATGACGGGCGATATTGGATCGTGTTGGAAAGATACCCCCTGCATCCTGTCGGAGTCGCTGTTCGGCGAGTTATCGTCCGCTTCGATAACACCATGTTGTTCCACCCAGCCATAGGGCCCATCACTGGTTCCTTCTGCGGCTGTTGACGATGAAGGAACGGTGATTTCGGTGTCGAGTCGTATGGACCCCTCATGAGCGCGGCGTTTGCTGGATTGGCGGCCAGCATCCGCTTCTGCGCGTCTCACACGGGTATGTTTTTCCCTCGACTCGACCGTCGATGTGAATACCCGCGCCTCAAACTCTCGTACTTCGCGGATATTGTACCGCCAGCCTTCGGAGCGGAAGAGACTCCGCCACAGCTGCACATCGAGGGCACGGTAATGCCAGCCTTTCGAAAGCACCGAAGCTTTGATGAGTTCTTCCGCCGTTAAATTGGAGAGGACTGTCAGGACGATTTCGGGGGGGAGATGTGAGACAGGGTCGAGATGGAGAAGCGGGTTGACACGGTCGACGATTTGCGCGATGGAGGATGTTCTCAGGGAACGCATTATGGTGTATGCCAGTTCTATTCAAGTGTAAGAAAGCAATCGTGACGCAAGGGCTATTGTCTATTGAGTTCCTACCACAACGTTCCGGTTCACCTAGTGCCAGAATCCACTCTGGCAACAGCGCATTGGGATACGCATCCAACGCGTCGCCGGCGCGAGAGTCGGACCTTGAAGCGACCTCGACATCCGGCTGGCTGCGGGTATCCTCCGAATATCCTTCGTCCATTTTGAAGGGGAAGCCGATCGAGGGAGGAAGTTTAAACGGGGGTTGGGTCGGATATGAGGAGTTGTTCACCGGAACTGATGCATCTTGCCGCCACTGACCAGCCATATTCGAACGCAAGGGAGTGTATTCGGCGGGGACTAACACGCACAGGTACGTGGAAAGGGCCTCACCGAGCTGTCAACAAAAGAACCATGAGGCAAGAAGTCATATGCTCCCTTCGAGTCATCGAGGGTTGGGGAAGGGGTTGATTCTGTCACCACCAGATCACGGTCTCACAGACGAGATAGACCAGGCAAATGGGAAGTCATGCGGGTTCCCCAGTGATCCGGTTGGTTAAGGTCTCGGTCAAGGACGTTGTAAAAACATATAAGGATAAGCTATGTCAAGCCTTAGGAGTGGAGGTCTCTACCGAATTGTCGCGTGTTGGGGTCTAAACTAGCCGTTCTGGCGCCTTTGCATCACCAGCTCCAACTTCCATTGGTGAGGAATCCGAGGATGCAGTTGAGCAAGTGCCACGGTTGGAGCCTTGTAGCCTTAGGCATCAAATTTGGTATTATCTATGATTGGCCTGAGCTGTTTTCCTTTGGTTCCGTCCTGTGCATTCTAATTTCAGATCCGCCTCCGTGAAAGCTACATTCATACACCGAATTCTAACGGGTATATGCTAAATAAAAGTTCACACACGGCAGCATTATTCCGATGAAGATCCTGAGGCGATTTCCGGTTTGCTACTGTTCTGGCCTTCTAGGTCATCCCTCACTATACTTTAGTATCGAAATGTCAAGATACTGTTCTAGTACCTGGGGACCGGTACGGAGTATGTACATGGCAAAACTGGGTTACTGGGTACAACCCAACCACCTCAGGGATAGATCGCCACCCAGGTAATACTCAATCCGTTTATTTTGATCAAGGTTGTTTCGGCTTTGACGCTCCACTATCGCTATTAATCTTACGATTCTATAATAATCAATACACCTAGACAAGCATTTGTGCAGTGATTCTCCGTACATGGTTGGGACTTTGGGAGAGGCAAGTTGCCTCCTTGAGAGGTTGGAAGACGGTAAGGCGTCAAGGTGTCAGCAAGACCTGAATCCATGTCACATAAACGCATGTCAGATGCTCTGCCATGGTATTGTCACGTGGTAGTAAAGTACCGCTAACAAATTTGAGACCATAAACAACTACGGTTGGCACTGTTCTGTCCGCAAACAGCTAGCGGGATTGCTCAAACCTCTTTAGTCAGCCATGGTGCTAACCCCGCCATAGAGCCTCGGACTCGGCAGGAGGGAAAGGGCAGATTGGACCCTTGCCGCCTTGCGATTGTGCGAAGGAAAGAACGGAGAGGCGGAAAAGCGTCACTTCCATCTGATCTCGCAACAGCAGCCACTTTCACCAGATACTTATACAGAAGTCACTCTAATTCCACGCCTCGCAGTATCTTTATCCATCATCTCTCTTGTCCCATCAGTCATAACTCATAATTGGTATTTCTGTGTTTCCTTCCTTGTCCATTTACAGTACAAGCAGTCAAGCACGCCTTGGCAAGTTAGCTCGGGGTTCGATTGTTGCGCTTGCGACTTGCCCATTATTGCTGCCCAGTGTCCACAAGCTCACAGCCCCCTAGAAGGCCCCAACGCCGCTCAAGAGTCAAGAGTCAAGGGTGGTTAGGCGTTAGGCGTTGTCCACTCGCCGTTGCGGGCGCTAAACGTATCTTTTCTACTCACTGAAACAGTCCAAGCAGAGGTGCGTGCTGGTCGCTGGACAGTGCTGGTGAAGGAGGGGACCCCCCGAAACCTCCACACGCCATCAATTTCCCCTAGCGTATCCCCGTCCGTCGTCCGACCACCATCCTGCCATCCCATCACCTATGGAAGTCTGATCGGATCCTTCTGATCTGCTTCTATGTCCATCGCTCGCATCGCCGCGATCTCATTCATCGATTTTCCGTCCCACCGAACGAACATCAATCACCCCTTCGCCCTTTGTTCGCAATTCCTGGCTCGGCATCCATGTTGAACCTCCTCCCTTGCCTCCCGCGTTAATCTCGACCACGGCCATATCCGTCGGTATCTGACCCATCTACTCGTAACACGTCGCCAAACCACGCGCCAAATTCACCACTTTTCCACGCCAGTCGCTACGGTCTTTGATCCATCCACATCTGCTGAACGCCCGACCGTTCAGCGATGGAGGTGGCTTCGAGCAACGGCTATCATCGCAACTTCAACCAGACACCGCCCGTCCACTCTCGCATAAATCACTCGACCGGCGTGCCATCGGTGATGCATAACCAGGCGCATCAAAGCCACCAGAGCAATTCCAGCTCCCACTTCTCCTCCTTCTCTCACCTTTCGCGAGCGTCCGACTCCACCCAAGGCACATCGCAATCGACCTTATATGGCGCTCCTCCTCTCCCGACCCCAACTTCCACTCCCTCCAACGGTGCCCCGCCGGAAGCACGCGACAATGTCTTGAACAAAAGAGCCGAGAAAGAGACGTCACTTTACCAGATATGTCTGAACCTGCGCCAACGGTTGCAGCGCGTTCCAGGCTTCGATGACATTCTGGAGGAGGAATTGCGGGATGCTGATGAAGATACGGATCCGGTGACTCTGCTGTGGCGAGTGTTTCGGAGGGGTTATCCATTGATGGTTCTGTATAATGCACTACAGCCCAACTCACCATTGGTGATCGACGAAACGAAGATGATGAATTGGCCGGAAAGAAAGAGGAGCCAGGCGGCGACGTTTAAGTTCTTGCAGGCTTGCGTGAATGAACTCCGGTTTCCTCAGGATCAGTGCTTCATCATCACGGATTTATATTCCGATGATACCACCGGATTCGTCAAGGTACTTTCACAGCCGATTCTCAGCAAACAATGTACTGACAAGGTATACTTAAGGTCACGAAAGTCGTCAACCGAGTCCTCGACTTGCTGGTTGATTCCGGGGTCCTGATGCCAGAAGATAACCCTCAAGAGGAGAATCCCGCCATAGGCGGCAAAAAGACTCACAGACAGCACATCATCCATGAATTGGTCAACACCGAACGAACATATGTCAACCATCTCGACCTCCTCCAACAATTCAAAAAGAACGTGGAAGAGCGAGGAATCGTGTCCGGAGATGCGATTCACGACATCTTCCTCAACCTCAACGCCCTCCTCGACTTCCAAAGACGTTTCCTCATTCGTGTTGAACAAACCAACTCTCAGCCAGAAGCGGAGCAGGACTGGGGTCGGCTTTTCGTCCTGTACAAGGACGCCTTCAAGGTCTACGAAACTTACATCGCCAACCAGAAAAAATGTGAAAAGACAGCCTTCCGTGAGTTCGAGAAGCTGAGAGAAACCGGTGGCGCCGCAGAAATCCGTCAAATGGTGGAATCGCCCAGTATTCTTTCATCGTTCCTCCTGAAACCCTTCCAGCGGCTGTCCAAATACCCGCTCCTACTGAAGGTAACGCGCACCCCTATCCGTTGTGTTTGACTAGCTCTAACTTCGACCAGGAGCTCAGAGATAAGGGAGACTACGATGAAGAGCGTACGGATAACCTCAGGCAAGGCCTAGAAGCCGCTTTGCAAGTGCTACAGGCTACCAATACAGCTGTCGACCGTGAGGAGCGCAAAGAAGCCGTCGAAGAACTCAGGGGCCGCGTTGAAGACTGGAAAGGGCATCGTCTGGAGGGATTCGGAGAGTTGCTCCTACATGGCACCTTCACCGTTCTGAAAGGCGACAGTGTGAACACGAAAGATCCCGAGCGAGAGGTGCGTTTTGCTCTAACTCCTCGCTGTGCAGTGTATGCTAATTATGGTTGACCTACAGTACAAGATTTTTCTCTTTGAATCTATTCTACTTTGCTGCAAGGAAGAGAAGTTAAATAAGCCGAGGAAGAATTTCACGACCAAAGCTACTCCGGCCGGTAAAGACGGAAAGCCGAGACTGCAGCTCAAAGGACGTATTTTTATGCAGAATGTTACAGAGACTGTGTCTGTCAGTAAGCCGGGTATGATGATTCCGCCATTAGCCCGTGGAGTGCTCAGAAGCTAACCGGAATCAAGGGTCATACACTTGCCAAATCTTCTGGAAAGGAGATCCAGGCATCGAAAACTTTATCGTCAAGTTCAACGCCGAGGAGGTCATGAAAAGATGGGCATCCCAAGTCGATCAGCAACGACGAGCATGCCTCGACCTTGTGAGGACTAGCAATAACGCGAAAAATCCGAGCGCATCGGCGACAGAGTTCACTTACCTCAAAGACAACAACATCGACATGCTCGAAAATCCCTACAAAGAGGACGACGACGACGATGACGACGTTGAGACCTTGGTTGAGACTTTCCCTGGACGGAGCGACTATCAGATTCAACGGAGCGACTCCGAAACTAGCCTTCGCTCAAGATCAGCGACAGGAGACAGTGGTCCTCCAATGTCCAGGGCTCTCCCCGTCCATCCACCGCCACGATTCCCGATGCTTCCCAACAACCAACTACCGCCTCTGCAGCTGCGGACACAACACTTTCAGAACCCGAGCTATCCATCTCCTGGCGAAAGGGCAATGGATTCCTACTTTTCACCAACAGCAGAGTCACCCATCTCCACAAGGACGAGTTCATCATCGGGCATGTTCCCCCACTTCCGTCAGGGATCGATGCAGAACGGATGGCAGCCGGATGATAACGCTCGCTATACCGCCCCAGCGATGGGACGGAGCACATCACGAGAGCAAATCGCGACGCAGCGATCCACGCAGCGCCCGTCTCTTCCAGCAGGTCCGAACTCTACATCTGCCCTGTTGACACAAAACCGACTGCGGTCCGCAAGCAGCCCTGACATTGCCGCCAATGGGATGCCACAGCATCGCCGTGCTGATGGCGGTTCCCATCCGCCTGTTCCAGATGTCCCTGTTCCGCCATTCCCGACTCACTATGCCTACAACCAACCTCCCATGAACCGGAGCCAGACCGCATCCCCGGGCACGATGAACGGCATCCATGTCCCAACCCGAGCAGCGACCCAATCACCAACCGTGCAACGGGATCGTCTCATGCACCAACGAGTTCCCGAGCAATATCTTTCGGATTACCCTAGTGCCCGTGCACCTCCTCTCCCTCGCAGCGTCACCTCCATGGACCAGTCCCGCGGCCCACCCCCAGGCGCCTTCGACCCCCGCTCACACCCCGCTCCCGCTCCCCCCCCAACCTCCGCGCCGCGCGACGAACTCCCATCGCCACCGACCCAGCTCAAAGTCAAGGTGCACTGCCCATCTGCCGGGTCATCGATGACGTTGGTCGTTTCGACGAACATCAGCTACCAATCGCTGAAAGACCGGATCGACGCGAAGCTGCAGCGGAGCACGAGCCTGAGCCTCAGTTCCGAGCAGCTGAAGCTGAAGTATTTGGACGAGGATGACTTCGTGAGCATCCAGTCGGATGAGGACGTGCAGATGGCGTTTGAGACATGGAGGGAGCAGCGCGGCGAGATTACACTGGGCCATATGGGGGAGATTGAGCTGTATTGTCAGAAGTAGAGTGCTGTATAGCCCGTGCGCATTTGCGTCTTTCTTTTTTCATTTCCTCCCCCCTTGTATTTCCGTGGAGTTGCTTCTCCGCACTTCACGCTTCGATTCGATTCACTTCTCATTCGCACGGCACTATTCGGATACCGTGGCCTTCGTCTTTCGCTTTGAGTCCCGCGAGGGGCTCGTTTTCATACATGTTTTAGGGATGGCGAATCGGGGCATGATTTGATTTTCAATTACCGGTCACCTACAGTTGGGATGGGCATTATGATACAGTTATGCAAGGAGGGATCGCATCGTATCTCTCCCTTCCGGACCCGATGTGGCATTTGAACGACACGGAGTTCGGTGGCATCGTCTGCGTTTTCCCCTTGTGCTTTGCGGCGGAGTGGCATTGCTTGATCAGCAGCCCTCCGATGATGATGGTGAACGGATGGAACGGGTGGTGTGTGTAATTCACGGTGCTCCCCCCAAAAAAATGCGACGCTGCGACGGAGACATGAAGCGATGATGGCGGATGAAGCGGAACGGATGTCCGCATATGCGCGGAGTCGGGGTAGATCATTGCATTGTGAGAATACATGCCGCTCGACGGCAGACGGCAGAGGGCAGTCAGGTAGACCGATCATCGATCAAAATCTTCATGAAGTACAGTGCATCGTGTGACTTTGAGCGTGATATCCTAATCATACACAAATGTAAGCTAAGTACGCTGGGAAACCCCCCGGTTGGAATCTTTGTGGTAAACCATGATGAGCCAGAGGTATGGCACCCAATCGATTACAGATCCATTATCCTTATGTGCCTTATTAATGAAAGGATACTCTAGTTCAATACCGGCTGCCTGTATATATGTACCTCATTGTGTACGCACATAGGGAACAAAACAGGATGTTGGGTTTTGCAATTCGCGGGTTCCCGGCTAGGTTTCAGCACGTTCTGTGTCTGTCCATACCCTATCCAAGCATGCCACGCTCCTTCGTCACCCGACACTCCGAAGTAGGTATTGAACTCACACAATGACCAAAGGTCGTGCTGTTAGGCGTTGTAGGACAGATTTCCGTGGTTGAACAGCATGGGAGGGGATGAAGGGACAAGGCCAATAACAGCCTTGCTATAGCCTTGACCGGTGGGTCTAGGGACTGTTACAATGCACTGGCAATGCCGTGTTACGTTTAGCAATGGAGTTAAGCGGTAGAGATGGTAGGATTTGAGGTGGAGAATGTATCCTTGATTGCTATCTCAAATATCCTTCGGGCATCTGACGAGCCAGGACTATATGACCTTTCCTAGAGCGTTCATGCGCAATCAGCGGCAATGCTCGATGTCCCCGTCCTTCCGCCGTCGAATGACATTCTTTGATCAAAAGCCGTCGTGCCGCGCACATCATGTCAAGCAGCCCACATCTTAAACCCGAACAGGGCGCCAAGTCCATGAGAGTAATGCTCAACGTATGCAGCTCTCGCAACCTAACTAGGCCAACGTTTGACACCTTACGGAATCGGGAAATTCAGGTCATTTCCAAGGAATCCATCGAAGAAGGGGAGAGAGCCGTTGCAGAACATCAACGACGTGCTGGTGATCGAGCTGAGAAGGAGCCTTGAAAGGAGCAATGAGGAGAATAAGTCCACTGCAAAATGTCGTAAAGGAGCATCCAATGGATCATGCTGGGCACGGAAATAGTGGGCAATGACGCCGCTACGCAAAGTCTGCGTGAAATCGTTCAGAGAAATAAAGACAAAAATGCCTATCCCCATTGAAAGTAAATGCTAAGCGCAGATGCCAACCATGTCTTGAAGTACGGTGTTTTGTGAGATCATCAACGTGTTCGTGACTCATAAGTAAGTATGCTGCATTGAGAGATCCGTTCCAGAGCCAAGATGACCAAACCAGAGAAATCGTAAATATGCATCATCCGAGGGTCGTAAGTTCGTTCAGTCGTCATTTGGTCTTTTGCAAGTCGTTTTTAATCGTTTCTGAGATCCGCTGGTAAATGATTCAAACCAGCCGAAGGATTTAAATATATGGGCCGTCAGCCCCTGGGTAGGTATGGTATGGTATGGTATGCTCGCGTCAGAAAGCCGGCCTGCATGCATGACAATCAAATCGGGGAAATGTTCCAATCTTTTTTGGGAGGGCATCTCAACGACAACCGCACTCCCTTAAGCACGTGCTGCATCTCTCGTAGTACTGCACCATGCCCCGCCCACAATAGCATAGCGACTGTGACGACTTGCTAGACCTCCTCGACTCGGCGTCGAGTCCGCTCCCACTGCTTAGCGGGCTGCTGCCACCGCTGGCATACGAATTCGACGACTGGTCTTCTTCCTGGGTGGAGTACGTCCTCCGTCGACCGGTGCCGATGGCGACGGGAAGGCCTTGGATCACGCCACCTTGGCTGTGCTTGTCGCCAGGATACATGCCGTCGTTCATGGAGAAATTGCGGCAGATCAGGTAGGCGTGGGTGGCCGCGGCATTCCGTGCCATTTCTTCGGAGGCATATTCGCGGTCGGCCGAGTACTCACGGTTGTTGACTCTGACGGTGCACATCCAGCCCCGTCGGGTGCGGTAAGTTTCATATTGAGGGTCGACCCATCGTCTTCGCTGGCATAGCCCTTAGAGAACGTTAGCAACGGAGATTTGCAAAGAAGGATCGCTTCTGATGAGATAATGGTGCCAACCGAGCCTCCCAATCGTAGTGGGATGGTCACTGTTGGTTCAGATTTTGAATCGAGAGGACTAAGGCCAGTCCCTTAATGCCACGAGTTAACGAAAACGGAACAATTGACCTACCACTGAGGTACATGATATAGAACATCACGATATCTGCGTGTTCGATAGGATTTGGAGAAGTAGAGGTGTTCAAGTGCAACCCTGGCACTCAATGCCTCGCTTGGGCTCTTCCTGTGGCGTCGGTGTGGGAGAATATAAAATTCTGGTGGCGGCTGCTGTGCTACCTCCAGTGCGCGATAGACGAGAACAATTAGTTGGGTGATGTTTAGAGAGTCAGATCCAAGTCACACCACAGGGAAAAAAATGCAATTGGCTAGGCAATGGACGAAGGGAAGGATGAATCGTTGAAATGTTGGTCCGTCTAAGGAATCGAAAACTTGAAGATGCTGCTCCATCTCGACCAACAGCATCCAAGGGTGTCTTTATGACTACCCCTCCAACAGCATCATCCTGCAACGGTCGGCCAAAAGGGCCCGTTGGCGGTTCGAGGCCTATAGAGAAGCGGACACACAAGGCATTGGCCGTTAGCATGAGGTTAGCCCTGCCCGCATCTCTGAGGCTCTTAGACAAGGACCCAGACGTGTGATGTGTTGGCGTGCATTTCGACCAGTGGTCGAATCGTTCCCAGACGAGCAACTCCTGGTCAGGACCCACAGGAACAACGCCCGCCTGCAGATCTGGATGGTCGGTGCCAAGTACAAAGCACGAGTGGTGGCGCATATGCCATTTCCGAGTCCGATGCGATGCCATTGGTAGATAGAGAGACAACTGGGGGTGTCAGGATCGTAAGATCGGTCTGAGAAACGTTGATTGTGAGACTTGGAAATGTTCAACTGTAACAGATAGGAAACGGGAGCTTGGATTGAAGGGACGCTGCATGAAAACAAAACCCAGAATTGCAAGATGGCATGGTGGAGCATTGGTCTGTCACGCGTGTACAGATATAGCATTGACCGGGTTAAGCAGCGTCGTACTGCAACTGCAATAATAGCCCCGCGATGCCACAAGCAATATTCTGGAGCCAGGAACTTCCTCTAGAGCCGAGGACAAGAGAAGGCCGGATACACAGCGATCCAGTGCGGGAGACATTTTGAGGGGCGGCGATCGCGGTTGTTGAACAATACCGGCGAGGTAATTCAGGAAGACCAGCCCGACATCCATATGTGTGCCGCTTCCTAATGTATTCAATTTGCCAAACGCTTAAATCGAATGGTGCAGACCGGTAGCTGAGAGCAGCTGAAACGTTTTCGGAAGACAGGACATATGAAGCTCGAAGATCCCCTTCCACTCAATTTTGCGTGCAGGGACATCATCCGGGATAGGACAGCGATCGCGGATGCAAAGCTCAAAGGCGCGGGCGTTTGGTTTCACCACGGATGACCAACATTAGCCGTATCTCATCCTAGTATTAGCCAATGCAGCGGTGGAATCAGTATTGTTCGGCATTAGATTGATGGATTTGCCCCGCCCTCGCAAGCAACTGCCCGGTCCATGCTTGATGCATGGTGAGTTGTCAGTTCTGAACGTGCAGGGAGGAGAGTTGATGCGCCAGTCCAGGAGCGAGAATGGGGCTACTACGGTACGTATACGGTAGACGACGCCTCCGTGACTTCGTCCAACACTCGAACGGATAAACAAGTAAACAGCCATATTGTTTCGCTAACGGCTTCCGTCATGGGCTCATGGCTTTTCATGGTCTCACAGGCCACAACCGACCCAAGCATCGACGTTGGACATTGATGGCGAAACGTGCCGCCCTCCGGTCAAATCGCTGGCAGAGTCCACGCTCCACCGACATATTCCGTCGTCGCTAGATGCGGGTGATGCAATGCTGCAAGGCCTTCCTCGCTCCATATCAGGCAACAGTGGTTCTTGATTTAAACGGACGGTTCCCTCTGGATCGGATAAGTTGATGAGATAATACTACGATAATGGAACGCCTCCTGAGTCTGGTTGAAGGTGTGGAATCGACACGAGTCAGCTTGGCACTCCCCGCTCTATCAATATGATTCAGATTTCGACTTCGCCAACGACACACAATGGACACACAACTGCACAATCGTGACTTGATGCACACCGCAATCCTTCTGAATTAAATACTCCTCATCAGTTTTGGAATTTAGTGACCTCTAACTCTGAACGAGGGTCAATATCGATCATGCCTGCTCTTGCATAGAGACCTTAGGCAACAGTTAAAGGGGGGGAGGAAGCCCTACACCAGAATACTACTGAATGCCTCGGCGAGTTGGGTGCATTAAAGGCCGAAGACTAACAGAGTTGATGTCTCTGAAGGAAGCGAATTAATACTGCACCTGCAATAATGTATAGCATGGTCCACAAAACTGATGCACACTGTTGATGCTGGACGCCTGTCCGGGACCAGCGTCTTGCCCTGAGATCTTGAAGTCGACATGTCGGCTTGAACGTTGAAGCAAAGGACCAATGATAAAGCTGAACATCGCAGCCAATGAGGAGGAGGGCCCTCTGCTTCTTGTCTCGTCCACGATGAATGGATTTTGATTTTTGTCTCATCGCCCTCAGCAAGTCTACCCAGAGGGTATATTGGCATCGTGACACCGTGGAAAGCTGGAACAAGTATTCCCGTGCCAATTAATGCCATGTGTCCAGCTGCTGTGACAGTACGACCACTTTCGAAAAGTTCGGATTGGCGGGGGATCCGTCTCCAGCAAATGGCAACTCAAGCACGACGGCGGTGGGGTGCCGTAGCTGGGATCGACCGTGTATAATCTTATCCAAGGACTTCAATTCAGGAGCCTGACAAACGCATACTTACAATTGAACCTACTCATAGCTCTAGTAAGAACCATCTCCAATCCCAAGTCCAATACTAGCAATCATGGGCGGGCCGGTCAAGCGAATCACGCTCTTCAAAGTGAAGAACCAGGACGATATTCCGACGATATTGGACCAGTACAAGGACGTGAAGACCAAAGCCTTGAAGGTGCAGTTTCCCCCATTGCCTTGTCCAGCTTCTCAACTCTCACACTACGAACAGGACGGAAAGCCTTACATCCTCGCAATTCAAGCCGGACCGACTCACGACGACCCTCGATCCATGGGCTACAACTTCTGCGCGTACACATCATTCGCTAGCCTCGAAGATATGCAGTACTATGACACTCAATGTGAGGCACACGCAGCCCTGAAAGCGGTGTTGATTCCACTGGTTGCACCACCACCGATGACGGTGTACCTGGACGTGGAGAAGAGTGTAGGAGGGCAGTAATTAATTTGGGTCACTGGAGCAGGACGGGGATCAAACAATGCAGAGGATGTTGGATATGCATCTGGTCCATGCCTTTGATGTCCACCACATAGCGCCAACCACTTCCAACTCTACCAAGATGCTTCTAAACTTGCTTCTAATCGACATCAGATTGAGACATCACTCATCTAGCCATCGCTCGATTGGCTCCAAACCAAGCCTGTGCCTTCGCCGCTGCAGTCCACGGGATAACATAGACCGGGTGATGAGGATTCACACGACCATCAGGTAGCCCAGGAATATCCACCACCGGCTTGTAATCCCAACCGTGTGCCGGAGCCAGTCCTGATGCTACACCCTCTCCATCCTTCGGTTCACTGAACGAATACTTGTTTTGCACCCACGATAGTCCCGCAATGTTGTAATTCGTGTGATATGCATCCGCACGCCTGCTCAGGTCGACCATTAGCAAATCGATATTCCGATATGCACGTATCATCGCGAGGCATCTCGCAAATATGGCGATCCACTTACTTTCCCGGCTTATCCCTTAAGCCGCCGCCGTCCTCTTGGCAACAGTTGAAGATATACCGGAGCAGTCCCTCGCGACTCCAGTAGTCCCGTTTTGACGAGTTTGGGGACTCATCTTGCATGGCCGCGTCCATAAGCGGCCAGCACCCACCGATCCAGTGGCTGTAGCAACCGTCAACCAACTTGTTGGTGCGGCCAGCCATGCCACCTTCGGGGGCGTATTGCCGGGCCGATAGCCATTTGGTGATGAGGTCAACGTCGAGGAATCTGATCTAGGTTAGAAATGTTCGTACACCGTATGGAGCAACGGCGTTATCGTGCGGTAGAAATATTCACTTCTTCACTGTCTTACTGGGCGTCCCCATGATACACAGGCTTCCAAGGCCACAAAACGTGTAGGCACCATGTGCTTCGTTTCCAGGAGAGGATCCTAAGCCTCCCTCGTATGTTTGACCTAAGGCAGCAAAGTCAGTAGCGGAATCGAATTGAGTCATCGGCACGCACATTTCCCAATCCATTCCCCTAGGTTTGTTAGGAAGTTGTCACACCCGCTCTTCCGTGCTGGAGCATCTTGTGGCAGCTCCAGAGGTAGGCCTAGTAGGGAGATAATGACCAACGCGCAGAATGCTCCCCTCACATCAACCTCGCCGCCAGCACACATGGTAAACGGACCATGGGGCTGCTTCATACGGCCGAGATAATGCCACCTGTTCAATTATTTATCAGTAACCAGGCAAATCAAAAAGATCTGTCCGTCGGGATCATGAAAGGGTTCACGCACATAGCTCTCGTATCGATCATTCGATAGCACTCCTCCTTTTCCGATGCAATCAAGGACAGCACCGCAGCATACGAGGTTGCAAGATGCGACAGCTGGCCATATCCACCGCCGAACCCACCATCCAGGTTTTGGCAGGGCTTGAAAGTGGCAACGAGCCTACAGCACTAGTTGGTCTTGTGCCTGATCTAGACCACGCAACGGGATAAATTGAGAAAATAACAGATACTGAATCAATTATGCGGATAAGTAGTATGAAATACACTCACCCGTCCCGCCAGTCCTCCACATCTTCAAGCTCCTCTCCCAAAGCGCTCAGTCCCGCAACGGCCCAGTATACCAACCAGGGACGACTGGCATCCTGGACCTGGAACTGCCAGGGATACTTCTCGAGCGCGCCGGCGAGGAACTCCGCGTGCGCGACGCGGTCAAACGGAAAGGTCCGATGCGGTTCGGCGCGTGCGGCGATTTCATGCTGGGACAAGCAGAGTTCCGCGACTTGCTTCTGTGCCGCTAAAGTAGGGGTGAGGGGTTCAGGAGAGATGGAAGGGGGGAAGGTGGGAAGGGGCGGAAGACGGGAGAAAGGCGGGGGCGGAACGGAAGTAGTAAGCATGGTCGTGTTTGAGGGAGAGGGATTGCTGTGAAGATTTCCGGTTGATCCTTTGCGGCGCAGGGGAGGATGCGGTCGGTTTTGATAGAGAAATTGGTCCCAAGGAAAGCGGATGGGAGTAGATCGTGACATCGGAGTCGCTGCCGAGAAGATTTCAGGTATTTGAACATACGGGAAGGAAGGGGTTCATTGGAGGCATGTTCCTAAGATTTACACCGTTCTTTGTTACACATCTTGTTCTCGAGTTTAGTTGACTTCCGTTGTTGCAGAAAGCTGAATTCATCAGGTTGATCCAGCTGCAGCACCAGCGTGCAGGTTGTCTAAAGGCAATAAGGCCAACACATGCATTTTACATCCGATCCGGATATCTGATGTCTCCCGAGTCCCGACTTTACATTCCACCACCTTTCCGTTTTGGTACTTATTCAACAAGTCTCGATTTGATATTATTAACATCCTCAATGGTATGGCGCCACATATGCCTTCAGCTTGATGCCCTCACGCCCTCGAACGTGTCCAACTCCTCCCCCAACGGCTTTCCATCGTCTCCAAGTATTGGCTCACACGGAAGCAACACGAATACCATTCTAGCCCAGTCCGTCTTGCTCGCATTCCTCCAAGAATGCATCGTACCTCTTTGTACCGCACAATCCCCCCGTCTCATCCGCCTCTCCTCTCCGGAGTCCAACACCAAGTCCATCTCCCCTTCCAGCACGATGCCGTAGTCTAGGCTCACCGTTCGGTGCATGGCAGAAGTCATGCCCGGCGCGAAATCTACATGGCGTAGCACGCTGCCATTAGAGATGGAGAGGCCCGGTGGGGAGGAGAGGTAGTCGTAGTATGTTGCGATGTCGTTGGAGGAGGAGAGCGAGATGGGGAAGCCGGATGTGGCATAGCTGAGTGCAAATCCCATGTTGTCGGGAAGGGCAGCCGTCTTCGATTCCGTTGGGATAGAGGTGTCGAAGACAGCTTTGCCATCTGAGCGGTGCGTCGTGATATGGCGCTGGACTGGGGGCAGGTCGCCGACATGGGCCATATTGATAAATCGGGCGGCCGTAGATTGGTTCGAGTAGGTGATTGCACCTTTTGATGCCTGACTGGTCCACTGCTGAGTTGAATTCGTAGCAAATATCGACTGCTGCTAGGACTGTATGTAAGAAAGGTATGTTTTTAGCCCGTGGAATCGACCTCCCCCCCACAAACGGAGTCGATTGTACAGTTCGGGCTTTGAAAGAGAGGGGAAACAAGTGGTGTCACAGTGCGAGAAATCTCATGGGCCCATGCTGGACCTCGCTGTGGTCAGCCGGAGCAAACCAGTATCGGTGTAACGGAGCACTACATCAAAGAGAGCTGAGGTCCGATGTCCCTACTGGTTGGCTTGTCTGTACTCACTGAGCTGCAGCGAGCAATCAATGCTGGAATCGTCGCCATATTTCATTGCGCTCCTTGTCTTATCGCCACACCTTTCATACCCTGGGGGTCCAGTGCGGACATATCAACAACTCCAAAGGTGTCACTAGGCACGTGGCGACAATATGCTGATGGGAGTATGTATGATATGCTGACAAGGCAGGCCGGCCATGGCTGAAGGTGCGAAACAGTTCCAAGGTCGATCTGCTGCAAGGCGTCCTAAGGGTAGCTCACTGTGACATTTGTTGTCAATTCATCACTGCTCTTGGTGCACAGCATGGCACCGACATTTGCCGCGTCAAGAACGGAGAACAGTTCCTCATCGCTAAGCCTCAAGTTGCCCATCATAATGGAAGGCTCATGGAGCTGTTGGTCGAGTGAAGAATTCTATCCCGGTCAGTGACTCCACGAGCTGTTGCAATGTAGGCTTCCATGATCCATCAGTACACAGACGGCCAACCCTCGGTGACTCCGTGGATTTGCAACATCCACCCGGGGAAAGTCACGTGGTGATACAAGAACAATACGATCATTCCCATATGGCGATAGGAACAGTACGAAGGTGATGGATATCTGATAGAATTTCATCGATGTAGGCTCCTCCATAGAATTCCCGGAGTTGCTAGTGTCTGCGCCTTCGCGGGGAAAGGAAACTGATATTGCCTGCGCTCGGCTCCTAGCGATAATATATCGCTTTTTAGAATATTTTGAGGCGATGTTGTCGGATCTCAATATCCATGGTGTCACGGATCAATTGGCAGCCCTTGCCCTGATCTGCATCAAAACCACTGGTGAGGCGGTCAGTCCTGGATTCCAGGATTCCTGATTCCACCTTTGACCTTCCAGTGATTTGAGCCCGGCCGTCCAACGCCTTTGCCGCTCGTATTGCCCGATCTACCAATGAAACTCCCATGAGAATCCGTCATCATGGATGAAGGATGCTGCTATGAGACCCTCAAGGCCTGATGGATTTCAGGCATGGAAATCAAATTGCTGACCGCTCTATCCGAAGAGCCGCCCCCGTCCCTAAAGTACCACCGAATAATCAGTGATAAAGCCATATAGTCATTGTGTATCTCGTAGATTTTGATCTGAACGCTTTGTGATCGTTCTCTTCGTCAGAATTGAACATGTCCACGTCGCTTGTGTTCCACCCCCGTGTCTTTTGAATATTGTAGGCATCGCGATGGCGATCTGACGCCGAGCCTGAGCGACCAGGGGTCCTAGTGGGTAGATCCCGGGCTTGACCCTGGTCCTGCCCCCGGGCTTGCCCGCATCTGGACGAGTTGGATGGCGCAAAACATCACGAACCAGGGCGTGTTGCAACCATGATCCCCGTCCGACCCCCATCTTTCTCTTCTCACCGACTCTCCTTGGCACACATCCCCAGTTCTCGTGCTCGTTTAGTGCATCATCATTCATCACGCAAACCATCGCTTGCCTCACAGGCGCACACAAGCCCTCACTACCCAAGGCCAAACTCGTCTTACCAGTCGCCACATGCATCTTGCTGGTATTCCGGCGCTCTGCACAACGCAGACTGCCCGTTCCAATCAATGATGCCTGTTGGTGCAGCGTGGTACGATACTTGCTGCGTGTCCGCGTTTGCTGTGATCCCCTCTGCTTGCTTCACTTCGTTTTCGGTTCCCTTCAATTCCACCATTTCGTTACTCATTACTCGTTTTTCGTTGTTCCTGTCATTGCCAGCGGCTTAGCCATTCAGTTTGGCTTTGCTGACACGCCTCTGGGCCTGTTGACACGCTGCTGCTTGCGATTCCTAGCGGCAACCGGCGTGGTCTTCACCTCCGTCGGCGACTACAACGACTTTGCGTATTTTTCTACAACCTCGCCATCATCATCAGCCTCCCCTTCTGCAGGTCAGCATCAACCTCTTCAATTCGTGTCAAAATTCCTCGAGGACTGCGGAAAAGGGATCTGGGGGATTTTATCGAGTCTTTGACGATCAGTGAGCGACCAAAGACTCCCCCGCGCCGGACCCCACCATTCGAGGCTTGTCCGTCCGTGTCAAGTGTCAAGTGAAGTGACCCCGTCAATTGTCAGTGCATTCAGTCGGTGACATTTGAGTGATTTGCCCAGCCCGTGGGCGTCGCATCGTCTCCACTCCCGGCGGTGAGACTTTCCTCACTTCCACGAAAAACGAACCCCCCAGAAAACCCTCCCAAGCACTATCACGGCGTCCCTGCACGCCTTAGCCCTCAATCTCACATTCTTACCCTGTCCTTTTCTGGACAATCTTGTCTTTCTCTTCAACTTTCATCAAATCGACCATTGTTGAAGGGACAGGGCACAGTCCATCTCCTTCTCCTCATCCTCGCCGCAGCTGCATCGGGGCAGCTGACCGGCCTATTTCCGTCCCGAATTCCCCTCGCTGGGCCGCCCGAGTGAGGCTGGCACAGGCAAGCCATCCACGATAGAGAAGGTGCGCTCTGACGGTCACCGATTACACCATCCTGTCCGAAATTCCTCTTTTTCTCGCTCGAATCTCCCGATGATGGATCCCAATTACTCTGACGGACTCGATGAGTCTGCCAACCAATCCAACTATCTCGGGTTCGATCAAAGTCGCATGGTCTTCGGTTCGGGGTTGAACAGCGCCCTTACTTGGCCGTTGCCTCAAGATCCACATCTCGATCCATACGATTTCTCCAACTCGTCGAGTGCCTCTGCCGCACACAGATCGAATTCTGTTCTTACGGGAGCAATGACGGTCCGATCGAGCCTGATTCCAACGTCGCTGAGTCCGTTGGAAACCACCAGTTCATCGGCGAATGCAACGTCAGGCATGACAGCTGAAGCAACTGCAGCCGCATCGTCGTCGCCTCCTCTCAGGCAGAACGCCGCATATAACAACACGATGGGTTCCGCTGGCCCAATGCTGGCGTCGGACTGGACTTCTCAGTATCACGTCCCGGACCAGAACTCCAGCAATCCCTTCTCCAGTGCGGACGTCCAAGCCGCCTTTTCGAGCGGTGCTTTCTCCAACAACCCACTGCAGACTTCTCCCGTCGACTATATGCCTTCATCGCAGGCTCAGATGTCGTCGTCGTTCACCATGGCCCCGAGCAACGATTTCATGCAATATTCTACCAGCATGGCGCCGATGAACGCCCCGGCTTTCCAAATGAGCGACTTCACTCAGGAATTGAACTCCATTCCCCAGTACGGGATGCCGAATAACAACAGCTTCATCAACCCGCCGAGCCTTCCGAATAGCTCCCCGGGTGAGAACTGGATCGATGATGGGTCCTTGTCGAGTCGAAGTGACAATGGCTGGCAATTAATCTCCGCCCCTCCCTCGCGTGCGTCGTTTGATTCGTTCGACTACCCTAGCGATGTCGGTGTGAGCCCCCAAGCTCTCCACCTGTCTCGTCCTCGGACCGAGTCGAGTTCGTCCGATGAGTCCAACGTGCCTCTCTCTGCACACTCGATGAGCAGCTTCGAAGAGATTCCGTTCCCGAGGAACTCGCCTGAGTCTGATGCTGTCCTTGACTATCAGCCCCAGCAAATATCAGCACATGGTTTCCCCATGGTGTCCAATGACAACGTTAGCCACTACCACACCCATTCGCACTCTCACTCCCAGTTGCAATCTGCCATGGTTTCTCCTCAACCGGACATGGTCACTCCTTCACGAGAAATGGTCTCACCGCTTGCAATTCAGCCGGCTTCATCACCCGTCTCAACCGGCTCCGTCTCTCCCGGTGGTACCTCTCCATCTTCTCGTCGAGCCAAGGGTGCGTCGGCACCGTCCGGAGTGACGCCCAAGACCATCAATAAGAAGAAGACCGCTGCTCAGAGCAAGGCTGACAAAGCCAATGACAAGAAGCTCGGAAAGAGGAAGGGTCCACTCCGGCCCGAACAACGGCAACAGGCCCACGAAATTCGCAAGGTTCGCGCCTGTCTTCGATGCAAGTTCCTGAAAAAGACTTGCGATACCGGTAACCCATGTGCTGGATGCCAGCCCTCTCACGCCCGTCTCTGGATCGTCCCTTGCACACGCAAGGATATCAAGGAGATGAACTACTTCCTTGATAAGTGGAATAAAGATTACGAGCGACACATCACGCTCGGATTTTCGATCGCGAACATCAAAGGCTTCTCGAATGTCGAGCGGCTCATTTACGTCACTCATGGCTATGGTCATCAGCTCCCTATCACGGCCCGCGAGGTATTCGTTCGTGACGAAAGTTGCTTCTCAATTGATTGGGTCGAACGGGGTGCTGGTGATCCGAAGAAGAAGCACCATGAACACGAGTTGATGACCAACAGGCTGTCGGCCGGCATGGAAGGCGTCTCGCGAGCGGCCGTGTCCGATTATCTCGATAAGTATCTTGACGAAGACTTCGAGCATTGGGTCGATGAATACCTTGATGGTACTCCATTCCTCGTTGAGTTCATCAAGATGGTGTACCGCTTCTGGTGCCGCACTCGTCTTCCGGTCATCCGCAAGGCGCTCAAGATGATGGTCGCGTACAGCCTCACCTGCCACATCACCCTTGTCCGCGGTCTCACTGCTGAAGAGGCTGAAGTTGGTCGTATTGAGGAGGCCACTTCCAAATGGCAGGGCGAGACCATCTCTCCCGTCATGGTCAACTTCCAGGTCAAGAAAGCGATGGCAGATATGTGGCGTGAACTGATGAAGGACGTGCTCGAGGAGTTATCGTCATCCTTCTCTTCGGTGTACAGCGGGGACAAACTGAAGAACTGGCCCACGATATTTCTGCTGGCGTCGATGGTGTTGGCTGTGTGGGAAATGATCCAGTTCGACATGCACTATCGTGAGAACGACGAGGACGCCATCCAGAAGTTTGACAAGGAGATGGAGGAGGTTCCTGTCGGCACTCTCATCGGGCTGTTCACCGCGATCTCGCATCAATTGCCGAGCTTCTTTGATTGGGACACCCAGAAGCACCACAATGCCTTCCAGTCGAATCCTGCTGTGTGTGAGGCGTTGACGGAGGTGAAGCATCAGGCCGCCAAATATGGTAAGTCACTTCCACCCAATGAGGGCATCTCGCGCTCTGTGTGGTTCCCCCCAATTGTACACTTGCTAATCTCGTCCCAACAGAGACGTACCTCCGCGGTCGCAATGAGGTGGCCAAGTACGACCGGGAGGACTTCGATTCGTTGTCGAACAAGTTCCTCTCGAGGTTGGTCATTCGGGCCAATTAGATTTGCTCTTCCCAACGAGTAACGACGACATTCCCTTTGTCTTTGATGAATGACTCGATTACATGACTCGATTACATGCATGGATGAGAGCGTTGTAGCATAGGCAATGTCTTTTTGGATGTGCATGCGGTGGCGAGACGGATTTTCCATGAACGATTATGCGAACGATTATTGCTTTGACTTTGAGAGACGCACGCATGGCGGTCTTGGCGCGTGTGCGTTATGCTGCACACGATGCACACGGCCGTGATTATTGAAGCAATGACTTCGACGACATTATTTTCGACGAGAGTACGAGTACGGATAACGATGTTCTTTTCGGACGTCTCGGGTGGCATTCATTCGAGACGTGTTGACGTGGTTTCTACGGTTGGGAACCCCTTCCGGATGTGGATGGCAGCTCTTTCCCAGGCTCCGGTCTGACGCTTCCACATGGATTCCATATCTTTTCTTTCTCTTCAATTCTTTTCATTGCGGTGGTGTTTATCTGCCTAACCCCTTGCGGACGGAGTTCCTGGCGATGATACCTGGGTGTGATACCGCATTTTCACTGGACGATGGACGCTGTTCCATCTTTTTATGTTATAACTCATTGAGAGCAAGATACATTATGGTGATTCGGACTTGATTTTTTCCTTCAAGGACTTTATCGCCAAAAGCCCTGTGCTGTTTCCCCCCTTCTCTTCGTTTCCCTCTGGGGGGACCTGTTCACTATCTTCTCCGCAAGACCTTCACCTTCATCAACAACACTTACTTGGACTTTCTGACACTTTCCTTTCCTCTTCTCTGTATATACCGATTCGCCAAAACACCACGGTATATGCGTCGTCCAATTAATGAAAAAAATTGAGGATTCCTCATACGTTTCCTCCGACTGTATATGTATTTTCTGGCACTGAATGATCGACCCCTTGATTCCGCAATCCGGACTTAATTGACCAGATACACGGGTTGCTTGGGTCTTTAGTTGCTTGAAATCCCCTATTCACGCATTCCTACTTCCGCGCAAAGTTCGCTTCAGAGGGCCCTCTAGTGGGCCGCAAGGGGGGTCATTCGTCACAGGCCTATCCCCTTTTTTTATTTCCCACAATTCTCAAACGTAGCATAGATAGCAAATCAATGCAATCAGATTTCAATTCATCCTCTGTATCCATGGCAGTGACGTGAAGTAAGCGCAGGTAAATTTCTAAACCACTGGACATCGGTGGCAGTGGAGTTGTATCATGCACAAGACCATTTATTTTCTATATGCAACAGATACGTAAAGTCTGGAGACATGGGAATGTCGTGAGACGCCTCCGGAACGCCATAAAGTGCATCGATGACCACTGACCAGCAATCCTTCATACCGACCTGCCAAAACACGGAGCGAGGTGATTCCTTCCGACCTTTCAACATCCAACGACCAACCCGAGACACCCTACTCCTTCTTCCCGGGCACCCACTTCCCCTCCTTCGCCTCCACATATTCCACCAAATCCTCAATCGTGCACACCCGAATCCCCCACTTCCGCCCAAACTCCAAACATCCATCCCTCCGCATCATATCTACGCCCACATACTCCGGCCGCCCATCCTTGTCCGCCTCCCCATCCGTCACCATTTCCCCAATCACTGCCGCCATATGCTTCCCCGCCAACCGGCAGAACTCTACGGCCGCCTCCGTGTGCCCCTGACGCTCGCGGATCAGGCCCTCCCGCGCACACAGCGGGACGACGTGGCCCGGGCGGCGGAAGCTCGTGGGCACAGCGTTCGGGTCGGCGAGGAGGTTGCTCGTGCGAGCGCGGTCAGCGGCGCTGATGCCGGTGGTGGTGCCGTCGGCGGCGTCGACGGTGATGGTGTAGGCGGTGCGGTGTGGGTCGGTGCTGTTGGCGAGGGGGATCATGGCCGGGAGGTCGAGGGCGAGGCAGCGGGCCGGGGTCAGCGGCGCGCAGAGGTAGCCGGAGGTGTGGCGGATCATGAAGGCGCATTTGGCCGGGGTGAGGTCGGAGGCGGCGATGATGAGGTCGCCTTCATTTTCGCGGGAGGCGGAGTCGAGGACGAGGATGAATTCGCCACGGGCTGGAGGGGTTAGTCGGGGTTGGAGTAGAAATGAGGGGTTTGAGGGAGAGGGAGGATTGGGGATGCGAGATGGGGATTTGGGGAAAGAGAACTCACCGAACGCTTCTATTGTGTCGTCGATATTGTCGAACTGCACGCCGGGAGCCACGGTGCGCTCGGGAACGGTGCCATTGACGCCGTTCGCGCCATTGACGTGGGGTGTCTGGACTCCGGTCATGGTTGCGGAATGTTTCGGTCGGTGTTCTTCGTTTCCGATATGTGAAGAAATGCCCGATAATGTATAAACAGTAGCCGTTCCCTTCTCAATTGAAGCGGTGGTAAGGGGTTCTGCGATATAGGACTTGGTTTGCCTTCCACGCCGGTGACGGATAAGGTAACGTAATTTGGATCTTGCGGCTCGGCTCACGGCCCTGGACTTTTGCCTTCAAGTTCGTCGAATTTTGTCAGCTCGGAAGGAAACACGCCACAATTCCGCAGCAATTGGAAATCAGGATAATAAGTACAACTGTCCAACGGACGATTCCACGGCTGGCCGGCTAGTTATATCTTGCTAAGTGGGAGTCAGGTCATCAGGTGCACTCTTCGGAATTTTTTTGGGGCCTTTCTGGTCAAGATCCGGGGAACGATTTAGAGGGTTCGGCTCGCCCGCACGATGGTCACCGACTCACCGTCCGTTTAACCCGTCACTCGCCGAGTCTTGGTGAAGCCGAGGCGCTGCTCGGCCGGGGAAGGGTCTAGATTTAGTATGGAGCACCGCCAATCCCGCTGCTTGATTGGGATGTGCTGAAGATGTGCTCGTAATGCTCGTTGACTCATAAGGAAGGCGCTACATGCATGTGTTATGTATATTATGGGTGAGTATTAAGCAAAAGTATTCCGACAATGGATGAGAGTTTATCCAAGTAAAGCATCCAGGCAATGGATAGGATGATATCACGGGAAAGGCGACAGATGGTACACCAGCAACGTATTAACTCCGAATGCCTACTGGTATCACAAGACCGGTGTATCGTATTGATGCCTTGAATGTGTACTCTGCGCAGGATATTCTCTCCGAATCAATAACAAACTCATTGCTCCATCATCTTCCGAACGCCATGCTTGTACCATCCAACCTTGCGCCGTGAAATTGACCGAATTCCAGATGCGGTGCGGTCCTCCTGCCTGATTCCAAGCGAGTGGTCGATTCCGGAATCGAAACTTTGACCACAGATAATGTGACTAAGGAGGGATGTAGCGATTCAACTGAACCCGCTCAACCTGCTGTCTCCTTCACCTTGGAGGTTTCGGGAGGCTCATCAATGAACTGCGGTGGAGCTGCGGTATCCTCCATGAGATAGCTCGGCACCCCCTCCGCTCCTCCCAGTGTCGCCTCATGCTCCATCTCGTCCCCCAGCGCCTCCAGTTCTGCCTCCAAGTCCTCCTCATCTATATCCTCCGGTACGTCGTAACTCCGGCTCATGCTCTCCTGTATATCGTTGCCGATGTCCATCAGGTCCGCCATCTCGTCCTGGAGTCGCTCGATCTGGTCGATATTGACCTTACCGTACTGTTTCTTCAGTTCTCTCGTCGTCGTCTTCATAGCGTCAACCGTGACCATCGTATTCTTTAGGTTGTCCTGCATCATGCCCGCTTGCTCCATGTTATTGACTTGCTGTCGCAGCTGGTCGAGTTGGCCTTCATACTGTCTGCGCTGCTTGAGAAGGCCCAGCGCCTTTTTTTTTACGGTTTGCTTGCCTGGTCCCTCGCGCATCCGTTTGAGTCGATCGTTGACGGCGGAGAGTTCGGAATTAAGTTTGGCAAGTTTAATGTCCACTCCCCCAGCCTTATCTTCAATCTGACAGGGCTGTTAATATCCAGTAGTGAAAGAGACATCCGCTAATAGCATACGTTCTTGACAGCATCGTTGAGCGATGGCTTGGGCGCAGCGCTTGTTGCTCCAAACAGGCGGTTCATGATGGACGCAGTGGTCTTTATAACCACTTCAATCTATCACTCGCTCACCATGAAGAGCAGGGTTTCGGGTCGTCGTCAGCTCGATCGAAATTCGTAAGATCCCTACAGTAAAAAATGAAATTTACAAGCCCCGTGGTAAGTGTTGTAGAGACTAGAAAGTGGGTGCAGTGTGAACTGTGAAGCCTGTGGGGTCGCTTGGCGCCTGGTGGTTGCATCATACGTTCGAGCCCCTCTGTTGACCAACCACCTACTTGGCCAATATCACCATCTTAACCACTACGCAATTACGGAATATATTGATAATTTAAACAATAGGACCATTGTACAACATCCTGGGGAGCGTCTGGTATAATTCCAGCCACGGGAATAGTCTGTTCTAGTAGGGTGTTTGCCTCTAGAAACTGTACCGCCTCTTGCGCTAGTTTGACCTCTTGAATGTGTGCGAACTTAAACATTAATATATATCTGAACCTTCTTGCGTTTTGGGGCTGTGGCAGCATCGAGGCGGGCCTGGAGACTAACAATTTTCAGGTCTGACACAGCCTGACGCGACTGTAGCACTCCGATTGTCTTGGCTGCTTTCTCTAGGTACGACTTGGTCGCTTTCGCCACGCGTGTATTCTTGCTAAGAACGCGCAATGCACGTTGTATTTGTTTGGGGTTGTAGGGCGTCATCTTGAGGACTGGGGGGACTGGTATTAGGGTGCGTGGAGGAGTGTTTGGTGGTGGAATTGAGGATGCGGTTTCGGTAGGTGTAGGCGGTATCACGAAGCGGTTATTGAGGCCTTTTGACGGGTCCCACAGTATAAGACCTACAGCCTTCCATCCTGATCTGAATGTACGGTCGGTTAGGCGTGCCCGACACGCCTCTACATAGGGAACAATGAATCTTCGTCGTTCAATCGGTAGTGCCTTGTCGATATACGCGCTTTCGCGGAGGGGGGCCTTGTGGAAGCGTTTCAGAGATGAAAAACAGGCGAGATCGAGAGGTTGAAGGATACGGGAGGTATGCGCAGGTAGGAAGACCACAATCACGTCATTTATCCTGCATTCGTATAGGAAATCGATGGTTGCGTGGCTACCGTGCCCGTCCATTAGCAGAATCCGGTACTGCCGCTGTGTAGCGGTTTCAGGCAGGAAAACCGTACGGAGCCAAACCAACGCGTGTTGATTTGAAGTCCAGCCGTTCTCTGATACCGTATAATGGAAGTCTGGAGGTTGTTCGGAGAATTAAGCCGCTTGTAGAGACGCGCCTTTCTAGATAAGGGTTGCTTTGAGATAGCGACTGGTCGCAGAGATTGATCTCTAGGATAAAAGACCATTCCCGGTTCTCAGGACTCGTGGTATAAGCTGTCGACTTTTGCGAGTCTGCGATCACAGTAGAATTAGCACATATTCCCATTCCAACGCCGACTTCATCTATATTCCATATATCGGAAGGGGGGACATCGTACTGTGTCTGAACTTGGTGGGAATACGCGTAAAACCTATTGATTGTATCCTATGTTGCAGCCTGACGTGGTACGATATCTAGAATACGTCCAACGCACGTCGCAACGCGTGGATTTCGACATAGAAATCGCGGTACTCAATTCTTCTCAAAGGGTGTAAAATCTTAAAGCTCTAGAACTCGCGCTGCCATTTTGCGAAGATATGCGTGGGTAGGGAGGAATCCTTGAGCGTCATTTTCAAGAGCCCAGTCGACTAAAATTTATCCTGTACCGGTGTAAGGTGTTAGTTCGATTGTTGAGCTGTAGAGCGCGATTGCATGCCCTTGAGGCGGATTTGAAGCGTAGCTCGATTGACGTTGAATACGGCCGCAGCTTCGTTTTTGAGATTTGCATTGACCTGTCTGTACGGCATGGATAGCCTGTAGGAGTATCTCCTCTGAATTTGACATCGCAATATGATATGGTGGTTGAGATATTACGAGTTTGGTGATGGTGATGAAGATAGTGATACTGGCCAAGGAGGTGGTCGGCCAACAGGCAGAGGTTCGAGCTTTCAACTTACGGGTGTCGGTTGGCACGTGCCCTCCTTCGTCTAGACTTCAGACTTCAGACGACTTCTGACTTATTACTGACTTAATTAGCGACTTAACGTACGGAGGTCCATTTCAAAAGTTATTGCTCGCCAAGAAAGGGGCTTGATTATATAAGCCGTTCGAAAGCCGATAGAACGGGCAGTAGAGTGCCTAGCCAACGGGCGGGTACTACGCGCGGTAAATCGAATGCCCGGCGCCCTTGCCTCGAATTAGGCTCTATAAGACCTGAATTAAATGCCCA